ACAAAGCAACTAAACATTTGAACAAGTCCACAACAAAGAATCACATGTCAGGCGATTCAGCAGTGAACAAACACACAACCCATTAAATCTAAAAATTGCTTTACCTTAATCAGACTAAGGGCATCTTCATTCGCTGATGGTATTAATGTAGAGAGATGGACACCAGCTAACTGAAGAAACAAAATACAAGAAAAAACAGTTGAGGTTAGCTGACAATTTAATTTTTCATTTGATAGGAAGTGCGAGTTCTAAATTTTCTTCAAATTTTCAATAGGTAATATATTTGAACAATAAGAAACTAGTTTAGGTTAATAACAGGGTATTGTGAACTTCCATATCTTACATAAATTTACATTACCCATTACGTTTCCAATGACAGTACAGAATCCAGGATTTGGTCAAAAGAAGAGGTTAAAACAGACCTGTGGGAATTGATAGTTTATTCCCCTTGCAAGTAGCAGTCCATCAGCCCAAGAATCCTTAGTTGGAGTTCCTATTACACTGCATATTTTGTAGATTTCATCGGCTTCACTGCATGCACAATAATGATAAAGTCAAGATTACTACCAGTTGCAGTTGGTGACCAATTTGTAAAACAATAACTCTGAAGTTAACAACCGCCAAAGAAGATTACATCACAAAAAAATGATTGCTTTGCAAGACATCATGATGCAATGATAACAAATATCTAAATTCCCTCTGATCAGATAACTAACATAACTGATATCTAACACTTTCTCCTTACAACCAAATAAATCTTCAAAAATGATATCTATCAAACTTGACTTGGTTCCCTCATAAAGTGATGACCAATGTTTTAATTACCGACTGACCTGGGCAGGTGACCGGGTCCCGGGTTAACCGGTTCGACCGGCGGGTCAGACCGGTGACATCACCTTCTTGATCTCATCACCCAATCAATGTTTTCTGTCTACTTCTCCTTCTTTATCTCATTAGCTCATGAATCCCTCACCTCTCATATGATCGTGTCCACCAACAAACAACTTTTTATTTGTTTTTTATTAAATGCAATACAGTACACATCATCTTTTGCAAGGACATTTAATATTTGTTTTTTATTTTCAATGAAAGCTCATTAAATGCAATATAAGTACACCTACTTTATTTATTAAATTAAATTATTTATTTTCAATCTATTCCACCTTAAGATTGCAGGAACGAAGAAGAGTAGAGCAGAGAGAGAAAACTTCAACAACTTCTTTCTCCAACTCTCTTTGTTGTTCTTTACTCTTTCATTTCTTCTGTTTTAATTTTTAAAGCTCTTCCGATTCTTCAGCTTTCCTCTAATAAAAAAGGTGCGTGCCTTCTACACCAAAACACACAAACACATTCTTTGACAAAATCCTCATTTTCTTCTCTCTTATTAGCTGTGTGCTGCCACTATTATATGCCCCTCCACCATTCTCCACCAACATCGCCACCACAGCAGCGACGGCCTAGGGTTTCAACTCCTCTCACTTATTTTTTCTCCTCTTCTTCGAGTTGGATTCTCTCTCTTCTTCTAGTGGCTTCGTTGATTAGTGTTATTTTTTTGGGTTGATTAACCTCATGTCTTTAATTGAAAATTGTAAAAGGGATTTGAATCTTAGAATTTAGGAATTAGAGTTAACCCAGTTTTTTCACAAAACCGGTTGGACCAGTGGTTCGCTACAGTAACCCGTCCAACCACGGGTCAAAACAGATTAATTCTTATTCACGGTTTTCTACCTTGACCGGACTGGCTAAGCCACTGGTTTACGGTCAAACCGGTTAAACCAGCCGGGCCGAGCTGGGTTTTAAAACCTTGGTGATAACAGAGGGAAAGGGATATTCCCTCTATTACAACTAAACAACTTCAGAAAAGCCAATCTCAGTGAGTACTTTGTATTTCTCACCTTACCACTAAGAATTGCTCACCATCAATTACATCTCTTGTTTAATAAAGCAGAAAAAAGGACAGGAAACACAGGATTTTAAATAACAGAAATAATACTACCTAGTACCCGGAAAGAGAGGACGGAGCATGATCAACTCAGCCATGATAGCACCCATAGCCCACATGTCTGGAAAAAAGATATACATAAACAATTAAACATGCTAATCAACTCATTATGATTATATATTACAGCAGTGACAAATTTCCGATGATACTAACCAACTTTAGAACTATACAGGTACGACTGAAGCAGCACTTCAGGGGCTCGATACCTGACACATCCATGCTAAAAAGTCAATAAACCACAGAAAAGGCATGAGTTGCCCAAAAAGGTAAGAAAGAAGAAAAGAAACAGACCACCATGGAAAAGGGATGAAATGGGCAAAAAAGTAAGAGAGAGGACACAAGAAACATACCACCGTGTTGAGACATATTCCGTATATGGTGGACGTGAATTGATCTCCCGTGCAAGACCGAAATCAGCAATTTTGATTATGTCTTTTGAAACAAGCAAGTTCTCTGGGTGAAAGTAAAAACTTCAGTTAAAAGATACGAAGGTTTGAAGTTCTAGGAATATATAAAAGAAATTCAAAACCCGTAGATGAAAATCACCTTAGGGAGACTGAGATTAAAATGCAACATGAAATTAACTTAAAGGGCTTAGGGAAGCTAGATTCAGAGAAGGTCTAATATGTTGATGACAAATTTCAGAAGAAAAAAGAAATGTATTTAAAATAAAAAAAATTGATCAGTAAGAAAAACTATCCTAGATGCCACATGAAGCGCTAAAGTCTTAAAAATATATTTGATGGACTGCTAAACAATAAGATAGGCTCATGTCAGTACTAGTAATTTCTACCAAACTTATCAATCTGACTTAGATAGTTATCAATGCTAAATATTACAATTACCGGGTTTAAGGTCACGATGAAAATATCCCCGCTGGTGCATATAAGCCAGGCCTTGAAAAACTTGGAAACACCAATTTCTGATTTCAGTTTCAGAGAAAAGCTTTTCTCTATCTTTCATAAGTTGGTAAAGGTTGCATTCCTGGGATGAGTGATTTATAAACAAGTAAGAAGTGACCCTAAAATATAATAATATAACTGCAAATGTGACAGTCCAAAAAGCAATGATTCATTTACCATGTATTCAAACACGAAGTACAAGATGTCATTTTCTCTGATAACTTCCTTAAGCTTCACAATATTTGGATGATTCATTTTTCGCAATGACTGTCACAGAAAGAACATTATGAATGTGCCACGACAGAGTTATAAAAAATTAGAATAAGACAGTAAGTCATCTTACCTTAACTTCTCTAAGATTTATGCACTCATCCCATGAATAATATTTCTTCTTCATTTTTTTAATAGCAACCTATCAGAAAGTGAAATATAATTAACTTAAACATCTTACCAGAAACATATTTCTTAAACGAACCGTTGATGGAAGTTTTTAGTGAACTTACAACTTCACCAGACTGCTTATTAATAGCTCGCCAGACACTCCCAAATGTTCCATCACCTACTTCCTTGATTAACTTGTACCTAAATTTGCCAAAATAAGATATCATGTAGAGAATAAACATAGTTGCCAACAAACAAGAAACAAGCAAGTGCCAAATAAAGGCCACTAACCTCTCCATTCTTCTTGTAGAACACAAAGCAGCTCTTTCTTTATTCAAGAGAAGTATAAGAACCCACACAGATATATGACATTTATTGCCACAAATTGATTTCTAGTAAAAACTATAAAGTTATGAAAAAAAGCCTTTCTGGTCCCGCTGAATCCACCATTAATTTTCTGTAGCAAAATGAAAAAGAACAAAACCAGAACTTTTCTGATGGAGAAGCATTGCAGCCTTATTTTCTTCTAAATTCACAGCTTCACAACGGTACCAAGCAACAGATTGAAGAAAAAGAAGAATTCCACTAAACATATTGACACCAACAACGAACAAAAGTAGAACGGTTGTACCAGCCAATAGATATATCCAAGGTGCAAAACACGGACACACAAGGGTTCAAAAACTAACGAACATGTAGTTCGACTATACTAAACTGGAAGTTGAAGAATCTTCTGCGAACTGATATCTATTGTCCTACTAATGGGTACCCATTAGGAGTAATAACAGAATAATATCTAAGAACTAGAGTCTGCAGTCTCAATCAGAAATTCTTGTCTAACGCTAGAAAAGCAACCTTATCACGTACTTGCAGACCTCAACCCTACAATAAGAGAAGAAAAAACAAACAGTAAGAATGAGAGCAGCCTCAGACAAACATAAGAAAAAAAACAACGAAAAATTAATGTGTAAAATATGCTGTACCCCAGAAGACGTTTTCTGAAAATTATAGGCTGGATGTTCTATCAGTGATGCACTAACATCAAAGCAAAATAGTTAGAAGATATCTACAGTTAAATTTGTCAAAAAGATGACGACAAGATTCTTACTTGTAAAAGTGCACTAAATATCCAACACCTATCTCAGCAAAGATTTGCATTACGTCTCCTATACTGATCATTAAAGAGAATCGGACCACTAGGTACAATTGACAAAGGACACCAAAAGAAAACCTCCAAGGACGAGAAACCGCCAGTCCAGTACTTCCTGGAATGAAAAAACTCGAAACTGGTAGCAATTTAACCAGAAGCGCGCTTGCTCCATATCTCAAAAGAGAAGATTAATCTGTATAGATCCAAGTCCGGTACAACCTAACATTAAATGATCAAACTAAATCAAAAAAATCATGAGAAACAATACAACCAAAAGAACAGAAACAAATGCAAACATGACAGAATCTCTAATGACACAGCACAACATGACACAATAGAAGACGTGTAAAATTCTATGTAACAATATTATGACAACAAGGATGTAACATATTAAAGAAAATGTAATATTGCAGAACAAGTGATTATAGTTGATTTTCTGCTCCTATTTAATCATGACAGATCTTAAACAACCAAAAGAAATGTAGCCCCAAACAGTCACACCTTAATAGTCGACCACAAAAATTCGACACACCTCAAATCCCTAATTACCAGAACAAGCCATCAATTGAAATATAGAACAACAAGAATTACCAATATTAATAATTAGTTAATCACATAAATCAAAATATAAAATGGAAGAAAAATCCCTAAATCTTTGCCATCAATTTATAAAAATCTTATACAATAAATCCATTCAGGAAGACTTGGCATCGAATTACAAAATAAAATCGTAACAAATATTCAACTGCATCCATTCAATCAAAACTTTCGTATTAAACCGCCGACAGCGAAACAATAATTGAATAGATTAAATAAAACAAAATCAACAAAATAAAAAATAAAAAACAAATCTGATCAAACCGAACACTAAATTGAATTGCAGGAATCAAAAACCACAAAAAAAAAAAAAAAAGAAATCAATACATAGCGACTCGAATTGAATAGATCAGATCTGGTCCAATCCGGTCCGATCCGATCGAATCAGATAAAAGAATCGAATACAAATAAGAGAAAATGAATAAAGAAAGAAATAAAATAAAACCTGAGAGCCAACCGGCAAAATAACCGTCGCGGAGGACGGAAAAAGGTGGAATCCAGAGCTTCTCTCTCTATTTGTGTCTAAACCCAACCAAAAGAACACCAACCCACAATTCTCTCTCTAACTAATAAATATCTCTTTATTTATGCCTCACACCACAACCAACGTTATTTATTGCCTATATTTGACAAATTAATGTGAACAGATAATTACATATTCGCCCCTGTAGTTTGTTAGAATATATGGTATCGGGCGATCCGGAACAAGTAGTATTACCCCCTAAACTTAAGGACGTATTGTCAAATATGACGGTGTAAGGACTTTTTGGTCCTTTAATAAAAGTTTTTATTTAATTATTGAAATAGCATATCTTTTTTTTATTTAATATTAAATTCAAGTAATTGTTTATTTTTCCAATAACCTCACCTTATATAAGAATTTCTTTTGATAATTATTAATTTTATGTTTATTTTTCTAAAAGTGCATGTAAATTATGTGATTATATAGAATATGATATCTATCTCTAGAAGTTCGGATTATATATATAGAGAGATTTTATTCTTAAAGTTATATTTTTTATTAATTTTTTATTATTTTATAGATTGAAATTAAAAGGGTATTGTACTTTTTAAACAAAAGATTCAAATTCCGTTATAAGAGATGTTGAACTTAAAACTGGCGTGAAAGTGCATTTCGGGTTTTGTTGTACCGAAATGTAATTCTTCTAAATCAAAGGGGTGTTTAATTTCCTAAAAATTATTTATATTTTATTCCTCCGCCCGTTATCCACGCTATACTAAGAACAAAGAATCTAATTATTTTATAAATACATAATATTAATCATATATTTTTAAAAGCGAGAAAAACAAATATTTCTATAGTTTTATCCACCGGTATTTCAGGGGTGACCACTAATACCATAACAATAATATCTAAATTAGAAAAATAAAAATTCATTAATTTAAATTGTAATGAAAATACAAAAATGGGGTGGAATTTTAGAGTGAGTTTGGTGGGTGGGGATATATTTGATGATATTGTTCATCTATTTATGAGTTTGCTTGAGAAATAAATTAAGAATATTCGGTTGGGTGGTGAGGTGTTAAAGATTTGTTATGAGGTGGCGCCGCGAATCTATCCATTGCTGTTAGGTGTAAACATTTGAAAGCTCATACGCAGTAGCCATTTGAATTTACAAAACTATCCTTCTTGTTCTTTTTCTTGGGCACCACGCATTCAAGGAGCATTTGTTAGAATGTATTTAATTAAATTAAAAAAATTACAGTAGTACATAGGGTTGTTCAAAAAAACTTATTGGAACCGGAATCGGCAGGTACTTAGGGTTTGGTACTGGTTTCTATCTAGAAGCACCCGTCAACGGATAGGTTCCGGTTCTAAATTTTTGGAACCATTACTGTGCGGTTCCGGTTCTGGTTCTTATAGTTAGGAACCGGAACCGAAACCGGTAACCAAGACTAATATAAAATAAAATTAAAGAGTAGGGGGTTAATAAAAACTTTTGTAGAAAAAGTAATGTGAATACATTTATATTTATATTTCATACCATTTAAAGTAAGTTGGTTTGACTTTTGAGAATCTATATTTACAAAGTAATAGAGTTTGTAATTTTAAATTTATAATTTGTAATTTTATTTTTGTTAACAAGTTCCTAATGGGAGAGTATTTGAAGTTTTTAAGGGTTTTTTTGCTATTTTAAAAACTTTTGTAGGGTCATGTAATTTTACAGGGTACCCAACACCGAAACCGGAACCGTTATTATAAGTTTCGGTTTCAAATTGCAAGGAACCGTCAGTTTCTGTTCCAGTTTTGGTTCCTTAAAAAAATATAGAATACCCGGAACCAAACACCTCTAGTAGTATGATTCATATTTTATGTTGATGCGTGATTCTAACACCAACTAATCGACACGTGTGTAACGTTGATTGGTCAAGAGACACACGTGATTATGGATAGAAAAATGTGAAATGAATGCAATGAAAGCCTTTTAAAGTGGTTCAGATGCTAAGGTAGCAAGTCCTACGTCCACTGATTTGTATTAGTAATATGGGTCAGGTCGCAACAGCGGACTGACTTACAAATTATTAGGAAAAGTAAATTACAAAGTTTGCAAGAGAGTTTTTTTGTAAAAATGGCCGAATCCCCTCAATGAAGGGGTCTTCTCCCTTTTATAACCAGATAAGGGCGTGTAATCATCATTAAATCCATGGGTTGGTGTGAGTGTCAGGACATAATCCGGCTTTACGTCCCATTGCCCCCTTCCCAAGCTGATTTCACGCGATTTATTGCAGGGAAATGGACANGGAAAAGCAATGGATGAAATGAAAGGCTAGGATTTGATGATGAGATATTTTGACAGGTTAGGAACAATCACATCAGGTTATATGTTATGTTTGAGTTTGGTGGATTTTATAATTTTTTAAGGTGGAAAAATTTAGAATATAATTAGATAAATTCTACATATGAAATTTTTACAATTTTGGTGGTATTTGTGCAAACAAATTATTTATTTTGATTATTTCAAAAGAGGGAAATATATAATTGAAATTATTTCTCGTAATTATAATGAGGCCCAAAATCAAGGTAAATCAATGACAAGGACTCATTAGGTGAAAATATTTAGAAATTGTCGTGGGTGTGTTTTGCAATTGAGCAAAACTCGTGGGGTCACTACTTACTCCATTTTAAAACAAAATTTTCTATTTTAGAATATATATATATATATATATTGCAATGAGAATTGGGTTTGTATTAATTTTACAAAAAAGAAAAAATTGGCAGTAATAAATGTTATACTGAGAAGAGTAGATGACATATTCCTACCCTAGGTTTGATGAAATCCTAAATTGATACCGTATTTTACATTTATTCCAGATTTTCACCCTTAAAGTGACATAAAAAGGTTTGATGAAACGATAAAGGGGTAAATTTGTCATTTTACATAGGTGGCGCACATTAGCAGACTGTCGCCTTTAACAGTCCTTCGGTGCACATTAGCAGACTGCATCCCCAATGTTTTTTGCCCTTTTTCCCGCGATTCTTCCACCCAAAATCACCCTTGTCACCACGATTTGAACCCCCATCCTCCCCTCTACAAAACCATATCCTTCACAACCCCTCATCACTTGCTGATCACCAGCCACGGTAGCCATGACATGGGACTGGTTTTGCCAGTTTTCGGTCGTTTTGAACGGCAAAAACCCCAACCACCACCACCATTTGACTCCTTGCATCCTTCCCTACAAAAACCCTAACCTTCCCAATCACAATAGCTCACCGTTTGCTGTCCACCACTTCACCAAAAAACGGTCGATGAACACGAACTCTCAGTCAGTGAATAGTGATGAAACGGTTGTTGGGGACATAGGGGTTTACAGATTTGGAGATGGTGGTTGCAGTGGTGGTGTCCAATTGGATTTTCGCTATCGGAATCGATCAGAATCCAATGAAGAACATCGAAACCCTAAACCTAACGGTGCTGACGATTGGAGGGGCCAATGAGTCGGGAACTAGAGGGGTTTTGAACGACGAAGTACGGGGAAGGTGATGGAGGTGACCACGGGGTTCGACGCTGTAAAAAATTACAAGGGTTTGTAGTGATTGAGGGTGTTTTTGACATAATTTGAAAATAACATGGTAAGTTATAATTTTACTAATTTAGGGGTTAAAATTAATTTAGGGTTTAGGGTTAAAGGTATTATGATAATTATATTTTTTAAACCCTAAAAATTGTTAACACTTTTATTTTAAGGGTTAGAATTTAGAATAAGTATAACCTGAGATACCAACTTGGGATATCGTGAGAATATGTCATTTACTCTACTAAAAATGGAGTGACGTTGTCGTTGGGGAAGCAAAAGACTGGCAATTGGATTTGATTTGAAAATAAAGATAACAAATTAAATTAAAGCACTAATTAAAAATAAATAAATAAATATTGTATTTTTTCTTTGTTTTATACAGTGGTCAAAGTACAAAATTTATAATAATAAATTTTTAAAAGGACAGGCTCCGTATATGTTCAAGTCCAATCAAGTATGTACTTATTTATAGTGCTTTGGAGGTAAAGGGAATCAACCATCTTGTTAGATATCTAAATTGGAAAATTACAACATTTGTCCTATTTATTTAATTTAAAGCAAAGATTTGCATTGTTAATGGTCCCCAAAAATATTCTCCAATCAATCTAATAATTCTTTCATAAAAAACGGGCACGTGTGTTTTTTTAAATAGACGATTAACCAAGAACACATCTAATTTAGGTTAATTTACGTGATTTTATTTATGACCTAATCCGACAACCCTTTACTTTATTATATTATAAAATTTATATAGTTAGTAAAGGAAATTCTCATTACTCACTCTTTTAAAATAAAGTTAAATTATTTATTTGAAATTTTTTTGATTCATTTTGGTCTTTAAGTTTTTGGAGGACATTTTGGTCAAGAAAAAAAGGACCAGTAAAAATTCGGAGGTTTTATAAGGTTTTGTCTTTGTGTGATTAATGTGTTTGGGGGTTTCACTGTGAAAGTAGCAGTAATAGACAGTAGTATGAACAAACTAAAACAAGGAGAAAAGCAAGCAGCAGAAAGTTGTGGGGAAGCAAAGAAAGGCAATACAAAGAGATAGGAAAGTGAAAAAGTTCTTATGCTTTTGGGTTTGGTTTTTTTCTCTGTCTACATAGCTTGGTAACTCTACTTATTCATATTACCATTCCTTTTTTTTTTTTTTTTTTTTTTAATCAGATCTTGTAAGTTCATTCTACTTATATAACTCATTCATCAAGTCAAATTTTAACTTATTCTTTTCTGGGTAAATGGTGTCTATCAAACATATGGCAAAGATTGGTTTTTCTTTTTTGTAATTTTAAATTTGTGGTTATATTCTCTTCTAGTTGAAGTGCTTTATTTTGTCCATTTTACACAAGCATTGATTCTTTCTCACTCTATGCATTGCAGCCTATAGACTGTGTTACTTCATTTTTTTTTTGCATTAATGTGCTTCGATCGTTTGTAGATTCTTTGCATATAAAGAGTGATTGCTTTTTTGTTTTTTGTCCCTTTCTTTATTACTCTCTTTCATCTTTTCTTGGGTGCCTTTCACTTTCTTGCTAGTTTCTTTGGAAGGTTTCAGGGAGTGTATAACTGGTGTAAGCAAGAATAGTCGATGTGATTTGATAGGTTCTATTCCATTTTCACCCTCCTATATGTTTATAAATAGAGATGGTCGATTGTTATTTGCTTCATTGCAGGAACTCAGCCTGAACATTGCAACCAGCGCTTTGCGTAGTGTGCTTATTTTGGTTGAATATAATGAGTTATAGTGGCTCCAATATGGGTTCTGGTTAGTCTTTTTTTTCCTCTTTCACTTGCTGTTCTTTGTAAATATGTTGTGTACTTATTGATTCATTTTAAGTATTAACTCTGTTGGTTCTGGCTCTTCTTTGTAATGACTTTTTAAGTGTATAATTGCAACGTTTCAGGTAGTAGAACTACTAGAAGTACATTCGAGTATGGAAGAACCCATGTGGTTAGGCCCAAGGGGAAACACCAGGCCACCATAGTTTGGCTGCATGGCCTTGGTGATAAGGGATCAAGGTAGTGGAGCTAGTTTTTCATGGGTTTTTTCCTCTCTAACATTATTGTTTTTTTTTATTTTTTATTTTTTTTATTTCTGTTTTTTGGTTTGCATTTGATATTCTAGCTGGGAAAGCCTGATTCTTCAAGTTGGTTGTTTCATGGAAATGGAAGTCATAGATAAATTTATTTATAATTCTGTTGTTACAACTCACAAATATTAAGTAAAATACTATGCTTTCTTTTATAAGAAAAATCATGGTTATGCATGGATTAAAAAAAAAATATCAAGATTTACTTTGAGCTACTAATAATCATCTTATATCATTGTGTTCTTGCTTTGCAAATGACATTTCATGAAGTTCGATTCTTTTCTCTTTATACTAAGCATATTCCTTGTGTGGGAATGGTGGACTTGTTTTGTTCCAAAATAAACAAAAGGGACTTAAAGAATGTCAATGTCTTGTCCTTTTCTGGTGGAGAAATTTGGTGTTCACATAACTCGCTGAATTTTGCTTCCCTTTCTAGAAGATTCTCACAATGATTGAATTGGTGGGAGAGAGCAGTAGTGCTGTGTACTAAACAATAACATTAATAGTTGTCATTTTCCTCCATCCTCTCTATATTGATTCTAAGGTATATTGGAACAGCCTCGAATGCAAAAAGTACATATTACAAAACTCAGAATGGGGGACCACTGCTTCACTAGCTTGATGTCCTTTCATTTCAGCTAAGAGAAATATACTAATCTTAAATGATATATACTAATCTTAAATGATATAATATTATGATCAAGAAATTTATTCTTATTTTTCTAACATATTGCGAAACCAATTCTAGATGAGTAATTTATATTTTCAGGTTGTTAGAATTATACAAAGAGTTGTTAAGGTCTGTTGCTCTGTACTCAACTTTGCATGTGGTCCCAAAGTTAAATGGTTCAGGGTACTCCTTACATTATATTATAATGTCTTCAAACTTCCTGAAGGGCGTTAGCAAACCTTAAATTGTGATATCATAATATTTCAGCATCTTATTGCTAGTCAAACTTTCATAAAGGATATCTAATGGGGCCTAAGGTGAATTTTTGTGCCTTTTTTTTTTTCCTTTTGCAGCTGGTCCCAGCTCTTGGAAACACTTCCTCTTCCAAATGTAAGTTAGTTTCTTCAATTTGTGTGCACATGCAACATGCATCACTGGTTACCCTAATTTTCATAGATGGAGTTTTCAATTGACAATGATTTTATTTTGTAATTATCTGTCGAAATGTTATTGTTGCAGATTAAGTGGATTTGCCCAACTGCTCCTACTAGGCCAGTAGCGATATTTGGTGGATATTCTTGCACTGCTTGTAAGATTTAATTGTTTTAACTGGTTCTGAATTCAATGTGTTCTAAACATCCATGGTTGAAAACTTCAAACTTGTGTCCAGTTCCACATTAAAGTTCTCGTATATGACCCCAATATCCCATCAAAATGAATTTTATGCGAACAATTGGTATTTTCTCTGTTATTTTGACATTAATGAATATGGTATAACTAGCTTGATAATTTCTATCACAGGGTTTGATGTTGGAGATCTTTCAGAAGATGCTCCTGATGATTTGGAGGGGTTAGATGCTTCAGCAGCACATGTGGCTAATCTTTTGTCAACAGAACCTGCTGACAGTAGGTTTTTCCCTTGGTAGTTTTCAGAATAGCATAAGATATAAATACTTAGTTCTTTATGGATGAATATTTTATAAAATGAGTTCCAATGGATCACAGGAGTCTAATAAATTTGTTCACTTAAGTGTATAAATAAATTAAATATTTTCCAGGGTTTCTGAATACTCCGGGGTGGATACATTACTTTATTTTTGTTAAAAAGTAAGAGTGGAAAAGGCTAAGGTCATTTATCTTTTTATCATTCTAACTCTTCCCAGTTTCATTTTACTATAAAGATGAATTTGGTTGTGCCCCTTGATCTTTCAGTGTTCATGACCTAAAACTGATTTTTCTTCTTTGCAATCTCTCTCTCTCTCTCTCTCTCTCTCTCTCTCTCTCTCTCTCTCTCTTTACTTGCTCTTCTCTTTGCTTCTCACTTTCGTTTGAATAGATTCATTTTGAGATGGTTAATGGAATCTTGTGTTTCTAATGTCCTTTTGATGAACCTGTTCATTTGTCATGGCAATACTTTGATACCAAGTCACTTTGATTTTTCAGAACTTAATTTCCAGTATTACTTCTTGGTGAGTAAGAGCTCGTTTGCTAGAAAATTCATCTGCCTTTCCATCTATAAAGTCATTGTAACACTTAGATTTGAGAAGTTTTGATTAAAAAGAAAAGAGAAGGAAAGGAAAGGAGATTAAAGTTTACAGAAGCAGAACTGTAAAATTAAATTGAATTGTAATTTTTTTAATTCATTAAAAATTATATGATGTAATAACTGAATTTAACCATGTAGCCTTCTGAATATGTAAGCTTCTTGTGATCATGTCCAAATTGCACAGTTTCCTTGAAATCATGCAGCATATTATATGTACTATATCATAATTCACTTGAGTATATTGATATATTGCAGTCAAACTTGGAATTGGTGGCTTCAGTATGGGTGCTGCAACAGCACTTTATTCTGCCACTTGCCGCATATTAGGACAATATGGAAATGGAAATCCCTATTCGGTCAACCTAAGTGCAGTTGTGGGTTTAAGTGGCTGGCTTCCATGTTCAAGGTTTGACACCTGTTACATGCACTGAGACATGCACATATTAGCTCATCTAGAACTCAGTTGTCCTCAAACTGGTTACCTATTCAGTCAGCTCAGCAGCTGTTGTTTTTTTTCTTTTTTCCTGGTAGGACATTGAAAAGTCGAATGGAAAGATCACATGAGGCAACAAGGCGAGCTGCATCCTTGCCTATTTTGCTCTGCCATGGTTTAGGTATTCCTTTTCATCTCTTAAATTTTAATGATACTGGTTCAATTTACTCTCAGTAAACACATCACTATTTTGATATGACAAAGTCAGACTCTGACTTATTTGGAGGAGTAACAAGATGCTGAGTTAATGGGTTTGTAGATCTTACAAATATTTTTTGAATGGTCAACAATAGAATGTCTTAACTTCTCTATAAAAAGTTTTGGAGCAGCTCCTCTTTAGGTGTCAAAGTGATATAGACTAGAGAGTTAAAATTTTACTGCCTATTTTAGTGTCTGTAAAATATTATTATAATGGTTCTGCAGCTCAAGCATCTTGCCTGAGCTTGTCTGTAATTAAAAGGATATAGAATATTCTATTATTAAAGTAACATAAACAACCCATAGGCAGCCATTATAAAAGTGAAACAGACCTATTATGCATGCTAACACATTTATCATATACACCCATAGGCCATAAGTACCTGTAACATAGCTCATCTTTTGTTTCAAACAATTATGTGTATCAGTCTTGTCTCTTCTTCGCCTACCCTATTCGAAAAAGCAAATTGTTGAACAAAAACTTGATATAATGCTTGATTGATTTACACTTCTCTGTATTTAAGAAATATTTTTCTCTAAGCATAAAGTTTACTTTTCTTCTTCCTGCAGGTGATGATGTAGTTGCATATAGACATGGAGAGAGATCAGCACAGACCTTAAATTCGGTTGGCTTTCGGGATCTCACATTTAGATCATATAACGGGTATTGAAATGCGACATCATGTGTGTGTGTGTGTGTGTGTGTGTGTGTGTTTGTGCACACTGTATATAAAATAGTACTCATGATCCCTAACGTTGTTATGCAGGCTAGGTCATTATACCGTCCCTGAAGAGACGGATGAAGTCTGTAATTGGCTAATGGCCAAGTTGGGACTTGAGGGTTTATAAGCATGATGACAAGAATTTTATCAAAGCAACGAGGGGATACAGCAGAAGGGTAGTCATATTGTGTACAAGGATTAGAGAATGCACTCTAGAATACAAGTTTGGTGTTGGGTATATGGTATAGCGGCATGGCTTGACTTACTATTCCAATGTAATCTTTTTCTTTTTTTTTTCTTTTTCTTGGGGGGAGGGGGGGGAGGGGGATGAGAGAAGAAATAAACTTTTAGAATATGGGTTAGATTGTATTTGGTTTGCTACCGAGAAATTGGGTTGGGATGGAGTGGAGATAGATGACTCTCAGTTGCTTTGGTTCTTAGGAAATTTTGTTGCTTGGGTGAATTTATTTCTGTATTGTTATGTGCCCTAACATGGATGTATTTTGAAGTTGATAATAAAAGGTAATTCTGGGTGGGTTTAATTTATTTCTCATTCCTTACTGTCCATCGTTGCATTATCAAACCTGTCTGGATATACACATACACAAGCCTTAATATTGAGTCTGGTACTGCTGAAACCAGTAAATATGAAAAATAGAAGTGATAAAAAGTATTTCCCCATCGCTATTACACATTTGACATTTGTAGTAATGGTGAAGAGCTAAAAAATCAAAGACAAAATGGTAAAATCTGATAGCCAACATCTTGGCAAACAAAGAAGACTGAATTATATTATAAAAGACATAAAATATTGAGTATTGACTAAAAAAAAAAAAAAAAAAAAAAAGGACAACACTGTTTCAACCATGATTCAGTAAGTGGATTTTATTTTGCCCTGTTGAATCGGATATCCCAGAATAGTCTGCTCCAACCATGAAATATGCAACAGAAATTAACAACAATATAATCCAATTCAACAAAGAAATAATGGCATTTAAATTTAAACAAAGACAAAATAAAGGGAATTATAGAAAGACAATATTACAACTGGCGATGCAGTAAAAGTATCTATAATTGAACTGTGCCCTGCTCCTTTGAACACGTGGCTACTCTAGCACCTATACAGCACAGCTATACGTGATGATTGTGATAGGGAATCGCACATAAAATATTGTACCAAGTCAATAGAGGTCTCCATATCCAAACCTGGCACAATAGCTTCAACTAAAGATTTTAACTTCTGGAGCTCAAGATCAAGCCAACGCCACTGTCACCTAGAAAGAGTTTGCTGAAGCCAGAAATAAACAAATATTAGCATTAAACAATTAGTATATGACTGTATAATGAATTGGCATGTTAAAGTTTATTGACTTACCTCACATGGCCGGGGCATCAATCGTTTGTTGCTATTTCTTCTTTTCCTGAAAATCACTTTTGTTCTGATTGGTGCTTCCTTTGGAATCAATGCAAGGGGTGAGAGGTGGAAAAGATGGCACTGCCTTTAATATGAACTTGCGGCCACTTTTCAAGGCTCCTGAAGAGCTTGACCTAAGCTCATGCCCACGAGTGTGAGGAGGTGAAACTCGCTTGCGACTAGGGGAACTTACTTTAACCGATTTAATGGGAGTAGATGCATCTTTCAAAATGTCAGGTGTATCATCTTCCAGAATGTCACAAAGCCTGTTGTCAGAGTCAAGCTCCTGGTGATTCTTGGTCCCATCTGACTGAGTCAGTGGGGTAATAGGTGAACTACGCCAACGAAGGGAACTACCTGATGAGAGGCTACCACTTTTGGGGCATAATTGGAGTCTTGAAGCATTTGTCCAGTCAGATACCTTGCATGAAGTTGAGGAGGCCATGGCTGTTGAAGGAAAATCCAGCGGAGTGAGATTGCGAAAATCAGCTAGCGTGTCACATCTTGAAGAGAACTGGTCTGTCATGTCTGTGCTGTTGTAATCCATTCTCTGACCACAAGCACCTACATCCAGTACTTCTTTACTTGTTTCAAGAAGCATGTCATTAAAATCTGATTTTTCCAGAGATCTCAGTGTTCTTGTATAAGATGACAATATGGTAAGATCAGACTCGGGTGATGGAATGCATTTTCCAAAGAGAATTCGAGATTTTGGTGCATCCTTTCCATGGCTAAATAAAGTACAAGGATTTTATCAGCTTTGTTCAAGTTGAATTTAATTATCTCAACCTTCCAGCCAAAATTTAATAAATAAAAAAAAAAAAAAAAATTATGATCAAAGAAACCTTACTCTGAGCAATCGAATGACGGGGTCAATGGCGTCAGGTTGCGGGAATCATACAACTCAGAATGTAAGAAATCATTCTTGTTTGTTATTGTTTCTAGCCTGTCCTCAAATGTTCCTTCTGATCTGTCTTTGCTCAACCTGTTGCTCACCATTTCTTCATTTTCAACATAATCTGTATGAACAAGAATAAAGATGACATAGATGTGCATCGTTCTATTGTTAAGAGTGACTGATTTTTCATTTTTATACTCATGCAAGGATGCTGAGAGTTGTTGGAAACTATGTATATACGTAGTCAAGGGTATATATGTTAGGCTGTACTGTTGAGAAGATAGAATATAGAAATTGAAAAAATGCAAATATTCAAAACATGGTATCAGGGCAGGACTAAACCCTAGAACCCATTTTTGTGTTTCTGTTTTCCGGCGGCCGACGATTCAGACGAACCTTCTGTCCATGGTTTCTCTCTTTCCGGCAACATCTAAACCTTTCTGACGAACCCTCGGCCTCCTTTGCAATCTCCGACGACATCTGCTCTTGGTTTCTCTCTTTCCGGTGACTTTTGCTCTCGGCCTCTACCTTTCCAACAAATGTTGGTTCTGTTCCAATTAACTTGTCCCTTTCTTCTGCTCATTCTGGCGATCTCTCCTCTCGTTCCTCTCTGTTCATCTTAATTTTCTAACGACGCAATCCCTCAACTTCCTCCAAGTTCTATTATATACACACACTACAATTATAATGACTAGTCACATCATCTGTTTCCTCCGACGATAACTGTTTGACAGTATGCTAGTAAACAAGACTTGTCTCATGCCCATGAATTGTTATTAAAGATCTATCGAGCAAATATGCAAGAGAAGATGTTGCTCGAATGTTATACGAAGATAAAACAAGCCTTGGAAGAAAAAAAAAGGCTATGTTTCTTGTCCCTAATGATGTAAAGATTATGCAAGCATAAGAAGGACAAGTGGTAGTGCAATGTTTTCTGGCTGGGTTAAGGCCAAAATATGAGATAGCTTGTACACAGCTTCCTACCGGCGAGACACTTCGCTCTCTTATGGATGTCTTTGCTCGACTTCTCAAAGTTAGTAAGGGAGAAGATCGAAGAGTTTCTAAAGACAAAGAAACTCTTAAAGATCCTAATGTAGATCATATGGCCCTAGCTAGCATGAAACCTAATGATGGCAAAGACAACAAAGGGGCAAGTTGTGATACCGAGAGCAATTGTGGTAATGACCCTTGTACTTGCTTTCACTGTGGTGCTAAGGGCCACGTAAAAAAAAAATTGTTGGAAGCTCCATGGCAAGCCCTCAAATATGCAAGGCACTCAGAAGTTTGCTCATGTTGCAACTCAAGATGGTCTCTTACGCACCCCATCACAGATTACTATCTCTGCAACTGAATATGCTCGTCTCACTCAGAATTCTAGCTCTCAGTCACCCATCCCATTGACTACCACTACATTAACCCAGTTAGGTAATCCTAGAACCTGTTTGTCCACTTCTAGTAGTAACTGGGTCATTGATTCTGGTGCTACTCACCATATGACGAGCGATACAGGTATTCTCTCTTCATTTACACCTTTCGGTTTGTCTTATGTTACCTTAGCTAACGGATCTACTGTACTTATTATTGGATGTGGTACCGCTAATCTCACTAAATCTATGTCTCTTTTCTCTGTTTTGTGTCTTCCTCACTTTCCCTTTAACCAATTATCTGTTAGTCAAATTACTAATGCATTCAACTGTGATGTTTATTTTTTTCCTACTCATTGTATGTTTCAAGATCTTAGGACGAGGCAAATTATTGGTAGGGGTTGTGTATAAGGTGGCCTGTATATGCTCGATGATGTCTCCACTCCAATTCTTCAATCTGTTGCGTGTACCAGTGATTCATCTCTATTCATATTACATGGTCACCTTGGTCATCCCTCCTTCCCATTTAGAAAAACTTATGTCCTAGTGTAAGGTCAACGTCACACTTGAGTCAGAGGCGTGTCAGTTTGGAAAACACCATCAAGTGTCCTATAGCCCTTGGGATAAACAAAAGAGTTATAGCCCCTTTTGATGTTATACTCTCTGATGTTTGGGGTCTTTGCCCTATATTGTTTGGTTATCGATACTTTGTTACTTTTGTGGATATTTTTCACGTGTAACTTGGTTGTACTTTAGGAAAAATCGTTTTGAATTATTCTCTATACTTTGTACCTTTTATGCTTAAATACAAAATCAATTTACTTCATCTATTAAAATTTTCAAAAGTGATAATACCAAAAAATACTTTTTTGCACCTTTCTCCACCTTTTTGTCTACTAGAGGTATTATTCATTAATCATCATATGTATATACACCTCAACAAAATAGGATTGTTGAATGAAAAAATCGTCATTTATTAGAAGTCGCTCGTACTCTCCTCTTTCACATGAAAGTCTCTACAGAGTTTTGGGTAAATGTTATCTCTACTGCATGTCACTTGATCAATAACATCCCTTCCTTTGTTTTGGGTGGTCAAATCCCGTACTCCATCATTTTTCCATCTCAACCTTTATTCTCCCTTCCTCCTAAAGTGTTTCGGTGCACATGTTTTGTTCAAGATGTTAGACCCCATGTCTCTAAATTAGAACCCAAATCCCTAAGTTTATATTCTTGGTTTATTCCTAATATTAGAAGGGTTATCATTGCTTCTCTTATCCTAGGTAAGCACCTTGTCTCAGCTGATGTTTCTTTTTTGAAACCACTCTATATGTTGAGTCCTCCATTCCATCTACTTCTCTTGAAGCCCCCCTGATGATTTTCTTGTTTACAACATTACCTATCATGGTCCTCTACCATCTTGTCCTCTTATCACCCAGGTATACTCTCACAAGGTTCAACGACACCATGAGGCACTTGCATCAACATATGATCCACTGCCTTTATCGACTGCCTCGTCCTCAAATCCGATTCCTCCTGCTTCTTACCTAGATATTTCCATTGCTCTTCGTAAAGATAAGCGCTCTTATACCTATCTTATCTCCTCATTTGTTTTCTATCACTCTTTGTCTTCGTCTTCCAAGTCTTTTATTGTCTCTTTAGATTCTGTTTGTTCCCAGCTTTGTGTTTGAAGCAATTACTCATGATGGGTGGCAAAAGGCAATAGAAGAAGAGATGTTGGCTCTAGAACATAATGATACATGGGTTCCAATGGACTTACCCAAAAATAAAAAGGCCATTGGGTGCAAATGAGTTTTCGTAATGAAGGCCTAATCCTAATGGGTCTATGGCTAGGTTGGTTGCTAAAGATTATGCCCAGACGTATGATATTGATTACTTTGAGACATTCTCCCCAATAGCTAAAATGACCTCTGTCCGGCAATTCATCTCACTTACAACTTCATATAGTTGGCCTCTTTACCAACTTGACATAAAAAATGCATTTTTACATGGTAATCTTCTTGAAAAGGTTTACATGGAATAACCTCTAAGGTTTGTTACTCAAGAGGAGTCAAGAAAGGTATGCAAATTGAAGAAATTTTTATATGGCTTAAAACAATCTCCACGGGCTTGGTTTGGGAGGTTCAACAAAATGGTGACTTAGTTTGGTTTACATAGAAGTGCTTATGATCATTCTGTCGTTTATAAGCAATCTAGTTTTGGCATCATTCTTTTGGTTGTTTATGTTGATGACATTATAATCACTGGCAGTGATGATGTTGGCATTCAGAGTTTGAAAAACTTTTTGGCTTCCAAATTTCACACAAAAGATTTGAGCACTCTAAAGTATTTTTTGGGAGTCGAGGTTTCTTTAAATAAGAAAGGGATTTTCCTCTCTCAACGCAAATATGTGTTAGATTTGTTGATCGAAATAAGTCTAATTTAGGCTAAGCCTTGTGACACTCATATGGTTCCTAATGTGAGATTGAATGCTAAGGATTGACAGATGTTTGGTGATCCAAAGAAATACAGACGGATAGTTGGAAAGTTGAACTATCTTACAGTAACCTGTCCAGATATTGTTTTTCCAGTGAGTGTGGTGAGTCAATTTATGTCATCTCCTAGGATATCTCATTGGGATGCGGTCCACCATATTTTGAAGTATCTAAAAGGAGTCCCTGGACATGAGATTCTTTATAGTGATCATGGTCATGATAAGGTAAAAGGATTTTCAAATGTAGATTGGGCAGGATCTTCTGTGGATAGACGGTCTGTGACTGAGTTTTGTGTTTTTGTTGGAGAAAATCTTATTTCTTGGAAAAGTAAGAAACAACCAATTGTAGCTAGATCAAGTACAGAGTATGAGTATCGAGCTATGACACAAATAACTTGTGTGCTTATATGGACAAGACATCGTCTTAGAGAAATTGGGTTTGATGATCCAAGGATTATAGACTTGTAGTGTGACAACCAAGCAGTCATACATATAACAAACAATCCAATCTTTCAAGAGCAGACTAAGCATATAGAAGTGGATTGTCACTTTGTGTGAGAGAAACTTGAATAAAAGCTAATTACTACTAATCATGTTAGAACAGGGGAACAACTAGCTAACATCTTTACGAAGTCTCTAGTTGGTAAAAAGATAACATATATTTGTAACAAGCTGGGCATGATAGATATATATGCTCCAACTTGAGGGGGAGTATTGGAAACTATGTATATATGTAGTCAAGGGTATATATGTAATTGTAGTGTGTGTGTGCATATATGTTAGGCTGTATTGTTAGGAAGATAGAATGTAGAAATTGAAAAAATGCATATATTCAAAACAAGAGTGATATTTTATAGTAAATTGAGTACCCAAAACCAAAAGTTACCTAGGATATATCAGCTTCAAAATTGCAATAAAAAAATGAACCCTTAACCAACAGAGAAAAGGAGCCCTACGAGGCAAAGCTTTAACCCTTAAAATGTCAGTTCAAAATATTATCAATGGAGATTAGCAAGTGACTAGGAAACCATTAATTATTCTTTCCCTGCACTGTGATGACAATTACTAATTCGACACATGGCATGATTCATCATGATGGCATACAGAATTGAGAGCTAAAAGTTCGAGCGTGATTTCTCACCTTCCTTCCTTCCATAGACATTTTTACAACCCTCACATCGACATCCACTTGAGCATCCAACATTAGCCTATTCAAAATAAACCAGAAAATGGAAGATCAGCATATTTAATATATAGCCAGTAATTGAGAGACAAATTAATTATATGAAATGTGGCACAGAGAAAAAGTTTCACCTGATAACATTCACAATATTTCTTCAGACACATTGACTTTTTGCAATTGCAGCCTCTTTTGTGCCTAGCTGAGGCTGGTGTCATTCGGTTTCCATCATCCTGTGGAGGGTGTACCATTACGAAATTGCCAAACCAAAGAAAAGAGAATCAAGAAGAAAAATTCTTAAGAGATTGAACTTGGAGGTTTCAGTGCCCCATGGCTTACCGGAAATTCAGTAGCATGCTGCACAACCTTGGGAGCAAAAGCTAGTGGATTACGGGATTCAATTTGTTGCCTTGTCTCAAGAACAGTATCTTCATACTCTGGTCTGTTAAAGCACCCTTGGCAGGCACAAGGTTCAGCACAATAGATTCCAGCAGCAAAACAATCACAGTAACTGTTTGACAATAAAATAAAAAACAAAGGTTTAAAAGAAACATATATGGGAATTATATGGGGTATGGAAGTGTGACTTTTACACAAAAAAAATAATATAACTTACAGTTTCAAGCATTTCGTCTTCTTACAATTGCAACGTTTGCAACCTTCACCATCTATGGTGCCTAATGGTTTCTTCCTGAAGAAATTGTACAAACTTGAGTGCTCGGGAAAAGTATCAAAAATATGGAATCGAATCAGGAAAGATCACATACAAACTTGCCTTTTCTTTTTCGGGCTTGTTTGATTGAACTCCTCAAAACTGTCAGTATGCTCTGAGTTATACTTTCTTTTAGCATGAGGAGTTGCATGATGTTCAATCGGAGGCAAAATATGCAAAGGCATGTTGTCAAATGATTCAGAAGTCATAGAACTCACAGCAATTGAAGTCTTAGTTTCAAGCATCCCATATTCAGCAGTAGTTAATTTTACACCAACTGTTGCAGCATGACCCTTAGGCAAAGCATTGACAATGCTGTTTAGATGCAGGCCAATGCCTGATGGCTTAGAAATAGTTAAGGGAGACTTTCCAGTATGACGAGGAGGAAACAGGGGAGTCACTGGTTGGGGCAAGTTAACCAGCTGCCTCTTGCTGAAAGTTGCACTTAAATCCAAGTAAGACGAGTCCAAGCTCTCCGATTCTGGGGGGGTAGCAGGTGATCTTGAATCAGTTACATCATTTGCCTGATCCGAAGGATTTGTGCTTTTCACAATAGCTTTAGGTTGAGCTTCTTCAAATTGTAGGCAACGCCTACTCATGCCACGTTGGTTTTGACTGGCCTACATTGACTGTGGCAATTATTTTATAGCAAAGAATATAAAGTAGGATTTGATAACAAAAAATAAAAAAAGGTTCAGGTTATGTTATTGCCATATATAAAAATTTGGGAACATTTTTGTCTAACTAGCAGATAAAAATGCCATGCCATAAAAGCATTGCAGTTAATGAATTCTAGAACCAAAAAACAAATAAAGATCAAGCGTAATTAGCACAGGCATCTCTCGATAGAATTATGAAATGATGAAATTCACCATGGAATATTTGACATAAAGAACAACTGCCACTTTTCCGAACAGCGGACTAAAAGTTCTTCCCTCCACCCTATACAACTTTATGTTGGGCCATATATAAAGCTTAGAGTGAAAAAGGCATCCCATCCACAAGGAAAAACATCAAAATACAACAATAGACTATTCCTAAGTTTTAAAAATAAAAAATTAAAGAAATCTGCAAAACTAGCTATAGAGAAATGACATTAGAATTTATCAGAAAAATTTGAGATTGGTTATTCATACCTCAGGATCATTTGTTGTACTATCAACGAGTGCACACGGGATTGCTCCGGCATTTTCTTCAGAATGCTCATATGTCTGAACAATCTGCAATTGTCCAGGCAGCAATTGAGGGGGCCAATTAGATTCATCCCCATGGGCACTCACGTCATTCTGCAAGGTAAAAAGGAAAATATCCTAGGAGTAGAATATTTTTTCTCCTATGCATCAAGATGGGCCCCTAACTAAAATTAAGAATTCAAAATAATGGATCCCATCCTAACTAAAATTGAGAATGCAAAATAAGTGGTTACCTGAGCATTTGAGCCTTCGTATTGTTGCTTACTGGAAGCATGGTCCAAAGACAAGTTAGACTCAATATTTGAGCCTTCATTAGATCTCCATTCTCCACATGTTTTCTCATCTTTAATCTTGTTTGGCTCACAATCAAATGTGGTTTTTCCTTGAATGTTTTGTTCAGTTTCCCCAGGCATAGCCTCAGGTACAACCACTTTCATCTTCATATAAGTTTGGTCATCAAATTCTAACATGGTCTTCTTTGAGTCGCTTGTACCACTTTGTGACAACTGAACCACATTGGAAGACTGTTTCGAATTTTGAGCTACAGAAGTAGAGTTTGCACCATCAACCTCCACATGATCAGCCAAGTATTCATCCACACACCCTGCGGGGCTGCTGGGTTGTACTTGCACTGAGTACTTTATATCACTGTCTTTATGAGTGACGGCAGTCAACCCACCATGCAATAACAAATCTGATTTCTCCAGATCACCAGGACCATCAGCAGACTTTCTGGCTCCATCATCATGTTGGGGCACTTCTGCACTGGGCAACTGAGGACACGGAGACCTGATAACAAACATGAAGTGTCACATCCAATGTTCAAGTTACAGTTGATATCAATTTGAAAACAATCTGAAATTAAAGTTTTCTCAAACCTTTTAAAGAAACTTGTTTCTCGGAGTGCATTTATGCGTGGAGAAGTGAATACAAGTGGAGGAGAATTAAGTCCCAAGAACCCTTGTAATACATGGGGTGCTTTGACAGGCCCTATAGGGGATAGGTTGCTAAGGAAATTAGAGAAAGGAGATTCCTGAAATAATAAGGGAACACCATTAGTTAACTTCCCCTAGTGGATCACAAAGTAAATGAAACACAATACTCAGACTTGTACAAAAAACTGCATGGGTTAAGAACTACTAAAGAAAACAATATCAAAAACCTTCAGTGTCTGGTATAGGTTCCAAACAAGCAAAGGGATTTAACTCCAGTAGATACTCCTACACTTGTTTTACTTAATAAGCGACTTCATTTGTCAATGGACTACGCATTATGGATAAAAATTAAATGAACTCAAAAATCTTTGTATCCTTCAGTTATTATAAGCAATCAATCACTGCATATGCAAAAACCAATAAACAAAGAAAGAAACATAGACCTAGAATTGCAAAAGATGTAGTTAAGACATACAAGTTACACCAATAAATTAAGTAAATGGGATTATCCTTTTTGAAGCCATGCCCTAGTAAACTATAAACATCAGTAAAAGAGCTAGTAAACCCACTTTAATCTTATTGCAACAACAAAATTTAATGAAAATGAATCTATATTATGCATTTACCACATCAATTAACTTCAAAATTGTGTCACCGGTTACTCAATAAAAAAAAAAAACTTTCACAACTATCTAGATAATATACATCCACAAAAGCCCAATCACACCAACACAATTAAGCAATGAAAACACTTTTAAAACCTAAATTAATACTAGAACGAAGCCAACTAAGTAACGAAATTTCCCACCCATCTGACACACAACATACCAAAAATGTCACAATAGAATGAGATCCACAAAAACTGCAAATGCTGGTAAAAATCTATAAAAAAAATAAAACAAGACCAGCAAATAAAATTAAATTGTAAGTAATGTGTAGTTACTTGAACTGGAGAAGCTGATGATGGAGTAGCTAAGGTGGCGCCGGAGGCGGAGGCGGAGGCAGAGGCAGAGGCGGCGGTGGTAGTTTTGGCAGTTGGCTCAGGAGAATCCATAATGAGAAGAAGAGACACTAATCGTTGAGGTCAGTCTCTGCATTTTCTTCCTCGCCCACTGGCTGCCTAATCTTCTGAAAACTGAGAGTTGAAAATGATGAAAAAAAAAAATCTTAATTTGTTTTTTTCTTTAATTAAAATTTTTATCTTTATTACAAGTGAAATGCGTGTGGCAGAGAGACGTAGCGGCTAAGAGGGCGGGCATTCAAAATCCGAGCGGGAACTTTTTAATTAGTCAGGCCTTTTTTGGACTTATGGTCCATGGGCCGAAGCCCATCAAATCTCAGACAGAACATTTAACCCATCACCATGCAATGTCCCATTCCCAGCAATATATATTATGTTTTGTTATAAATTTATTAATGGAGTGACAAAGGTGAAGACTGGCTTAGGGTTTATTTTGGATTCTTCATATAAATATTTTTGTGGTCTTTAATTTTCTACTGTTTAACATGTATGCGAATTATTATGCAATATAATTAATCTCGTAATTGGTTTTTAAGGTTTAAGATTTCAATAATGTTTTACTTACAACTAAGTTATACAACTAAACAAAAATTACACAAAATTTACGTAAAATTTACGTAAAATAACTATTGCTATGTCCTTTTTTTTTTATCTAGTTGTACGACTCAGTTGTAAGTGTGGCATTGCTCGTATGATTTAGAGTTTAAAAGTGACGTTATAGTGTAATCTTTCAGAGTAATTAACTGATCATTAATTCAGGTCTAATCATGAGTTTGCATCTAATCTAGGGGAGCATTACAGCTATATCATTCTATTTTGTAGGGTAATTATTTCTTATTCTAGTTCAATCTCATCTTCCTGAAATGGATCATCCAATTGGTAAATATATACATGTTGTGGTGTCTTTATCTTGTAATATCTCTATATATATTACTGTATAACAAAATATTGACAAGGGTTTGGAAGAAATTTTATAATGTTCCTGCAGTGTGATTAAGCCGGGGTTTGCCAGGTGGTCATAATTTTTCTTCATACTTAATTGTTCTTTTTTAATTTAAACCTTTCTTCTTCAACCTCTTAAACTCAACTCATCTTCCCCATTATTTTGTTATATCCAATATTTAACTCTATAACTTACACATTCTCGTACCAAGTTACTCAGTAAAATACCCCTTTATAACTTCATATTAGCAACATGCATATATATATATATATATATATATATATATAGAGAGAGAGAGAGAGAGAGAGAGAGAGAGAGAGAGAGAGAGTTGGCATAATATGGTTGACAATATAAGCCCGTATTAAGTTGTATAGATTGAAAAGAAGTGTGAAAATTATTTTTTAGGGTGGAAAAGTTAAGAGAATGAGAATAAATGGTGAATATGGATAAAATTTAAGAGGTTGAAGAAGACAAGGTGAGTTTTTGATCGATTGGTGTGGTTCGACAACATGAGTTAAGCCATTTAGTTATTCTCGTCTTCCAGTACATTTTGGTGGTCTAGAGTGGGTTCTTTGTTAAATTTATACAATAAATAGTAGAATTGAAGGTAAAAAAAAAAAATGAGTGAAAATGGTGAATAAGAAAGAAGAGGAGAGGAGGACATTTGGGAAGTCACGATGAGAAGAGAAAGATATTGGATGACTAAAAAGTAAAAAGAAAAGGGAAAACTTTTATCATTATTCATTAATGTGGTAACTATTATCTACGCAACCTCACGTGCATGCAACCTGCTAGCACGCATTACGTAAACATAATACAGTACATAAATAAATATATACAATTGTAAATTAAATATAAATAAAAAAATTATATATATTTTTCAGAGCACGTACGTATAAATAATCCAAAAGACATATTTTACTTCTTCATGCAAGGGTGCGTTACCATGTCTTGATATATTGAGATTTTTTGTAGAGGGAAGAAAAGAGAGTAAACCAGAGAGTATAATAATGAATGAATGGGGGATAAATGAGGTGTGTTGGATTACGTAAATGTTGAGGGGGATGAGTGAGGAGAGTTTAAAGTTGAAAGAGAAGAGAAAGTGATGTGTATATGTATACGTTAGGGTGTATTGGGTTGGTCATGGTCATGCATGGAAGCATTTCCCAATAAGAGAATCGAATCAGTCCCCCTTTCCTTTTGCTTTTTCACAGTTTGCTACAGCCTTCTTTACCAGTCCCCAAGAAATTGGTGGATGATCATCTCATCTCTTATGGGTTTTTATTTATTTTTATTTTTCCTTTTCTGTCTTTCCAAGTTGTTCCTCTCTAGAGAGAGAGAGATTGATCAAGATTTCGAAAGAAAAAAAAAAAAACTAGAGGACGAGAAGGGAAAAAAGAAAATGACAGAGAAAAAGCCATTGCAGTAGTGAAGAGAAAAGAAAAGAAAAAGATGGTCAAATTTGATGAACCTCAAGACTTCGATCCTCTTCCATCATCAGCTTCGACTATCTTTACGAACTCTAACTACCATTTCCTTTAATTCCCCTAGCTCTCTCTCTCTATATATATCTCTTCTCTTAAATAATTATCATCATATTAATTTTCTCGTCTCATTCAATTCAATATTAATTTCAACAATGTAACTCTTATAAATATTTAAACAACGTTCTTAGTTGTAGCCATGCACAACTTTTACTTTACCCTTCGCGACGTTGATTCAGGCTCAGTAGTACCAAATATATCCCTCTAAATTTACCAAATCTGACATGCACGAGTGGCCCCAATTAAGATAATAATATACACACAGGCAATCCATGATTTTTACTGACGAAGATATATGACCGAGATACCAAGCATACGATCGATCAGGGTATTTAATGGTCTAGCAAAAGATGTCCAAACTCTTGGAAAATTTAATTAATTAGGGTTTCATAAGAACCCATTTGACTTATTTTTTGTAAAATTAGGGTTTGAAGTACGAAGAAAAAATAGAAGAATATTCAAATTTGAAAAGTACCACCATTTTCCCTCATACAGTGACTGTGGAGGAAGTGGGATCTCAAAGTTACAAAGTATGGAATGCGAGAGGAGACATGACAAGTCCTTGGTTATATCTTAAGATATAAATAGAATAGGGACGTGGGTCCTTTTTCCCTAAGGTTTTTATTTATTTATCTATTTTGTTCTGCTTTGAAGAATATTCATTTTGTCTGTTGAGACATATAGGTGAACTTTGTTCCTCATCATCCTATCCCAACTCATAAAGAAACATTTAGGCCATACTTCTACTATTGCATGAACCAAATTCAGTAGACAACCACAGAAATTGAGGGCCTGAATATAATTGTCATACTTCTATGATATAGATCTTTTTTTTTGGTAATCGGGTTTTTTAAGCCATTATACGTACTCCATTAATCTCCGATATCTATTAAACATCATACAAGTTTAAAGGATCGATAAATCACAATGTTATTGTGGTAGGAGGTCTGAAAGTTTGAAACTAAGAACTCAAAGAATAAGCAAACTTTTTTCATGTCAAATCAACCTTTTAGAGTTTTCATGATATATAATTCTTAATTTCTCTGGAGAGATTGTTAGAAATATCTCAAATTTGATGGACAGAGGATCGAATTCTATATAGTTTTTTTCAAATTAATTAAGTTGTGCTTTTACAATGCAAGAAGCTATTATGTGGGCATTTTTGGAACTTGGATATGCAATTTGTGTTGTGGGCATATTGTTTAAGCAGTTGCCACCTTTAGAACTGAAGCCTCAAAAGAGGGTGTAATGTATTGGCTTTAATAGTATCTTTTAAATCCAAATTCAAAATTTATTTCTTCTTTAAATTTTAGTTTGTTGTGTTGTGTGATTCCATTGTTCAAGGAGCGAAAGTGAAGACTACGAAAAAGAAAATGTAAGCCTCCCTCTGGCAACCTCAATCTGCTCCGATTCTCGAGGTCTTATAACAAGTATATAAACCACCTTAACCCCCAATCCAAAATCACAAATCTCTCTTGTTCTCTTCCTAAACACTCCTTTTCAACTCTCTGTTTGGTTGAGGTGAGAGCTTACACACCACATCTATTTTAATTTTCATGCTTTTCCTCTTCTCTTCTTCATTTCCTATATATTTCTGCAACTACTCTATGCATGTAAAGTTATCAATTATGTTATATGTTACGGCACTTATTTATTTTTATTTCATTTAATAACTCTCCTTGTCTGTGGGGTGAGTTGATGATCAGATCATGAGTAGGCCAGGAACTGGAATTGCAGATCATGCAACCACTTGAACTTCCAAAGAAGGGACTCATGCCACGGTGTGGAGACCAAGACCTGGTGATTACGGAAGTTTTGGTGGGAGAGGTAGTAGCTCATCTTTTGGATTCAGTACTGGTCCTGATGTTAGGCCTGGTGACTGGTACTGCACCGTTGGCAACTGTGGAGCCCATAACTTCGCTAGCCGCTCCAGCTGCTTCAAGTTTGGCGCTTCCAAAGATGACTCTGGTGGATTAGTTGAGGGTGACATGCCTCGAATGAGAAGTAGTTTTGGCTTCGCCAGTGGAGCTCTAGTCGCTCTGGATGGAAATCTGGGGACTGGATTTGTACCAGGTTCATTAATTTAATTTGCTCGTTACATTTTTCCTTTTGAAACGTCTAGTGCAAACATAAATTTCACATCTCTCTCTTTATAGATATATTATATGTGTACGAGTCCGTGCATGCGATGCACTGTGATTTCAAATACTATTCTGTTGATAAGCTTGATTGAATTGGACAGGTCTGGTTGCAATGACCACAACTTTGCTAGTCGTATGGAATGTTTCAGATGCAATGCTCCTAGGGATTCTGGCAATAAGTTTTCGTATTAATCATATTGTCCTTAAATTTTCGAGTAAGGGTTTTCTAATTAATTAATATTATTTCCTTAATAATTTACAATATTAATTTCTTTCATGTAAGACTGACTAACTTCAAATTTTCAGCCACTGCAGTCCAACATGGAATGGAAATTAGACAATGGCTATGGCATCGAAGAATTCAGTCTCCTTTTTGCTCCCTATCTACAATCTATTTATTTCTTAATTTTAGAGATTTAAGGGTTTTCTTCTGCTAGCTGGGATGAAGGCTTCATTTTTTAGCATTTTGTGAGGTTTCTAATATCAAGTATACGCATGTAGTTCTGTATATCATCTCTGATATCTATCAGTGTCTTTTTTTTTCGGTGATGGTTTAATTTGAAGCTACTTTAAAAATGGTTGCTCATGTTTCTTCTCTCTCTCTCTCTCTCTAGATCTCTTTATTAAATATATCTTTGTGAATGTGTTAAAATTATCGATAGTTCAAGACTGCTTATTTTTTTGATGAACTACAAGTGGTCCAAGGAATATTTGACTTATAACTGTAAACAATTAGCATATTGCTCGTCTCTGCAAAGCATTTTAAAGGGGTTTATAGATGGACCACTATGGGATCTTTTGTTCATACAAAGAAAAACAGAGATAGATATATTCAACCCTATCTTTGAGTATTAATCTAACCTTCTGGCTACAGACATGAAACAATACCCTACTTAAATTAAAGAATCTATCTACATATTAAAGTGAAATTAATTATGTTTAACATGAGAATCAGATGCATCGATCTCTCATCAACTATATCTGTATATTTTACTGGAGAACTGAATGTTTTGCTGATAAGCTCTATGTAATGTAAACCCCCTGGATCTGATACATTATTTGACAGTTTACATGCATATGCATAGCATGTCCTTAATTCTGTAATGATGATCTTATTATGATTAACGGATGGGTTAAGTTTGAATGAGGGAAAATGAAGTTAAATGGGAGGTCTGTTTAAAAGAAAAAAGAAAAGTAAGAAAATTCACATAGGATCCAAACTTTTTAAGCTAAAAACAATTCATGGTTTCCCTCATTGACCTCTTTGGTTTTATATACAGCGAAAAATATTTTATTGATTGGTCAAAAAGTAACCACAATTCATTAGTGTCTGCTACTACACTCCATTACTTACTTTTAGCAAGATTCTTTGTTTCACTTTAACTTAAGCTTTATGTTACGTTTTGCTTTACTTTTTTGATGTTAGTGAAGCCAAGTACATCTCATTTAATCATGTTTTTTCTATTTATATTTTATAATTAATAGTCTTGTTGTAGTTTCTAATTGGAGAGATGATGATGATAGAGGAGGAGGAGGTATTGATAGATGATTAAGATAATAATTACAACAAAGACAAGACAATGGATGGAGAGGATCGATGCTGAAGAAAAGAGAACATGAGGATCTTTAATGGTGTTTAAATGGCGGAATTGGGTCCCAGAAAACACAATCGACACTAGCTATACTACTGATGTGAAACTGAAGAAATTCAGTGTTAAGAGTTGAAATATATTTAATCAACAACAACTGTGATAGTCAAATGCTAAGAAAAACAAGACAACTTTTTTCTCTCTAATATTTCCTTTTTTAAAGTTTTTTCCTTTTGTAAACTTTATATACCACCAAGCACCATGTTCAAATATCGTCAAAGTAATTCCCTTTTTTATCTTAATAAAACCAAGCATGCATGCGTCTTTTAATTTTTCAGGGAACATCATTACTTGTTGTATTATATCATCTTAACATTCTGCCTTTTATTTAAATCTAAATTTGGTGTTATATAGCCGAAATATACATATACTTACAACTAGATTTTTCTCCTTTTATGAATTCTTAGTTGGTTCATGGAGATTTCTTTGAAAAACCTAACCCTAACCCTATTTGAGCCGTAAGTCCAGCCTGGGAAGGTCCACAATTTAGTCCAAATTTCAAATAAAGTGGAAGTTTGGTTCATCATGATTCAAAACAAAAAGACAAAAATACAAAAACAAAAAATGGCGTTTGCATCAAGAAATTGAAGGTTAGTTTTAAGAGTTTAGGTGCTCGTATTTTGGATCCCATATGATTAAGGCTCTGTTTGTTTTATTATTTCTACCCATATTTCCAATCTTATTCCTAAAATACTTGTTTGTTTTGTTATTTGAGAAATATTAGTATATTTTTTAATTACCTTTAGACCCCTTAAGTTTATTAATTTCATTAAATCCCCCTAGAAAAAAAGTTTAAAAATTAACAAAAACATCCCCACCCACCCATACTTGTCAGATTTTGACAACCACCGTCGTTGGTAGTCGGAATCTCTCACAACTGTCTACAAACGATCGGAACTGGCTGGTAATTCACCAATCTGGTCGTCATTGACGGTCAACGACAGCCAAATCTTGGCCATCGTTGACCAACAATGACGGTCATATCTTTGGTCGTCGTTGACGGCTAGATCTGGACTTTTATGGCCGTCGACGGCCAGATCCGTGGTGGATCTGGCCGGAAAATGCCATATCAACGCCCTACTCCCAGATCCGACCGATCTGGGTCGTAACGCCATTTTTCAGCCAGATTTCGATGGTGGTGGCTAGAATCTGGCACTGTGGGTGGGTGGAGATGTTTTTGTTATTTTACAAAAATTTTATGTATGGGGGTGTTTAGTTAAATTGGCAAACCTATGGGGTTTTTTGGTAAATTTTTAAATTTTACCTCGTAATACTCCCCTATTCAATTACCCAATATTATTCTCAAAATTCTATCCAAAATAATCAAACAAACGAATCCTAAATTATTCACACGGTATGTTTGTTTGTCAATTAGTATTTGTATTATAATATGGAGACGCAATGTGTTCGATATAATGCTCAACAGAAAGTCTTTATATGGATTTTGGTTATGCTGGTTCAGTAATGCAACTAAGGTTACACTTCCAATTAAATTGTTTTACACATAAATGATAGATTTAAAATTCAAAATTCTGATATTCGAATCACATAGCTAATGCTGAATTGAAGTCTAAATTTATTCTTTATGATAGTTGATTGCAGCTATGGTAGAAGCAGATCTCCAAGGGGTAGGGTGCTGAAATATTCAACTTTTATTTATTCTTTTTAGTGTCAGGCTAACTTACGTGCACCTCAACTAATACTTTGAGACCTTAAAATTTTTGGTTGGATAAAAGCTCCAGTAACTATCTTTATTAACAACCCAAAGTGTTAAAAATCTTTCTTATTGAGTTGTATGTAACCTCCATGGCACACTATATAGAGAGGAAGTTAATGAAATAGTAAAATAGTAGGATATGTTCGTTTTATTATTTCATACCCTATTCTCTATCATATTCCCAAAATACCTGTTTGTTTAATTATTTGGGAAATACTATTATATTTTTTTAATTACTTTTAGACCCCTTGAGTTTATTAATTTAATTAAACACTTCTAGAAAAAAAGTTTTAAAATTAACAAAAACACCCCCACCCACCTATAGTTGTCAGATTCCGGCAACCATCGTCGGTGGTTGCCGGAATCTGTCACAATGACTTAGAAACGACTGGAACTGGCCGGTAATTCGTCGATCTGGCCTCTTGTGGCAGTCGACGGCCATATCTGGCCTTTTCTGGCCAGATCTGTGGTGGATTTGGCCGAAAAAGGCCATATCGCCGCACAATCAACTAGATCCGACCGGTATGTGTCGTAACGCCATTTTTCGACCAGATTCCGACTATGGTGGCAGGAATCTGGCATTGTGGGTGGGTGGGTGGGTGGGGGTGTTTTTGTCATTTTATAAAAATTTTATATATTGGGGTGTTTAGTTAAATTAGCAAATCTATGAGGTTTTTTTGTTAATTTTTAAATTTTACCTCGTAATACTCACCCTATATCCAAAATAATAAATCAAATGAACCCGTAATGTTCCTAAACCCGCTTTAAGCATCAAACAAAACAGAAACCTGCGTTTGTTTCCAACCTCATCAAATTAACAAATGAGGAAGAGAACGTTTACCCTTCTCTGCAAAACTTAACCCATTCTCTATGGATATATACTAATATGGGCCTAACGCCAGCTCCAGAACAGTCACAAAGTCTATTTAACCCAAAGTTTTAAATGAAGTGGACCGTTTGCTTCACCTAAGCTTCGGCCGACGTTAAAAAAGGCCTTTGAACAAAAATAGAGAAATGTTGCCGGGTTCTGTAATTGTGATTTTTGCATCAAGGAGTTTAAGGCAAGTTTTACGTTTTACGTTTTAGTCTCCTTGTATTCTTTTATCCAATATGGCCCTACTAACCATATGTTCGATATAATGCTTCAGAGAATTTTATTTTATTTTATTTTAATTATACCTGGAATTTGAGTTTTGGTTTTGCAGGTCAAGTAAGGGAGCTAAATTTACACTTCTGTTTTGAGGGTTTGACTAGCTATGGCTTATAAACAAGTAGGAATATTTCTACAAGGTTCAAAATATTATAAAACCAAGCGGAATGGAGCTGTGAAATTGACTGTTATGTTTTATAACTGCTCTGGAGAGTCCCCTAAAGAATTTTTGAGCTATGCATGGTATGAGAAAGTGTTTCCAAAGATAACAAGATTGAGCCAGTTATTTAAAAATGTGGATTTGATTGATGGAAGACTAGTTAATATCGAAGATGATTCGGTTGTCATTGATGAAGTCGTTGAGAATAGAATGCGTACTTTTAAGTCGTTTGTAAGGGTTTTTCTTGGGTGTCCTTCAGTTCAGCAAAGGATACAGAAGAATGTGGTGTCGTCCTTAGGGGGTTCAAAAAGTGCCCCACTGATTTGTTTTGATAAACCAGGGGAAAGAGAGCCTTTGGTTGTGAATTCACTCACCAAGGTGAACAACTTCCTCAAAGTTTCTGCCCAGCAAAGGAAGTCTGTTCGTCTCACTATATGCCCACAGGTTACACAGCACCGGATATGGACCGGTGCACTTGAGGAGATATTGAATGAATTGAAATTAGAAATTGATTTATTGAATGATCAATGCCCCAGCCAAGGGACCAAGATGGGTCAGCAGATTGTTTCCAGCTGTCTAAAGTTTTTAGCTGACACGGAAACTTCCAATGATCTTGACTCCATGTCATGGATGAAGCTTAACTCTGCAAAAGTTGTCGATTCTCCAGTTTCCTGCAAATGGGAAGAATTTCTTGAGATGGTCAATGATCTCATCAAGTGTTCAGACAGTGAAAAAGGGTTACTTTATCATATGTCGAAGCTTGAAGTCATGAGAGAAGGATTGTTTCAAATCAGGGATGTGTTGGTTGATAAACATATTGGATACAAGGAGGTTCGACATCAAGAATACTTACTGCGGAAGAAACTTTCCAAGACATTGGGTCACTCATCGCAATGCTTATTCACACTCTTGGTGTATTACCTGTATGGACAAGTTAGAGACATTGAAGTGGATGTTTGTGGTAATATATATCCAAGTGGTGAGAACAAGTTTACACTGTGCATGGGAAGAATTCTGACATCAGGTGAGGAGAAGATGGTCTGGAGAGGAGTTAAGCAGTTGGACAGGGCAGTTAGATTGTTCAAGTTTATATGGGAAACAGCAAACATGAAGGGAGTTTTGGAGTTGCAAGGTCACTTATGGTGTGTAGGGGCCGAAGAGAGGGCACTTACATATAGAGGGAATGCATTCTTTTTACATAGCATCAGTCTTTAGCATCTAAAGGCTATTTGTTTGGTGTAAACTTCATCTTCATCTATACTAAAGAGTACTGTTTATTGTATATGTTTTAAGATGACATGTTTGCTATGTTGCTATACTTGGCATTAAAAATGAGCTAAATTGAATTTTAGCCATCCAAATATACTAATCCAAACGCTCAAAATAGTGTTAAAACTTACGAAAAAATTATGTATTATGATGATGATGTGGGGAAAATTTGAACAGAATGGAGTACTTAAATATAACATCGCCCATTTCATTTCTTTTGGTTCTTTCAAAATGATCAAATTGGAAAAATTCTTGAATGTTGTACTTCAGACAGGAGTACAGTTCCAACGCACACAAGTCCTGAAAATTGCCAGCGGGTTTACAGTTTGAACTCAAGAACCACAAAAATTAGAGTCATTCAATCTGAAGTATTACATTTCAACTCATTTCAGTTTAGATTTTGAAGACCTCTGCACAGGTTTTGCAATGGGTCGAGCTGGTGCATTCTTCGCAAACTTCTTCATATCATACTTGATTGATGAGAAGGCACATAGCACGACAATCAACATTGTTGGATAGACATAGACAGATTTGGTAGGATCTGGGCTTGCTGACTTTCCGAGGATCCCTTCCTTGATAAGGCCCCATATTATTAAAAGTGTCCCAAACATACTCATCCTTCCAGGTTTTAAGATACCCACAAGTGCTCCTGCCACAGAGAAGTAGCTTCCTGCAAGAACCTGGTACAAGAACAGCATGACAGAGAAATCAATAATAGCTACAATTAGAAAACGAACTCAAAATATGAACATATTACAGTAAAAATTAAATCCAGGGAATTTGAGAACAAAAAGTGAAGCCAGTTACCAGTGGACAACACGATTCTGTGGCTTAGGATCAATTAGTGTTGTCTACTTAAATTCCCAATTTCTTAGATGGTACACAAGTCAGTTGTATATTCTAGAAATGATTTGCATATCAAAGATCTGACTGGGAAAACTTTGGGGGAAGATTGAGAACCACTTATGAATAAATAAACAAAAATCAATTAGAGGAAGATGAAAAGTGGAAAATTGGAACCTCTAAGCGCTGGAGATCAGTCACTGCAGAGGCCTCCTTCACGCTGGTTAAGTTATAAATGTCCAACAGGTTATCCCAGCTTGGAACAGTCATGTTTTGGAGAAGGCCGTGCACAACAGCTCCAGGATAAAGAAGGGCCTTCACAACAGGAGTGGGAAAGATATCACTTGCAATCAACTGAGAAGAAGTGACATGGATGGGTGTTGCACACATACCAGCTCTGCATGGAACCCTGTAAAAACAAAAATTTAAAGAAACTAAGCCAAACATGAAGCAAATACATCAACATTTTTCACTTATTTTTGGATTTCTAATCTACACAGCAGTAGACGAAAATAGATATGCTTGTCTGAACTACATCTCTTTTTCCAACAAAATATGCTATTAGAAAATGGCAGAACAATTTTTAGGGGCAGTTGAGCAGTGAAATCCAGCTTACCTAAATTGAAAGTTCATTGAAACTTCATCAAAGTCAACATAACATGATTAGAGAATCAAACTAGAATAATGCAATGAATCAGCTTTTTATCATCTCACAATTGTAACTTTTTCCTTTTACTCTAAAACCCTATCCAATTGAAAAGCCAAAAAGTTACTGAAATTAATGCATTTCATCATGCTAATTGTACATCTAAGCTTTCCATCCGTGTAAGATTTAAAAGATAAAAAAAAAGACTAATTCTTTGAACAAGAAAAGTATTAAATTGGAAAGTTAAAGAGAGCTCAAACTTTTTTCACTTTTCTGTCGTTTCTTTACTAAGGATGAGATCCAAAACAGAGCACCCTATGCACTTCAATCCAGTTATGGCATCAAAAGAAAAATGATAATCCATATATGTCTGAAACTGTACTTAAAGCAAAAGGGAACTTGAGATTTGGAACAACAAAAGAATCAGAGCATCGGGTCCCCTATGACACCAAACTCCTAAAAATGTAGCACTCATCATGAGTTACTTCAAACTTAAAAGCATCCCATCAAGCCATTCGTGCAACCAGACGACCAATCAAGCCCAGAGTCCACCAATCTCCATGATCACTAAAAGCCATTTTATGATTAATGTTTAAATACTTAATTATATATGCTCAACTTAGCCCAGTTTATAAACAACAAACCTCTATTTGATTAGATAACAAGTAATTCATACATATAAAAATTCTTGCGCAACTCTGGATTTAAGTGCTAACTCAAGCAAGCATCAAGAACAATCAAAAGCAAAATTAGCCACAAAGGTGCAAAATAAAATTATTCATGATTAAAGAGAAAACTCAGAAACACGTTTGAGTACCACACAGATGTCTAACACGCAGAATTCTGCAAAATTATCAAAAGTCAACCTCAAAACCGATTGATAAAAATCATCACCACCATATTATAAGGCCCAATCTGTGGCATTTCGTGTAACTTTTTCCTTTCAGTTTGATGATCAGATAAGCTAGTTAGAGTGAATTCTGAGACCCAAAAAACCCACAAACTCTTATATGCATTTAAAAAAAAAAAAGGTAAAACCCAGAAGGTAAAAGAGCAATTCTTAATCTGGGTATTGGTTATGTGATTGTAATACCTGAAGAGCGGGATCTGGAGAATGATTAGGAAGAAATAAACCCGAGATGCAACTGATGTAATATTGCTTATCCATCCTTTTGATGACGATGAAGGAGTTGCCATTGTTAGGGGAAGGTTCAACTCAGCTTACCTCTCAAAAGTCGTGGTATCAGAATCGAACAGTCTAGTTCTAGTGCCTAATTACACAACATCGCCATGGACAGCTTTTGTTTTGGGGTTTCAAAATCTAACAATTATTTCGCTATCATATGCTTGCTTCGTTGGCTATTGCACTCATGGTGGCGTTTGGTTTATTATTTTGGGTAGTATTTTAGGGATAGTTGGATAGGAAAGTATTACGAAATAAAATTTAAAAAGTTATAAAAAAGCTTTCAAGGTTTTCTAATTTAATAAACACCCCAATATATTAAAATATTATAAAATGATAAAAACATTCCTATACCAGTAGTGCCAGATTTCAGCCACCATCGTTAGAATCTGGCCAAAAAATTAGATAACCACATATACCGGTCGGATCTGGCTGGTATTTGATCGATATGGCTTTTTCTGGCCATATCCACCACGGATCTGGTTGGAAAATGCCAGATCTAAGGCCGGATGTGGGTCGTTGACGGCCAAAGATATGACCATCGCTGACGGCCATATCTAGCCATTACCGGCCATTTTCGGTGCTCATGTGACTGTTGTGACAGATTCCAGCCACCACCGGCGGTGATTGCCAGAATCTGGCAAGTATTGGTGGATGGAAGTGTTTTTGTTAGTTTTTAAACCTTTTTTTTTTTTTTTTTGGGTATTTAATGAAATTAATAAACTTATAGGGTTTAAAAGTAATTAAAAAAAATAGACTAATATTTTGGGAATAACGTATTAGACAATATTTGAAGAATAAGATTAGAAATATGGATAAAAATAATAAGTCAAACACATCCCATGATATTTTTAATCATTTAATTAATTTAAAGACTATATTTGCCCAAAGGTTCTCCGCTCTCCACAGTCATAACCCCATAATTAATGTTATGGACAAATTTTAATAAGATAATTTTTTATTTTTTTTTCCAAAGTGTTTAGATTAATTTACGTATCACTCGTTTAATTCTCCAGGTTTTTGAAATTAACAATTAGATAAACCCTCTAATAACTTATTAGCAATTGAAGAGTTATAAACTCAAGACTTCTCGAATAATATATCCGAAAGTCTCATTTTAGTTAATATATAATTGTTATGTCTTCCATATTTGATTATTACACAATTAAAACTTTATGTTTCTAGAAAATGTAAATAATATTAAAGATTGAATTTTTAACTTTAAAACTGTTGGATTAATGGAAATGATCGGTTCATAAAAGTGTCAAACAAATTAAGTTAAGAATTTAAGTTTTAATTATTTTATTATATTAAAATTTGTTGAATCATTAAATTAAATGAGATGATGAAGCCAGGACAGAGTGGGCTGAAGAGGCCAAAGTACCAGACCCAAACATGATAAAAGGCCGTTTAGGTTTCAGTGAACTGCCGAAGAAATGATATACATTAAACATGATTTTTATCCCCACATCCTCCGCCGCTACCAACGGGTGATTGTAGTCTAGATACCTCAAGAAGTTGAAGATGCTAGAACCACAACGGTGATATTATATTTAGTACCCGGACTTACAGCCAGATACTGTACAGGAAGAAGAGCTTCAGCAGTCTCATAATTACTATCTCCATAAATCCAGGTGACAACAATACATGCATGCACCCAGTTCATCTGCAAAGCAAACATCTCAGATTCCAGACATTTCTTCGGATACTTATCCAGATACATCTCTCCGATAAATCCCTACTGACTAGATTCAATCAATAGGTTGTCTCGACTTCCAGGATGAAAACTCGTGGCACGTTACCAACTTGTCAAATGATTAACGATCTACGTGTCTTAAAATATATAGTTGTGTCCTTTATGAAAAATAGGAGTGGACTAAATGGTAATTTGCCTTTTCAATGTAATATCTCCCCTCTTCTTTGTAAAAAGTCAAGTATTATAAGAATATGTTTTGTCAAGAATTGTAGGCTACTTAATGTAAAAAAAAAAAAAAAAACCCAAAAGTCAAACAGGTTAGTCTTTATTTAATGTCTACTTTATGAGTGGTTGTACCCATTTTATCTATAAATAAAGGCTTTTACCTTCTCGAGGAGGAGGAGGAACTTTGTTGTAAACTTTGTAAACACTTTTGTTTATTTCTCTCACTCTTCTTTTCCATATTTTCTCTACACTTCCATACTTTCTCTACACATCTTTACTATACTTCTTCCATGTTTCTTTCATATTTCTAAGTTTCCCTCAACCTCAAGGGTGTTGTAATGCTTTGAAAATGTTATAGATAGCAAAAGATCTCATATATGATCCAGTCACTGGTCACACTCCATTTGATCTTGACTGCCAATGCTCAGAATGCCGTGATGATCCAATTTGGGAAATTGATGAGCATTATCTTCCAAGACGAAACTATTCCAACCAGAAAAAGAAGAAAGCTCGCTGTAGTCAGACAGATCTTCATTCCCGGTTTGAAGAACATGATCCTGAAGTTGGTCTTCTTGGTCAACCGTCTGGTAAATTTGACTATTATGTCAAATATTCTCCACCAGCCATAAAAGATTCCCCATCCAATAATCCCTCATGGGACATCCCTCCGAAACCCCAACCCACATCACCTTTAAAACTATCCAAACCTGCCAAATCACCTTACTTCAAACAACCTTTACCATGTTATCAACAGTCTCTGCGGTGGATTGCAAAAGAACATAAACCAACCCATTCACCCCTTGCTCATACTCCCCCTGTTCAGTCCGTTATGATGATCCAATCCCCTGAGCCCTCAAAGACAAGACAACATTTCAATTATGATACATATTTTCCTTCTCTTTAGGAAACTGCCACTCAACAACCAAGAGTTGTTCCTTCCAAAGCTATACAGCCTGATGGATCCACACCTAAACTCTCCCAAGCTGAAGCAGTTCTCAATTGGCAAACTGAAAATGCTTTAGCCCAAAACAAAACCATGACCAGACTTGAACAAAAACTGGATTTAGTAGTTCATCAGGTGGACTCTCAGTCTTAGAACCAAACTATACTGATTTCTCGGATACAAAAACAAACTGATCATCTCCAAAACCGGATTGATCAGCTCCATCAGGAATTAATGCACATTGTCAGCAGCTCTCATGGTTATTCAGCTTAGTTTCTCCATAAGAAAGCAGAAATGAAGTCATTAAAAACCCAAATGGCATCGCTTCAGCAGGAATTTCTTAAGCAAAAACTCAGACAACCACCGACTTTCCCTAAAATGTCATTAGTACCAAACCCTTTTGACTCCACCACAGCATGGCCACAACCCTCTTTTTCCCCTTTCCCAAAAATTAGCCAACCTTTGGTCTCACCTCATATACCTTATGGTGCTGTTCAAGCTTTTGGCAACACTGAACAGTTATATGCCAAGCTCCGCAAAGAACGTGATGAAAAGATCAAGCTGGAACGAGAAAAAAAGAAGCTAGAAAAGTATTCTGCTAGACCACAGACCCCATCCGCTGATATTCCCAACTCTTTCTCTTCCAGTCACTCAGATCCTCAATCTCCTAAGCCTCATCGTCCTTTATCTAAGGATAAGGCTCCGATGCACATAATGATGATGGAAGATCGCCAACCTTTTGCTAATCCTGACTCTTCAGAAAATTCCGTCTCTTCCAATTTTATGAGCTCCTTTTTGCAAGACATGGCAGAAAGGCAACGTCTTGCTGCTTCGGGTCTTTCTCAAGATTCTTTATCTACCTTCCAAACAGAATCAGAAGCCGATATACCTTCGACAATGAATCATTTGAAAGTGACTTTGACTCTGACAGTAATACTTCTTATCAACATCCTAATGTTTATCCTCAACTGATGACCTATCAACCTGAATCGTCTAGACCACCTGTTGTTTTTGAGGTCGATGATGAGATGCCTGAAGGTGATGATTCCATTCCAGACTCTCCGCCTATGTATCAACAATCTCGTCATACTCCGGCTGAACGTGACTCTTATACAGCCTCAGCAAAGCTCCACACTTTTACCGTCGATGATCTTCCTCCACACAAATGTAGAACTCGAATGTATGAATTTCAAGCCTGGTTACAAGCTGAGATGCTGAAACCTAATGCCCAAGTCTCTACTGTACTTACACAGTTTACAGCTAGATTTGGTGGCATTCTCCGTGATTGGTGGATAAGTCTTCAGGAGTATAGACAAAATTTGTTCATCCAAATGCCAGATATCAACCAAGCCCTGTATCTGTTGTATGATGAATTCTGTGGATTACCTCACCTCTATGAGAACCAAGTTAGAGAAGAATATTTCAAGATGCGATGCTGTTCTCTAAAAAAGAAAGATCTTGATAGGCATTACAAAGAGATGGTAAAAAGGTATCATATACTTAGGGGTATGGATGATCCTAATATGAAGCAAGCCTTTTTGGCATCAATTCCTTAATCCCTAAATCATGAAGCAACCAAGCTTATGCAGTCCCAGAACAAACAACTTGGATCCACTTCTCCTGGCGAAATTTACCAATTTGTTATTCTTGCTCTGGAAAAGCTTTGTTCTCATAAACAGTTTTTTGATGATTATATGAAGCGTTCTAAACAGCTGACCAAGGTTTGTCAACGACCAGACTTGTAGATCAAATGCAAATCAGATCGCTCATGTTCTTGTCCTACCAAGAAGAAGTTTCATTCTAGACACATCAAGTTTTCTCCACCTAATGCTCCGGCTCGACGCAAATTTCGACGTTTCAAGAACCGCAAGTTTCTTCGAAAAAGGAAACGCAAAGGCAAACAGTCTAATCGGTGTTATTTATGCAATTGCCCAGGTCATTTTGCCAAAAATTGTCCAAACAAGCCCAAGCAATCAGTCAAAATGATGCAACAACTTTTTCAACTAACAGATATCGATTTTTCTGATGATGATGTTGAAAGTTGGTTTTCAATGGATGACGAACCCACTTCAGACACCATTTTCCAGTTTGCAGCCACTGATACTGAGTACTCTGATTTATATGATTGTCACTATTTCTACCATATCCAACAAGCACCACAATCCCTTCCATCATTAGCCTTCTCATGTCACATACCTACAGCAAAAGTTTAGATCTTCCCTACCAAATACTCCAAGCCCATTTCAGTCATAGCATTTTTTGATACAAGTGCTACTCATACCATTATCAACCCTAAGATCCTCCCAGTCTCTCAGTGGAAACCTCATCAGGAGGTCTTCTACACAGCTAATAGTGAGACTTTCACTACTCATCTGATTAGCAAACCCATTAAAATCCAAATTTTCCCAGGCTGTTTCACTTTTCATAAAGTTATTGGTTCTGATATACTTGGCAAAGACATGGTTCTAGGTTTTGATGTTTATTCTAAACTCAATAAACTTAGAATCCTCCCTGATGGTGTTCAATACAAGATGTTTTTCCAATCCTGGACCACACAACCTAATTTATTCCAGATTGAAGGCAGTCCTATTGAGCAGATCAAGACCCAGCTTATTTCCCGTTCTTACGCAGATTCTCATGCTGATTTTCTCACTAAATGTGCTCATCCATTATGGAAGAATTCGGAATTCTTTATCCGTCTTCCATTCATCAAGAGCGAAGATATCAATCCCACTAAAGCTAGTCATTCGGGCATGTCACCAGAACATCTCAGTCTCGCCCAACAAGAATGTACTCAGCTTTTATCTCAAGGATTGATTGAACCCACAGACTTTCAATGGACATGTGAAGCTTTTTATGTCAATAAACGGGCAGAACATGCCAGAGGAAAACTCAGACATGTTATCAATTATCAACCCTTGAATTTCTTTCTCCGTGATGATAAATTTCCTTTGCCTTCCAGACAAGTTCTTTTTGCAAATCTCCATAATGCAAAGATGTTTTCAAAATTTGATCTCAAAGCTGGATTTTGGCAACTTGGAATTCATCCTGATGATCGTCATAAAACTGTTTTCTACATTCCCAATCAACACTACCAGTGGACAGTTATGCCTTTTGGACTTAAAGTCGCTCCTTCCCTGTTTCAGAAAGCCATGACGAAGATTTTTGCTCCCCTTCTGCATACATGTCTCATTTATATCGATGATATCCTTCTCTTTTCAAAAGATGAGGAATCTCATATACGTCTTCTTCGTGACTTTGCTGATATCATCCACACTTATGGTATCATGTTATCTGAGAAGAAAATGCAGTTAGGACAAACAAAGATTGATTTTCTTAGTAGGGTGATTGCTGATGGCAAGTATGATCTTCAGCCTCATATTGCTAATGAATTGCAAAAAGTCCCAGATATCCTCACAACCAAGAAAGAAATACAACAATTCTTGGGAATTGCCAATTACATGCGAAGTTTCATTCCCAACATTTCTCGTTTCACTACGCCACTTTCCTAGATGCTTAAGAAGAATCCTCTACAATGGGCTGAAAAGCAAACAAATGCAGTCAAGAGTGTCAAGCGCTCATCCTTCCATACACAGCCGTTGAAGATTCCTTCTTCGGGGAAACGCATTCTTAAGACGGATGCTAGTGACACTCATTGGGGTGCAGTACTTTTTGAACAAGATAAGGATAAGGTACGACATTTGTGCGGATACCAGAGTGGAACATTCAAACCACACCAGCAGCATTATCATTCTACTTTCAAGGAAGTAGTAACAGTAAAAAATGCCATTGAACGGTTTGAATTCCACCTTGTTGGACATCATTTCTTTGTTGAAACGGATATGAAGTCTTTTGATCAAATGCTACGTTTCCACAAGAAAAAAGTTCCACATCAACAGTTACTTCGCTGGGCAGAATGGTTCAGTAAATATTCCTTCACCGTCCAGCATATCAAAGGTCACACCAACACCATTGCAGATTATTTATCTAGACCTAAAACTAAACAAGTTGGTTTCATGAACCCTAGATCCAAACCTCTTTCATGTTTCATGTTCCAACCATTAACCCAATCCAGTTCCTGTTCATCATCCTCTTCACCAAACCATACTCCAGATGTACCTCCTGAATTCAATGATCTTGTTTAAACACGTACCATTGATGAAAATGCTCCTACCCTCATGTTTTCTTACCAACTTCAATGCATTGAAAAATGTGGTCAATCCATGTATGATATGTTAGGGGTTTGTCCAGATTTCCCCTTTTCAAAAATCTTTTGTTTACCTCCAGGACTTGATATCATATTTCCAAAAGAATTATTATGGTTTTTTAGTATATGTTACACCAATACCACATTGCCATTCAATTCTCAATCCATCATATGTTGAAAATAATTTCCTAATACCAGTCAACCCAACCCCTGAATTACGCTCTTTGATGACTTTTCTCCGATGGTTCAAAACCCTCGACAAATGGAAATCTGTGTTTGCTCACCAACTTGCCCGATACAAAGGTCCTATGTCTACCAAAATGGCATGGTCTATAATGTTTTTTCATAGACATCACTCTATCAGATCTGATGGCCTATATTTTTCTCAGCATCAAGTCACATTTCATCGGTTTTATCCATATGACCTCGTCCATAATATGTTTGATCATCCTGTTGAGACTAGATCAATTCAAAAAATACTTTTTGAAAAAAATCAGATCATTTCAAATGCAATATGGCCATCCTTTCACGATGATGCTCCGTGGGAACTCTTTCATCCAGACTACACTGAGAAATTACTTCAAGCCAAACAGACATGCATACGTTTAATATATCGATACTGAGTAAACGACATACTCCCACCCAAGGTTTGACGAAATCTTAAGTTGGTACCCTTAGTTACACTTATTCCAGATTCCTACCCTTAAAGTGATGGAAAAGTGTTTGATGTAACGGTAAAAGGGTAAATTGGTCATTTTGCATGGACAACGCATCTTAGCAGATCGCCACCTCTGACAGTCCTCCAACACACGTCAGCAGACAACGTTCCTAATGTTTTTCACCCTTTTTTTGGCGATTCTTCCACCCAAAATCACTCTTGTCACCACCATTTGAACCCTCATCCTCCCCTCTATAAAACCTTACCCTTCATAACCTCTCATCACTCGCTGATCGCCAGCGACGGCAGCCACAACTGGTTTTTGCCAGTTTTCGACCGTTTTGAACAACAACAGCCCCAACCGCCACCACCATCATTTGACTCCTCACATCCTCCCCTACAAAACCCCTAACCTTCCCAACCATGGTAGCTCACCATTTGTCATCCACCACTTCACCAAAAAACAGCCAATGAACACAAACTCTCAGCTCGCGAACGATGACTAAATAGTTGCTGGGGACATAGGAGTTTTATAGAGTTGGAGACGCTGGTTCCAGTGGTGGTGTCCAATTGGATTTTTGCCGTCGAAATCGACCTAAATCCGGCGAAGAATAGAGAAACCCTAAGTCTAACGGTGTCGGCGATTGGAGTGGCCAATGAGTCGAAAACCAGAGGGGTTTTGGACAAAAAACTACAGGGAAGGTGATGGAGGTGACTAGGGGGTTCGACGCTGTCAGAAACAGCCTAGATCGAGCAAAAATCGAGAGGGTATTATTGAGATAATTTGAAAATAAAATGTTAAGTTTTATAATTCTACTAATTTAGGGGTTAAAATATAATTTATTAATTTAGGATCAAAGGCATTATGTAATTACACCTTTTATACCCTAAAAATTGTTAACAGTGTTATTTTAAAAGTAAGAATTGGAATAAATGTAGATAACAACGGGGTTTCTTCAAACCTTGGATAGTATAAAACCCTCTCAAAACCCCAGAGGAGGGAGCAAGAGAGAGCCATGGAGTTAGCTTTATCTATCAGGATTTTCAGTTATAAGGGTGGTGTACGCTGCTTAACTTCTTCTCACAAAGAACGACTCTTTTTCGGCCATTCCAAACCCGTCAATTTGGTTCTCCGACGTTATCTTCCTCCTCCCTCTACTCTCGTCTGCTCACACCGTCGAAACAACCGCCCTGCAGTCAGCTCATCTTCTTCTAAGAAGAAAAACAAGGTAAGACTAACAACGTTGTCTTGTCTGGTTTCTGAGGAATAGAATACGGCACCCGAATTTTAAATTTGTGCATTTTCTGCTCTTTGGGGTTGTGCTAGAAATTTTTTCTATCTTGCCTCGGATTGAGTACTTGGTTTCTGCGTGGGATAGTAATGACTTAATGAATTTGTTCATTATGCTTCCTCCAATTATCATGTTGAATCTACCTGCTCCAGCAATTATTATGGAAAAAAAAAAAAATTGAAACTTAACGCTTACCTGAGCTAAAGCAACTAAATTTTTTACCAATAAATGTTTTTGGCTGCTATGGATTTTGTTTTTAATTAATTAATTAGTTTTTTCTTGATACCTTTTTATCCTTGCTGATATAATTTTTGACTGAATTTTGATATCATCTGTCAATAAGGAACTTATTTATACTTAGTTCTGGCATATAAGTATTTGTTTTGAATGATATGTCTCCTTGTTTCCACAGAAGATTAGGCCTAAAACAGATGACGCTGGTGATGATTTTGAGGATGATCCTTTTGAGGCGCTATTTAGTCTGCTGGAAGAAGATCTTAAAAATGATGACTCAGAGGTAGATGATGACGATGAGATTAATGAAGAAGATATTGATAAGCTTGCATGTGAATTAGCGGAGGCACTTGGGGATATTGATATGGAAATGTCAAATACAGATACAACTGAGACAGAAAGCGATGGTGATGATGCTCAAGAAGTAGTAGTGGCAGAAAAAGAAGAAGAAGAAGAAGAAGATGATGATGATGATGATGATGATGATGACGATGATGAGGATGAAGAAGATGAAGACAATGAAGAAGAAGAAGAAGAAGAAGAAGAAGAAAAAGAAGGACAAGTCAGGCTTAAGAATTGGCAACTTCGAAAATTGGCTTATGCTTTAAAAACTGGCCGTCGTAAAACTAGTGTAAGTCTGTCAATTTGATCCTTGTGTTTTGTCAAATGTGGACCAGAACATATAAAATCTAATTACCCATCAGCTGCACAGTCCTTCGTTTCCCAATGGCCAAATTGTTAAGTAGGTTGAATGTTCGATTGAAAATCAATAGTGGTATTAATTAAAAAAATGAGATCCATTACCTTAATTATTATAAATATGGTTGATGTACGGTTTGCTTGGAATTTGCAAGACCCTAGCTGGACATCTCGCATAGTGAACTCTATCTGCTTCACTTGATAATAACTTGGGGGAATCCGTATGAAATTGAAAATCTGTTGGGTAAATTATAACATTTCTTTGGGAAAATTGCTATAATTTGTTCAATTATGTGGTCAAAGATTAGTTCAGAAAATGCCTCTATGTTGAAAGAGAAATAGAATTCCTGAAGAATTGTTCTTGTTTGAAATCCTGGTGTGATTGTGGACTTACAGCAAGGTTAATTTTAATTTTCTTCATAGCCCTTTGATTTGTATGCAGAAAATATTTGTTCAGCGTGCATAAATGGAAGAAAATCCTCTCAGCATGGTTTTCAATTAATTGACTGTGCTAGTTAGGTGCTTGATCATGTTTCTTGATAATTTAGATTATGACCACTCTCCTCTTATTGTGCAGATAAAGAATCTTGCTGCTGAGCTTTGTCTTGATAGGGCTGTTGTTCTTGAAATGCTTCGTGATCCCCCTCCAAGTCTTGTTATGATGAGTGCTGCTTTACCTGATGAACCAACACCTAGAGTATCAGTCCCTGAAGTCAAACCAGAAGAAACTGTTATGGAGGAAACTGCCGTTGATGCTGTAGAACTTGAGTCTAAGGTGAAAGAGCCAGTCCATGCTAGGCAACATAGATGGTTTGCACAAAAGAGACTGAAGAAAGTACAAGTGGAAACCCTTGAACTGGTTTATAGAAGATCAAAGCGACCCACTGTAAGTAAATATTTCTCTAGATTAATATTGCAATTTATGCACTGGAACAAATTTTTCATCTGTAATTGAAAAGTTATATGTGCTTCTTACGTCTCTAAATTTGATTGTTTATAAACCTTGTTTTCATTTGGTTAACAACTTTGCTGCACCATGAAGCAGCTTATTGGTAATGAGTCAACTCCTGTTCTGTGGTTGAACATTGTTTTTAATATTCTGTGCTCTTTTTTGCAAGCGATGCAGAATGCATTGATAAGCAGCATTGTTCAAGTGACTAACCTGCCCCGCCGAAGAATTGTGAAATGGTTCGAGGACAGACGTGCTGAAGAAGGGGTACCTGAGCGTCGTGCTCCATATCAACGGTCTGATCCTGAAACTGTCTTTTCCAGTTGAAACGATATGTATACTTGTATTATATTTTGTAACGTATAATGAGAGCATTTTGGTTCATGCTTGGTTTTGTCTCTCTGGCTTGTCAATGATGAAGAGCTCCAGGACTTTGTGCCCACCCACTCAAATCTCAAGTTTCATATTTTGAAAGCATTTGGTTCGCAATACATATATATATGAATGTGCAAAACCTGGACAAAGAGACGTAGACAAATATCAATTATTACCAATGTAAGCATAAATTAATAAAACTAATTTGTAAATTAAAAGTTTTGAGTTAATAAAACGAAGATGAATCAATATTCAGCAAGGTAGTGATAATAGGTGGGAAGTGTGTTACTTTCAAGGTTTTAAAACCCGACCTAAGGTGAAACGTGGCAAAGTGGCTGGGTCTCTAGTTGATTGGTTGAATCGATTTGACCAGCTTGTCAAATTGGTAACATCAACATGTATAAAGGTTTGAAATTCAACAAAAACATCTTTACAAATTACACAAGTCTTTACAGATTTGAAATCCTACAAAAAATCCTAAATAACATTGTTGGCATCGACAACCCAGGCCAAATAGCGCATGTTTTTGGCGTCGACAACATGCCTCATCACCACAAAAACTCTCCTCTCAACCTCCTAACCAAAACCTATCTCACCCTACCCCCGTTCGCTTCGCCAATTGCTAGCAACATCGGATTGTTGCCATCAATCGATTTTGCGATTTCAGGTCGTTTCACTCACCAAAAATCACCTTCATCGCCACCTTTTGACTCATCGGCCTTCCTCTTCAAAACCCCTAACATCTTAGCCACCAATTGTTCATCGATAATCTTTCTAATGTCCAAGGTTTGTCATGAATAACGAAATTGGTAACTTGGCCCAATGAAGGCCTCGGGCCCTGATTCAACTGGCTGGACTCAACCGGGTTTTAAAACACCAGTTACTTTATAGCGTTTTGTAATGTTACGATTGAAATGTTAGAGAAGATCGATAGCGAAGCCTGAGCTTTAATGGGTTGTAAAGTTATAAATAGGAGTGAATAAATTGAAATAAACTTTTTTATTTTAAGCTAAGGATTGATCAGTGAATAATTTTAAAGTTAATGAAAGGTGTCTTTCTATCTATAGTATATTGACAATTAGTGGAGGGATCTATTTTAAAAATCGGACCGAACTGGCCGGTTGGATCGTGACCACGTAGTTTTTCCGGTCCGGTTCAGGTCTTAGGGGGGTTTTATAATATTTCAAAATTATAAGGGTTAATTAAATTTTATATGAGTGTTTTGGAAATATGTCAAAAGTTTAGGGATTAATTGATAATTTTTAGGGTATTTTTGAAATAAATAAAAATTATAGGGACTAATTGAACTTTTTAAGGAGAATTTTTGTAATATATTAAAATTTAAAGGATTAATAGTAATTTTTTAAAAATAAAATTATCGCTGAGGTCAGCAAAATCCGGGTTTTAAAACAATGAATTGGAGGGTAAAGCCATTAACTTGAAATTTCACATTCTGGGTCTTGTATCCAAGATTCACAGCGCTGATATCTTCTGGGGTTCTTTATTCTTCGATTGATAATGTTTCTGTTTAAAAGACTGGCAAATCACTGTCAAATATTTTTTTATCAGAGTTCATCTGTTTCTCTAGGTCATTTGCACATGACAAAATGCTGGTAAAAGCATACCCATACGAGTCCAACCAAAACCTCTTGGTCAAAATATTTTATTTTGTTGAGAATGATTCATGTATATATGGAGTGTATGATAAATATTTTCTAAAACAATTTAAAAAATAAAAAATAAAAAAACACAGTTTTGAACTTGTCAAACACTTGCATGAAGATGCTACCTTATGACTCGACTCTTGTTAATTGATTAAATATATTTTCTGTGTCGTGTTCTTCCCATCTTGATCTTATATAGAGGAACCAATTAACGAACAATCATTTACATTCGTTTTCCACCCCATTATAGAATAACAGAGAGGAGAAGAAAACATTATGAGTAGTTTTCAGAGGTCTGAAGTTTCATTTAGAAGACAAGGTTCATCAGGTTTGGTATGGCAGGACAGGTTTTATTCAGGGGATTTAAATCAAATGAAGCGAGAACAAGAAAGGAAGACAGAACAACCAAGAGAGCTAAGGCATAGTCAAAGCGATGGATCGACTCGAATGAAGAAGGAAAATAAGCTAGGGATTATACACAGAACCAGCAAAGTGTCACCAAACATTGATCCATCTTCACCTAAGCTCTCTGGATGCTGTTTCTGTGGCTTTGGCAAATGAAAATCTCCTCAATCTAAACAAAACCTGTATTGATCAAACATGTTCTTCTGTACCTGGGAAATTCTATATTCATCACATTCTAAATTTAGTCATTTTTTAATGTAATTTTCATATCAATTCAATTATTTTCTTTTCTTCTTTACATTATCGTAGAACTATTTGTGTCTTGATTTTCCATCTCATCAGTTCGTTAATAATTTCTTGATCTTCAATATGCTGGATTTAGTGAGTTTCAGCCGCAACGCCAAGTATAACAGGAGAAAATGTAATGTTTCAAACTTCAAACTAATGACCTGATCAGATAAAACATTCAGGTGAAGAAGATTGCATCAAATAAGAAAATAGAAAATGTTTTGCGGCAACCCCAATTTTCTTTTTCTTTTTTCTCCCTCTCATTTTTTTTTTTTTTTTTACCTTTCCCTCACTCCCCCACCATGGAACCCCCACCAATACGAAGATTTGGTTGATTTTTGGTGTTGTTTTGACAAGGAGACTAGAAAGAAAGGCTACTTCAATATGTATTAGTATCTTCAATACCTGACAAGGCTTGAAAATGCCCATTTTTTGGTGTGGGAGATTTTCATGATGCCTATTTTCGACCTTATAATTGAAATTAGAGAAATGTTAGATGTATAAAGACTCTTATAAAATGATATGATAGTTGTCACACCACCGGTTTGTGAAAAGAAAAAGAAGATTGATGTGAAACTGGTGGTGTGGCAGCTATCACATCATTTTGTATATCTAGTATTTCTCTTGAAATTAATGGGGACTTTTAAATAATTTTAAATTTTCACTCTATTGTGCATAAATTTAGTCTTGTTAAAAATGGCCTTTTTTTTTATTTATAATAAATTCTCATCTGTTTGGTCTTTTTACAGTGAACATATGTTGGCTTCATAAATATAACCCTAACCCTCGTGTGTTTGGTTTAATTTTATATGAGCATTTGCTAGTTCCAGAAATATCATCAATTTAACCTTCAAATTTATCAATAATTTTATCAATTTAACCCCTAAAAATTATATTAACCTTTTAACATTATTGATAGATTTTAGTAAAAACGTTGTTTCCTTCAGATTTAAACAAAATAACCTTAACTGTCCATAAAAAATGAGAATTACAATTACAATTACAATTCTAAAACCAATGGGTACTCACTCCAAAAAGGCCAAACATATGGGGTTTACTGTAATAAACCTAAGTAATAAAAATACGGAGTGTTAATAGAATTGATGAAAAAAGGGCTGCATTTACCAAAAGTTTTTAATTATCTTATTCTATTTAAATAAGAAGATAAGGGTACTTTAGTCTTTACAGAAGTTTTCTTTCTGAGCCATATCTATATGGATGATACTGTACTTTGAGTAAAATTTTAGGAATGATCATGTAATTTTCCCACCAGATACCCATCCCCGTCCGGCTTCGTTGGGCCAAGTAATTCAAGGTTTTGATTTTTGTATTATTTTAGTTCATTAAATTGTAAAAACATAAATTTGTGAACAAACCCAATTGATTCGTTGTTTTTATAATTTCTTGCAGTTTCTTTTCAGGTCTTGTAGTTGTAATGAAGATAATGCCAAGTAATAACAGGTGGAGAACAATCGCAAGAGGAGCGAGCTACACTTGGTTGCCTTACACAAGCTTCACCACCACCTCCATCTCCACCTCCACCTTCAGGTCTTGTTATTTATTGACTATTTATATCATGGCCTAAATTCTTATGTTTCTTATAAATTTTATTTGTTGGATTTCAGGAAGAGAATTCAAGGTGTCAGGATGCATCATAAAAATGTAAAGAAAGCGAATCTGTATGCAGCAAGAAAGGAAAGTGTTAAGCTGCCAAACTATGATAGTGATTGTGGAGGCCAATATCATATTAGTGAATTTTTAAGTCACCCATCAGGGATTGAAGCAATGTTGAACACTAGCGCCTTGCAGAGTTTTGAACTCATTGATATTCAAACATATAGGTCCTCTCTTTCGCTCACTCTAATTGCATTTGTACTCTATTATTTTTACTTGGATAACATAAGTAAACTCTAAATCATCCATCTGGGTTTGAAGCAACACCTGAAAATTAAAATGATTGAAGCCAATAAATTATGATAGTCAACTAGGTTTATGGTTCCATCTGAGGCCTAGTTTTTTTGTGTGTTGGTACCAGTAACCCTTACAAAGCTGATATATAAAGAAGAATTGCTCATCCGAGTGGAATTAACTCCTCAGTTCTCCCCACCGTGAATTAGCCCCCCTGTTTAAGTTGGTTTAAGGTTGAGTTTAAAAGTGTTATCTTGTAGTGCTTCTATATTCCTATCCAATTTGGTTAGTGAACCTTCAAGAGAGCATAGAGAGTGATTAAGTGTTGCTTAAATTTTGTGTGGAGATTCTTAATCTCCATGACACATTTTCTAGGATGAGCAGGTTATGTCTTTGATGTTCCGAGGAAGGCCAGATCTTCATTTGATTTGAGTAAAATTACGGGTGCTCTCCCATGATTAATTTCCTTGTACACCATCATAATCTCTTTCCCTTTTCCAACATCGTGTGCTGTCCATTTACCTGCAGAATAGTCAAAACATATATGTTATTTCCTCTTGTTACTGAAATACTGATTCCTGTAAAAAAAGAAAATAGAGTTCTCAGAGTTCAGGTGATCATAGAATTTAGTTAATTGTATATAAAACTGCTTCGTGCCTTAATCTATAAAATACTAGTGATTTTTTTTTTTTTTTTTTCTTTGGGTAGTTGCAATAATGAGTTTAAGTAGGACTACATGTCTAGGTGCACTCTGCCAAAACTTGAACTTTTGAACTTTGAAGTTGCCCCGGTGATGGATTTACAAGTGACTCCAACGGACAAAGATTGTACTGTGCGGTTGCTTTCTTGCAAGGTGAGATTACATTCTCTACTTTGTAGAGCCAACTGACAATATAGATTCTGTATCAGATAATATAAGCAAAAGGAGATAATAAGTATGTCATCATTCATTATGTGGGACTTTATTTTTTAGAACATGGGAATTTTCGAGATTCAAAACACTAGACCTCAGTCAAATAGGTCCAGTATTATATGAGATAATATTTAAACTCTTAACTTCAGTTTTGGCAGTTTTACCTTATCAAATAGATTTATATTAACCATTTAAGTTGTTTATCTTTGTATTTTTTGGATGCCAATATATGTGAAGTTTGAAGGTTCAAACATCGTGGAACGCCAAAATGACCATTTTTCAGGTTCCTTTATTACTATTTTGGTTGGACGCTTCAAGATAGCTTGTGTAATTTACTTTCATACTACATCGTAGTGATGCAAGGTGTCTTTTGCAATGTTTGTTTTCCTCTTGCAGCATTTATGACAAATCACATTACCTGGTACAAAAATGATTCTGTATCATTTTTGGAGGTTGACGTAAAGTTGAATCTCTCTCTTGAGGTTGTTAATATATCCTCCATTTATTTGATAATGATTTAGAAATTATATTCTATGGAATATGCGGATAAATCATCTTTTGTTTTGGTTGCTAAGTGTTTGGACATTGTTAATTTCTGTTACTGGAATGCCTTTTCTAATTCTTGGGCCAAATCTAGATGTTTATTATTCCCTGTTCTTGTATACAGATATACACACGGCCATTTACTTTGCTGCCTGTATCAGCAGTTGAGCGCCCTGGAAACTTGTGAGTTGTTATATACTGTTTCAATCCAAACTGCACAATTGGTTGTCTTAAATGGATTTTTCCTAATATGTAGTTGGCCTGCTGAATATTTTATATTAGATTCTGTGACACATTTATAAGCTACAACTTAAGCAACATTATTGTGTTATTTTTATGAGAATAAGAAAGAGAGAGAAGAGTCTGAATATCAATGTATAATAGCGCTTGTGCATTTGCTCAAGGGAAGTTTTATTTTACTAGGGCAGCGAGATGGTCTAAGCTCTGTGAAGTCAATAGTAAATCAACATCCTTGTTCAAGGTTTCTTGTGTGGCAGCTAGAAAATCGAAAAGTTTTGATAAATCCATCAGAAGAAAATTGGACCATGTCATGTGAGATCTTAGTTCAACTTTGACCTCATGTAGCATTTTTATATAACATTGTGAAAAGATACAAGAGTATGTAACATTGTGAAAGCTGGTTTTCAGATTCATTTAGTTTGTTGAAACATCGTTATGAAAGAATAAAAGAACAAATATATCATTCAAATTTAGGCATTCAAACATGTTTGGATTTATAATTAATTTAGGGTTTGTTTTAACTTCAAATCCATTCAAATTTTAGATAGAAAACAAACAGCAACCCAAGTTTTCTATTTCTCAAGCTGCATCTTTTTTTCATAGAACTTGTATTATTTTTGGGCCTGAGCAATTACATGCACCTACATTCAAACAATAGAAATGTGGTGACATACAGAATGATGCAAGCTCTAGTCGATAGACTCGTACCAGTGCTTTTACAGCAACTACTACAGGATTACGTCAAATGGCTTGAGCAGAAATTTGAAGACTTCTCGAATTTGGGGCCAAATGATTCGCACAATTGAGTAAATCTTCTATCTTCATCACAACTTTTGATTTTGTTTCATTTTTTCTATAGTATGATTCTCTTTGTGGTTGAAGCCACAAATGTGATTTGAAATTATAATCCTATCAAATCATCGAACCTGGGTCAAGTGTTGGATGAATACCATAAAATAATATGTTATCATGTCATTCATTTTTTTTTCCATCATAATGTACTACTTTAAGGTGAGCCTAGATAGTAAAATTTCTTATTGCAAAGGAAGGTTTTAGGGTTGAATCTCTCTCAAACCAATCTTTGTGTTTCCAATTTAATTTGTGCTTATATTTGGTAAGAGGTGTAGTTAAAAATTGATAATAATTATAAAATTTTGGCTCAATTTGCGAGAGCTTCATTCATAATATTCATTTACAATGTTGAGACTTCAACATTTTTATGCTAATTTACCTTTATATGCTTTAATGTATAAAGAAACATGTTAATACACAACCATTTTAAATATGGTCACCAGGGATTGATTTTTTTTTTTTTTTTTTTTTTTGAAATTGGTTGAGTTTTGAAATGCACCAAATCTATTGGCAATGTGAGGCGTCATGAAGTTTTCTTAGTTCTAAAACCAGAGAGGGGTATGAACTATAGAGGTCCATAACCTTCTTCAATCCAGAGACTTTAAGGCTTTAAATATGGTCGCATTTGATTTAAACTACATAATTACTTGTCACACATACAAGTCGTATTAAACCAAACTGTAATTAACAACAATATTTACAATGAAATGCCATTCCATTGCTAATATAATAATACTTTAAAAAGGGAAATGTCCAAAGTCTAAAACCAAAGGAAAGGGTGCGAATTCCAATATAAAAAGATGGTTTTAGGCAGTGCCATAACCATAAGCAGGTGATGATATCACTTGACCATCGACACCCTTCCCATCTTGTTCTATTTCATCAAAGTAATCCTCTCGAGCATTGTCAGCAAGCATAAGAGCAACCAACCAAAACAAGGCTGAATCAAGAGAAAGAAATGCACCACCACCAAAAAGCCCAGTTTTTGCCGTTGGGCAAGTTGTTTCAAGATTCTGGTGTACATTTCGAGTCAAATGAAGCTGCTCTGTAATTGTTGGCCACAACAGCAAGGTTAACGCTAATCCCCCAGAAAACCTGGAAATATTGGTACACGAATATCACTTATAACATAGGGCAAGCAAGAACACAAAGCAATTACATAAGATCCAAGTATTATACTTACAAAGCTATATTGAAGAAAACAAGGAACAAAGTATTTCGAAAGAAAACAGATTGTGGAACAGATTTCCCTTTGTAAGGATAAAATTGAGACACATATCCAACCACCACTGATGCTAAGAGAAATGCAGTTGATAGGTACCCCAACACAACAGATGGATCTGATGGATACTTGCAAATAACAACACCTTTACCCGTTATGGGAGTCCCGGAAGCAGGCTGTATAAACCCAGTCAAATTAAAAAACAAAAAAACAATTGAAATGATATGATACTTAGTTTATTCTTTAGATTGAAAGAAAATACATCCCACCAATCTGGTTCAATTATATTCAATATAAAAAAGAGTACCTTCTTATTTTCGGCAATTACTCCAAATATGAAAGACAGTAATCCAAAAGTGGCCACAAGAAGAGACATGTGCTTCATGGTAACCGCCATTGCGCAGACTGATATTCAAAGACCGCTCTACAATGTCAATAACCAAAGAGTAAAAGCATGTTTTAGAACTGAAACAACTTAAAATACAATAATTAAATATACTGGCTATGCTTTGAATCTGGAATTCCACCATTACCCCAGGAAAAAAAAATATTGAAAGACGAAAAATCAAAACGAAGTTTCAGAGAAAAATTAGTATAGAAAATAAAATGAAACAATAGATCTGATGGTAATTGAAAAAAGAAAGTGAAAATACCGGGATGGGAGATGGTGGAAAGAGTAGTAGTAATTCGGACTGAAACTCTTTCTGACTCTCCCTCCCTTCCTCCTCCTCTGAGAGCATAAAAAGATGAAGGGAGAAACGGTTGTGGATATATACTACAACTTTTTCTACGGAAAAGTCTCCCTGGAATCTCTCGGGAATCTACCTGTTTGGATTAAATTGACCTTTCTACCCTTTCCTTTTCCCCTAATTTAGTATATATAATATATCACACAAATAATTATAAACTGTAATTTTAATTCTATGACTCAACATTATTGTCGCTTTATAACTGTAATTACCTTTTTGTCTTTTGTCCCTCACTCTTACCTAATTAGTTACTGAACAAACACCAATTTCATACTGTTAATAGATAACAATTAATTTTTTTTTTTTTATATAAAAATTAATTACTCTTTAACGTTTTTAAAATTCATTAAATTCATGATATTGGTGCCGGTTCATTTGCGAATTTGGTCATACTCTTATGGATCATTCATTTGGAGCATCATAAATACTAATTTTTTATTTTATTATTTTTTATAACAGTTAAAAATAATTATTAAAAATTTGAGAGTGCATCCAACGGAATTAGGAACACCATATCTTCACAGGCACGCCATGGTTTAATTTATACTTAATTAATCTATTTTTGTCATTTCCTAGTTTGAGCCTATTACAGATTGTCTGTCAATTTCTTTCTGTTCACTCTTACGATAAACCATATATATGTAAACAACTGGCAGCCACTCTTATAGTCTTATTTCACATCCTGAATATGACTTCTTGCAAAACATAGAAACCTCTCTTCTTATTAGGAATTCAATTTATTAAATAATAAACCCACTTGGGGAAGTAATTTGAAGGTTAAGGAACACCGAACATAAACCACTCTTGGGTGACTAACTGATTAGATAAAAACTCTTAGGTGTATTACTTAAGAAGTCATAAGTAGGAATATCCAAAACTGGATATCCAATCTGATTTTGCATTTTTATGATGTGATTCGAAAATTTAGATAAAGATGAAACATGATCTGAATTCGATCTAGATTTTGTCTGATCTGAATGTTCGGATCGGATAAACCAGATATCCGGTTTTGATCCGAATTTGCATGGAAAGTGTCAATTTACCCCCTAAAATTTGCATTATTCTTTAGTACCCCCTGCAACATCAACATTTCATTACATTTTTTACCCCCAAAATTGTCATCATATTTTAGAACAGTCCACATACTTTACCACTTTTCACCTAGGACCTCGAAATAACTTCTCAAAACTTGTAGTTATAGACAAAACCAGATCGAATCCGGATATCCGATTTCTTTACAAAGTCAATTCGGTGTTCGATTCGAAAATCCGGATCTTCCAAAATTGATATCCGAATCCTATTCGAATTTTTGGGTATCTGATTTTTTCGAATCGGATTACATTGGATATAGATTAGATCTCATATTTTTTTGCACACCCCTAGTCATAAGTTTAAGTCACCTCCGTTACTAATAGGGATAATCACTGGAAAGTATATCTTGCCCTTAACTTCAAGACCTCGAGAACTAGTCGAGTTGCGCACAAGCTTGTCCAAACACCTCCCAATAAAAAAAGAAAAAAGAAAAAAAAAAAAAAAAAAACTAGACATGAAGTTACACAAGTTGATAAGAAATAGTGATGGCAATGGACAAGGCTGGGACCATGTACCCCTTGGCCCAAGCCCGAGCTCATAACAAACACCCGAGCCCGTCACGGGTATCACAAGTAAAGCCCAAGCTCAGCCCGACAGGCTTTTTGTAACCTCAGGCCCGGCCCAAGCCCGCCCATTTTTATAATATGAATTTTTAAATATTAATAAATTTTAATTTTTTTTTATATTTTTAATTCTATAAACAATTTTTAAATATTAATTTATTTTTGAATACTCACTAAATATATAAATAACTTTCCACAAAGTACATCCATTCATCCATGTAGGGTTTGGGAAAAATGAGTATATATATATGTAGGATAATCTTGTAATTAAATATATAATATAAGGGTAATTTAGTATAATTAACACTAAAATTGTCGGATCGGGTCTAAAGACATACCCAAGCCCGACCCGTACCTGGGGCGGGCCTTAAAATCAGGGCCAAGCCCGTGAACATCGGGTAAAGCTCGACCTTTTCGGGTCGGGTACCCGAAAATATCAGGCCCATTGCCATCTCTAATTAGAGGTGGAACAAATGGGCCGAGTTAGGCGGGTCAACCCTAACCCGGCCTACATTAAAGAGGGTTCAACCCGGACCGCCAATAAGGCGGTCTGGGTTGAACCCAACCCGCATGCAACCCCCAGGAGGGTCGGGTTGATATATGGCAACCCGGCGACCCGCGGGTTGTTATTTTTTCCTTTTTGAAGAAAGGACCGCCAACCTGTTGGGTTGACCCGCGGATTGGCAACAGTTGGCCAAAAAAAAATTTTTTTAAAAAAAATTAATTTGTTTTTTTGAATTCCCCTTTTACCCTTTAAATATAACTGTTTTATAGCAGTTGGAGGGGTCTTTTTTATTATTTTCTTTTCCCATTTTTTTTTTCTATAAATTGGCCATAAACTCACATATTTTCTCACAACTTAAATTCTCTCATTTTCTCTAATCTTTAATTCTCTATTGAAATCTCTCAATTATTCTCTGAATCTCTTTGTTATCAATTTGCTCTTATTTTAATTTTTATTAGTTTTTGCAATTTTCAATTCATATATCCAATTTTCCATATTATAATTCTCCTTCTTTAATTTTTTATTCCTTCTATATCAATTTTTGTTTTCAACTACAATGGATAGATATTTCTCTCCCATCAATTTCATTTTTCAATGATGAAGGAAACTACTATCCTAGTCCTAGTCCCGCTGAATTTACTAACATGAATGTAGGAGGAGATTCAAATAGTCATGCTTTCCCAGTCTCAGAATCCGATACACCTCAAAATATGCCCCCGATTCCTCCTCATGCTGCTGCACCTACAACTCCCGGTGGTTCTAGAAGTCATCCTCGCAATCGTCGTCCTCGTCCAACTTCATCTCAAGCTGAAGGGGGTTCATCAACTGCTGTTGAAAGCGACGACAGACACACATCAGACATTTGGACGCATTTCGATAAGTTTTACGAGNCCAAATCCTATTCGAATTTTTGGGTATCTGATTTTTTCGAATCGGATTAGATTGGATATAGATTAGATCTCATTTTTTTTTTGCACACCCCTAGTCATAAGTTTAAGTCACCTCCGTTACTAATAGGGATGACCACTGGAGAGTATATTTTACGCTTAACTTCAAGACCTCGAGAACTAGTTGAGTTGCGCACAAGCTTGCCCAAACACCTCCCAAAAAAAAAAAAAAAAAAAAAAACTAGACATGAAGTTACATAAGTTGATAAGAAATAGTGATGGCAATGGGCAGGGCCGAGATCAGGTAACCTTTGGCCCAAGCCCGACCTCATAACAAAAGCCCGAGCCCGTCAAGGGTATCACAAGTAAAGCTCAAGCCAAGCCCGATGGGCTTTTTTTAACCTCAGCTCGGCCAAAGCTCACCCATTTTTATAATGTGAATTTTTAAATATTAATAAATTTCATTTTTTTTTTATATTTTTAATTCTATAAACAAATTTTAAATATTAACTTATTTTTGAATACTCACCAAATATATAAATAACTTTCCACAAAGTGTATCTATCTATCCATGTAGGGTTTGAGAAAAAATGAGTATATATATATGTAGGATAATCTTGTAATTAAATATATAGTATAAGAGTAGTTTAGTATAATTAATACTAAAATTGTCGGGTCGGCCCTAAAGGCATACCCAAGTTCGACCCGTACCTGAGGTTGAGCCTTAAAATCAGGCTCAAAAAGAATATCGGATAAAGCTCGACCTTTTCGGGCCGAATACCTGAAAATATCGGACCTATTGTCATCTCTAATAAGGAAATTCAACAGTTACACAATGAATAATCCAACGATAGCAAGGCCCAACATGTTCCGGTTGGTTAGTTGGGCATCACACACAACAAAAGCCTAGAACCTCTTAAGCACCAACCCTAAAGTTCAAGATTCTTCTACTTGTTTGTTTTTAAATAAATAAATACTATTACATACTTTGGTCCCTAGCTATGGTTAAAGACTCCAATCAGTACTTCTCAACGTGGAAACCAGTGTATGATCCCCCCATTACACAAAAAAATAAATAAACACTCTTTACTCTGCTTTACTTACGTTTAAAAAAAGATATATTTGAGTTGATTGAAAGATGCCTATGCTGGTTCTAGTAGATAATTCCTTCTAAATAATTGTACGCAGTTTGAAATCATTCGTCGTGCTGCTTCTCAGACCTGCTTTTAAATTTGATCCTGCTCTGTTAATCTTTATTGTTGATCATCTAATTGATTGATTTTGTAATTTCAAGCCTTTGTTTCTTAATGGGTTCTATCAGAAACAGCATAAGATCTATGGGGTTTGTAGCTGGGTGGTGGTTGTTGTTGTTGTTGTTGTTATATTGTTATCCAGTGAGTGGAATCGGAGTAAACTGGGGAACACAGGCTACGCATCCTTTGCCGGCTTCAACGGTGGTACGGATGCTAAAAGATAATGGGTTTGACAAGGTTAAGTTATTCGATGCTGATAACAAGATTTTTAATGCACTTTCCAACTCCGGAATTCAAGTGATGGTGGGTATCCCTAATGAAATGCTTTACACTCTTGCCAATGATGTCCAGGCAGCTGAAGATTGGGTTACTAAGAATATTTCGACTCATGTCTCTTCCAATTCTGTTGACATCAGGTAAATCTCTTTCTCTTATAAACTTAAAATTTAAATTCATCTTTAGAGAAGGGGATTGATGTATCATGTATGATTGTTTAGTTGGTTTTGAATTTCGCTGCCTGGTATTCTCCAGGTATGTTGCAGTTGGAAACGAACCGTTTCTCTCAACTTTCAATGGAACTTTCCTTAATACAACTCTTCCTGCTCTTCAAAATATACAGGCAGCTCTTATAAGAGCTGGTTTGAGCGCTCGGGTGAAAGTCACTGTCCCCCTCAACGCTGATGTTTACGAAAGCCAATCAAATCTCCCTTCTGAAGGTGACTTCCGGTCAGACATTCGTGATCTAATGGTGGAGATTACTAAGTTTTTAAGTGACAATGGGGCTCCTTTTACTGTAAACATCTACCCCTTTATTAGTCTCTATAGCGACTCCAATTTTCCCATTGACTTTGCCTTCTTCGATAACAACAATTCTGCTCCAATAAATGATGGTGGAAGAGTGTATCAAAATGTGTTTGAAGCTAACTATGACACCCTTGTCTGGGCTTTACAGAAAAATGGATTTGGTAACTTACCCATAATTGTTGGGGAAGTTGGATGGCCTACTGATGGAGACAAAAATGCAAATCTCATTTATGCCCAACGCTTCAACCAAGGGTTTATGTCGCACGTAAATGGTGGACAAGGAACGCCAATGAGAGCAGGCCCCCTGGATGCCTATTTATTTAGTCTTATTGATGAAGATGCCAAAAGCGTTCAGCCAGGTAATTTTGAACGCCATTGGGGTTTATTTTACATTGATGGAAAACCTAAGTACCAACTTAACCTTGTACCAAACAAGAATGGTTTGGTTGCTGCAAAGGGTGTACATTATCTTGCTCAAAAATGGTGTGTTATGTCACCTTCTGCAAGCCTTGATGATCCACAAGTTCCACTTAGTGTGAGTTACGCTTGTGCAAATGCTGATTGCACAAGTTTAGGTTATGGAGCTTCTTGCTCAAATTTGGATGCCCGTGGAAACGTTTCCTATGCCTTTAACACTTATTACCAGAGGAATAATCAACTTGACTCTGCCTGCCGGTTTCCAAATCTTTCCGTCATCACCACCAGCAATCCATCCGTGGGAGATTGCCAATTTAGGATCATGATCCAAACGACTGCCAGTGTTGGCGGGAGGTTAGTTGTTTCTATAACAATGCATACTGCTCTGCTGGTGTTGGTGTTTCTGTTTCCGTTTACAATGCGGTAAAATATTAAGGCGTGAATTCTCTACGTATAGACTTGTATAATTATTATTTGACATGCATACATTCGAAGTACACAATACGGTTTAGACCCCAAACTTGTATTTTTATACAGAGGGATGAATCTTCTTGTAGTTTAAGATATTATGTTTATGAACAATTCTAAACGTTCCATCTTAGAAACTAAACTGATCCCATTCGCTGGCTTCATTATGCATTACAAGCAAAAGCAATAGCTTAAACAGAACATATTCTCTACCATCACAGAAAATTGGTACTGTACTATCTTATAACATCACTGAAACTTATTTCAAAACACTTAGAAAACCTGCATCAACTCCTACCAACCTCGATGAAAACTGAATCCAAATGCCCCTGTCGATGTTCCCTGACAATTCTTTAAGTTTAAAGTAAACCAACTCACCAGTTTTCCATTCTATTAAATAAACAAACAATGTATGTATATACTCAAAAAGATTGTCCAGCAGCTATGGTCTAAAGCAAAATAAACACAGTTTGGTTCAAACATGACTCATTTCATTCTCAACCAACGTTGCATCAAGATATTTTTTTGGTTCTCAGCTCATTTCCAAATTCTCTGTTTCTAGTAGGCAAGCGCAAGACTACTGATGGCGCAGAGTAAATGCTGACCCCAAAAATCAGTTGAGGATTCCGTCTTAATGTCTTATCCCATTTTCTGTACTGTTGTGAAGGCTTCTGCAGCATTACACATTGAGTAGGATTAAACCTGCCATGAAGAGCTTAACGGTTAGCCTTTTAAAAAATTTATTAAACAATGTCATCTACAAATTTTACAAAATGAAAATTACAACAACATTTCTAAACATCATAAGAAAATGTGTTGCACCCCTTTCATTTCTGGGAATCAAATCCTTCAATTATTCTCCCAGAAAAATATTCATATTAATGGTGCAGTAAGCCCAGGAAACACATATTTATATCGTTCTACTTGTTTCCTTTTCACCACAGCACTTTGTTCATCAAAGAAAAACCATGTCTCTCTGTCTTCACATATACTAAGCGACACGCATAACCCTATCTCTGTCTACATGTGTTGAGTTCCATGTTTGTGATCAATTCAAATCTTTTGTCATGAAGGCCAATTTGATAGGAATGTTAAAAGATAAAAATACTTTAGCATATTGCATGATTTAACCATACTGAAATGGGCTGGCAAAGCTTAGCTCATATAGTAATATAATGGTATGCTTAAGCCCCTGCACTAGAAAATTCCCCACCCTGTGCTCAACATTTCTTGAAATATTTTACTTCAGTAAAGTCCCCACCCTGCGATTAACATTCAGATTAACACTTATTATATACCCCCATCACCATCCTAACTTGCATTATCACGGTCAATGCTCAAACTTCACCAATGAAATAGTTTTAAACACAAGCTTCATGACATAATTTTAATTTGTCCTCGTGATGTAGCAAGAGCAGTTCCCTTTTTGTTCATTCATTCTTTTCTAGTCAACCCCCAAATTAGTTGTTTGTAAATTATAACTTATAAATAATGTCAATTATTGCACTGTTTTTCTTTACCAAGTTTTTGTCCCATTGGGTTTTTCTTGATAAGTTTTTACGGGTAATAATTGTTATAATTTCTTATTTTATTTTTTTGATAATGAATGAATCTAATTTTTCTTATATTACAATTTTATTATATTAAATTGAATTAATATTTGAAATGTTTAAAAAAAAAAATTTAATTATTGAATTATTGATATTGAAAAGTTAACTAAAAACAATACATTTATTCATTTATAAATTGTTAATTATTCATTTGAAAAGTTAACTAAACAAAACAAAATAAAATATAAAAAAAAAAATCTAAAAAGGGGGTTAACCCGGCCCGGCCCGCAGCCTACCCGGCGGGTTGGGCCAACCAATCCCAAAAAATGGTGAGCCTAACCCGGCCTGCCTTTGTTGGCGGATAGGTTAGGACCTATCCGCCAAATTAGTAACCCACCACGGGTTGGGTTCGGTCAGGCTGGGCGAGTGAGTTACTTTCCAACATTATCTCTAATAAGGAAATTCAACGTTATACAATGAAATCCAACGATAGCAAGGCCCAACATGTTCCGGTTGGTAGTTGGGCTCACACACAACAAAAGCCTAGAACCTCTTAAGCACCAACCCTAAAGTTCAAGATTCTTCTACTGTTTTGTTTTTAAATAAATAAATACTATTACATACTTTGGTCCCTAGCTATGGTTAAAGATCCAATCATACTTCTCAACGTGGAAACAGTGTATGATCCCATCCACAAAAAAAAAATAATAAACACTCTTTACTCTGCTTACTTACTTACGTTAAAAAAGATATATTTGAGATGATTGAAAGATGCCTATCTGGTTCTAGTAGATAATTCCTTCTAATAATTGTTACGCAGTTTGAAATCATTCGTCGTGCTGCTTCTCAGACCTGCTTTTAAATTTGATCCTGCTCTGTTAATCTTTATTGTTGATCTCTAATTGATTGATTTTTGTAATTTCAAGCCTTGTTTCTTAATGGGTTCTATCAGAAACAGCATAAGATCTAGGGGTTTGTAGCTGGGTGGTGGTTGTTGTGTTGTTGTTGTTATATTGTTATCCAGTGAGTGGAATCGGAGTAAACGGGGAACACAGGCTACGCATCCTTTGCCGGCTTCAACGGTGGTACGGAGCTAAAAGATAATGGGTTTGACAAGGTTAAGTATTCGATGCTGATAACAAGATTTTTAATGCACTTTCCAACTCCGGAATTCAAGTGATGGTGGGTATCCCTAATGAATGCTTACTCTGCCAATGATGTCCAGGCGCTGAAGATTGGGTTACTAAGAATATTTCGACTCATGTCTCTTCCAATTCTGTTGACATCAGGTAAATCTCTTTCTCTTATAAACTTAAAATTTAAATTCATCTTTAGAGAAGGGGATTGATGTATATGTATGATTGTTTAGTTGGTTTTGAATTTCGCTGCCTGGTATTCTCCAGGTATGTTGCAGTTGGAAACGAACCGTTTCTCTCAACTTTCAATGGAACTTTCCTTAATACAACTCTTCCTGCTCTTCAAAATATACACAGAAGCTCTGTTGTAAGAAGCTTAAAAATTCATTTTTTACAGGATTTAAAAGTTATTATAAAACTGCAACTAAAAATGATTTAATAAAATTGTTTAAGAAAATGAAATTAGAATTAAAAAATAAAATATATACTTGTCATGTTAGTGTGGCTCTAACTGCCGATATTTGGAGTGGTAGAGCTAAACAAGATTATATTTGTGTGACTAGTCATTATTTTGATAACGAATGTAAATTAAATAAATTTTTATTAGGATTTAGATTAATGGATGTGGATCATAGTGGTCAACAAATTTATAATAAAGGGTACGTTTAGCTCCCTATTTTTATCCATATTCCCAATCCTATTCTCCAAATAATGTTTGGCACACTATTCCAGAAATATTACCCTATTTTTTTAATTACTTTTAGACCCCATAAAGGTTATTAATTTCACTAAATGCCCCCTAAATTTTTTAAAAAAAAATTAACAAAAACCCCCCATCAACCCAACTTGTTAGATTCCGGCAACCACCGCCGGTGATAGTCGGAATATGTACAACGGCCTAAATTCTGACCATAAATGGCCAGAATTACACCGATCTGGCCTTTTCCGGCCAGATCCACCACGGATCTGGCCGGAAAAGGCCAGATCTGGCCGTCAGCGACGGCCAAAGATGGCCGTCGTTTTGGCCTTTCCGCCGTCGACGGCGATAACAGGCCGTAGATCTGGCCTTTTTCGGCCAGATCCGTGGTGGATCTGGCCGGAAAAGGCCATAATGATGCGTTGCGGCACAGATCCGATCGGTCTGTGCCGTAACGAAATTTTTCGGCTAGATTCCGGCGGTGGCGGCCGGAATCTGACACTGCAGGTGGTGGGGGTGTTTTTGTCATTTTATATAGTAGGGTCTTTAATTAAATTAGTAAACCTAAGGGCTTTTTCATAAATTTTTCAAATTTACCTCGTAATACTCCCCTATCCAACAATCCAATATTATCCTCAAAATCCTATCCAAAATACTACACCAAACGCACCCAAAATTGTTGAAGTTTTAGAAGATTATGATATTGTTACTAAAGTGATAAGTTTAACTTTAGATAATACAATTGCTAATACTACAACTATATATTTTTTTCAAAGTAATTATCCTTTTTATAATAATTTGAAGTTTTTTCACTGACGTTGTGCATGTCACATTATTAATTCAATTGTAAAAAATGGTATGAAAACAATTAAAGAAAATATCGATAGAATTAGGGATTGTTTAGCTTGGATTACTAGTAGTAATAAACGAAATGCTGAATTTCAAGATGCTTGCATAAAATTAAATATGTCTCCTAGAACTTTTGCATTAGACATGCTTGTTAGATGGAATAGTATTTATTTAATGCTTGATTCATGTTTACCTTATGCAAATTTAATTAGATATTTTGTAGGAAATAATAGAGATCCTCATTATTTGGTAGAAAATGATTAGCATATAGCTAAAATATTTCATTATTTTCTTAAAAATTTTTACCAATTCACTTTACAACTTTCAGGTGTATATTATCCTAATAGTCCATTGGTAATACATACAATTATAAAAATTTCAGAGTTATTTACAAAAAAACAAAAACAATGAAATTTTAAAAGAACCAATAAAGGCAATGGAAATTTTTTTTTTTTAAATATTGGGAACCCATTCATTTTCTTTATTATTTAGGTGCTATATTAGATCCTAGAATTAAATTAGCAGGTTTATAAAATGGTTTAGACAATTTAAGTGAAAATTTACAAACCGAAGCATATGCCAATCAAATAGGAGAGGTAAAAAATTGTCTTGCAGAAGTATATTTCCAATATGAAAACAGGTATGGGAACCCGCAAAAAGGCGAACTATCTAGGGAAGTTGCATCAGAATAAATAAATGAAGACTTCTACTCTTGGAGTGCACTGAATAGGCCGAAGAGGACCCGAATCCGAAGCACGACCTCCTCTTCAGAACCACCACCACCAACAACAACTAATATACTGTCATCCATGCAGTCACAGAGTAACGAGCTTCAACAATATTTGGCAACCCCCAAAATGTTACCAGCATATCCACAATAGAGAGCCAACTTTGATGTCTTGGAATATTGGAAAGCCAGAAAATGTATTTTTTCGGTATTATCAATACTTGCCTTGGATGTTTTCGCTGTTCCTGTCTCAACCGTCTTATCCGAAAAAACATTTAGTGCAAGTGGAAGAGTTTTAAATGAAAGGAGGACTAAACTTTCACAAAAAATATTTGAAGTCCTCACATGTCTTCGAGATTGGGAACGGTCGCATCATCAAGATCAATACGAGGTTGTCGATGATACTTTAATAGAATCATTTCAATTTTGTAAATATAGATGATACAGAGGATGAGAGGTTCTAGTCAACCCCCAAATTAGTGGTTTTGTAAATTATAACTTATAAATTAAATGTCAATTATTGCACTGTTTTTCTTTACCAAGTTTTTGTCCCATTGGGTTTTCTTGATAAGGTTTTTACGGGTTAATAATTGTTATAATTCTTATTTTATTTTTTTGATAAATGAATGAATCTAATTTTTCTTTATTACAATTTATTATATTAAAATTGAATTAATATTTGAAATGTTTAAAAAAAAAAAATTTAATTTAATTGAATTATTGATATTTGAAAAGTTAACTAAAAACAATACATTTATTCATTTATAAATTGTAATTATTCATTTGAAAAGTTAACTAAACAAAACAAAATAAAATATAAAAAAAAAAATCTAAAAAGGGGGTTAACCCGGCCCGGCCCGCAGCCTACCCGGCGGGTTGGGCCAACCAATCCCCAAAAAATGGTGAGCCTAACCCGGCCTGCCTTTGTTGGCGGATAGGTTAGGACCTATCCGCCAAATTAGTAACCCACCACGGGTTGGGTTCGGTCAGGCTGGGCGAGGACGTTACTTTCCAACATTATCTCTAATAAGGAAATTCACACGTTATACAATGAAAATCCAACGATAGCAAGGCCCAACATGTTCCGGTTGGTGTTGGGCTCACACACAACAAAAGCCTAGAAACCTCTTAAGCACCAACCCTAAAGTTCAAGATTCTTCTACTGTTTGTTTTTAAATAAATAAATACTATACATACTTTGGTCCCTAGCTATGGTTAAAGATCCAATCAATACTTCTCAACGTGGAAACGAGTGTATGATCCCATCACACAAAAAAATAAATAATAAACACTCTTTACTCTGCTTACTTACTATACGTTAAAAAAAGATATTTGAGGTGATTGAAAGATGCCTATGCTGGTTCTAGTAGATAATTCCTTCTAATAATTGTTCGCAGTTTGAAATCATTCGTCGTGCTGCTTCTCAGACCTGCTTTTAAATTTGATCCGCTCTGTTAATCTTTATTGTTGATTCTAATTGATTGATTTTTGTAATTTCAAGCCTGTTTCTTAATGGGTTCTATCAGAAACAGCATAAGATCTAGGGGGGTGTAGCTGGGTGGTGGTTGTTGTGTTGTTGTTGTTATATTGTTATCCAGTGAGTGGAATCGGAGTAAACGGGGAACACAGGTACGCATCCTTTGCCGGCTTCAACGGTGGTAGGAGCTAAAAGATAATGGGTTTGACAAGGTTAAGTATTCGATGCTGATAACAAGATTTTTAAGCACTTTCCAACTCCGGAATTCAAGTGATGGTGGGTATCCCTAAGAGAATGCTATACTCTGCCAATGATGTCCAGGCGCTGAAGATTGGGTTACTAAGAATATTTCGACTCATGTCTCTTCCAATTCTGTTGACATCAGGGAAATCTCTTTCTCTTATAAACTTAAAATTTAAATCATCTTTAGAGAAGGGGATTGATGTATATGTATGATTGTTTAGTTGGTTTTGAATTTCGCTGCCTGGTATTCTCCAGGTATGTTGCAGTTGGAAACGAACCGTTTCTCTCAACTTTCAATGGAACTTTCCTTAATACAACTCTTCTGCTCTTCAAAATATCACGAGCTCTTAAGAGCTGGTTTGAGCGCTCGGGTGAAAGTCACTGTCCCCCTCAACGCTGATGTTTACGAAAGCCAATCAAATCTCCCTTCTGAAGGTGACTTCCGGTAGACATTCGTGATTAATGGTGGAGATTACTAATTTTTAAGTGACAATAGGGGCTCTTTACTGAAACATCTACCCCTTTATGTCTCTATAGCGACCCAATTTTCCCATTGACTTTGCCTTCTTCGATAACAACAATTCTGCTCCAATAAATGTAGGTGGAAGAGTGTATCAAAATGTGTTTGAAGCTAACTATGACACCCTTGTCTGGGCTTTACAGAAAAATGGATTTGGTAACTTACCCATAATTGTGGGGAAGTTGGATGGCCTACTGATGGAGACAAAAATGCAAATCTCATTTATGCCCAACGCTTCAACCAAGGGTTATGTCGCACGTAAATGGTGGACAAGGAACGCCAATGAGAGCAGGCCCCCTGGATGCCTATTTATTTGTCTTATTGATGAAGATGCCAAAAGCGTTCAGCCAGGTAATTTTGAACGCCATTGGGGTTTATTTTACATTGATGGAAAACCTAAGTACCAACTTCACTTGTAACAAACAAGAATGGTTGGTTGCTGCAAAGGGTGTACATATCTTGCTCAAAAATGGTGTGTTATGTCACCTTCTGCAAGCCTTGATGATCCACAAGTTTCACTTAGTGTGAGTTATGCGTGCAAATGCTGATTGGACAAGTAGGTTATGGAGTTCTTGCTCAAATTTGGATGCCGTGGAAACGTTTCCTATGCGTTTAACACTATTACCAGAGGAATGATCAAATTGACTGCCTGCCGGTTTCCAAATTTTCCGCATCACCACCAGCAATCCATCCGTGGAGATTGCCAATTTAGGATCATGATCCAAACGACTGCCAGTGTTGGCGGGAGGTAGTTTTTTCTATAACAATGCATACTGCTCTGCTGGTTGGTGTTTCTGTTTCTCGTTTACAATGCGGTTAATATTAAGGCGTGAATTCTCTACGTATAGACTTGTATAATTATTATTTGACAGCATACATTCAAGTACACAATACGGTTTAGACCCCAAACTTGTATTTTTATACAGGGATGAATCTTCTTGTAGTTAAGATATTATGTTTAGAACAATTCTAAACGTTCCATCTAGAAACTAAACTGATCCCATTCGCTGGCTCATTATGCATTAAAGCAAAAGCAATGACTTAAAACGAACTATTCTCTACCATCACAGAAATTGGTACTGTACTATTTATAACATCACTGAAACTTATTTCAAAACACTTAGAAAACCGCATCAACTCCTCCAACCAGATGAAAAACTGAATCAAATGCCCCCGTTGATTTTCCCTGACAATTCTTTAAGTATGGTCCAAAGCAAAATAAACAGAGTTTCGTTCAAACAGACTCATTTCATTCTCAAACCAACGTTGCATCAAGATATTTTTTTGGTTCTCAGCTCATTTCCAAATTCTCTGTTTCTAGTAGGCAAGCGCAGACTACTGATGGCGCAGAGTAAATGCTGACCCCAAAAATCAGTTGAGTTCCGTCTTAATGTCTTATCCCATTTTCTGTACTGTGTGAAGGCTTCTGCAGCATTACACATTGAGTAGGATTAAACCTGCCGAAGAGCTAACGGTTAGCCTTTAAAAAATTTATTAAACAATGTCATCTACAAATTTTACAAAATGAAAATTACAACAACATTCTAAACATCATAAGAAAATGGTTGCACCTTCATTCTGGGAATCAAACCTCAATTATTCTCCCAGAAAATATTCATATTAATGGTGCAGTAAGCCCAGGAACACATATTTATATCTTCTACTTGTTCCTTTTCACCACGCACTTTGTTCATCAAAGAAAAACATGTCTCTCTGTTTCACATACTAAGCGACACCATAACCCTATCTCTGTCTACATGTGTTGAGTTCCATGTTCGTGATCAATTCAAATCTTTTGTCATGAAGGCCAATTTGATAGGAATGTTAAAAGATAAAAATACTTTAGCATATTGCATGATTTAACCATACTGAAATGGGCTGGCAAAGCTTAGCTCATATAGTAATATAATGGTATGCTTAAGCCCCTGCACTAGAAAATTCCCCACCCTGTGCTCAACATTTCTTGAAATATTTTACTTCAGTAAAGTCCCCACCCTGCGATTAACATTCAGATTAACACTTATTATATACCCCCATCACCATCCTAACTTGCATTATCACGGTCAATGCTCAAACTTCACCAATGAAATAGTTTTAAACACAAGCTTCATGACATAATTTTAATTTGTCCTCGTGATGTAGCAAGAGCAGTTCCCTTTTTGTTCATTCATTCTTTTCCTTCTCTCTCTCTATCTCTTTTGTTTATTTTTTATTTGAGATTAAGAAGAGAAATTATAAAAATTAAAGAAAAATACAGCAAAACCTACCACACTTAACCAGTGGCACCATTTTAATGTCCCATCTGATGCTTTCGGAGATAGTCTCTTGATCTTATGTCAGCCTACATGTCATATGAAAAGCAGAGACTAGAGTTATGCATCAATATCTCTCAAACAAAACAGGTAAATCAAAGAAAGAATAAGAAAACAATTTCCTTTCAAAACTATTAACAATTGATGACTGGCAAGATGACAAGAAGCATTGTCACAGACAAGCTCATAAAACTAGATATCACCTTCCAACTTCAAAACATACATAATAAATAATTTTAGTTTGATAACTACACTAAAGATCTACACCAGAAATTTATGAACACATCATTTTGAATTTTTTATTAGATAGTGGGCTCACAACATAAGAACATATCCTCAAAGCTTTTGAAGTACACTGGACTCTTTCTGATCAAATGTTAAAAATAAGAAACAACAACAGCAACAACAACAATAAATAAACCTTTAAAAGAATGACACTGGGTTGACAGCCGAAAAAAGTACGAGATATTTAATAACCTGCCTGATAGGCTCTGGCACACGATACTTGCAAGTCATTTTAACAATCAGCACCGCAGTATCAAGTGATATGCGGTGACCAATTGAAATAAATATCGGTTTCAATGTATCTGGAGTTGATCTCATTGCCTGCGGAAAAAGAAAGAAAAAAACCTTGAGATACGATTCTGTCAACCAAACCTGTGGAGCTAAGGAAACAAGGACAACAAAATCATCTAAAAGAACTAGATGCCTTCCAAAAATAGAAGCTATATTTATTTGAGAATAGGGATTTTAAACATAATTAAACAAATAAATCCGGTTAATCCAACATTTCAGAAGGCGCAAAACGGTTGTCTAAGGGCCTAAGTTTTCTTCCTAAGAACTCACCCACACATTTAAACTTTAATTTCGAACAAGATAACAAGTCCTGACAACGAGGATAAAATCTCTCCTAGCATGTAGAATGAATTAATAAGAACCGATGACAAGACAATTGACAATTCTGCTTTCAGATTTTCAATCCTGAAGTTCCTCACATCTCATGCTTGAATTTAAGAATATTGTGCAACTCTGGAACCCAATAAAGAACAATATGGGCTGCCAACAAATTATCTGGGCAACAGCCTGGTTTCAGATATACTATGGACCTATAAAATGAACAAGGAAGGAGCCAATATAACTAAAAATTTCATGAACAAAGTTTACATCTCCGTATTCAGATATGATAAGGACTCACATGTCAAAATGTCTAAGACATTAAAGATCCCACCAAAATCCAACTATTTTACCTTCACAGACCAAAAGTTTAATTCTCTATGAGAAAGAAAAGTTCCTATTTTGCTTCTCTATAGAGAGGATGCACATGTGACATGACAGAGAATCTTTCAATTAGGTAGTTGATGGAAACCAGCCTCCCAGACTCACGTTTAAACACAGACAATAAAAGTAAATGCAAATATTCAACCACAAGCACTATACTAAACTGGAATAAAACTGTATTAAGAGGAAATGGATTTGTAACAAACAGAAAATGAAAATAAACCCAGCAATACACTGATCTTCGAGGGTCAGTTCCTCCTATACAATTCCCTACTAATTTTCCATAATCTATCCTACGCTCCTGCTCTCCTTTTATTCTCACTCAAGATTCCCTTCTCTTAACAAACTCTAACAATAATTGCCATCAGTTAAGCCTTCCTTGTGCCATTTGCTTCCTTGCCAACTGTCCCGCCTTGTCATGCCTTCCCTTTCCCATTTTGCCCTTTTCCGTTATACCACTTGGTGACCAAGTGTCCATCAGTAGTCTAAGTTTTACGATACTAAATATTGTAGAAATAACTTGTCTGCGATTTTTATTTATTCTGTAGTAACTACAAACCCCACCCACACTTTCCACACACACAACTAAAATTAAAATGATCCCTTGCAGTGTTGGTTTGAGAAGAGTTGTTCCCCAGACCTTTCCCCTGGGAATGTCTCCAAAAACATGCCCTCAGAATTTATCCTAAATCAATTTACTTAATAGACTACTAACAAAGCCAAAAAGCCAAAATCTGGAAAGCTTACAACCATGCAAATAAAGGAATTTTAAAATGATTCACTCCCAAGGAAAGTAGAAAGTGAGATACCTAAATTAATTCACCATAACTAATAAAGGTTTAATATAACAGCAGTGTTACAATTCATGATCTCCCTTGCAGTAGGATATACAACCAAAAAAAAAAAAAAAATTATAAATAAATAATAAAAATTCATGCTAACTCACCACTCCCCATACGAATCCAGTTCTTCCTTTCAAAGTAATAATATCTGCATCACTGTTTTCTTTTGCTTCCAGTAGTTGCCTTACTGTAGTATGAGTGAGACCATCCACGTGGTGCAGCTGGAATATATCAAAGTTTGAAACTTTTCATGATTGGATTTACAAAACCAAAAGTCAAGAACTCAAGTTCTAGATATCCAATTCAGATCAGGGACAAGTGATTTTATGCTATGCCATATTATCAAAGAAAGTAAGATAAGTTAATCTAAAGCAGCATGGTGGAACTATTCAATATTATTATTGACATTCATTATAAAAAATCCTTCAAGGAACTTTGCTTTTTTAACACGAGAAGAACTAATCCATAATATAGTCAGAACTTACATTCTTTCCAATTCCAATTGTTGGGAGATTAGCCAGAACACCTAGATGACAAGCCAGGCCAAAACCTACACAAGGATATTAATAAATTACTGTTAGGTTGTATCCAATAATCAACAAACGGGGAAAAACATTCTTTATAAATGTTGCATTAGAACTTTCAACATAATACTACACTGGAAACCAGGTTATGCAAACATTCTTTCCCTACCTCAAACTTGCAAAAGGAAAATAAAATCACCGAGCTTTATTTATAATGTAGAAGAAGAAATAACATACACGGAAATTTGGCAAAAGGACTTGCCTCGAGGATGGAGTAACCCATTTCCATCAACCATTAATAACTGCTGATCATAGAAGGAACAAAATTTCATAAATCTGATTAAAAGAAAAACAGGTAGCAAAATAGCAAAAAAATGTATCAGTATTTAAAAATGAAAAGAAAGTGTAATATGACCTGTGGATAGAAAGGATTAGCCTTCATTTTCATATTTTCCAGAAGCTGTAAAAGAACTGGAGCCTAAAATCGAGAGAAAGAAAAGAAAATATTAAAGAGCAATGCAATGAAGAAAAAGCAATAATGGGAAAGTTGTGTTAAAAAGACCTCACGAAAAGCAAGGAAACCGGGGACATAAGGAACTTGAAGATTGTGGATAGAGTAGTCCTCGTAAACAAGTTGCAGAGTTTGGAGGTCCAACACAACGAGGCAGCCGCATGCAATAGAAGGGTCTTCCTTTGAGTAGCTGATATCAACCCCACCCACAAACTTTAACAACACCTCTTCTTCTTTTAACTCAATGGAGTTGGAGTTGGGTAGTTTCCAATTGAAATCGTCCTCTGTTATCAGTCTCTCTTTTAGAGAATCTTGAACCCTGCCATCATAAACAATAATAAAGTATTTTACCAATATCATCATGGAGAAATAAAAGAGACAAAAAAGAATAAATTTCAAGTTGAGATACTCTAGCCAGTTGTTGCCTCCAGCTTGAGCAGGGTCTATCTCTTTCTCCGGTGATGCTACTGCTTCTTTTTCTTCTTTATTTCCAGTAATCTTTTCCATGATTTTCCTTTTACCTGTAACATAAGAAATATTAACCAGAGGTTCAGAGCAAAGTATGTCTCTATAGTCTATAGCAGAACAATTAGCACTATAAAGTTTATTCTTTATAAGGACCTGAGATTTTGGAAATTATAGTTTATGCCCCTAACTATATTTAACTTATTGAAAAATGTGAGGTCTTTATTGTGATTAAAATAGATCTCTGGAGTCGATTGTAACTATCCCTATTACTTAACGTGATTATTTTGTTGAGAGCAGATCAGCAGAAATGGGGCGAGGCGTGTTATAGACGGGTCTTTAAACGGGCCGAACCAATATACGAATAATGAAAAGTAGGGTTAGAGTAAAGGAGTCGGGTTATTCGGGAAACTTCGGATCCAGTTGTTTTATTGAAGAAGAAAGAACTCTCCTTCTGATGCTATAAAACGACCACAAAACCCGCAGAGGCATTCTTTTGTTAGTTTTCCCTAAAATTTACATTACTGTGAGGTCTGATGAAAGATTGATTGTTTTTCGGTGAGTATATTAAATGGAAGGATCATCGACCCAAGGGCATGAGCATAGTGAAAGTCCTGCTCATGAAGAAGAGACGACGAAGAAAGAAGAGGAAGAGTTGATGGCGAAGGCACAGAGACTCATGGAAAAGATTACTGCCTCATCCGATAACCCTAATCCCACACTCCTCCATGCCCTTGCCTCTCTGTTAGAGATCCAAGAATCACTGTAAGTTTGGCTTTCGATTATAATTTTGTTATGTTTTGCTGTACACTCATTTACTCGTGTTAATTTGAGTTTATGATTGTATATATTCATCCTTTTTATATTAATTGCAGATTCTTGCAAGATAATGGTTATTCCACCAGTAATGCTCATTCCGCGAGAGCGTCTCATAACATTGGACGCCTTGGCAACTTACTTCGGGTAACTGAGTTTATATGTCCTGTGTCTATTCTTTTCTTTCTTTATTTATTTTAGTGGTTTTGTCTTGTTTGGTATCTGTGTGTCAACTGTATTAGTCTTAAATAAAGATTAATAAGATAATTCTTTTACTCCCTCTACAGGAGAACGATGATTTTTTTGAACTGATATCATCCAAGTTTTTCTCTGAAAGTAGATATTCCACCTCCGTCCAGGCAGCTGCTGCACGTCTTCTATTAAGCTGTTCTCTCACTTGGATAGTAAGATAATTCTTCCTCGAAAGTTTTTTTTTTTTAATATTTTCTTTTGGTCTTTATGTCCTGTTTTATCCGTTTCATGTCCTGTAAAATCCATACAGTATCCTTATGTCATGTTTTATCTGCTTCATGTCCTGTAAAATCCGTACAGTATCCTCATGTTTTTGAAGAACCCATTGTGGAGAACATAAAAAATTGGGTGATGGATGAGACTGCCCGTTTTTCTGGTGAAGATCGTAACTCGAGCCACGAAGTTGGNAATTATTAAAGAGCAATGCAATGAAGAAAAAGCAATAATGGGAAAGTTGTGTTAAAAAGACCTCACGAAAAGCAAGGAAACCGGGGACATAAGGAACTTGAAAATTGTGGATAGAGTAGTCTTCGTAAACAAGTTGAAGAGTTTGGAGGTCCAACACAACGAGGCAGCCGCATGCCATAGAAGGGTCTTCCTTTGAGTAGCTGATATCAACCCCACCCACAAACTTTAACAACACCTCTTCTTCTTTTAACTCAATGGAGTTGGAGTTGGGTAGTTTCCAATTGAAATCGTCCTCTGTTATCAGTCTCTCTTTTAGAGAATCTTGAACCCTGCCATCATAAACAATAATAAAGTATTTTACCAATATCATCATGGAGAAATAAAAGAGACAAAAAAGAATAAATTTCAAGTTGAGATACTCTAGCCAGTTGTTGCCTCCAGCTTGAGCAGGGTCTATCTGTTTCTCCGGTGATGCTACTGCTTCTTTTTCTTCTTTATTTCCAGTAATCTTTTCCATGATTTTCCTTTTACCTGTAACATAAGAAATATTAACCAGAGGTTCAGAGCAAAGTATGTCTCTATAGTCTATAGCAGAAAGATTAGCACTATAAAGTTTATTCTTTTTAAGGACCTGAGATTTTGGAAATTATAGTTTATGCCCCTAACTATATTTAACTTATTGAAAAATGTGAGGTCTTTATTGTGATTAAAATAGATCTCTGGAGTCGATTGTAACTATCCCTATTACTTAACGTGATTATTTTGTTGAGAGCAGATCAGCAGAAATGGGGCGAGGCGTGTTATAGACGGGTCTTTAAACGGGCCGAACCAATATACGAATAATGAAAAGTAGGGTTAGAGTAAAGGAGTCGGGTTATTCGGGAAACTTCGGATCCAGTTGTTTTATTGAAGAAGAAAGAACTCTCCTTCTGATGCTATAAAACGACCACAAAACCCGCAGAGGCATTCTTTTGTTAGTTTTCCCTAAAATTTACATTACTGTGAGGTCTGATGAAAGATTGATTGTTTTTCGGTGAGTATATTAAATGGAAGGATCATCGACCCAAGGGCATGAGCATAGTGAAAGTCCTGCTCATGAAGAAGAGACGACGAAGAAAGAAGAGGAAGAGTTGATGGCGAAGGCACAGAGACTCATGGAAAAGATTACTGCCTCATCCGATAACCCTAATCCCACACTCCTCCATGCCCTTGCCTCTCTGTTAGAGATCCAAGAATCACTGTAAGTTTGGCTTTCGATTATAATTTTGTTATGTTTTGCTGTACACTCATTTACTCGTGTTAATTTGAGTTTATGATTGTATATATTCATCCTTTTTATATTAATTGCAGATTCTTGCAAGATAATGGTTATTCCACCAGTAATGCTCATTCCGCGAGAGCGTCTCATAACATTGGACGCCTTGGCAACTTACTTCGGGTAACTAAGTTTATATGTCCTGTGTCTATTCTTTTCTTTCTTTATTTATTTTAGTGGTTTTGTCTTGTTTGGTATCTGTGTGTCAACTGTATTAGTCTTAAATAAACATTAATAAGATAATTCCTTTACTCCCTCTACAGGAGAACGATGATTTTTTTGAACTGATATCATCCAAGTTTTTCTCTGAAAGTAGATATTCCACCTCCGTCCAGGCAGCTGCTGCACGTCTTCTATTAAGCTGTTCTCTCACTTGGATAGTAAGATAATTCTTCCTCGAAAGTTTTTTTTTTTTAATATTTTCTTTTGGTCTTTATGTCCTGTTTTATCCGTTTCATGTCCTGTAAAATCCATACAGTATCCTTATGTCATGTTTTATCTGCTTCATGTCCTGTAAAATCCGTACAGTATCCTCATGTTTTTGAAGAACCCATTGTGGAGAACATAAAAAATTGGGTGATGGATGAGACTGCCCGTTTTTCTGGTGAAGATCGTAACTCGAGCCACGAAGTTGGGAAAAGGGAAGCTTCAGATTCTGAAATGTTGAGAACTTACTCAACCGGGCTTCTTGTTTTGTGTTTGTCAGGGTACACTTATTAGCTTATGATTAACTATTTTCCTGCTTTTAATAACCTCTTTTATATGCTTAGTTTGTTTATACCATCTCTTTTATGTGGTTTTGATTTATTATAGTGGTGGGCAAGTGGTTGTTGAAGATGTGTTGACATCTGGATTGTCTGCAAAGCTTATGCATTATCTGCGCATACGCGTCCTTGGGGAGACAAGTACAAGTCAAAAAGATGCTAGCCATTTAACTGACAGTAGGAATTCCTCTGGTGCTACCTCCTTAAGAGGTAGAGAAGAAGGTAGGGGTAGAGTCCGGCAGGTTCTTGAGACAATGCATTCTGATGAGCAAAGAACGACTGATGAGCGATCTTTTGATGATCAAGATGGTGAAAGGGATCAGGACAAAGGTATTGGTAGGCAGACACGTGGAGAAGAGTGCAGGATTGATGATGGAGAACCACCTGATGGGTCAGCAGAGGGGGTTGATATATGTGAGGTAAATACCGATATTGAGGAAAGATGGTATGGTCGTGAGGGAAAGACAAAATTTGGTGATTTTGATGAAGGTGGAAGAGATGACTCCTCAAGGCGTAGGTCAAATCGTGGATGGGCAAGATCTAGAGGGAAGGGTAGGATTTATGAAGGGTCTATGGAAAGTGAACAAGTTTTGACATCTCCAGGATCTGGTATTCGTCTAGGACAGGGACGGAATGTAAGAGATAAGAGTTTCTTAAGAACTTCAGACTTGAAAAAAGTACCAGATGCTAGGAAGTATTCAGGAAAAAACAGTTCTGATAGTTTGATTGTGGAGAGAGATGATGGCGATGACTGCTTTCAGGGATGCAGAGTAGGAAGCAAAGACATCTTTGATTTGGTAAAGAAAGCAGTTAGTTCTGCTGAGGCTGAAGCTAGAGCAGCAAATGCTCCTGTAGAAGCCATCAAAGCAGCTGGTGACTCAGCTGCTGAAGTTGTCAAAAGTGCAGCTCTAGAGGTATGTACTGTCATTCTTATTGTCTAGTTTTTTTTTTTTTTAATACATTGTTTTGTTTATACCTTTCGAACTTCATGTGCGGAAAACGTATAGATTTCTAGGTGTCAAAATAATATAATAATACTTATCTTAACTGAAGTCTTTCAATTGTTCTTTTTTGCGACTTTTTATCAGGAATTTAGAACTTCCAACGATGAAGAAGCCGCTGTTTTGGCTGCTTCCAGAGCTGCTTCTACTGTTATTGACGCTGCTAATGCAGTTGAAGTTTCAAGGTTGGTAATTTCACATTAAAGCAAGTATGCTTGGGTAATGGGTTTTAGTTTGGTGGTTATGATGGTATTATATCTTCTGGTTAAATGTATTTCAGTTAGGCAGGTGCTAATATACTAGTTATGGGTTGGTGACAGGAACTGTAGCAACAATAATGCTGAGTCAGTGAGTTTAAGTGTCACAGAAACAGAAGTAATTGAGGATGTTGAAGAATATTTCATCCCTGATGTTGAAACCCTTGCACAGTTGAGAGAAAAATACTGCATTCAGTGCCTTGAGACATTAGGTGAATACATGGAAGTTCTGGGTCCTGTGTTACATGAAAAGGGAGTAGATGTCTGTCTTGCACTATTGCAACGGAGTTGCAAATCTGAAGAAGCATCAAAGGTTACAAACATTTTGCCTGATGTGATGAAGCTAATTTGTGCTTTGGCTGCTCACCGAAAATTTGCTGCATTGTTTGTGGATAGAGGTGGAATACAAAAGTTGCTTTCTGTGCCAAGAACCAATCAGACCTTTTTTGGTCTTTCTTCTTGTTTGTTTACTATAGGATCTCTTCAGGTAATGCTTTCTAGTGAATGAGTGTAAGAATTTGTGTACTTTGCTTGCATTAATTTTTACCTACTCTGTACTATGATTTCTCACTTGTAGAAAATTTGTTTCAGGGGATTATGGAACGTGTATGTGCGCTTCCTTCTGATGTTGTGTACCAGGTGGTTGAGTTAGCTATTTACCTTCTTGAGTGCTCCCAGGATCTAGCCAGAAAAAATGCAGCCTTATTTTTTGCTGCTGCATTTGTGTTCAGAGCAGTTATTGATGCTTTTGATGCTCAGGATGGCTTACAGAAATTACTGGGCCTTTTAAACGATGCTGCCTCTGTAAGATCTGGAGGTAATTCTGGGGCTTTAGGCCTTTCTGGTTCAACATCACTTCGAAATGATCGATCACCACCAGAAGTACTGACATCCTCGGAGAAGCAGATAGCTTATCACACTTGTGTTGCTTTGCGACAATATTTTAGAGCACATCTTCTTTTGCTTGTTGATTCCATTCGTCCTAATAAAAGTAATCGAAGTGCACCCCGGAATATTCCAAATGTAAGGGCTGCTTACAAGCCACTTGACATTAGTAATGAGGCAATTGATGCAGTTTTTCTACAGTTACAGAAAGATCGGAAGCTAGGCCCTGCATTTGTTAGAACTCGTTGGCCTGCTGTTGACAGGTTCTTAAGTTCTAATGGACATATTACCATGTTGGAATTGTGTCAGGTATGGTGTGATGACTCTTTACATTATTATTCCCTTCTATTTGCTTCTCTCTATAAATTATTTTTGGTTTCTGTTTTTAGGCCCCTCCTGTTGAGCGTTATTTGCATGACTTGCTTCAGTATGCATTGGGTGTTCTGCATATTGTTACATTGGTACCGAACAGCCGCAAGATGATAGTAAATGCCACACTCAGTAACAATCATTCTGGTATAGCAGTCATTTTGGATGCGGCAAATGTTACTAGTAGTTATGTCGACCCCGAGGTAAAGAAATTTTATGTGAACATTTCTCTCTTTGGTATTGATGCTTTAGTTCTGGTTGTCCAGTAAGTTATAACAATCATAACTGGAGAATGCTGGAAAGAGATTTTTTTTTTTTTTTTATTATTATTATTTTTATTTGTTTGAAAACAAACGAAGATGAAATTGGATGCTTCCTAGGTCAGCTAATTGGCTCTTGAGATTGTACAAAAGATTTTGGGATCAAATCCTACTCACACCTTATTTTGAGAGGGAGGGTGTTTGATTTATATTTTGGTTTTAAAAAGTAAAATGTAATAGAAAAGAAAGTTACCAGAGCTGAGAATATGCTGCGGCAGACTCCTGAGGCCGTTATAGTGTGTGTTGTCCATAACAGTTGTCTCATTCTAAGATTATATTTAATTTTGCAGATCATACAGCCAGCACTGAACGTGTTAATCAATCTTGTCTGTCCTCCACCTTCAATCAGCAATAAGCCACCTTTACTTGCACAAGGTCAGCAGTCTGTTTCTGGCCAACCCTCAAATGGTTCGTCTATGGAAAATAGAGATAGGAATGCAGAACGTAATATTTCAGAAAGAGCTGTTTACATGCCTAGTCAGAGTGACTTAAGAGAGCGTAATGGGGAATCTAGTGTGCTAGATAGAGGCACTGCAGCAAACACACAGTCCACTAGTGGCAGTTCACAGACACCTTTCCCCACTCCAACATCAGGATTAGTTGGGGATCGTAGAATATCTTTAGGTGCTGGGGCAGGTTGTGCTGGTCTTGCTGCACAGCTGGAACAAGGATATCGTCAAGCAAGGGAGGCTGTCCGTGCCAACAATGGCATAAAGGTACTTCTACACCTCCTGCAACCGCGCATTTATTCTCCTCCTGCTGCTCTAGACTGTCTTCGAGCTCTCGCATGTCGAGTCTTGCTTGGCTTGGCCAGAGATGATACAATTGCGCACATATTGACTAAGCTTCAGGTAAGTGACTCTTATGTAATACTTTCAAGTCAAATTTTAATGGTATTCTCAACGCAATTAAGGTTATATTGCATTGCTGAGGTATGCCTTTAAATTTTAGTATTGGTACGGAGTAGTAGATTTGTGAAACTTGAGAAATTACTTAGAACATAACCCATCTTATCAAAAAAAAAAGGAAAAAAGAAAAAAGAAAAATTGTAATTAGATTTTATATTTCATATGAGTTTCACTAAATATACACAAACTCTGTGGGATAATAGTGTAAAGTTTTGTGGGATAAATTTTTATTTCTCAGTTGTCACTACTAAGCTCAACTTGACCTTCCAGGTAGGGAAAAAGTTATCAGAACTGATTCGAGATTCAGGTAGCCAGATGCCTGGAACTGACCAAGGCAGATGGCAGGCTGAACTTTCTCAGGTGGCGATTGAGCTTATTGCGGTAAGCATCAGTGTATCTTTATTTTAATGTGCTGTCTCATGTATGAACAGTAATTATTTGAGATTAGGATAAAAGGGTTTAGTACCATTTAGTGCCAAATTGAAATCATCTCTAACCTACATTGTTTTCTGACTTGTTAAATCCAAAATATCTTCTCTCTCTTTTAATTGCAGTTTTTACTGGGTGAGAAAAAGAAGTACTACACTGTAGAATTGATATTTCATTCCCTTTAATTAGTAATGTAGCACATGCTATTGTATTTATCTGCTGAACAAACAATGAAAAATATTGCTATTCACTCTCCAGTAATATGAAACTTGCTATGAATATCTTGCTAGGCATTTATTTTCCTCAATTGGAAATCACCGCTTGATTTTATTGTTTATTTTACTTAGTAGAAGTATTTTGAATTTGTGTAAAATTGTTTTTGTGTTTTGTAGGTTGTAACAAATTCAGGGCGTGCAAGTACATTAGCAGCTACTGATGCTGCTACCCCTACTTTAAGGCGCATCGAACGAGCAGCCATAGCTGCTGCTACCCCCATCACTTACCATTCCAGGTATTCCTTTCTTTTTCCGGAACAATGTTCTTTTTGGTGATTCTTTTCCTTTGTCCCTTTGATAATTTAATAATTTTATTTTCCCATTCCGTGGTTTGGGCATGTTTGAAAACTTTAGGGAACTTCTACTTCTTATACATGAACACCTTCAGGCATCGGGTTTGGGTACAACAGCTGCAACACTGCTCAAAGAGGCACAGTTGACACCTTTGCCCTCATTGGCAGCCCCATCATCTCTTGCACATCAGGCCTCCATGCAAGAAACCTCATCAACACAGCTTCAATGGCCTTCTGGTCGTACTCCTGGTGGATTTCTTGCTGATAAATTGAAATTTACTGCACGTGATGAGGATATTAGTTTGAAATGTGATTCAAGTATGTCTTCAAAGAAGAAGCAGCTGGTTTTCTCCCCTTCTTTTAGTTTACAGTCAAGAAATCAGCCTCAGTCTCATGATTGCCAAACACCAGCATTTAGAAAAGTGTACAGTAGTTCTAAACAGTCTTCTGCACCTCTAAGTGTATTAGAAATTCCATCTGAATCCATGACAAAAAAGGGTCTTGACACGGACTGTCAATGCAAGACCCCAATTGTGCTGCCTATGAAACGAAAATTATCAGAGTTAAAGGATACTGGATTGACGTTGTCTGGAAAGCGACTCAACACTAGTGATTATGGACTTAGGTCTCCAGTTTGTCCAACACCTAATTCTCTCCGTAAAAGCAGTCTTCTTAATGATGTTCAGGGTTCTTGTACGCCATTTTCTAATCTAAGGGATCAACATGGTCGATCAACATCAAGCTTTTTGGCAGATTATTTGGATGACAACCAATATGGCAATTACCATGTGGGACAATCGACACCTTCCTCCCAACTTGGACTTCAAAATGATTCCCAGTCCAGCAATTCAGAGCGGTTAACCCTAGACTCTCTTGTTGTTCAGTATCTTAAGCACCAGCATCGGCAGTGTCCAGCTCCTATAACCACTCTTCCACCACTCTCTCTCCTACACCCTCATGTCTGTCCTGAACCAAAGCGGAGCCTTGATGCTCCATCAAATGTAACAGCCCGGCTTGGTTCACGTGAGTACAAAAGTATGTACAGTGGAATCCACAGAAATCGTAGAGATCGTCAATTTGTTTACAGCAGATTCAGGCCATGGCGAACATGCCGGGATGATGCTGGTGCTCTTTTGACATGCATAACGTTTCTTGGAGACTCATCTCATATTGCAGTTGGTAGCCACACTAAGGAGCTCAAAATTTTTGACACCAACAGCGGCAATGTGCTTGAGAGCTGCATAAGCCACCAAGGTCCTTTGACGCTTGTCCAGTCACATCTTTCAGCTGAGACCCATCTTTTGCTTTCTTCAAGCTCCCAGGATGTGCGGTTGTGGGATGCCTCTTCTGTCTCAGGTGGGCCAATGCATTCATTTGAGGGGTGCAAGGTGGCAAGATTTAGCAATTCTGGGAGCATTTTTGCAGCCTTACCTACGGAGACTTCCCAACGAGGAATTCTCCTCTATGATATTCAGACCTGCCAATTGGAATTAAAACTGTCTGACACACCTGCCAATTCCACTGGTCGGGGCCATGCATATTCACAGATACACTTCAGTCCTTCAGACACAATGCTTCTCTGGAATGGAGTGTTATGGGACCGCCGGAATTCTGCACCTGTCCATCGTTTTGATCAGTTCACAGATTATGGGGGTGGTGGTTTTCATCCTGCTGGGAATGAGGTAAATAGAACTGTTTGGATGCCATAATTGATAATTTGGGTATTTTCTTATGAGAAAGTCTTCCTTTACTCTTTACTATAAGTATACAACTCTTGCTAATAATTTTATGCTCCTCATGTTACTCGGTTAATACAGATTTTTTTGTTTCAGTATATATATACATTTCTTGAGGAAAACAGTTTCTTCGGCTATATTTATCTTCTTTTGTTTGTTTTAAAAATGTTTGTTGTATTGAAGTTAAAATAAAAAAAAAAAAAAAAAAAGGGACCTAGTAAGTAAAAGTTGGGTGGATATTTTAGTTAAATAAGATATTTAGTTCGTTTTTGTAAGTGGTTTATTACTAAAATTTGTGTAGGCATCCTGATGATTCTTCTGTTTTAGGATATTGAAATTTGACTCCTGTCTATCTAGTCTGTACATGGAAACCTGTGCTACATTTAATGTCTAGTTTGTGTGTGCACATATACATTATTTCCAACTTTCCAGGGACTCTTTTGCTTAATTTTTTTTTTTCTTTCGACAGGTTATTATAAACTCTGAGGTTTGGGATCTGCGGAAGTTTAGGCTCCTCCGAAGTGTACCATCCTTGGACCAAACAACAATAACCTTCAATGCCCGTGGGGATGTAATTTATGCCATACTGAGGAGAAATCTAGAGGAAGTTATGTTAGCAGTTAACACCCGTCGAGTTAAGCACCCTCTATTTTCTGCATTTCGCACAGTAGATGCTATCAACTACTCTGACATAGCCACTATACCTGTTGATCGTTGTGTCCTTGACTTTGCAACGGAACCAACTGATTCAAATGTTGGATTGATAACCATGGATGACCAAGACGAGATGTTTTCATCAGCTAGGATTTATGAAATTGGTCGTCGAAGGCCAACCGATGATGACTCAGATCCTGATGATGCTGAGAGTGATGAGGAAGATGAGGAGGATGATGACGATGGTGATGTGGACCCTTTACTGGGGCCAGATTTAGATGGGGATGGTGATAGTGATGGAGATGATTTGAGCAACAGTGATGATGATGACAGTGTGAGTGATCTTGATGATGATGAAGATGGGGATTTTATTATTGACGATGTAGATTATGACGATGGAGGTGGAATTTTGGAGATAGTGACTGAGGGTGATGAAGATGACGATAGCCAGTTGGTTGAATCCCTCAGTAGCGGGGATGATGAAGAGGGTTTTGTTGGCTTCTAATTTAACATAATTAGCCCACTGATATTTAAGTTCATATACATATATATATTAATGGTAGTGAGATAAATTTCATGTTTCTTGTCAATTCAACTTTTAGATTTCTGAGAGAAAGAGAGATTTTGGTCATGTGGCCAAATTTTTAAAGAAAAAAGAAGGTGCAATTGAAAGTAATCAAAGTATTTCTTTCCCTCCCTGTCTTGATTTTTATTTTGTTTGATCATGTTTGCCCACCATTGTTTAATAATTTTAAAATATACAGCTGAGTTCCGCGTCCACATCCTCTCCGAGTCACTTCCGTTCATACAGAAAATTCCGTGGCAGCACCATTGTGGTTAAGCATGAATCCAAACCAAGAGGACAATCTTCTGGCTTCCGTCGTCGTCGAGGACATCGTTCTCCTGGCTGAAACGCAGATGTCCTCCTGGCTGAAACGCCTTGGAATTGAGCTGGTCTTCTGTGATGGTCTCCGTGTGATGGACGCGAATACAATTGGAGATCGTGTCCATGGTGTTGATTGGCAAGGTGAAGAAGAACTCGGTGTCACTCATGAACAAGGCTGGTGGGACTGATGTTGGGTCTGTAGGCATGGACGAGCGACTATCTATGGCTCGACCCCAGTCCAAACTCGGTCTAACTGGGTTTAGTAGGGAAGGTGGCCCGAGTAGACCCTACAGTGATAAAACCTCTGGTGAAGCGGGTGGAAGCGGATGAGTTGGGACAGTTATACAATATAAATGCCGCTATGGTGACAAGGTCAGCCTCTAAATAAAATATCAACAATCTGCACTGGTTAAATCATATATTTTACCATTTTCATTATTCAAACACATAAAACGTGGCCTCATTTAATAAGAATGGCATTGCCAGAAGAGTAATTACTCTCCACTGAAATGGGCCGCCGCCAAATCTTATGATCCATCGAATTCCGAAACTGAAATATAATAGAAAAACGAAGAGACGAGAGTTTGAGTTGCAACAAGAATTTTCAAATGAAAGAGGACGACGCAAAATGTTTCAAGATGCATCGAAAATCAAAAGCAGCTTCCAAACTCAAATCTGCTATTTCCAATAAGCTACGCCATTTCCTCCCTAATTACTCCGACGACGTTCTCGCTGTAATCACTTTCACTCCTCAATTTTAACATATATTTTTTTTTTTTTCTTTCAAACATTCATGCATGTCCACTTCAGTTCTGATCTCATTCATTAGTTGTTGTGCCCGTTGTCACAGCTGAGAGTTTCATACTCAAAAAGCTAACTTATTAGGTGGAGGGATTCTCTTTATTTATAAGCCCAAGACCTTCCTAATACGCTTTCAATGTGAGATTGGTTACATTCTTCCCCATCCAATCCTATGACGCCTTCGTCACAGGTGCGGCCTTCTGCCTATCCATCCACCTCTCTCTCATGTGGATCCACAATCACACGTGAACGCCCTTACGTGGACGTTTGGCGGGACATCGAAAGACGGATTGGGTCTGTTTTGATATCACTTGTCACGGACTGGGAGTTTCACACCCAAAAGACTAACCTATTAAGTGGAGGGACTCCCCCCATTTATAAGTTTAAGACCTCCCCAATAGGCTTCTAATGTGAGAATTCTTACACCATGCTTGTGCCTTTACGAGTATATTACTGTTCTTGTTTGTAATGGGAAGGATCATATCAGGCCAGGGATGACTTGGACGCCTTTCTTGGTGAAACCACTGCTGAATTTGTTTCTTGGTAATTCCAATTCCAATCAAATTCCTAATTTTATTCTTTTCTTTTCTATTATTCTTAGTACACTGTAACATGATCTCACATAATTTGTTATTGTTAATATTGATTACTACTCATAATATTACCATAGGTTATGGGATTATCTCCTTGAATATTCTTTTGAAACCAATGAGTACTTAGGCTTTTCCCATCTAAAACCTCCCACTGCTAGTCTGCTACTGATAGAGACAGATTAAACAATCGACGTGAGTTCTCACAATTTGCTGGTAATGCCCCTTTCATTGTTTTATTTACAGGCTACATATATATTATTAATACTTTAATGCTTCCCATGTTGAATGGTAAACCCTGTAGGAGGATATTGCTAGGGCCTGAGCAAAGGAACAGAAGTACTGGTAACAAATACTGGCATTAAACTAAGGTAACATAACATGTGAAATGATGAGTATATAGTTGTCACACAACTATTCATACGTATTAATTTGTATTAGTATTTTCACTCTTCATTACTAATATAAAGCATTGTCAATACTAACCAAGTGTACTGGAATGCCTTGTGGAAAAACATAGAAATCTCCAAACAAATGACTTTTCTTTAAAGAAAAAGGTCGGAAAAAGAGGTATAATTGATCCAACATAATGAACCTGCAGCTGTTATAAAAACAAGAACAATCAAACCTCAATGAAAATGGCAGGCTCCAATCCATATACATAGTTACAGAGGGAAGCATTCATCAAAGCTCCCTTCTACTAGATCTGAGAAACTACCTTCAACACCACCATTCCATTACAATTGTCATCAATATCCAGAAACCAGCAGTATAATAGTTACCTGATCCCTATCTCGAATATTTAAAGAAAGTACTGATACATACACAAACTTATATGTAAAATTCTTACTGCTTCTGTTTTATCTTTTTTCAATTTCATTTATATCCTTTTTATCATTTCTTCTTTGGTCTTCTATTCTGGATCAGTCCACTGTCATTGGTTGAGTCATGCAACACCTGAAGCGAGCCTTGCGCACTGTAGTCATGATCTCAGTTTCAGCATTCTCAAGCATTTTCACAATCTCAGTGAAGGGTGGACGAACTTCCGGGTTGGTGTCCCAGCAGCGGGTCATGATGTCACTAAGCACAGGGAGGCAGTCATTTGGAATAACTGGCCTTACGCCTTTATTCACCACAGCAAATGCTGCCTGTACTGCAGTCATGTTCTGGAAGGGAAGCAAACCCGTAATGAGCTCCCAAAGGACAATCCCAAAGCTATAGACATCCACTTTTTGTGTATAGGGCCTATGCTGGATCATCTCTCTGAAATAATTGACAAAGGCACTCAGAAAAACCAACAAAAGCATATTACTGTAAACATAAACAATATATTTCACGAAAATGTTATGAGCACAATTCCAATAGAAATGAGATTCATTCAAGAGTAGACACCAAAAGAATGCACATATTCGCAGCATCAGTATAATTGACTAAAGATCAATGTGTGCGGTCAAGAAGATCAGTGAGACATAGAGTGAAACAAACACCTACCAAATGAGCTGGTCAACAGTATAAAACAAACACAACAGATGATATGAACTTTCTTTAAAAGAGAGTTTATGATCATCTCATATGGTGAAGTAAGCAAAACACTCCAACTGAATATTAAAGCATTGTTACACTAGCGATTTCCCATTATATCAAGTAGTTATGCAATCAAAGAAGCAAAGGTTAGAACAAACATTCCATCTTTCTAATAAAGTAGCGAACATTTATGACCTACTCATAAAATTAGGATCCTCAAAACAGTGATACAAATATTTACGTCCCCAGCTAAAAGAAAACACAAGTTGAAAATCCTATACAGGTTGAATAGGAAGCAGAAGAAAACTCACTCCCCACAGATTCCATTATATCCAGAATATACCAAGAAAGTGATTGGAAAGTGAAGTGAATGATTAATTTGAAGCCTCACAAAAAATGCTTTGGTTTGAAAGAGAATACAATAATGTGGCAGACTGAATACATGCATGAGTTGGAAATTAATCGCACTGGCTACTAAAAATAAAATTACTTTTCATGTGCTTATGAAAAATGAGACATGTTATTTCTTTATAATGCTTTAACATTGTCCATACTTCTTCTTGTTATACGCAGACTAAAAGCAAAAGATAACAATAAATTCAGCATAGAGGAATACTGTTGAAAGAAAAAAATGAACCATGGTTTTTCAAAGTTATCCCATCAAATCCATGAGTTGGTCCAACATGATAGTGTATATAAAGATCCAACAATGACAAGATTGATAACCAGCAAGTTCTGGTAACTAATAATATACATTGTGTGTAATAGGACAACTAATTACCAAGCAAAACATATGAACGGAAGAAATGAAAATCTATATTAAAAAAATAAGCAAAAACAGAAAAAAGACTTTTAGGATTGTATTAACAGTACTTCAAGGATCATTAACCAACTAGCATACTGTATCAGAGCGGATAACAATAAAGAGAAAAGATTCTTATAGAAAAGAATAAGTGAACATACCAAGTCTTTTAATACTTGTAGATACTTTCGCAAAAAAATATTGCCCATTTATGAGACATAAAATTCATACACTTAAATTTACTCAATACTTGAAACAAGAAGTACTGCAGTCCATCAACATTCAAAACTAACATTCCTACGAAAGCCTCTAATTATCCTAAAGGTAAGATTTGCCTCGTTAGCTAGTCAATCTCGCACACAATCAAGCCTTCATCATTGAATTTAATGTCATCTCTTGGATTTACTCTTCGAATCAAAGTACCTTCTATCCATTATCATCTTGGAGATATACCACCATAGTCAAGGCAAATATACCAACTCTCATGCAATCTCTTGCCGATCCACTCATCTGAACCTAGGCTTGAGCCACTTTTTACTACAATATTTTGTTTCATTAATAACTCCAAGTTCTTTCTTTTGCACATAAGATCATATACTTCATGAGTGCATTCACCTACTCCACCAAATAAGGAGACAGCTTCATGAGCTTTGGCAATACTATTGATCAATTCCAATTATTTTTGTTGTGCTGATAATGGTCAAGAAAATGGTATGAAGAAGATTTAATAAAAACAGGAGTTTTTAACTTCCCATATTCAACCAATCACTTATTTAAGTCCGTCCTTGCGGTTAGGAAACACTTCCCTCACCGAAAGTTCCAATCACTTGCAAAACCAACTCTCCTATTTGTGACCTTCTAATGGATAGTACTATACCTCTTGCTCTTTTGACTAACCAGCTCATCTTATAGCTCCAACTCAACATGAGCCTTTCACAATATAAGCAATTATGTAAATACCTTAAAAACATTCAAAACCAAAATATCACATGCTTATCACCATGTAGTGCATTTATAATTTTGCACATAAATCCATATTCTGCAACGACTTCAAACCAAAAAAGATTTCCTATGAAAGCGGAAATATTATTAAAGGAATTATTGTAATTTTCCTCACGTATTTGGAGTGCTTCTAACAAGAAGATTATCTAGAAAACATAACTAGACTTAGGTATGAAGTTGTATGTCATAGGGTTAAATTACTTGATGCTGAATAGCGATCGTCTAATATTACATATCTCCCACAGATTGTTACTGAGAGTTGAAACTAAAGGATGGCCCCACCAGGGAGTTATAGTTCCCTTCCTAGTACATCCTGCCCAAGGTATCCCCTACACTTCCTCTCTATGTCATGTTTGTACCCAATAAGATGACAAATAAGATGACAAATAATATGTCAAAGTAATAATGCCATACAAAAAGAGACATTAAATAAATTATGAGAAATCATTTAAAAACATCAAGAAAATCTTTAGATATGGTCAATAACTTCTGAAAAGTAATTTCCTGTGCTTTGAAGAAATATATGTAAAATTGCATCACTTCAATTTCATATGTTTTTGCAATGCATTTATACTTTGTATATGCTCACAATTCCATTCAAATCTTGTGTATCCAGCGAGAAACTTGTTATATAACTATTGCCATTTTTTCGAACTAATAGAAAAATTCTAGTTGCAAATTGTTGACTTTGTTAGCTACATAACTATTATATGTTTCAGAATGATTTAATGATTGTTAAAATTCCACGAAAACATTATATGGGAAAAACTAGGACACGGATTGAAAACAGGTGAGAATAGAGCTCCCTAGCATCTAAAATATAGCCCTATAATTAATTCGACAGTATATTGATGCATGTCTATGATAATACATGAACCAAGTGACTATCATACACACTGCCGACCATCATGCCATAGAATTTGACATTATCTCAAAGCAACAATTCTAACTTTTCATCTATTGTTGCCAATATTCTGCAGGTAAGGCTTCCTGTGTCACAACTGGCATGAGGAAAAAGGAGTAATGCACATAATGAGTTCATGCCATTCCATCCTCACTGTAAGAGTGCGTAAAACTGCAACAGGAAATGCCATTGAATTTTAATTGTTCTCCAAGCAACTTCTCCATCTTGCAAGGTCGATATTGTCAAGTTGTTGTTTACAAGTATTGCTTCCAATGCCATCATTGAATCCAGTTCTGAGGCCAATTAGACACTGATAGAATTTATTCTAAAAAAAGGAAGTTAAAAAATAAGAAATGGCAGCCCCCAAATGAACTACTAATAAAAGTGAAATCAGAAGCAACACCCAATGATGGTTCCACCCACAAAATCAACGCATAAGCTTGAGACACTTCACAGGACAAATAATTAAACACAAAACCTTGAATACAAATAATGTAGTAGTCAGAAGAAAGAAAACTAAATATATAAAGGATCTAGATACTCACGGAGCCATCCAACGATATGTTCCTGTCTCTGGTGTCATTCCCTCCGTTTGGACCTCAATTCGAGCAACACCAAAATCTGCAATCTTTATAGATTTATCTGCAGATATCAGAAGGTTATCCGACTTCAAATCTCTATGGATAAACCCAAGTTCATGCACATATGCCATCCCCTTGGCCACATCCAGTGCCTGCTTAACAGCCAGCTTAAGTGGCACTGCCCGATTTTGCCTTCTTGTTAGAAATTGCCGAACTGACCCTCCCTTAGCGTACTCTGTGACGATACACCAGACCATTTGCTTACGGCATGCTCCAATGAACCGCACAATGTTTGAATGCCTCAATGTTGCAAGCATCATTACTTCCTGCTGGAACTGTTGCTCCATAACTTGTGCCCTATCTGGACTATTCTCAGGCCTCTCCAATATCTTAATGGCAACATCCTCCCCGTTATATGTTCCTCTATATAATTTCCCAAAAGCCCCTTGGGCAAAAGCAGTACCCATGTTAAGTTTTCTCAAATCAATCGTCCACTCATCATAATTCTCCAGTCCTTCAGTTGGATACCTATCATCCATCAATGCTTGAGCTAAAGCATCGTAATTAAGAGCATGGGTCACCTTACCCGGACGGAACACGCTTTGCCCCACTGAGTAGTTATGGCTCACAGGCTTCAAACCTGGGTGGCTTAAAATGTGAGTCAAAGAATCATTGGAACCCACACTGCTGTTGTCTACCGACATAGAGACAGACCCACCGGCATTGCTAGTCTGCAAACTGTCAATGGACATGTTTGTACCCTCACCAAGTTTTTGGTAAAACACTTGAGTGAAATCATAATAATTGTTATCACCGTTGTTATTTCCTCCTATAAGTCCGGTAAATTTTGGCCCCTCACCCATCTTTCCAATCATGAATGAAACTTTCAAAAGCAGAACTCAAAATAGGACTGGTTTTATACCAATTTCCTGATGCTCATTTCACAATGTTGTCTTTTCAGCATGTATCCTATATCAACATAGATGAAGATCAATCATCAATAATCATTTAGGTAAATTTTTGCTTAAATTCTTTTCAACAATCTCTCTTTGTCAAGAGTGTGTATTTGACTTGGTCAAAATAATTGAATAGAATCAAAAGATAAAGCCCATTTGGCTTAGTTCGTAACTTTTAGAGGCATTCATTACCCCCATGTTTAGCAAAGCAAAATCCAAACAGTTATTCATTTCCGAGAAACTTTGCAACAGCAGTTTCGGAAGAATACTTATCAAATGTATTATTTGTATCTTATCAATTTATTGTTTTAAAGAGAACAATTGGGTTGTTCTTTTTTTTACCAAATCGGCCTCAATTCCTTACATTTCAGAGCAGGAACATACAGACCGTGAAAACCATAAAAAGAAAAAAAAAAAATTAATTAAGACAAAATGGAATACCTTCCCAGGCCAGAAATTGCACTGGAAACGCAATTATCCCGATCCTAGACTCCTAGCACTCATTTCAAGCGAAAGTTTCTTCACCAACTTTACCCTGTCATAAAATTCCATAAAAAGAAAAAAAAAAATTAAGAAAGGCACACAATCTGACAAGAAACCCTCACGACCCATTTGGAAATTAAAAAAAAAAACACAACAGATAAAAAGCTTAACAAAGCAAAAGAGAAATTAACCATTTATGTAATGGAGAGAGGGGGCGAGACTTCCAATTTGAGAAGACAAAAGTCGAAAAAATTTCCCCTCTGTTCCAGGAAAAGTAACTAAAATATTGAGCTAGTTTATTATGATGATTACAATAGTAAGTAAAAAGAAAACAGCTTACTGAGACCACAAAGTCGTCCCAGCGACGGAAGATAAAATAGGAAATAAAAATATAAAGCAGTTTTGAAATTCATTCCAAAATCCACAAACTTTCCTAATTGATTTTATGTAAATGATGCATAGATCAGATCATAATAAAACTCAGTGAGCAAAAAGAAGCAGAGAAAATTACCAAAAACTCGTGAAAACAGCTGATCGAATAATTACATAAAATTCAAATGTAGTCCTAAAAATATACAAAAATAGAAATAGAAAAAAAAAAAACAAAGTTAAGACTAAAGAGAATTGTTGATCAAGAGACTTAAATTGAAAGAACAAAAATGGAATGCGTAACAGATGAACTAAGAATAAGAAAAAAAGTAAATAAAAAAAAAAAAAAAAACTTACAATTGGTCCAGAGCGTGACTTGATGACCTGACCAGGCAAAAACCAAAGAACAAGAAGAAGAAGAAAGTGAGCAGTTTTCGCTTCCAAAGCCTCGTTTTTATTGCGACCAACCCCACTCCTACTCCACACTAACTTAAAAACCCTTGTACTCGCCTTTTCTCTGTTACACGTGTCCTTTCCTTTCTGTTTGTTTTGCTTTTTCGAGGTCCTTTATCCTGTGATAAACGCGTCTCTCTCTCTCATCTTTTTTTTTATTTTTATTTTTATTTTATTATTTTGGCTCTTTTATTTTAACCCATTATTTCATAAATTAATTAAGTGTGAATCTCATTCACCTCCTTAAATATTATGTCTGTCTTTCCATATGATTTATCATCATTTTTAACAAAAAATTAAATAAATTTTGCTTCATTGTGGAAAGAAATACTTTATTAAATTTTGTTTGATTTTGTATATCAAATTGGTTGAAACTGGATAATAACCTAAACTTAATAACACCCAAAAACTCTTTTTTTTTCTTTTGAACTGAATTGACCCATAACGAACCGACCTGCAAAATGGTGATTCGGAATTAAATTGACTGTTTGTTGACCCCGTCGATTAAACCGGTTCAATTAAAGTTTATAATCCCTAAAATTTTAATTTTAAATCCCTATTCTTCCTGAGTCAATGTCCAATCAAGGTTTCAAACTTGCACCAGACTCAACTACATCAATTGAAACACTATAGTACTATTTATATTTATAGAACAACATAATATTAAATTAATTAGGGAGAACGACAATCTCCCACCCAAGGTTTGATGAAACGACACTTTCTCACCTGTCAGTTTCAAAATGACATTTTTCCACCATTTCTTAGGTTCTATTAGTGTTTTCTATTAATATTTGATTGAAAATACGAAGATACCCTTAAATAGTTTATTTCTTAATTAGTTTATTATAATTAAAATTTAGTTAAGTCGAAGTTTTTATTCGAATATTTATCAGTCCAATTGTAAAGATACATTTTTTTTTTCTTTGTTTATTTATTAATTAGAAATATTGATTTTTGATGTTAATCAGTAAAAATGAAACATTATAAATAATAGTAATAGATAGGATTTTAAGGGTAGTTTGGGTTATTGGATATGGGAGTATTACGAGGTAAATTTTAAAAATTTATAAAAAAGCCCTTAGGTTTACTAATTACTAAAGACCCTAACATGTAAATAACAAAAACACCCCCACCACTGCAGTGTCAGATTCCGTCCGCCACCACCGCCGGAATCTGACCGGAAATTTTCGTTACGGCCAGACTTGTCGGATCTTGCCGTAACATCGTTTATGGCCTTTTCCGGCTAGATCCATGGAATCTGGCCGGAAAAGGCCAGATCTATGGTTTGTTTTGGCCGTCGACGGCCGAAAAGGCCAAACGACGGCCATCTTTGGCCGTCAGACGGCCAAAGATGTGGCCGTCGTTTTCGATCGACGACGGCCAAGATTTGGCCGTCGTTGACCGTCAACGACGGCCATTCTTTTGGCCGTCGCTGACGGCCAGATCTGGCCTTTTCCGGCCAGATCCTTGTGGATCTGGTCGGAACAAAAGGCCACAGCGGTGAACTTCCGGCCATTTCTGGTCGGAAGTTTGGCCGTTGTACAGATTCCGGCTATCACCGACGGTGGTTGCCGGAATCTGACAAGTTGGGTTGATGGGGGTGTTTTTGTTAATTTTAAACTTTTTTTTCAGGGGGTATTTAGTGAAATTAATAACCTTATGGGGTTAAAATGTAATTAAAAAAATAGGGTAATATTTTGAGAATATTGTACCAAACGCGATTTGAAAAATAGGATCCAGAATAGGGATAAAAATATTAAACCAAACGCATACGATGACATTATAAATAAATATTAAGATTATTTAACTTTAAACAATTTTATAACATTACTCATACCTTTTTAGTGGGGTTAGCTATTTTTTCTTTTTTGACTTTTTAATATTTGACTTTTTGGCTAATTAAAAAATAATAAAAAATTTATAACGTAAAATATTTAAGGGTATTTTCGTTATTTTAATAAAATATTAACAAAAAACATAAAGTGTCATTTTGAAACTTGATGGGTGGGAAACTGTCATTTCGTCAAACCTTGGGTGGAAACATGTTGTTCTCCCAATTAATTAAAACAATGCCGAGAGGTTTTTCGTAAATCCATGGGCTATTTATGGGTTGGCATGAGCTGGTCCAAGTCATGGTGAAGACCCAATTTCTATTGGCTCAATATAATAACCATTTATTCCTATTTTCTCCTTAACAATTTCATTTTTATTTAGTCTAATTTTCAATACAATAACATTAACTAACTTGTAAAATGTTGTAAAGGGGAACGGGTTAACAGAAATTCAATCGATATTTCAAAAATAACCAAAATTATTCAATTGTTAAATCTTAGGAGAGTAATTGGGTGATACAGTAGATTACTCTATATATGATTAATTTTCATATAGTTATAAAAAAAAATTGGTCTAACTTTAACAAGTTACAAATAAAAATAAATTCCACATTATAATAAATTTAAATTTTTTATATATTATATTATATTAAAGATTTAAAATGAAATAAAATATTTATTTAAAATTATTTAAGACAATAATTAACACTTTTGAATTATTACCCCTATATTTTAACTAGCAAGTAATTAATATTTTTAAAGTTTATTGTTATGAAATTATGTCTACCTATTTTACTAATGTATAGGGGGGATTTGATATGTTTTGAATCTGACATGGAAAATTTGACATATTTTATTATTTAATTATTAATGCAGTGCATACTTTATTTTTATATCTTTTATATTGAAGATAACTAAATTAAAATAATAATTTTTATAACTATATGATTAATTTGATCCTACTATTATACTCTAAAGATAATTTATTATTTGTAGTGAATTTTAACGAGGCAATAAATTTTTTGTTATTATATTATGTTTAAGAAAATCTATATCTTGAATGGATTAAAGATATATAATAAGATATTTATTCATTAATCCTAAGATTTATAATACAAAGTCAATATAAATGAAAAAGAGTAATGCTCTACAACTAAGTGATACAACCACACAAAAATGACACAAAATTAATATAAAATGATTATTTTATCTTATGTTTTTTCTGTAGTTGTAAGCATAGATTAAACTTAATTATAATTATAAGATGCTATAAACAAATTAGAAATTTTAGAAGGTTAATTTTTAATAAAATTACAACATTAGAAATTAATTTAACTAGTGTCAAATATTTACAAATAAAAGTTAGCGATGGTAAATACTAAGAGTAATGCTACAGTTATCGACGGTAGTACACCGAATTTGTACATTAATAACATGACAAAATCCTAACCATTTATTAATATTTAGTTTAATTAATGGCCAAGATTTTACCACGTTATTAGGGACACAAATTCTATCTTATTTTTTCCTAAGGACTAAATATAGTTTTCAAAAGAATATTTGAATCGTATATGTTGTCATTTTTGTCATTTGTTCATCGTCAAAATTAAGCAGCTCTCTCCCTCCTCTGTGTCTTTGTGCGTGTGAAAATCTAGGGCTTAATGTCGTCCGAATCTGAAATCCCTGGATCACCATCGGTACCCGAAGATGAAGACTCATCCAAGTCCGTTAGCAAGAAAGCAGCCAAAAAGGAAGCCGCCAAGCAAGAAAAGTTGCGCCGCCGCCAGGAAGCAACCGCCGCCTCCGCCATGTCTTCGCTCGCCGTCGAAGAGGAGGGTCCACTTGCCAACAACTATGGAGACGTCCTTCTCAATGAGCTTCAGTCCGTCGACAATCCTGAAGCTGGGAAGTGGAGCGCCGCAGTATACGGCAAACACTGGACTGAGGTCGGAGCATTGATCGACTCATTGAAGGACCAGGAGGTACTCATACGTGGCCGTGTACACACCACACGACCCGTCAGCGGCAAGCTCTCATTTCTCGTGGTCCGAGAGAGAGGATTCACCGTGCAGTGTGTCGTTACTCTTAATCCTGATTACATCAGCAGGCAGATGGTCAAGTACGTTGCTTCATTAAACCGCGAGTCCATTGTTGATATCGTTGGCGTCGTCTCCGTCCCCGGTGTTGCGATCAAGGGAGCAACACAACAGGTCTTTCTGTTTTAGTCCTAATAATGTCTTTGAGCAATTTTAAAATTTTGTTTCTTAAAGTGAATTATTAATTATTACAGGTGGAGGTTCAAGTCAGGAAATTATATTGCGTTAACAAAGCTATGCCAACTCTACCCATTAATATCGAGGATGCTGCTCGAAGTGAAGCTGAAATTGAAAAAGCTTTGAAGGTACCTTCTCTCTTCATTATCCTTTTTGGTTCAATCTCGATCATAAACTTCTTTTAACTTTGAAATGCATTTAGTAAATATTGGCTATGTATGACTTTTGATTGTTAAAGGTTTCATAATGTATATGATTGTAATTTTTCTTGTGCTCTTTCTGTATTTATCAATTTTTTGGACGGTGCAGGAAGGAGAGCAGCTTGTTCGTGTTAATCAAGATACACGTTTGAACTATAGGGTTCTTGACGTGCGAACACCAGCTAATCAGGCGATTTTCCGCATCCAGAGCCAAGTTGGAGCCGTAAGTTTTTGTTTCCCCCAATTGTGTTTTATGGTTTTTGTTAATTAATACTTGGGTTATTGTCATTTTCCTCAACTATGCATTATGTTCGTTGAAAAAGTATATGAAATGTTTTGGAATAAAAAAAGTAATTAGGATGGAATGATTTGCGCAAGTCCACTTAGTTTAAGGTGCAGATATAATATTTGGTCTACTTATATATGTTGATTTTGAATGGGGCAAAAGTAACTTGATGTTTTCCCCTTGAACCCAATTGCTTGCTCACATCATTTTTAGTACATTTTGTTTTTAAATTTATTGCTTGGATTATATTTTTAAGCACATCATTTCTGGTTTTTAAAGGGGTTTTATCTATGTGCAGATATTTAGACAATTCTTGCTGTCTGAGGGGTTTGTTGAGATCCACACTCCTAAATTGATAGCAGGCTCAAGTGAAGGTGGTTCTGCTGTTTTTAAGTTGGACTACAAAGGCCAGTCTGCCTGCCTGGCCCAGTCTCCTCAACTTCACAAGCAAATGTCAATCTGTGGAGATTTTGGGCGGGTTTTTGAGATTGGTCCTGTTTTTAGAGCAGAGAATTCATTCACTCATAGACATTTGTGTGAATTTACTGGTCTTGATGTTGAAATGGAGATTAAGAAACATTATTCTGAGGTAGAGTTGGATTCTTTTGTTGGTTTGATTGTCTGAGTGCCTGAATATATAAATCCTTCAATTTTTTCTGAGTACTTGAGTTTGTTTTTGCAGGTGATGGATCTTGTCGACCGCCTATTTGTTGCAATGTTTGACACTTTGAATGAGAAGTGCAAGAAAGAGCTGGAAGCTGTAGCGAAGCAGTACCCATTTGAACCTTTAAAGGTAATGATTCCTTGAAATTTTTAAATGCTTGAAATTGTATTATTTTAATGTAATACAAAAATATAACATGATTCACTCTGCCGTTATAGCATAGATATCTAGAATATTGAAGTTATGTCCCTTTGAAGTCCTTTTTGTCTTGAATCTGATTTTTGGCATTTGCAAAATGTTTCAGTACAAGCCAAAGACTCTTCGGCTTACATTTGAAGAAGGTGTTCAAATGCTGAAGGTAAGAATGACCTTGTCTTTGTTGTTTCACCATAAAAAAGTTTATTAGTTATCATGTCATTACATTAGTGCATGCATAATAGCTAGAGCAATAGAGGCTAGCACTAAAGTACCCGGTATGCAGAAATAATTACCAGGATAATTAAAAATAGTTTCAGTATATCTATTCTTACTTTTTGGTTTTTCCAATTCTAAACTATGAATTTGTGATGCATTTTCATGATTGTTTAGGATGCTGGTGTGGAGATTGATCCTCTTGGGGATTTAAGTACAGAAGCAGAGAGGAAATTGGGTCAGCTAGTCTTGGAGAAGTAATTCAATATTTCTTCACATTTGTCTTGCCCATACATTTTTTTTTCTTTTGTTTTTTTCCTCGTCACTTCTTATTAGCAATCTCAAACTTTTGAATTTTCTGTCCTTTGTATATTTAGCATACATGATTGATTTGAATTTTACTTTTGATTGTAGGTATGACACAGAGTTCTATATACTTCACCGTTATCCTTTGGCTGTTAGGCCATTCTATACCATGCCCTGCCACGATAATCCTGTTTACAGCAACTCATTTGACGTCTTTATTAGAGGTAATAGATGAAGATGAATATCTTGAATTATTTTGTTTACTTCTATCTGGATCTTTATCTATATTTGTATGTTAACATCAGTTCATATGGCACCTAGAAGTAGCATTTTTCTTATCTTGGTACAGATTTTGTTGTCTCTTCACTTTTATAATTTTCATGATTGTTTTCATGTCCAACTGATAATGACTCTCTCTCTCTAATGAAAATTACTTTTGTACTTATGATTTGCAATTATGATGGCCGAATGTTTCACTGCCAATGAATTGCTCTTTTATGAGATGAATATGGAGGGTGATTGAATTTATTCAATATTAACTGAATTACTTTAATAAACACTTGATGTAATTATAGAAAAGGTAGTAGATTTGTCGTTAAAAAAAAAAGATCAATTTTTTTTTTAAAGCAGACCCATCTAATTTATGTGAAATTGCAATGCAGTTATTCTCGTGCTTAAGGACTTTCTATTTATTATTATTTTCATTTGATTACATATCTCTCACCTGTTTGGGTGAGTATATCCTGTAATTGTATGCTTGATTGGAATTTGTGGATGTCTCTTGTCCCTTAGGCGAGGAGATTATTTCTGGAGCTCAGCGTGTCCATGTACCAGAATTCTTAGCAGAGCGTGCACAGGCATGTGGCATCGATGTTGCGACAATAGCAACTTATATTGATTCTTTCAGGTACAGTTCCCTTGATTTCTTCAATTGATCTTGGTTTTGAATGCTGTGAATGTGAAGGGCACATTGGTTAATATAAGAACAAGAATGAATCTGATTTTGGTCACTGTGAAATTAGGTTAATGGGTCCATCAAAAAACCAATTGGTGTTATAATTTTTGTTGATTATTACAAGTACATATACATACATGTGGTCAGCTTGTTTATTCATTATCTTTTTTAGGGTGTTTGTGGTGTCGGGGCGCTTAGCTTACTGCGTAAACATCTGTTTACTTTTCTCTAAATTGTCAATCTAATCTTATAAATGGTCTTTTTTCAGATATGGTGCACCTCCACATGGTGGGTTGGGAGTGGGACTAGAGCGTGTGGTTATGCTTTTCTGTGGTCTTAATAACATTCGTAAAACATCACTATACCCCCGTGATCCACTTAGGCTCGCTCCATGATGATGCTGTTCGGAAGTGATTTATGCCTTGTTTTAGACTTTTAGTGCAACATATCCTATTTTTGTTTGAGATTTTATGGTTGAAAATGCAAATTATATACACAAGTTCATGACCAGATGGGTGTTTCATTTGCACTAATACATGCAAACCTTTCCGCATTCTAGATGCAATGGCAATATGGTTTGGTAAGGGAATTTTGTGTGGGGTTTGTAGGTTTCGTTTTTCATGCAATGCAATCGATAACAGGCTAACAGGAAAAATCTCTGTTATAAAACATGCCAAGCTGGGTTAGTTGCAAGTTGATGGCGTTGAGAGAAAGGAGCTGTCATTGTAGATGGCTAGATGCTCGCACTACGTGGATCATTCCTAATTTTCCATATTATATCATTTAGTGAGTACTTTTATGTATGTTTGCTACGGATTATCAGCATTGTTTTAAAACCCGGACTGGAGGTCAAACCGTTTTGCTGTTCGGGTCACGGGTCAGCAATATTTTATTTTTAAAAAATTATTATTAATCCCTTAAATTTTAATATATTACAAAAATTCTCCTAAAAAGTTCAAATTGGTCCCTAAAATTTTTATTTATTCTAAAAATGCCCCAATAAGATTATCAATTAATCTCTAAACTTTTGATATATCTCTAAAATACCTCTATAAAATTACAAAGTAACCTTTATAATTTTAAAATATTTCAAAAACCCCCTTGAGGCCTAAACCGGATCGGAGAAGCTGTCGGTTTCCGGTTCGACAGGTCGGTCTGGTCCGGTTTTTAAAACAGAGACTATCAGGTCATTTGGTGTCGATGAATGAAAATTTAGTGCGTGCTAGTAAGATTAAAATTGGTAAAAGTAAAAGTTGCTAAATGGAATGGAATGAAATCGAAAAATTTTAGTCCATTATTCGAAGGTTCCTGCTATGAGGTTTTCCAATCAAATGCATTACTAAAAAGTTATAGTTTGACCTCTCCTTTCCTTTGTGGTCGGATGACAAGTCATTTAGTTATACTCAGGATCTTGTATTTAAGTCGTGAGAGAAGCAATTACCAGATTCACCCTAAAAAAAAAAAAAAAAAAAAAAAAAACAAAACAAAACAAAACAAAAACAAAACAAAACGTTATAGTTTGGTTCGTTACTTTTTCCCTTAACCTACCACAAGATAACTATTATATATTCAGGAATCCTCATTTACCAAACTAAGTGGAAGAAGTAGTGACTCAAGCAGTACCCGTTTACAATTGTGAATGAAAATTGTCATCTACTTGCTGGCCAACTTATAGAGAACATGCATCAACTGGTGATTATTTTCCTGGAGCCATCACCATAAGCTACCCTTAAACTGCATATTGTAAATCTGCAATTGTATTTTGGGCTACCCTTTGAAATGATATCATGTTTGTGCTTTTTTGGACTCTTACAGAAAACAAGAATTACTCTCCATTCGTGAAACATGCCATACAAATAAAGTTTTCATTTCCATTCTATGTAAGATCAAAATTTAGAGTTCAATGATCAAATTTTCTGATCAGTTATCAATCTGCTACATGAATTTTTGCTCTTTGAAGTTAAAAAATGCATTCAATAACATTTCCCTAAATCAAATTAGCAATTACTTCATTTATCAAAGTTTGATACACTCCCAAACAGTAAGAAAATATGCATTAATAACACATTTCCACAAGTTTGATACAAACATAATTGAACTCTGGGAACATCGAAGGGGGAGGGGGGTTTGGGATGGAAAGGAACGAGAAGAAAACATATAAGTAAGAAAAAAGCAGATTCAGAACTTCAAAATTTCCTAACAATGATGATAATCGGTGGTAAATTTGTAGGGTTTTCACCTTGTAGTGGCTCTTGCACTCATGGATGAATGGTAGTTGGTACTTCTCTGTTTCCTATAAGAAGTATAAACGTCGTCATATTGACTTGTCTCATTTGGGTTAGCAGTTGCCCCAAGTCCTAATCTCCCTGAGCTACTGGATCCAGGCTTCCGCTCTACACTTCCATCAGCATAAGTCCCCGTTTCTGGGTCTACCTGCAGATTTGGGGGTGGAGGGATGCAAGCCCCTCCCTTACGAACAGAAGGCTCTCTCTCATACTCATAGTCTTCATCTCCTGAATCAGATTTCATAGGTCCTTCAGAAGGATTAACCTCTCCAATCTCTTTAAAGAACTTTGAAACTCTTTCTAGAACCTCAGATGGAGATACATTGGATGGAGGTATAACTGTTGGGATGTCCAGCGGACTCATGGGAGAGTAGGGCACACCACTACCTATCTGCATCTTTCTGACCATCCCTGGAATAAGACCTGGTGGAAACAAAGGATATGGAGGCAACTTTTCACCAGTTCCAGCAGCTGATTGGTTCGCTGGTTGAACAGAAGAATTTAAGGACATGGACCCTGGAAAAGCACCTGTTGGAACAGGAGTTGGAAGAAATTGCTGGTTTGCTAGGGTTGCTGGCACCAAAGGGGACGCTTGTTTATCAGGATGCTCATGGTCTAGTACATTTGGGACAGAACTTCTGCCATCAGGCTGCCATTGTGGAGCAATATGGTTTGTTGTTTGTGGATCTCCTGAAGCAGCAGACATTTCTTTTACAGGACCTGAAAAAGAACTAACTGATGGTCCACCTATCATCTCACCCTCTAGAGCATAAATAACATCTTGATCAAAAACTTCCTTGGAAGCCCAGAACTGTAAGATTTTCTGTAAGCGTGACTGGTTTTCCTCCTTATTCTGAGGGTTATGATAAATCCTTGCAAGCATGGAACCCAAGACAGGTCTAAAAGCAAGGGCTTCATTATCAAGTTCATGTGGGTTGGTCCTCCGTTGCAAACTACAAAACAAGGAAATAAAGATATAGGAATATCAGCAGGAAAATCAACCCTACCATCAAGAAACACATTGCATATTGAAAGCTGAAAACTAATAAAAAAAATTCTGGAAGCAACAGAACCAGAAAAATCTAGAGGTTGTATCACAATTACTATACACCCCTGTCCTGCAAATACTTCATTCAAAAAAACAAAAAAAAACAAAAAACAAAAAAAAAAAAAAAAAAAAAAAAAAAAAAAGAGAAAAAACAGATCCCTGTTGCGTTTAAAGTATTAGTCAGATTGGGGTTGGCCATTGTGATGGAATATCATACTTTGAGGATCAATCAGAGAGAAAAGAAAACAACCTAATTCTTATTCAACGTCTTATTCCTCGTTTATGTATTAAATTTGAAGCTCATAAGCCGGCCTTAAAGAAGATGATCAAGTTTCTAGATGATTAAGGGGCAGCTAAACTAGGAGTATTACACTACAGGATTATAGATTCTATAACTTTGTTACTCTATGGGACTAGCTTGTTATCTATTTTATACGATAGATTAACAACTTTGTCATAAGTCATATCAAACAAGCAAAGGTTTACGGTTTCTTCAGGATGGTAGGCCATGAAACAAGTTAAAATCCAGCATAAGGGAAAGTTTCTAAGCACACATGTATAAAAATAAATAACTACATTAGATTTACAGTAGAAGAAAGGTAATCCCAGTGGAAACCGAGGAACAAATTGAATCTAAAGAGAGAATGATATTTAAATGTAGAGAGAGAACCATGCCATCAAACAGACCAAGGAATTTAAAAGACTAATGGGAAACAATGCAGACAAACAAAGCATCAATGGATGTCCAACAAACTTCCAACCTAAGATATGGCTGAGCTATCAAAATTAAGTGTAAATAACAGTGTACTAGCACATAACTGGAAAAATACCTGTCAAAAAGAATTTCATTGGCAAGGTAAATTATATGAAGCTGCCTCTCAGAATCATCAACAGAAAACACCCTGTCTCTGAGTGCTGCAGCCAGAGCTGGTGCAAATGGGGACCTCTGCATAAACCAAGTCTTGGCACTTTTAATTGACTCTTTGGTACCGTTTAGATTGTTAAGCACATTGTTAAGCTCCATAGCAACATCAGAAGGTAGTGGACCAGAAAGACCTTTAAAAGGAGGATCATAATCTGGTCTACCATGACCCACAAAAGGCTTAGGATGCTGATGGTGCTGCTGCTCATAGAATGGTGGAAAAGGAGGTTGGTGCATCTGAGGAGCACCCATCATTGAAGCTGAATTGCCCCCAGCATTCATAGGAGGAGTAGTAAGAGGATTCATCATAGGGTTCGGTGGGGGATGCATCGTAGGTATAGAAGAGGGTGGGAATGGATGATTAAAAGGGCCACCTGGGGTACGGGTAGATAACCAAAGTTTGTAACGATAATAACCATGGCCCTCACCGCCAAAGAGAAAACCGTATGCAGGATTATCTTGTTGCTTTTCACGGATCATGGCTTCAAATTCTGGGCCATTCTTAGTAGCATACTCAACAAGTTTGTCTATACGCTTTTGAAGGTCAGGATCAGATGGGGGAGGAGCTGGGGGTGGGGGAGAATCATACGGGCCATGGAAAGGTGAAGGAACCAATTGAGGGGGTAAATGAGAAGGGAATGGGGCTGGGGTTTGCTGTTGTTGCTGTTGAAGATGAAGAAGATGCGGATGGGGATGGAGTTGTTGCTGTTGTATGTGAGAAAGGTAAGGGAACTGTTGAAGAGAAGGATGAGGGGGAAGGAAGGGAGAAGGGATCACTGATGGAGGTAACTGTTGATGTGGAAGATATCCAAATTGTTGCTGCTGCTGCTGCATATTACCAACTGGTCGTTGCTGTTGAGCATATGCCATTGCAGATGCTGCAGCATAATCATGAGGAGGACGGTCCATAAGACCTTTTCAGATCCTACAAGAACAAACAACGTACAAGAGGACTTGAGAAACTCTTTTATGATCCAACACCATTCATAACTATATCAATATGCAAGTATCAATATTTCTCGGCTCTCTTTAAGAAACACTCAAATGCCTAAAAATTCTAACTGTACTTTGGTATTTAGAAAGTCAGTTATTAAGCTATGTCGTATCTCATATATTTATACACATATAAACAAATTGTAATTTCATGTGAACAAGAAAATGGTGTAAATTTTAAAAATTTGGAACGAAACCCTAAGTTTAAAGTAATACAGCAATGAGAGGGAGTATCATTTACATACCTCAACAAAGACTGAGAATCCCACCAACAGCAATCGCACTGCCACTCAGTTCATTAAAATCCTAATTTACACTGACCTCGATTCTATTGGTATCCGACTGGCTTTGGCTTTGGCTTTTCAAAATTGAAAAAAAAAAAAAAAAAAAAAAATCAGATATTTAATGTTAACTTCTTATGTGGGTGTTAATTTTTTTTTAATTAGTTTAGTTTCGGGCGGGTTTAGTAACGGTTGGACCCGAATGGACCCAAGAGGCCAACAGTCGGTCAAAAACCCTGCCCTAAACCCTCCACTGAGTCCTATAGAAGCCTGCTCTGCGTCTGTATAAATAAAGGCAAACTTGAAGATTGTAACAAAATGAGATTGGCAATGAGCGGTTTGGTATCCTCAGCTACTTCAACTCGTTCAGCTTTTCTTCTCCGCCCCTTCATGGCCACCGTAAGTTCTACTCATTTTGCCTTTTTAAAATTCATTAGTTTCTCATGTCGATTACATTCCCCAAATTTAAAGGTTGCCATTTCATTGGATTCTTTTTACAATTGCAGTACAGGACTCTTCACACTCCCTTACCGTTTCCTTCGTTTGGCGTCGGAAATAAATACAATAAATGTTGTCTTCTCAAATACTCAAACACCTCCCAAAGTTTTCATCTTTTCAGAAGACTACCCGATGCCTTCCGCTTTAATTCTAGAAATATTTTCAGTTATGTGCCTTTAGACTGTGGTATCAGATTGACTTCACCCAATTCTGTACCCTTCCCTAAGAGGTACTTTTCTCAAGTACCAAAAGTAGCCAATGAAAAAAACAGTGGAAATAGTTTCCCCTTCAAATTTAAAAAAAAATGGAAACAGTCTAAGGTGTTGGCTTCTCCAAGTACGAATAAAATTACAAATTCCAGTAAGTTGTCCTCTGAGGATGTTAATGTGGTGACTCCAGCAAGTGAACAGCTGGTTGGAGATGCCAAGGAAGGAGTGAAGCAAAATTCTAAAGTTAATAAGAAAAAAAAGCAACCCTCCAGGAGCAAGAAAAACAAGGAACAAGTTTCTGCTGCTACTGCTTCAGTGGAAGCTACTGTGGAAAAGAGTCCCACTCAGGCTTCAAAGGTTAGCCGTTCTTAATTTTGTTGAATAATGGAAATAGTTTCTTTCTCTCCAAATACTTATACTGACATTTCAGTTTTTTAGAAGTCTTCAACTGGGATCACCCCTGTGGAAGCCCTTGGTAGTACTGTTTCAACAAAACAGCAGTCCAACAAGAAAATTGCCAACTCTAGTAGAAAGGGAAAATCTTCGAAGGCAGCTAATGCAGCTTTGCAGAAACAGAAACCGGAGAAGGTAGTCATAACGAAGCTTCCAGGAAAAAACACACTAAAGCCGCTATATCCCCCAACTGGGAAATCTGTTGTGGTGGTTGAGTCTGTTACAAAGGCAAAGGTTATTCAGGGCTACCTTGGTGATATGTTTGAAGTCTTGCCCAGCTATGGTCACATCAGGGACTTGGCTGCAAGGTCGGGATCTGTGCGGCCTGATGATGACTTCAGTATGGTATGGGAGGTCCCATCTGCTGCTTGGACTCATCTTAAAAGTATCAAGGTGGCTTTGAAAGGGTATGTTGTATTTTAATTTTTTATTATTTCCAATCAGTCAATAGCAAGCAGTATCTATGACGCTATAGAAATANAGTTTAAAGTAATACAGCAATGAGAGGGAGTATCATTTACATACCTCAACAAAGACTGAGAATCCCACCAACAGCAATCGCACTGCCACTCAGTTCATTAAAATCCTAATTTACACTGACCTCGATTCTATTGGTATCCGACTGGCTTTGGCTTTGGCTTTTCAAAATTGAAAAAAAAAAAAAAAAAAAAAAATCAGATATTTAATGTTAACTTCTTATGTGGGTGTTAATTTTTTTTTAATTAGTTTAGTTTCGGGCGGGTTTAGTAACGGTTGGACCCGAATGGACCCAAGAGGCCAACAGTCGGTCAAAAACCCTGCCCTAAACCCTCCACTGAGTCCTATAGAAGCCTGCTCTGCGTCTGTATAAATAAAGGCAAACTTGAAGATTGTAACAAAATGAGATTGGCAATGAGCGGTTTGGTATCCTCAGCTACTTCAACTCGTTCAGCTTTTCTTCTCCGCCCCTTCATGGCCACCGTAAGTTCTACTCATTTTGCCTTTTTAAAATTCATTAGTTTCTCATGTCGATTACATTCCCCAAATTTAAAGGTTGCCATTTCATTGGATTCTTTTTACAATTGCAGTACAGGACTCTTCACACTCCCTTACCGTTTCCTTCGTTTGGCGTCGGAAATAAATACAATAAATGTTGTCTTCTCAAATACTCAAACACCTCCCAAAGTTTTCATCTTTTCAGAAGACTACCCGATGCCTTCCGCTTTAATTCTAGAAATATTTTCAGTTATGTGCCTTTAGACTGTGGTATCAGATTGACTTCACCCAATTCTGTACCCTTCCCTAAGAGGTACTTTTCTCAAGTACCAAAAGTAGCCAATGAAAAAAACAGTGGAAATAGTTTCCCCTTCAAATTTAAAAAAAAATGGAAACAGTCTAAGGTGTTGGCTTCTCCAAGTACGAATAAAATTACAAATTCCAGTAAGTTGTCCTCTGAGGATGTTAATGTGGTGACTCCAGCAAGTGAACAGCTGGTTGGAGATGCCAAGGAAGGAGTGAAGCAAAATTCTAAAGTTAATAAGAAAAAAAAGCAACCCTCCAGGAGCAAGAAAAACAAGGAACAAGTTTCTGCTGCTACTGCTTCAGTGGAAGCTACTGTGGAAAAGAGTCCCACTCAGGCTTCAAAGGTTAGCCGTTCTTAATTTTGTTGAATAATGGAAATAGTTTCTTTCTCTCCAAATACTTATACTGACATTTCAGTTTTTTAGAAGTCTTCAACTGGGATCACCCCTGTGGAAGCCCTTGGTAGTACTGTTTCAACAAAACAGCAGTCCAACAAGAAAATTGCCAACTCTAGTAGAAAGGGAAAATCTTCGAAGGCAGCTAATGCAGCTTTGCAGAAACAGAAACCGGAGAAGGTAGTCATAACGAAGCTTCCAGGAAAAAACACACTAAAGCCGCTATATCCCCCAACTGGGAAATCTGTTGTGGTGGTTGAGTCTGTTACAAAGGCAAAGGTTATTCAGGGCTACCTTGGTGATATGTTTGAAGTCTTGCCCAGCTATGGTCACATCAGGGACTTGGCTGCAAGGTCGGGATCTGTGCGGCCTGATGATGACTTCAGTATGGTATGGGAGGTCCCATCTGCTGCTTGGACTCATCTTAAAAGTATCAAGGTGGCTTTGAAAGGGTATGTTGTATTTTAATTTTTTATTATTTCCAATCAGTCAATAGCAAGCAGTATCTATGACGCTATAGAAATATATATCTTTTAAAAAAAAATAAAAATTATGATGTATATTGTGTATATCATTATGGGAAGAATTACGTTTTCTGGTAAGAGGTGTTTGTTGGTCATTCTCAACCTCATGTACGCTATGCGGATGTTAACACTCTTGAGTCTTGTCTGTTTAGGTTGTTAAATTCGTTCATTTAGTTCTGTCTTTATTTTTCTGAATTTTCTTATTTTGTGTGACTTGGACATCAGAGCAGAAAGTATTATTCTTGCCTCAGATCCTGATCGTGAAGGAGAGGCAATTGCGTGGCATATCATTGAGATGTTGCAACAACAGGATGCTTTACGTGAAAATATTACTGTAGCGAGGGTTGTCTTTCATGAAATAACTGAAGCATCCATCAAAAGTGCCTTGCAAGCTCCAAGAGAAGTTGATGTCAATTTGGTTCATGCTTACCTTGCCCGGCGAGCTCTTGATTATTTGATTGGATTTAACATTTCACCATTATTGTGGAGGAAACTACCTGGTTGCCAGTCAGCTGGGCGAGTCCAATCTGCTGCCCTGTCTCTTTTATGTGACAGAGAAATAGAAATTGATGAATTTAAACCACAAGAGTATTGGACTGTTGAGGTTGAGTTGAATAAAAAAGAGTCAAATTCTTCAGTGGAAACCTTTTCTTTTCCAGCTCACCTTACCCATTTCAAATCAAAAAAGTTAAATCAGTACTCAATTCGCTCTCATACAGAGGCAAAGGATATTGAACAAAAGATAAATTCAACGAATTTTCTAGTGATCTGCTCTAAGAAAAGCATGATGAGGAAAAATCCTCCCACACCATATATAACGTCAACTCTTCAGCAGGACGCTGCAAACAAATTGCATTTTTCAGCATCGTACACAATGAAGGTTTGGAAAATTTTATGAATATTGATCTTATATCTTCTGAACTTCATAATATTTATCCCTCTAAAATTAAAACTTGATATGTCTGTCTTAGTCACTGCATTCAGCATTCTGTTATCTATGATGTTATATGTTATGATATTACTTATTGGGAGTATATGCTAGTACTCTAGCATTTTTTACGCACTTTTTACATTTCTATTCTAGTTTAGCCACTAGCTTATCCTTACGTTAACTTAAAACATAGTGACAGTAAGCTCTAAGTTTCTTCTTGAAGGTTCTTTTTGTCTTTATATTTTAGAGGTTTATATTTCATTTTTCAGAGTTTGTTTTGTCATTGACCTTTGATTATCATATGAGTGCAGCTCGCACAAAAACTTTATGAAGGGGTTCAGTTATCAGAGGGGAAGGCAGCTGGTCTGATAACTTACATGAGAACAGATGGACTTCATGTGGGTATCTCTTTGTCTTCAGATAGTTTTTACTGGTTGCTTGTTACGGATGCAGCATCTTCTAGCCTGATTGCCTAATGGTTGCTAGGCTCATGTAAAAAACAGTTGCTTCTATATGCGTGATTTCTGTTTAATGATTTCTGAATGATAGTGAACTGCTGGCCATTATTGTTAGGAAGGATAAAATTAAAAAAAAAAAAAAAAAAAAAAAGAAGTGAAGTGAAGTGACTGTTACTATTTTCTCTTGCTATACAAGTTTGTTGTTTGTTGCATGCCAGTGGAAAACATTTTTTATTCAGGTTGTGTCCATTAGGTGGATAATCTAGGTTTGTTGATTGAACTATAATATGTTTGATGATGTAATGCCTCCTTTTTTTTCTTTTTTTCTTCTATTTTGTTTGGAACATTTTGATTTTTCTTCATATGCTTAGGTTATTCGCTTGACTTTTGAATTAACTGAACTGAGAGAAGAAACAAACTTTTGAGTGATAATACTCATAATTTCTTTGGAATTTCTAATAGTCTTTTGATTTTCTCTCAATCTCTGATGAAGCTGTTAGGGATATCCGCTCCTTGCTCATTGAAAGGTGATAATTGATGTTTACTTCACAATCTTTTCTTAAAATATTTAGCTGATTAGCTGTATATGCTGGGTTGAACCACTTGTGCATCATATCTGTTCCCTCTTTGATGCTATCGCAGAACCTCCTGGGGAGATCTTTTTTTGTGTCAAAATGTTTACTGCCTTTAACTATTCTTTTTGATTCAGATTTTCTTCTTTGATGATATTTGTGAAACTTTTGAGGGATGTTACCAGTTTTGTTTAACTATTCCTTTCCATGGAACCTATAGATACTTTCTTATAATGAGGCTTGGGTTTGGGGTGTCATGTCCTTAGTTCTTCTTTGGTTATCTTTTACAAGTTTAACCCTAGGAGTGGAAGTAGTGGGGTTGCGTGGAAATAGTTGTCCCTGCATGGTTGATGTGGTGTATTCGGGAGGAAAAGAAGTTGTTTGAGGGCTTGGTCTTTTCTTCTCTTGTTTAAAAAGATACAGTTTGTTTTCTCAGGTATGGGTCAGATTATGCATCAGAAAATCCTCGAAAATATTTTAAAAAGGTGAAGAATGCTCAAGAGGCTCATGAAGCTATTAGGCCCACTGATATGCGGAGGTTACCTGGTACTTAAATAGTTTTGAAAGATTTTTTGAACAGTTTAAAATTTTGGGTGAACTCTAACAACAAATTACTGATATATTTTTTTCCCGTTTTTATTGGCTCTTAGTTATGCTTACTGGAATTCTAGATGAAGATTCCTTGAAGTTATACACTCTTATTTGGTCTCGGACAATGGCATGTCAAATGGAACCTGCAACCATTGGGCAGGTTAGAATGTGAATATTTTTCAGTATTATTATGCGCTAGTACACTAATACTTCTCCTCAATTAAGTGAGAGAAAATCAAAACAAATTAAGCAGCATTGTATATCTACATCTCTAAAAGGATCTGACAACAGTAGACCAGCTATCCACGACAAAGAAACAGAATCCATTTGTCATAACTTCGTTTAATATTAAATTTGCAAATTTCTTGAACTAATATATCATTCCAAATTCAGTTTTACTTGTGTATTGATATTGAGAACTATGCTCATTTTCATTTGCAGCAACTTTATCTTGTGTGTTTCCTCCAGCATTATATTTAAACATGAAATGTAACTTATGATTTGATATTCCTTTAAGCTGTTGTAATTATTTATTTATTTATTTATTATTTTAATGAAGTTTTTTGTGTCTTGTAGAAAAAGAAATAAAATTTAACTGGCTCCAGAATTCTTTTTATCATTACCCTTTGTTGTAATTGTGTCTGAAATATCTCTGTTTCTATTGTTTTACTTCCACAACATGTAATATTGAACTATTTGTTATGTTTGTGCTTTGCTCTTCTTTCATAATCATCTTGTCTTCATTTATAGTTCATTATTCACTTTCAGTTTATAATACTATTGTAATCATTTGTACTGTCTAACATTCTCTGATCTAAGCAGATACAACTGGATATAGGTGATGCTAGTGAGTCCATTGTTTTCCGTTCTTCTTGCTCAAAAGTAGAATTTCGTGGATTCCGAGCAGTTTATGAGGTATAATCTGTGCTCGATAAATAGTAGAATCTTTCATTCATTTTTACATTTGTGCTATCTATTTCACTATTACTAGCTTCAGGAGGATATAATAGGGGCCTGACTTTGTTTGTCCTTGTTTATAGAATCGCAGTGCTTGCTTTGATGCTTTTGTTTAATTTGGCGCTTCATTTCATGTTTTCCTGTGAGCATGTTTTGAATTCTTATGATTTATCTAGGATGTGGATGCTGGAGCTATCAGATATAAGGAAAATGAAGGGAATGATCGTGATGTAGCTTTTGAAATTCTCAATTCACTGAAGGTAGCAAATTCTTTTTCTTCTTTCTTTTCTTTTTGCTTATGAGAAACTTCAACTACTGGGAAATTAATCAAGAAGGAATATAAATAAATACTACCTGGTCATAGCAGACATATTGAGCATTATTCCTGAAGGAGAAACCTGATACAGAAATAATAAGAAAGCAGTGAATAATAAATATGAAGATGAAACTACCCTTAACTGTTATGGGGCATCCCTAGTTGACTTCTTTTAGAGATAATATTTTCCCTTTGTCTTTTTCCTGGTTGATCTGGAGATATCATTTTTAGTTTTATTGTGAATAAATCTGTATGGAACATTCAAGTTTCAGTTCCTAATGGGTGTGGTTCAGATGCCACTAGATCGTGGCACCAATATACTACTTTCATTGAGGTTTTCATTTCATAAAACTTCTCTTGATTTTGTTGTTGAATGTTGTCTAATTGACGTGCTACAAAGGGTGTTTTCATAAACATTATTTATTTTGTAGTCAGGGGAGCCATTGTCTCGTCAACTGGAACTCAAGCAGCATCATACCCAACCTCCACCACGCTACTCAGAGGGATCACTGGTACATTAATACGAATTTTCTATAATGTGGAAGTGGTTGATAACAAGTTTCCTCCCACGAATAGGCTACCATGAATGATGCTAAAATTTGAACTTAACTAAAAAAATTGTGTTTGTGTTGAAAGTTTGAATACATAATAGTAAAGAAAAATTCCTTAATTGAGGCCTGAACCAATTAAGAATGACCTTAAGCTAAACTCCTAACCAAATTCATAGATAGCATAAATATGTAAATCCACAAATATTACTGTGATTGTAAAATTACATAAATGATCCCTTGATTATGAATCAATTGATTTTCTGAAGCTTCTGAACAGTGATCTGTTTCAATTGCTTGTCTTCAAGAAACTATATACAATACTCCTTGAGTAAGCATGTGAAAATTGTTAGTAAAGGGGAGTTATCCTTCTGGGTATTGGTTTTGAATAATGGTTAAGTTATTATTATTTTTTTAAATTGTGTACAGGCTTATTTATAGATCTTGTATGCATGCACCAAGGAGCTAGAGAGAGAAAGAGAGAGATTGCGTTTGTAATGCTTCTGTAGTGCTGTTCCTTTTTATGCTTCGCCTCATGTTTGGTGTTGTTGCATGTACCAGGTTAAGAAGCTGGAAGAGCTTGGGATTGGAAGACCTTCTACATACGCATCTACATTAAAAGTTTTACAGGTAAGTTATGGTGTTAAAAGGATTTTATTTGAAACCTATCTCGTATTCATATCTGATTAATCTTCTGGTGTTATATAAAGAGTAACAGTAAATTTTTGTGTTTAATAACTCCAAAGGCTGAAAATCAACTGGGCTGTCCATTGATAGCTCAGGTTGGCTTTTGTGATTTATAGTCTGATGGCTGTTGTATCTTCAAAAGTCTTGAGATGTTGAAGTGACTGTTACTTAATTTCTCTTTGTTATACAAGTTTGTTGTTTGTTGCATGCCATGAGTGGAAAACATTTTTTATTCAGGTTGTGTCCATTGGGTGGATAATCTAGGTTTTGTGATTGAACTTATAAATGTTTGATGATGTAATGCCTCCTTTTTTCTCTTTTTTCTTCTATTTTGTTTGGAACATTTTGATTTTTCTTCATATGCTTAGGTTAATTCGCTTGACTTTTGAATTAACTGAACTGAGAGAAGAAACAAACTTTTGAGTGATAATACTCATAATTTCTTTGGAATTTCTAATAATAAGTCTTTTGATTTTCTTTCAGATCTCTGATGAAGCTGTTAGGGATATCCGCTCCTTGCTCATTGAAAGGTGATAATTGATGTTTACTTCACAATCTTTTCTTAAAATATTTAGCTGATTAGCTGTATATGCTGGGTTGAACCGCTTGTGCATCAATATCTGTTCCCTCTTTGATGCTATCTGCAGAACCTCCTGGGGAGATCTTTTTTTGTCAAAATGTTTACTGCCTTTAACTATTCTTTTTGATTCAGATTTTCTTCTTTGATGATATTTGTGAAACTTTTGAGGGATGTTACCAGTTTTGTTTAACTATTCCTTTCCATGGAACCTATAGATATTTTCTTATAATGAGGCTTGGGTTTGGGGTGTCATGTCCTTAGTTCTTCTTTGGTTATCTTTTACAAGTTTAACCCTAGGAGTGGAAGTAGTGGGGTTGCGTGGAAATAGTAGTCCCTGCATGGTTGATGTGGTGTATTCGGGAGGAAAAGAAGTTGTTTGAGGGCTTGGTCTTTTCTTCTCTTGTTTAAAAAGATACAGTTTGTTTTCTCAGGTATGGGTCAGATTATGCATCAGAAAATCCTCGAAAATATTTTAAAAAGGTGAAGAATGCTCAAGAGGCTCATGAAGCTATTAGGCCCACTGATATGCGGAGGTTACCTGGTACTTAAATAGTTTTGAAAGATTTTTTGAACAGTTTAAAATTTTGGGTGAACTCTAACAACAAATTACTGATATATTTTTTTCCCTTTTTTATTGGCTCTTAGTTATGCTTACTGGAATTCTAGATGAAGATTCCTTGAAGTTATACACTCTTATTTGGTCTCGGACAATGGCATGTCAAATGGAACCTGCAACCATTGGGCAGGTTAGAATGTGAATATTTTTCAGTATTATTATGCACTAGTACACTAATACTTCTCCTCAATTAAGTGAGAGAAAATCAGAACATATTAAGCAGCATCGTATATCTACATCTCTAAAAGGATCTGACAACAGTAGACCAGCTATCCACGACAAAGAAACAGAATCCATTTGTCATAACTTCATTTAATATTAAATTTGCAAATTTCTTGAACTAATATATCATTCCAAATTCAGTTTTACTTGTGTATTGATATTGAGAACTATGCTCATTTTCATTTGCATCAACTTTATCTTGTGTGTTTCCTCCGGCATTATATTTAAACATGAAAGGTAACTTATGATTTGATATTCCTTTAAGCTGTTGTAATTATTTATTTATTTATTTATTATTTTAATGAAGTTTTTTGTGTCTTATAGAAAAAGAAATAAAATTTAACTGGCTCCAGAATTCTTTTTATCATTACCCTTTGTTGTAATTGTGTCTGAAATATCTCTGTTTCTATTGTTTTACTTCCACAACATGTAATATTGAACTATTTGTTATGTTTGTGCTTTGCTCTTCTTTCATAATCATCTTGTCTTCATTTATAGTTCATTATTCACTTTCAGTTTATAATACTATTGTAATCATTTGTACTGTCTAACATTCTCTGATCTAAGCAGATACAACTGGATATAGGTGATGCTAGTGAGTCCATTGTTTTCCGTTCTTCTTGCTCAAAAGTAGAATTTCGTGGATTCCGAGCAGTTTATGAGGTATAATCTGTGCTCGATAAATAGTAGAATCTTTCATTCATTTTTACATTTGTGCTATCTATTTCACTATTACTAGCTTCAGGAGGATATAATAGGGGCCTGACTTTGTTTGTCCTTGTTAATAGAATCGCAGTGCTTGCTTTGATGCTTTTGTTTAATTTGGCGCTTCATTTCATGTTTTCCTGTGAGCATGTTTTGAATTCTTATGATTTATCTAGGATGTGGATGCTGGAGCTATCAGATATAAGGAAAATGAAGGGAATGATCGTGATGGAGCTTTTGAAATTCTCAATTCACTGAAGGTAGCAAATTCTTTTTCTTCTTTCTTTTCTTTTTGCTTATGAGAAACTTCAACTACTGGGAAATTAATCAAGAAGGAATATAAATAAATAGTACCTGGTCATAGCAGACATATTGAGCATTATTCCTGAAGGAGAAACCTGATACAGAAATAATAAGAAAGCAGTGAATAATAAATATGAAGATGAAACTACCCGTAACTGTTATGGGGCATCCCTAGTTGACTTCTTTTAGAGATAATATTTTCCCTTTGTCTTTTTCCTGGTTGATCTGGAGATATCATTTTTAGTTTTATTTTGAATAAATCTGTATGTAACATTCAAGTTTCAGTTCCTAATGGGTGTGGTTCAGATGCCACTAGATTGTGGCACCAATATACTACTTTCATTGAGGTTTTCATTTCATAAAACTTCTCTTGATTTTGTTGTTGAATGTTGTCTAATTGACGTGCTACAAAGGGTGTTTTCATAAACATTATTTATTTTGTAGTCAGGGGAGCCATTGTCTCTTGGTCAACTGGAACTCAAGCAGCATCATACCCAACCTCCACCACGGTACTCAGAGGGATCACTGGTACATTAATACGAATTTTCTATAATGTGGAAGTGGTTGATAACAAGTTTCCTCCTACGAATAGGCTACCATGAATGATGCTAAAATTTGAACTTAACTAAAAAAATTGTGTTTGTGTTGAAAGTTTGAATACATAATAGTAAAGAAAAATTCCTTAATTGAGGCCTGAGCCAATTAAGAATGACCTTAAGCTAAACTCCTAACCAAATTCATAGATAGCATAAATATGTAAATCCACAAATATTACTGTGATTGTAAAATTACATAAATGATCCCTTGATTATGAATCAATTGATTTTCTGAAGCTTCTGAACAGTCATCTGTTTCAATTGCTTGTCTTCAAGAAACTATATACAATACTCCTTAGTAAGCATGTGAAAATTGTTAGTCAAGGGGAGTTATCCTTCTGGGTATTGGTTTTGAATAATGGTTAAGTTATTAATATTTTTTTAAATTGTGTACAGGCTTATTTATAGATCTTGTATGCATGCACCAAGGAGCTAGAGAGAGAGAGATTGCGTTTGTAATGCTTCTGTAGTGCTCTTCCTTTTTATGCTTCGCCTCATGTTTGGTGTTGTTGCATGTACCAGGTTAAGAAGCTGGAAGAGCTTGGGATTGGAAGACCTTCTACATACGCATCTACATTAAAAGTTTTACAGGTAAGTTATGGTGTTAAAAGGATTTTATTTGAAACCTATCTCGTATTCATATCTGATTAATCGTCTGGTGTTATATAAAGAGTAACAGTAAATTTTTGTGTTTAATAACTCCAAAGGCTGAAAATCAACTGGGCTGTCCATTGATAGCTCAGGTTGGCTTTTGTGATTTATAGTCTGATGGCTGTTGTATCTTCAAAAGTCTTGAGATAAATAATGTTCTGTAAAATGCATCTAAACTTCAACAGTCAATATAGGAAAGCAACAAGCAGGAAAGATTAAGGCTGATTTTGGGGTATATTGTGCTGGAGTTTCTTAAGACTCGGAATAATTAGTAGTTTTGAGGTTTATCTGGACAGCACCTCAGAAATGAGGCATTCACTAGGCTAGAAAGTGTAATGAGGAGATAAAAATATTTTGTTTATTGTTAAAAATATATATAATCTTGTTTAGAGTTAAAAAAAATTATATATAAATACATGTGGCTTAGATCTAAGATCTCAAAGATGAAGAAACAGAAGCTTTAGTGGGAATGTATGTTAGGAATGTGGACTATTTGGTGAATGGTGAGCAATGTTCACTATAGATTCTTGAAGGCGTATTTGTTCTTCTTGAGTTCTTGATTTTTTATTTTTGGCTTTGATATTTCGTATGATTTTACTGGGTTTTGATGGACAGTAGTCCCTTCAGAAACCACTTGCTGACTTATTCATGAAGAATAAATCTGAGAAAAAAAAAATCATTTCATTTTTTGCTTTCTTCATTTAATATGCCAAGACTATACAACCTCAACTTATTGCTTGAAAGCCAATTCTAAGCCACCCCTCTAAAAACCTCTTTTGATCCACTTTGTTTCCCATGCTCACTATTGTGCTAGTGAAAAGTTCATTGGCAGCTATGACGCAACAGAAGAGTCAAATTGGGGCATTGACAGTGCTTTGCTTGCAGTAGTCACAAAGTTTGCCTAATTACAATAAGCTGATTTTGTATTTTTGTTCAAAATGAAAATTAATCATTAGGATACTTTGAGGGTTAAAGTAGTACTGAAGTCTGTTATTAAACATTGTGGCTTTTTTTTTTTTTTTTTTTGGGGGGGGGGGATTGTATCTGTATAGCTATTTGGTTTTTGACTTGACAATATTTCCTGCCACATTCTTTTCTTTTCCAGGATAGAAAATATGTGACAGTGAAAAGCCGTGTATTGTATCCTGAATTTCGTGGTCGTATGGTAAGTCCTGGCCTTGCAAATTTGTCTATTATTATTATTACTATCTTTAACTGATTAAATATTTCACATTATAAAACTCTCATGTTGTTAAATGTATATATCAAGATGCCCTGGAAGGACATTTCCAGTAGATGTATATTGCTTATGTAATTCCTTGATGTTGAAGAGCACTTCAACTTCAATGTGATGAAATTAATATTGCTTGAAACTGCTAAAAAATCACTTGCATGTGGAGGGGAGGACTCATTTTGTGCATATCTCTTGTAGTTACTTTGAAAGAAGTTAACTGCTAAGTTCACACTTGACACAATTTAGAATTTACCTTGGGAAGTAAGTTGCATTTGCCCAAGTATGGAGAAATTTATTTCTGTCTCAATAAAAATATACATCCTATCTTTTTTTCTGTTTTCCTTGGAGTAACTTTGACCTCACTACTCCATATCTTATCGTTTTAGACAAAAAATATTTCTTTTGGAACAATATGCTTCATATATACTTGTCTCTTTTTGCTATGGATAAGTGGGTATAATATGCTTGTTTTGGACTGATCACTAGGTGTCAGCATTTCTCTCTCACCATTTCTCGGAGGTGACAGACTACAGTTTCACTGCTGATATGGAGACTGAGGTATATGAATTAAATGTTTGTTAGTTGTTACATATAGTATTTTCAGCTCATCAAGCTTTAAATATTGGTTGCTTCTGCTGCTATAGTTTCATTTTTTTTTTTGAAAAAAAATAGTCGTGTTTAAATATGATATTCTGGTTCTGTCACAATTTTAGGTTGCTTACATGCCTATAAACTGTGGATCACTTTTTTTTCTACTGCTTGTTGATGACCTTTCTACATCTATACATTTGCTTTCAGCTTGATAATGTTTCTGCTGGCTTAACTGAATGGAAAGGCCTCCTTAGGGATTATTGGACAAGATTCAGTTCATATTGTACCCGTGCTCAAAGTGTACATATTCATCAAGTATGGTTGGGCTCTTGTTGCAGTAAACCCATGAGTTTGCTGTTTCTGTTGAAAGTTTCTACTTCTTCTTCTTCTTCTCGCTCTCTCTCTCTCCAATTTTATTAATTATAGATATTTTTAAATGCTTGCAGGTGGAGAAGATGTTGGAGAAAACATTTGGGNAAAAAATAGTCGTGTTTAAATATGATATTCTGGTTCTGTCACAATTTTAGGTTGCTTAAATGCCTATAAACTGTGGATCACTTTTTTTTCTACTGCTTGTTGATGACCTTTCTACATCTATACATTTGCTTTCAGCTTGATAATGTTTCTGCTGGCTTAACTGAATGGAAAGGCCTCCTTAGGGATTATTGGACAAGATTCAGTTCATATTGTACCCGTGCTCAAAGTGTACATATTCATCAAGTATGGTTGGGCTCTTGTTGCAGTAAACCCATGAGTTTGCTGTTTCTGTTGAAAGTTTCTACTTCTTCTTCTTCTTCTCGCTCTCTCTCTCTCCAATTTTATTAATTATAGATATTTTTAAATGCTTGCAGGTGGAGAAGATGTTGGAGAAAACATTTGGGGATTTTTTGTTTGCTTCTCTCCCCAATAAAGGCAGGACATGTCCAAGGTATGAATGTTTTGCCAATTCTATGTTCTTTGTGGGGTAAAGAGATTTCATCGTGAAGAATATACTTTTGGTTGTTAGGATGGTTATAAAGAAACTTCTCAAATGATTACTTGCAACCCAGTTTTAAACCTAGAGAATACATCCCTTACTTGAACCGCTAAGTTCCTCCCAGATCTATATGATCTTTCTTCTTCTTATTAATTACTAAGTGATTCTTGACATAAAGCTTAAGAGACTCTACAGGCAAAGTTTTTGGACTCAACTGTTATCTGATTTTATAAATTTTCCTTTTGAATTTGAAGTTACCTGTAAATGGGTTGAGAGGCATGAAGAGGATACATGAGCTTACTTTGCATTTAAATTCATTTTGTGTGATCTAGTAAAAAGTTATTGTAAGGTGTAAAAATATTAATTTTCAGAGTGGATATTACTTTGAATTTATTTTTATTTTGTGTTGTTATCCATGACATCAGAGGCTGTTGGCCAGCACTTTTCTCAAAAAAGGTAGTCTTGCGAGGCATGATACTCTCTGATCTAGTCTGTATTTTGTGTTTGTTCCCCTAAGAAATTTTGAATCACATCTATAGTGGTCCCATGTATAATTTATGATGTCTTAATAAATATCTACTTTTGACCCCATTTAGTTATGTCTATTCAGTTCTATTTCATACTAAAATACTGATGTAAATATTGTTTTGACATTGTTATGTTAATTACCGCACCATCATACCATCTATATAATTTTGATAAACCAATTTTCACATTAGTTGGTCAGAAAAAGTTTGTAAACAAGTTTTTAATAGTAGTATACTCTTATTTCAATCATCATTAGTGTTTTGAACTGCTTCCTATAATCTCTCTTTTCAGTTGCTCTGAGGGCACTTTGATTTTTAAAGTAAGTAGATTTGGTGCGGGCTATTTTATAGGCTGTAATCAGCACCCAAAATGCAGGTAAGTATCAAACTGTATGATACAGCTTATTTGCATTATAAGTTCTGATTATTATCATGCTGGCTCCTGTTTTTTTCTCTCCCTACTTCTGCACATGTGTGTGTCCCCAATTCTGCTTAATATCATGTTTTGTGTCATTTTATGTTTCGTTTAAATCAGTTTTACAGTAAAAATATGCTTGATACGACAATTTTTTACTGTATATATTTGTTGATAGTGTTACAATATTTATGGATCTCTTTTTGGTCAAGAAAGTTATCCTGATAGTTTCATGAAAAAATCACTATTCAAATCTCATATGTTAATATTTTAGTTGCTGTTAATACTTGAATTATTTGCATCGGTCTACAGTTATATTGCCAAGACACTATATGGTGATGATGATGAAGAAGATGCTCCTCAAAAGAACACTAATGTAGAGGAGCCAAAACTGATTGGTCTTCATCCAGGCTCAAATGAAAAGGTTTGCTTTAAATCATGTTCTTCTTTGTCTGTGGGACTGGTGATTTGTTAACTCAGTTTGAATGAGTTGTGGTATTGAAATAAACTGAAAATGGAAATAATTTCTTTCAGGTTCTTTTGAAGACTGGTCCTTATGGATACTATGTACAGCTTGGTGAAGATAGGACGGCTAATATGCCTAAAAGGGCCACTGCTTCCCATGTAAGGCTGTTTCTTTCCTTCATGATATACCTTGCAACTGGAACCCAAGGATTAGGCTTAGTAGTAAAAGCCCTTGGTTCAATTCCTTTGGGCCCAGTTTTAGAGATATTATATTTTTCAAATTTCTGGCTGTTGGTTTTTGGGCCTAACTCCTTACGCAAAAGGCCTTATTAAGTGGGAGGATTGCCCACTCTTATAAACTTATTGGCTTGAGCATGCCTAGTCGATATGGGATCTCTAACACTCCTCTTCTCGGTCAAGTCCATATGGTCCACTTGTCTATGAATGGAGGTAGTTTGGCAGTCCAGCGTTGGTCAATCACTCAGCTCAAATGAGGTTGGCTCTGATATCACTTGTTGGTTTTTGGGCCTAACTCATCCAAAATGCCTTATTGAATAGGAGGATTGTCCATTCTTATAAAACCCATTGACTTAAGCATCTCTAGTCGATATGGGATCTTTAACACTGGTTATTGTTTGTAGAGTATAAAGTAGCCTTTAGTTTGGAATTGAGTGAATATGTCAGGAAGATCGAGGAACTTTTTAGTGAATATATAAACACACACCTTGGAACCACATTTTCTTGTTTTGTACTATTGTGATCTGGGTAAGAAATAGAAAAGAGAAAATACAAAAAAGAAATAAAGAGAAGATTGTCGTGGTACAGCTGATAAAACAGCATTACTACATGTTCATGCATGTAAATGTGTGTGCTCTTAACTTTGTCTTCTTTTAGTGCTGCAAATGCTTGTATTGCCACTTTGTTGATTGTAATTCATTGAACATATTTAAAACTGGATGAGATGTATCTTTTTTCAGATTAAGGATGTGGACTCTATTACCCTTGAAGATGCTCTGGAGTTGCTGCGTTACCCTTTGACGTTGGTAAGCTAATCCCTGTATCATTTGTTAATCTCTATATTGATTTCTATTTCTGTATGTATTGAATTGTTCTTAAACTCATTTATGTTATCATTTGTTAGGGAAACCATCCAAAGGATGGGCATCCAGTAACAATAAGGCATGCAAAGGCTGGGTTTTCTGTTAGACATCGACGCACTATTGCTTCTGTTCCAAAGGTATATAATTAACAATATAATGAGGATCAAATATATTTATGTAATTACCCTAACCTTCACTTCATCAATTTTGGAATGTGTGGTTCAAAGCATTGTTACTGAACTATGATGCAATTAAAAGAAGGAAAAAAAAAAAAAAATTTGATTGATTAACAGTACTATAATTTTGGGTTTTCTTTTTTTATGGGTGCAGAATATGAACCCGAAGGACGTCACTCTTGAGAAGGCATTGAAATATTTGTCGGGTAAAGGTGTAAGACTATGTGGCCGACCTAAGAGTAAGCCGAAGGTTGAAGAACCCTTGGAGGCCATGTAAATAGGAGAGTGCAAGGTTATCTAGCGATTATTCTCTGCAAATGAGCCTGTGGTCATGACATTACATCCACAGCTGAAATCATTAATTTATAGGAAAAGAGCATCTACATGCACTTGGGCATCTTCAGAATTTTTTATGACGAGAGCCCATAAGGTGTGTATAATTGCCACTGCAATGATCAATTTTCTTGTAGTTAATCTCCATTTTGATGGTATAAATATGTTCGAGCCATTTATCAATGATGCAACGGCTCAATCAATTTCTTACCGAGGGAATGTAATCATGAAATGTTACACGGCTGAGATTCTTTGATTTTGATTACCGGTTGAATTAAATAAATCTCTTCATAATTTATGTGCATTGTTCTGTCCTTTGTGTAGGAGAAGAAACAGAGTAGCTTTGATATGTAGAAATTTTCTGTTCTGGTTGTCAAGAGCTGCAACATAAGGATAATGGGTGTCCATAATTGAACTTGAAATTTATCTTTCTATTTTAATGTGGGGTTTCTATATGTGCAATCTTTAGCAATATATTAAGCATTGTATTGCAGCAACAAATACACAGCCAAATTCATCCACAGAAGAACCTATAACATAAGTTCATCAACACCCCCACTTGAGTTTAGTAAACACAGAAATTACTGTCTTACAAAGCATACACAAACATCTTAAGCAAGTAGTTGTATAAATCTGAAATAACAAGCTATGCTAGAAGAAGATATGATTCATTTTCTACTATGTATATTTCTAGCTGTAAGTAAAAGATATACAAATTCAAGTTCTCTTTTAATTTAGAGCTCTCTTCCTGAGCCTAGATGGTGAGTAGTTAAAGATATTTCTCTATTTGGAAAAGGAAGAAAAAGAACCCCATGTCCATATCCATTTCCATGTGCAAGCTGAAAAATGTTCCGAACTGGTCTTGATACTCTCTTTCTGTACATGTCGGGACCGGAAAAGCCTTTTGATACCTAACATTGTGACTCAAACAGATCGTCAGTTTAATCATCTACAAAATCTAAACTTACTCCCAACTTAATTTTTTCCTCTATCAAGCCGAATGGTATGTTGAGCAGTCATCAATCAGAAGATTGTATAAGCTGAGGATCACTGATAGACTCCTACAAAAGACATAAAGAGGTTCAATTAATAATGAATCAGATTCTATACTACCTGTTACTATATGAGAATTAATAAATGTTAAAACTTACAGCTGACGAAACTTGGCTGTGGAAGGGGGATTGGCTAGAACCGCCAACAAACAATGGAGGGTTCATGGTTTCTTCAGCAAGTGCTCTCAATCTGTTAAGTTCTGGCAAAACAACTTTACCAAGATCTGGTCTGTCTTTCCGCCTTAACTCAGCACACTGAAGTGACAACTTAGCAAACGACAAAGCCTCTTCGACTGGCCAATCAGGCACAGCCGGATCCAACATCTCTTCAAAAGTGCCCTTCTCAATAGCTCGTTCTACATGATGAGTCAACCCCATTGGTGGTTTGGCTGTTATCAATTGGAGAAACATAATACCAAGTGAGTATATATCAGACTTGATACCAAGCATCCCTGTTTGCTGATACTCTGGATCTATATAGCAGAATGTTCCAGCTGTTGATGTCATTCGATACTGTGTCACAGTGTCTGCCACAGTAGGTGGGACTAGCCTCGCCAACCCAACATCACTGATCTTGCTTACAAAGTTACGATCAAGCAAGATGTTGGCTGGTTTCAGGTCACGGTGAACAAGCGGTTCAGGTTTTGTCTGGTGTAGAAACAGTAAGGCTGTCCCAATTTCAGCTGCGACTTTAAACCTAAGCTGCCAAGACAGAGCTGGACTGTGTCCACGCCGGAACAAACGGTCATCTAAGCTTCCATTCGCCATAAACTCATACACTAAACATCCATACTCTGGACACGCTCCCAGAAGGAGAACCATGTTAGGGTGTCTTATGCAGCTCAATACCTCAACCTGAAAATATTCCATTATGTTATGTTAGGTTATGATTAAGAAAATTTATTTGACACAGTTAATTTCACCTACCTCTTGCTGAAACTGTGACCTCCCCTGAGCTGCATCTGGACGTAAAACCTTAATTGCAACAGGTGTATGGTCCAAATTACATTTGTATACTGGTCCATAACCTCCTTCTCCAATCTTGCGGGAGGCTGAAAAGAATTCTGTCGCAGATTCAATCTCCTCTATCGAGTACTTCCTGTATCTCACATCTGTATGCGCCAGAGCAGTTAGTGCTTTTTTCTTTTCTTCTCCTTCTTTCAGTGCTTTCCTTTCTGCGCTTCTTCTTTTCTGGGCTTCCATTTCCGCAATTCTTTGAGCTGCTTCAGCTGCTTCTATGGCTGCTTTTGACTTGGCTTTCTCCCTTTCTGCAACGGCTATTGCAGCTTCCTCAGCAAGGCGCGCCTCCTCCAATCTCCGTTCTTCTTCCATTTTCCAGCGTTGGAGTTCAGTTGCCCTTTGTTTTGCTGAGAGTGCTTCTTTACAGGCGGTACTGTACATTTCCATAGTTTGCTTGAGTTCCAGCCTTAGCCTCCTCATTTCAGCTTCCACGTCATCGGCTGTTTGAGATGCGGATGAGAGTCTGTCATAATCCTGTGAGACTGATGAGAAATCACTTAGAGAGTTACAATCCAGTGATCTTCTTCCGATCTGAATTGACTCAAAACTGTAGTTGCTATCTACATCCGAATGGTTAGAGAGTCGTGGTGGGGTTCGCCCTTCTGTGCTTTGGCTATCACAGAATCCTGGAAATATGCGGTCGATGCTCGGCCTCCCACTGCTCACATAAGATATGTCTGAATCCGGTAGAGGAAGTTCGCCATATGATTTACCGTTTAAGCCTCTCCTAGTAAAAGGAGACCTGAAGAAATCTGAATCTTCAGATGATTTACGCGGTGGCGCCTCCACTTGTGGCGCAGGGGCTGGTCATCCATCCAACCATAAAGACATTACATCAATTAATGTCAATAATTGCATTTAACTTAGACAAAACTAGGCAATTAAAGTACTACCTCTTATACTAGGAGTTGGGTGAACATATCTCTCCGGTTGAGGTGGTCTTATGTTTCCTTGATTTATAAGTAACTGGTTACGTAGTGGGGAGACGGGTGGGGCAGGACGTGAGGCAGATCGCATTGATGAAATCTTCCCTTTAGAAATCACATAAACAGTGCAAAAATCTGGTGCTCCTTTTAGTACATTACCAGGTATATCAGTCATCTTGAATCTTCTGGGATAAAACATTGTGGGAGTTACTAAAGTTTCCCATTAAAATTTCTTTTTTTTTTTTTTTTTTTTTTCTTTTTTATTAGCATCATGAAAAAGTACTGTTAAATTAATTACGTACTACTAATCCATCCCATATTCATTCAGGTCGCTGAGTAGCCTGATGAGTTCCAGAAGAAATGATGAAGATTCAGGAAATCAACAAAAAATAAAGCAATAAATTAGAAGTGTAAATACAGACCTAAGAAAACCTTTATTGCCAGAGGCACCAACAACCAGAGTCTCAATTGCTGTCTGGGAAACGTATTCGATTAATGCTTTTGACACATCACTGTCTTCTAGCACCACATCTTTGCAATTTATCTGTATGTCAAATTAGGAGAAGTTGATTAACAGCAGCAAGTAACAAATAGAAAGAAAGAAAATGAAGCAAAAGGGGATGTTATATATATATATATATCTTACATCTTTTCGAGTACAAAAGCAGCGGAAAGGCAAGAAGATTTCCTTAGTTTGGGGATCAGGATCTCTACATACCAATGAACTATCACCATTTATATCACTTATTTGGTTAATCCCTGCAGCAACATTGGATATATTAAATAATCCCATTAAACAAAAATGTTTGAAAATGAAATAAGAGAATGGCATACTTGGTGGTGGAAGAGAAGGCGAAGGAGAAAGAGCTGCAGCTGACTTGAGTTTGACGTGAATGAGAACAAGTGTTTGGCCTTTGTATAAGATATTATCAATAGCCCACTTAATAGCATTTTGGCTGCCTTTGTCCCTGTCTATTGCCACTGCTACCAAACTACTATTATTTTTTGTTTCTTTCTTCTCCGAAGTAGAAGTTTTTGACATCCACATTCTTTCTTCTGAATTCAAGCAGCTACTTTTGCTTGTTTTTCTTTCTATTAATCTACAACCCCTTTACTTGAATCCAGTTACGTATGTGATGAATGGATGTTGATGCACAAAGGTTTCTCGTCTCTCTCAAGAGGTGAAAGAGAGACAAGAAAAAAACCTAAGCTAATCCACAACTTAATGTATGCCTTTGTTGTTTGTCTGTTTGTTTGTTTATGTATTTATTCCAACTTCACATTAACAACCAAGATTCCTCCTTGTTTTAGCTAATTTTGACTTTTTCAAACAAAATCTCTCCTTTCATTTCTTCCTTTTGTTAGAAACTTCCCAACATTTACGGGTTATTCAGATGCTTTGACCTCTAACACATCCTTCTAAGTTCTAACAATTAATCATATGCTATCATGACAAACCCATTTGCCTGAATTATAGTTGTAACTTATATACAATTTAACCTTGTTAACCATTTTGTAACGTGTTATGCCGACACCACTTTTCTTGTGGTCGGATGGCAAACTCTTTAACCACTGAGGTTAGTTATACCCAACTAGTCTTGTCTTCAATCCCCAATTACCGGGTTTATCCAAAAAAATGAGTTATGCCGACAGTTGCTATAGACTTAATAGGTGAGATAGAGGGATAAATAATATATTAAATTAAATTAAATTGTCAAGATTTATTTACTTATATATTAACATTTTACAAGGCTCTGAAATTTTGGAAGAAACCCCACCTTCATTCACTATCTCCTCCTTCCTCAATGAATGAATAAATATAATGACAATAAACAAGATCTTTTAAGTAAAATTAGAGTAAGCTTCATTAATAACATCTGGATACAGAAGAATAATAATGTATAGTGAGTTACACCCTCAATCAAGTCTCAAGTTATTGCGTTTACAAAGAGGGATGATCCACTCCTTCTACACATGAGGGATGAAGATCATAATTACACAAATCACAAGAGAATGTCCAAAACCTCCCTGGCTTTTTGCAAGAGTCACATTGATAAGCTTTGGCCATGTCGAGTTTTAGTTCATGTTCATGCTTTGCATCCTTAACTAGTTGAGGCAATGCATCTCCCTCCTTTTTCAAGCTTGCTTCTATTTCGTCAATCCTCGACTCTGTAAATGGGAAAGCCTTAGCGCCATACAAGGAAATCATGTCCTTCCCATTTGTGTTGATTGTCTTCCCATGTGGTCCAATTAGGACTAAAGCTGGAATCCCTTTGATTTTGAAGATCCTACAAAGGTCTTGTCTTGTCCTGTCCTCGTATGGAATTGCTAGCCATGGCATACTACTTAAATTTAGATCAAATTCTTTGTGGTCTCGGTCTGTAGATACCAAAACAATTTCAAAGCATTGATCTGTAGTAGTTTTGAGCTCATTGTAAACTTCAATAAGTTGTGCAGTGAAGGCACGGCAGGGAGGGCACCAGTGTGCCCCAAAGTAAAGACCAATTGTCTTACCAGCAAGTTCAGACACTGTTATCTGCAGAAGATGGTGTGTCAAATTTATGAAAAACATTCAAAAACAACTATGAATAACCTTGAGTACCTTACTATAATCTCTAGAAAGAACATAATCCCGTCCTTCACGGGCCAAAAGTTCTTCCAATTTTCCTCCCTGGCGTTTAGAGTCATCAAGAGCCTTCAATTCATCTCTTCTCTGCCTAGTGAATGGAAATGCATCGGCACCATAGTCTTCAATTAATCCAATCAAGTCTTCTTCAACTAATACTCCATCTGAAGCTAATGGAATAAGTGAAGGGATGCGATCAACTTGATACCTATTTCTCAGTTCTTTATGGAAGGTTACATCAAATGGAACAGCAAGCCATGGCATGCATTTGAAATGTTCCTCAAATCCAGTCTTGTCATGATCAAAGGAAATGAAGACAATCTCGAGCTCTTTACCTCTTGCTATTAGCGTGTCATAAAGTTGCACAAGTTGTGGGGTAAAAGATTTACAAGGCCTACACCAGTTTGCAGAGAAAAAGAGACAAATTGTCTTTCCACCACATGATGATAAGGGTACCTATATGTGGGATCAAGCTATGATTACTATTTAATTCACTTTATTAAGCTGATAAATTTCATACCTTGCTTTCAAGGCCATCCTTTTGCTTTTTTCAGTGAACTGTTAAAGACTTTAAAGGCTATGACTCTTCCAGTTTCCAAGTAGTAAATTAGTAAACTCTCTGGGATTTTGTTTACATTAATTTTATTGGCAAGCAAAAGGAAACATCATAAAAATAGACAACGGACAAACAAAGCCCAGCAGATAATATATAGGTAAATCCATGTTATATTAACATAACGCAAATTTGTATTTTGTTCTCTTGCAGAGAAGGTTGATGCAGTTGCAACAATGGGATAAGGTCATTCAAGTAAATAAAAAATCAGAGAAATAAAAAGGGTAGTGAAGAGGTTACCTTTCCTTTACCAGAAAGAAGGAACTCAACACCTTGAGATGCTAAGATAGTGAGGAAGTCAGTGCTGTCAATAGATTTGGCTTGATTATCAGGCACTGCCATCAGAACTATTGGTAAAAGCTGGTTTCCTCTCTTTTATATATTTCTCTCTTGATCAATAATAATTAAAAAAAAAAAAAAAATGTCAGAAAGAAACCAATAAGGCTCAAAAGATATTGCGTTGCATTGCTAGTACGCATTATAAACTTATAAAGCGTTGCATAGCTAGTAGGTATTATAAAGCATTGGGTGCTTCCACTTTAATGTATTAATACTTTCTGACCGTGTTACCAACATGGAGTCCATAATGTATTCTATTCTTATAACTTTCTGGTACTAAACGGATTCGTGTGGAATTTAAACTCTTCAAACACTTTCTCTCCATTAAAAATAACGTAGTAAGAATCAGATTCTAAATTCTTTCGGAATCCAGATTTTACATGACCACAAAGATTATTAAAGTTGATCAGAGGTCCAGGAGAGAGGAGCGGTTTAGATGCTATACTATTTACTGCCGTTGAGTTGAACATCGTTTTTATTCTTTCCAAGTATGGAGAGTATGGTTGATTTGGGGTCATTGAAGAATCATATAAAGAGGGTTAACTAAAAAGATTACAACACCATACGCGATACAGACCAGCATCAAAGTAGATTGGATAAGAGCGAACAATCAGGCAACAGTTTTACAGGAATCAATCAGACACAGCACAGTAAAGAAAATTAAGAATTGTAGTGAAATCTGAAAGCTTCAAATTTCCAACAGCATGGTAAAGAAAAGAAGTACCTTTAAATTCGGCTTCCGATAATGTCTGGTCTACGTATGAGTCACTGTTTGTACTGGGTCTGTGAGAAAAAGAGAGAGAGAGAGAAAGAAAAGGGGATGGATAAAGAAACACACTTGATGACAGAAAAGTAGTCACTCTCAGTACGCAACCCAATTCAATTTGCTGTCAGGGTATATCAATATCAATCAAGCTTTCTTTCTTTATTTATAAATTAACCTCAGGCTCACCGCTCAGGTATATGCCAATTTTTTAGGAATTAGATACTCTGTATCCTTATCATCTATCCATCTGGCTCAGCATCAGCTCAGCATCATCTATTTTTTTTTTTGTTCTTTCAAAGGCGTGTGTGTTCATATGTAAGGCATTTCACACAACCAAACACAATCTGCTTCGTATGAAATCATTTTATATTCTTTTATAAAATCCCATCTCACATGAGGTTCACATTATCTAATTTTAATGTAATTTCACATTAATCATTTGTTTATATATGTGTGTTCATAGGATAATGAAAGGTAGGGCCTTCACTCTGGCTTCATTGGAGAATAGCCGACTTTAATTATCAGCAGTCCTGTAGCGTTTTTGAGAAGCGAGATTCGGGGTACAGATGAAGGTAGACTGCGTCGTGCCGTGCCTACAAATTTAAGATCCATTGTGTCGTGGGTCGTGTCGTGCCAAAGCTCGTAAAGTTTTGTGCCCTATCATGCTATGTCGACTCACGAAATTTAAAAGCCCACAATATGATCCGTTATGTATCGTGTCTTAGGCCATAACCCACGTGCTTTATAAAAATTTATTTAATTTTAATATTTATAAATTATGGTAATTTTGATTTATTATTAATAATTATTATAAAAATATTTTATATGTTATATTTAGTGATATTTTGTATTTATATTAATTAAAAAATATATAATCACTATGAAATATAATAAAATAATGAAACATTGAAATATTAATTTTTTAACACTTTTTATTACTTATAAATTATAAATACAAACTTAGAAATTAGGATTAAGAATTATTATACATTTTTATTTTCTCTAATTTCTAAATTCTTAAAATCTTCAAATATATCTTCAGCAACACAATTTTGAAGCTTGAAATCTGCCGTCACCTAATCTTTCATACACAAAGGCTTCAATAGCACTTGAATGTAAACTTAATTTTCTCTTGTCCAATACACGTCCATCTGTACTAAAAGCTGATTCTGATGCTACAGTAGAAACTGGAGGCATTAGTAAATCACGTGCAATGGCGGAAAGTACAGGATAAGTCTTTTGATGTGCTTTCCACCATCGAAGAATATCAAATTGATCACTTTGAATTGTAATTTCAGCCAAATGATCCATGCTAAAATAATTTATAATTTCACCATACGAAGAGTTTGTACCTACCGATTGTTTACCTTTAGTGATGATAGACCAAATACGCTTTTTTTTTTACCCTAGGAGGAACTTGACATTGATGGTATTGGTGGTTGTATACTTGTCGTGTTTCCACATTTGACTTCATAATGTGAATACATTTGAAGTAATAATGTTCTAACATCTTATACTGAAATTTTTAATGGGGTCTCTAGATTTGTTGAAATTTTTTGTATCATATTATTTACTCCTAATAATTTTATCCTAGGATCTATTACAGTAGCTAAAGCAAACAATATAGGCATTTTTTCCCAATATTTTCTAATTTTTTTTTTTTTCGCAATATTTCCAAAAACTGCATGATCTATATTATTTAAAAATAGAACTAATATCTATTATATGATATAAGACTAAACAAGTTGTAGGATAATAAATATCAGAACATTATTAAGTAGCATCATTTAAAATTTCTAAAATATTAATTAAGGAAAAACCAAGTTCCCAGTGATTTCTAGTCAATTGATGATCATATTGTTTTGTAGTAAAAAATTGTGTAATAGCATTTTCATATGATTCACAAGATTTTAACATTAAATATGTGGAGTTCCAACGAGTCTTAACATCAGTTTTCAATTTTCTCTTTTGTAACCCTATTTGCTTACACATACCATGGTATTGTTGTAAGCGTGAAGGAGATGATAAAATAAATGTAATTGCATGTCTGATTAATTAAAGATATTTTATTTTCAATTGATTTTATTTCATTTTGTACAATTAAATTTATTATGTGACAAACACATCTAATATGAAATAATTGAGCTTCATAAGGTGGATTTAATTGTTTTGACAAAAAAATCAATAACTCTATCATTTGATGATGCATTATCAAATGTGAGAGAAATTTTTTTATCATTTATTTCATATTCACTAAAAAATTTTAGCTAATTCTTTATAAATAGTTACGCCAGTATGTGGATATTCTAATACACTAAATGCAAGAATTTTTTTTCTAGTTGCCAATCTAAATTAATAAAATGATCTGTTGCACAAATATATCCTAAATCGTGATTAATGGTCGTCCATAAATCAGAAGTAAACGAAATAACTCCATTAAATTTACTAAGTGTATTTTTAATATTTATTTTCATTTCATTGTAAATTCTAAAAATATCAGCTTTTAAAGTATTTCTACGAATTTTCCTAAAAGCAAGTTGTATACTATTTTGCATGTACCATTCTAAAATTGGATCATCACTATATGAAAAAGATTGATCAGTTGCAACAACGTACCTGACCATATAGTCTCTCATGTTTTGTTGACTATATGTGAAGCTAGAAATCACGCCCATTACAATATTTGATTGACTACCAGTTGAATCACATACCGATACTATGGGTGCTCTTGTAAATGAAATTTGTTGTTGTGCTTTTAAATGTTGTGGCATTTTTTTTTGCAATGTTCGTTTATATGTCTCCGGAGATGCCCAGTGCCACCCGTACTCAAACTGGCCAAATTAGAACCACAATATTTGTACACTGTACGTCGCACGATTTTACCACCAACTGTTTCTTATGTTTGAGTAAAATGTTCTCGAACTGTTGATTTTTTTTTTTTTTTTTTTGGGGGTTGGGGGTGGATCAAAAGGATTAAATTCACTTAAATTTGGATCCATTTTGAAATTTGATTAAAAATTAAAATAAATTTGACAAAAAAACAAAATTTAAGAAAGATTATGAGAGCTTGAGAGGTGAGAGAGAAAGGAGAATGAAGATTGGAATTGAGTGTGAAAAAATTAGGTATTTATTTAAAATAACCATTACCCCGAGTAGGGTATAGTTCTTACTATTCTTGCTATTGTCCAAATATGACTCATTTCCGCGTTACTTGTAGGAAGGTTCGGACCAAACCCAGTAAGAATAGGTCAAGGCCTCATTCTTGTCATGAAAATACAGTAACAGAGCAACCATCTCAAAACAGAGGAAAACAAAAGCAGAGTGCTTAATCCATCTCATTACTTAATGTCTTTACCAAATGTATAAAAATAATTGTAAATTATTAAAATCAAACTGTAAAAACAAGAGGATAACATTCCCTTCTTTAAACTACATATATAAAATCAACCATTTACTGAAAAAGAGAAATCATCATCAGTCAATGGCCTTGAAGAGTAGCCATAATCTTCACTATTGTAGGAAGAGGAATCCTCAATATCAGTATTACTATCTCTCTCCTTCAACTCCTGAATCTTTTCCATAGCCTCTCTAAAATCCCACCTTCTCTCAGCATTCCATTCACAACAACACATCCCAATCTTCAACAGCTTCAACATCTCACCCTCACCATTCCTTGTTCCTTTCATATCTTTATCAAACACCTCCCCAGTCCACTCTTCTCTCACAACTGAGTTCACCCAAGTTGCCAAATCTGCATTCCCTCCCTTTCCTTGTTTTAGATAATTAGCAGGGAACTTCCCCGTTAGCAACTCAAGTATTAGTATTCCAAGACTCCACACATCCGTCTTCCTTGTAATGCGATCACTTTGGTTGAACTCTGGGGACTTGTATGCCACCATGTATAGTTGAGCATGCTCTTTGTTCATCACAGGCACTAGTGCATAATCCGTCAAGATAGGTTCAAACGTATGATCCAGAAGCACATTGGAAGATTTTAGATGACCATGAGGTAGAGGAACACTGGGGAATTCTCTGTAAAGATATGCCAATCCCTTTGCCACTCCTTTGATGATCTTCAACCGCGTTGGCCAGTCAAGTCCAGGCTGACCAGGTGATCGTTTCCCTGAAATAATTAACAACTTAATTACTCAATTCTTCAGATTAATTAAAATCTCAAGTTATGGATATATAGATATATACCATGGAGATGGCTAGCCAAGCTGCCATTAGAAACAAAATCAGAAACAAGAAGCTTTTCTTCTTTTCTGTAGTAGAACGCGACGAGAGGAAGCAAATTAGGATGTGACAAACTTCCAAGCCTTCTCATGTGGTTATGAAAGTCTTCCTTCCCAACACTGCTCATCTGTCTAAACCTCTTAACAACCATGGCAGGTCCACTCAAAAGAACAGCCTTATATGAAGAACCAAAGCTGCCACTGCCCAACACCTCGGCAGAAGCCCTGAGTAAGTCTTGCAACTCAAACCTCTCCCTATCATTTCTAACGAAAAATAACTTCCCATTTTCACCACCCAATTGATCCGCCGAATAGGGGACCTCCTTTTCCTTTTGCCCCATATCATAAGCCCCGTATTTCTGAAGGGCTCTGGTCTCTTGGTTTTTCTTCAACTCATTCGGTGTTTTGGATCTTTTGCTACGTCTGTAAGAAATTCCAACAATGGCGGCTAATGCAACTACAACTGCAACTATCACCACAATTATGAGGATGGTTTTCTTCTTTGATGAACTGCATGCTTTCAAAGGCTTTCCACATAAACCATTGTTACCTGTTCCATTCAAAACAACTCATTATTTCAATTTAAATTTATATTTCGATTAGCGTGTCATAAGTTGCACCAGTTGTGGGGTAAAAGATTTACAAGGCCTACACCAGTTGCAGAGAAAAGAGACAAATTGTCTTCCACCACATGGATAAGGGTACCTATATGTGGGATCAAGCTATGATTACTATTTAATCTTATTAGCGATAAATTCATACCTGCTTTCAGGCCATCCTTTACCCTTTTCAGTGAACTGTTAGACTTTAAAGGCTATGACTCTTCCAGTATCCCAGAGTAAATAGTAAACTCTCTGGGATTTTGTTTACATTAATTTTATTGGCAAGCAAAAGGAACATCATAAAAATAGACAACGGAAAAACAAAACCAGCAGATAATATATAGGTAAATCCATGTTATATTAACATAACGCAAATTTGTATTTTGTTCTTGCAGAGAAGGTTGATGCAGTTGCAACAATGGGATAAGGTCATTCAGTAAATAAAAAATCAGAGAAATAAAAAGGGTAGTGAAGAGGTTACCTTTCCTTTACCAGAAGAAGGAACTCAACACCTTGAGAGCTAAGATAGTGAGGAAGTCAGTGCTTCAATAGATTTGTTGATATCAGGCACTGCCATCAGAACTATTAGTAAAAGCTGGTTTCCTCTCTTTATATTTTCTCTCTCTTGATCAAAAACAAAAAAAAGTCAGAACAAGGCTCAAAAGATATTGTGTTGCATAGCTAGTAGGTATTATAAAGCATTGGGTGCTTCCACTTTAATGTATAATACTTTCTGACGTGTTACAACATGGAGTCCATAAGTATCTATTCTTAACTTTCTGGTACTAAACGGATGTGTGGAATTTAAACTCTTCAAACACTTTTCTCCATTAAAAATAACGTAGTAAGAATCAGATTCTAAATTCTTTCGGAACCAGATTTTACATGACCACAAGATTATTAAAGTTGATCGAGGTCCAGGAGAGAGGGAGCGGTTTAGATGCTATACTATTTACTGCCGTTGAGGTGAACATCGTTTTTATTCTTCCCAAGTATGGGGAGTATGGTTGATCTGTGGTCATGAAGAATCATATAAAGAGGGTTAACTAAAAAGATACAACACCATACGCATACAGACCAGCATCAAAGTAGATTGGATAAGAGCGAACAAACAGGCAACAGTTTATAGGATCAATCAGACACAGCACAGTAAAGAAAATTAAGAATGTAATGAATTGAAAGCTCAAATTTCCAATAGCATGGTAAAGAAAAGAAGTACCTTTAAATTCGGCTTCCGAAATGGCTGGTCTACGTATGAGTCACTGTTTGTACTGGGTCTGTGAGAAAAAAGAGAGAGAGAGAAAAGAAAAGGGATGGATAAAGAAACACACTTGATGACAGAAAAGTAGTCACTCTCAGTACGCAACCCAATTCAACTTGTCTCAGGGTATACAATATCAATCAAGCTTCTTTCTTTATTTATAAATTAACTCAGGCTCACCGCTCAGGTATATGCAATTTTTTAGGAATTAGATACTCTGTATCCTATCATCTATCCATCTGGCTCAGCATAGCTCAGCATCATCTTTTTTTTATCTTTCAAAGGCGTGTGTGTTCATATGTAAGGCATTTCACACAACCACAACCACAACAATCTGCTTCGTATATCACGAAATCATTTATATTCTTTTATAAAATCCATCTCACATGAGGTTCACATTATCTAATTTTAAATTTCACATTAATCATTGTTTATATATGTGTGTTCATAGGATAATGAAAGGTAGGGCCCACTCTGGCTTCATTGGAGAATACGACTTTAATTATCAGCCGTCCTGTAGCGTTTTGAGAGCGAGATTCGGGGTACAGTGAAGGTAGAATGCGTCGTGCGTGCTACAAATTTAAGAATTGTGTCGTGGGTGTCGTGCCAAAGCTCGTAAAGTTTTGTGCCTATCATGCTATGTCGACTCCACGAAATTAAAGACCACAATATGATCGTTATGTATGTGTCTAGGCCAACCCACGTGCTTTATAAAATTATTTAATTTTAATATTTATAAATTATGGTATTTTGATTTATATTAATAATTATTATAAAAATATTTTATATGTTATATTTAGTGATATTGTATTTATATTAATTAAAAAATATATAATCATTGAAAATAATAAAATAATGAAACATTGAAATATTAATTTTTTAACAATTTTTATTACTTATAAATTATAAATACAAACTTGAAATTAGGATTAAGATTATTATACATTTTTATTTTCTTAATTTCTAAATTCTTAAAATCTTCAAATATATCCAGCACACAAATTTGAAGCTTGAAATCTGCCGTCACCTAATCTTTCATACACAAAGGCTTCAATAGCACTTGAATGTAAACTTAATTTCTCTGTCCAATACACGTCCATCTGTACTAAAAGCTGATTCTGATGCACAGTAGAAACTGGAGGCATTAGTAAATCACGTGCAATGGCGGAAAGTACAGGATAAGTCTTTTGAGTGTCTCCACCATCGAAGAATATCAAATTGATCACTTTGAATTGTAATTTCAGCCAAATATCCATGCTAAATAATTTATAATTTCACCAACAAGAGTGTACCTACCGATTGTTTACCTTTAGTGATGATAGACCAAATACGCTTTTTTTTACCCTAGGAGGAACTTGACATTGATGGTATTGGTGGTTGTATACTTGTCGTGTTTCACACTTGACTTCATAATGTGAATACATTTGAAGTAATAAGTTCTAAACATCTTATACTGAAATTTTTAATGGGTCTTAGATTTGTTGAAATTTTTGTATCATATTATTTACTCCTAATAATTTATCCTAGGATCATTACAGTAGCTAAAGCAAACAATATAGGCATTTTTTCCCAATATTTCTAATTTTTTTTTTTTTTTCGCAATATTTCCAAAAACTGATGATCTATTTATTTAAAAATAGAACTAATATCTATTATATGATATAAGACTAAAAGTGTAGGATAATAAATATCAGAACATTATAAGTAGCATCATTTAAAATTTCTAAAATATTAATTAAGGAAAAACCAAGTCCAGTGATTTCTAGTCAAGTGATCATATTGTTTGTAGTAAAAAATTGGTAATAGCATTTCATATGATTCACAGATTTTAACATTAATATGTGAGTCAACGAGTCTTAACATCAGTTTTCAATTTTCTCTTTTGTAACCCTATTGTTACACATACCATGGTATTGTTGTAAGCGTGAAGGAGATGATAAATAAATGTAATGCAGTCTGATTAATTAAAGATATTTTTTTCAATTGATTATTATTTTGTACAATTAATTATTATGTGACAAACACATCTAATATGAAATAATTGAGCTTCATAAGGTGGATTTAATTGTTTTGACAAAAAAATCAATACTCTATCATTGATGATGCATTATCAAATGTGAGAGAAATTTTTTTATCATTTATTCATATTCACTAAAAATTTTAGCTAATTCTATAAATAGTTACGCCAGTATGTGATATTCTAATACACAAATGCAAGAATTTTTGCTGTCTGGGAAACGTATTCGATTAATGCTTTTGACACATCACTGTCTTCTAGCACCACATCTTTGCAATTTATCTGTATGTCAAATTAGGAGAAGTTGATTAACAGCAGCAAGTAACAAATAGAAAGAAAGAAAATGAAGCAAAAGGGGATGTTATATATATATATATATCTTACATCTTTTCGAGTACAAAAGCAGCGGAAAGGCAAGAAGATTTCCTTAGTTTGGGGATCAGGATCTCTACATACCAATGAACTATCACCATTTATATCACTTATTTGGTTAATCCCTGCAGCAACATTGGATATATTAAATAATCCCATTAAACAAAAATGTTTGAAAATGAAATAAGAGAATGGCATACTTGGTGGTGGAAGAGAAGGCGAAGGAGAAAGAGCTGCAGCTGACTTGAGTTTGACGTGAATGAGAACAAGTGTTTGGCCTTTGTATAAGATATTATCAATAGCCCACTTAATAGCATTTTGGCTGCCTTTGTCCCTGTCTATTGCCACTGCTACCAAACTACTATTATTTTTTGTTTCTTTCTTCTCCGAAGTAGAAGTTTTTGACATCCACATTCTTTCTTCTGAATTCAAGCAGCTACTTTTGCTTGTTTTTCTTTCTATTAATCTACAACCCCTTTACTTGAATCCAGTTACGTATGTGATGAATGGATGTTGATGCACAAAGGTTTCTCGTCTCTCTCAAGAGGTGAAAGAGAGACAAGAAAAAAACCTAAGCTAATCCACAACTTAATGTATGCCTTTGTTGTTTGTCTGTTTGTTTGTTTATGTATTTATTCCAACTTCACATTAACAACCAAGATTCCTCCTTGTTTTAGCTAATTTTGACTTTTTCAAACAAAATCTCTCCTTTCATTTCTTCCTTTTGTTAGAAACTTCCCAACATTTACGGGTTATTCAGATGCTTTGACCTCTAACACATCCTTCTAAGTTCTAACAATTAATCATATGCTATCATGACAAACCCATTTGCCTGAATTATAGTTGTAACTTATATACAATTTAACCTTGTTAACCATTTTGTAACGTGTTATGCCGACACCACTTTTCTTGTGGTCGGATGGCAAACTCTTTAACCACTGAGGTTAGTTATACCCAACTAGTCTTGTCTTCAATCCCCAATTACCGGGTTTATCCAAAAAAATGAGTTATGCCGACAGTTGCTATAGACTTAATAGGTGAGATAGAGGGATAAATAATATATTAAATTAAATTAAATTGTCAAGATTTATTTACTTATATATTAACATTTTACAAGGCTCTGAAATTTTGGAAGAAACCCCACCTTCATTCACTATCTCCTCCTTCCTCAATGAATGAATAAATATAATGACAATAAACAAGATCTTTTAAGTAAAATTAGAGTAAGCTTCATTAATAACATCTGGATACAGAAGAATAATAATGTATAGTGAGTTACACCCTCAATCAAGTCTCAAGTTATTGCGTTTACAAAGAGGGATGATCCACTCCTTCTACACATGAGGGATGAAGATCATAATTACACAAATCACAAGAGAATGTCCAAAACCTCCCTGGCTTTTTGCAAGAGTCACATTGATAAGCTTTGGCCATGTCGAGTTTTAGTTCATGTTCATGCTTTGCATCCTTAACTAGTTGAGGCAATGCATCTCCCTCCTTTTTCAAGCTTGCTTCTATTTCGTCAATCCTCGACTCTGTAAATGGGAAAGCCTTAGCGCCATACAAGGAAATCATGTCCTTCCCATTTGTGTTGATTGTCTTCCCATGTGGTCCAATTAGGACTAAAGCTGGAATCCCTTTGATTTTGAAGATCCTACAAAGGTCTTGTCTTGTCCTGTCCTCGTATGGAATTGCTAGCCATGGCATACTACTTAAATTTAGATCAAATTCTTTGTGGTCTCGGTCTGTAGATACCAAAACAATTTCAAAGCATTGATCTGTAGTAGTTTTGAGCTCATTGTAAACTTCAATAAGTTGTGCAGTGAAGGCACGGCAGGGAGGGCACCAGTGTGCCCCAAAGTAAAGACCAATTGTCTTACCAGCAAGTTCAGACACTGTTATCTGCAGAAGATGGTGTGTCAAATTTATGAAAAACATTCAAAAACAACTATGAATAACCTTGAGTACCTTACTATAATCTCTAGAAAGAACATAATCCCGTCCTTCACGGGCCAAAAGTTCTTCCAATTTTCCTCCCTGGCGTTTAGAGTCATCAAGAGCCTTCAATTCATCTCTTCTCTGCCTAGTGAATGGAAATGCATCGGCACCATAGTCTTCAATTAATCCAATCAAGTCTTCTTCAACTAATACTCCATCTGAAGCTAATGGAATAAGTGAAGGGATGCGATCAACTTGATACCTATTTCTCAGTTCTTTATGGAAGGTTACATCAAATGGAACAGCAAGCCATGGCATGCATTTGAAATGTTCCTCAAATCCAGTCTTGTCATGATCAAAGGAAATGAAGACAATCTCGAGCTCTTTACCTCTTGCTATTAGCGTGTCATAAAGTTGCACAAGTTGTGGGGTAAAAGATTTACAAGGCCTACACCAGTTTGCAGAGAAAAAGAGACAAATTGTCTTTCCACCACATGATGATAAGGGTACCTATATGTGGGATCAAGCTATGATTACTATTTAATTCACTTTATTAAGCTGATAAATTTCATACCTTGCTTTCAAGGCCATCCTTTTGCTTTTTTCAGTGAACTGTTAAAGACTTTAAAGGCTATGACTCTTCCAGTTTCCAAGTAGTAAATTAGTAAACTCTCTGGGATTTTGTTTACATTAATTTTATTGGCAAGCAAAAGGAAACATCATAAAAATAGACAACGGACAAACAAAGCCCAGCAGATAATATATAGGTAAATCCATGTTATATTAACATAACGCAAATTTGTATTTTGTTCTCTTGCAGAGAAGGTTGATGCAGTTGCAACAATGGGATAAGGTCATTCAAGTAAATAAAAAATCAGAGAAATAAAAAGGGTAGTGAAGAGGTTACCTTTCCTTTACCAGAAAGAAGGAACTCAACACCTTGAGATGCTAAGATAGTGAGGAAGTCAGTGCTGTCAATAGATTTGGCTTGATTATCAGGCACTGCCATCAGAACTATTGGTAAAAGCTGGTTTCCTCTCTTTTATATATTTCTCTCTTGATCAATAATAATTAAAAAAAAAAAAAAAATGTCAGAAAGAAACCAATAAGGCTCAAAAGATATTGCGTTGCATTGCTAGTACGCATTATAAACTTATAAAGCGTTGCATAGCTAGTAGGTATTATAAAGCATTGGGTGCTTCCACTTTAATGTATTAATACTTTCTGACCGTGTTACCAACATGGAGTCCATAATGTATTCTATTCTTATAACTTTCTGGTACTAAACGGATTCGTGTGGAATTTAAACTCTTCAAACACTTTCTCTCCATTAAAAATAACGTAGTAAGAATCAGATTCTAAATTCTTTCGGAATCCAGATTTTACATGACCACAAAGATTATTAAAGTTGATCAGAGGTCCAGGAGAGAGGAGCGGTTTAGATGCTATACTATTTACTGCCGTTGAGTTGAACATCGTTTTTATTCTTTCCAAGTATGGAGAGTATGGTTGATTTGGGGTCATTGAAGAATCATATAAAGAGGGTTAACTAAAAAGATTACAACACCATACGCGATACAGACCAGCATCAAAGTAGATTGGATAAGAGCGAACAATCAGGCAACAGTTTTACAGGAATCAATCAGACACAGCACAGTAAAGAAAATTAAGAATTGTAGTGAAATCTGAAAGCTTCAAATTTCCAACAGCATGGTAAAGAAAAGAAGTACCTTTAAATTCGGCTTCCGATAATGTCTGGTCTACGTATGAGTCACTGTTTGTACTGGGTCTGTGAGAAAAAGAGAGAGAGAGAGAAAGAAAAGGGGATGGATAAAGAAACACACTTGATGACAGAAAAGTAGTCACTCTCAGTACGCAACCCAATTCAATTTGCTGTCAGGGTATATCAATATCAATCAAGCTTTCTTTCTTTATTTATAAATTAACCTCAGGCTCACCGCTCAGGTATATGCCAATTTTTTAGGAATTAGATACTCTGTATCCTTATCATCTATCCATCTGGCTCAGCATCAGCTCAGCATCATCTATTTTTTTTTTTGTTCTTTCAAAGGCGTGTGTGTTCATATGTAAGGCATTTCACACAACCAAACACAATCTGCTTCGTATGAAATCATTTTATATTCTTTTATAAAATCCCATCTCACATGAGGTTCACATTATCTAATTTTAATGTAATTTCACATTAATCATTTGTTTACATATGTGTGTTCATAGGATAATGAAAGGTAGGGTCTTCACTTTGGCTTCGTTGGAGAATAGCCGACTTTAATTATCAGCAGTCCTGTAGCGTTTTTAAGAAGTGAGATTCGAGGTACTGGTGAAGGTAGACCGCGTCGTGCCATACTTTAAAATTTAAGATTTATGGTGTTGTGAGTTATGTCGAGCCAAAGCTCGCAAAGTTTCGTGTCCTATCATGCTATGTCGACCCACGAAATTTGAAAGGCCGTGACACGGCTTGTTATATACTGTGTTGTGCCTTGGGTCACAATCCACGTGTTTAGTCAAAAATATTTAATTTTAATATTTATAAATTATGATAATTTTGATTTATTATTAATAATTATTATAAAAATATTTTATATGTTATATTTAGTGATATTTTGTATTTAAATTAATTAAAAAATATAATAAAATAACGAAACATTGAAATATTAATTTTTCAACACTTTTTATTACTTATAAATTATAAATACAAACTTAGAAATTAGGATTAAGAATTATTATACATCTTCATTTTCATTAATTTCTAAATTCTTAAAATCTTAAAATATATCTTATGCAACACAATTTTGAAGCTTGAAATCTACCGCCACCCAATCTTTCATACACATAAGGGCTTCAACAACACTTAGATGTAAACATGATTTTCTCTCATCCAATACACAAACCTACATGTACTAAAAGTTGGTTCTGATGTTATAGTAGAAACTGAAGGCATTAGTAAATCACGTGCAATGGCGGAAAGTACATGATAAGTCTTTTGATGTGCTTTCCACCATCGAAGAATATCAAATTGATCACTTTGAATCGTAATTTCAACCAAATGATCCATGCAAAAATATTTTGTAATTTTACCATATAAAGAGTTTGTATCTATCGATTATTTACCTTTATTGGTGATAGACCAAATACGCTCTTTTTAACCTCTGGAGGAACTTGACATTGATGGTATTGGTGGTTGTATACTTGTCGTGTTTCCACATTTGACATCATAATGTGAATACATTTGAAGTAATAATGTTCTAACAGCTTCTACTGAAATTTTTAATGGGTTCTCTAGATTTGCTGAAATTTCTTGTATAATATTATTTACTCTTAATAAATTTATCCTAGGATCCATTACAGTAGCTAAAGCAAACAATATAGGCATCTTTTCCCAATATTTTCTAAATTTTATTTCCATTTTTTTTTTTTTTGCAATATTTCCAAAAACTGCATGATCTCTATATTCTTTGAAAATAAAACTAATAAAATAAAACTAATATCAACTATATGATATAAGATTAAAAAAGTAGAAGGATAATAAATACCATAACATTGTTCAGTAGCATCATTTAAAAGTTCTAAAATATTCATTAAGGAAAAACCAAGTTCCCAATGATTTCTAGTCAATTGATGATCATATTGTTTTGTATTAAAAAATAGTGTAATAGCATTTTCATATGATTCACAAGATTTTAACATTAAATATGTGAAGTTCCAATGAGTCGTAACATCAGTTTTCAATTTTCTCTTTTGTAACCCCATTTGCTTACACATACCATGGTATTGTTGTAAACGTGAAGGAGATGATAAAATAAATGTAATTGCATGTCTAATTAAAGATATTTCATTTTCAATTGATTTTATTCTATTGTGTACAATTAAATTTATTATGTGACAAACACATCTAATATGAAATAATTGGACAAACACATCTAATATGAAATAATTAGCCTTCATAAGGTGAATTTAATTGTTTTGACAAAAAATCAATAACTCATTTGATGATGCATTATCAAATTTGAGAGAAATTTTTTTTATCATTTATTTCATATTCACTAAAAATTTTAGCTAATTCTTCATAAATAGTTACACCAATATGTGAATATTCTAATACATGAAATGCAAGAATTTTTTTTTTCTAGTTACCAGTCTAAATTAATAAAATGACCTGTTGCACAAATATATCATAAATCTTGATTAATGGTCGTCCATAAATTAGAAGTAAACGAAATAACTCCATTAAATTTACTAAGTGTATTTTTAATATTTATTTTCATTTCATTGTAAATTCTAAAAATATCAACTCTTAAAGTATTTATAGAAACTCTCCTAAAAGCAGGTTGTATACTATTTTGCATGTACCATTCTAAAATTAGATCATCACCATATGAAAAAGGTTGATATGTTGCAATAACGTACATGACCATATAGTCTCTCATGTTTTGTTAACTATATGTGAAGCTAGAAATCACGTCTATTACAATATTTGATTGACTACCGGTTGAATCACATACCGATACTGCAAGTGCCCTTGTAAATGAAAGTTGTTGTTGCCCTTTTAAATGTTGTGGCATTTTTTTACAATATTCGTTTATATGTCTTCGGAGATGCCCAGTGCCACCTATACTCAGACTGGCCAAATTAGAACCACAATATTTGCACACTGCAAGTCGCATGATTTCACCACCAACTGTTTCTTGTGTTTGAGTAAAATGCTCTTGAACCGTTGATTTTTGCTTTCTTTTCTTATTTTGGGGTGGTTGTGATAGATTTTGTGATAGTAACTCATTATCAAAAGGATTAAATTCACTTGAATTTAGATTCATTTTGAAATTTGATTAAAAATTAAAATATATTTGACCAAAAAAAAAAATTTTGAGAATTTGAGAGAGATTATGAGAGCTTGAGAGTTGAGAAAGAAAGGAGAATGGAGATTGGAATTGAGTGTGAAAAAATTAGAGAAATAATTGGGTATTTATAAGAAAAAAAAAAATAGCTATTTCAAAATAACCATTACCCCTGCAAGGTTAACAGCTATTTCTTTTAACTCCCTGTGCAGCGGGGTAACAGTTATTTCAAAATGACCGGTACCCCCTTCCAAAGGGGGGTAACGGTTATTTTAAAAAATAGTGGTAATTTTTTTTTTCGTGCCATGTCGTGCTAGCCCACGGGCTTTTCTTAAGGCTCACGACACGGCCCACATATTTTCGTGTTGTATTGTGTTATGCTTTTTTTCATGTCGTGCCATGCCTTATTATACCGTGCTTTTTTCGTTTTGTGCTATGCCCACCGCCGGCTCTAATTCAGGGTCAGGGTCAGGGGCCAAGCGTCCAACTGGCAGAGTAGAGTATAGTTCTTAGTATTCTTGCTATTGTCCAAATATGACTCATTTCCGCGTTACTTGTAGGAAGGTTCGGACCAAACCAGTAGGGATAGGTTAAGGCCTAAATGGGTTCCGACCAAACCCATTTAGGCCTCATTCTTCTCATGAAAATACAGTAACAGAGCAACCATCTCAAAACAGAGGAAAACAAAAAACAGAGTGCCTAATCCTTCTCATTACTTAAAGTCTTTACCAAATGTATAAAAATAATTGTAAAATATTAAAATCAAACTGTAAAAACAGGAGGATAACAGAGACCCTGTCCTGTTCCCTTCTTTAAACTACATATATAAAATCAACCATTTACTGAAAAAGAGAAATCATCATCAGTCAATGCCCTTGAAGAGTAGCCATAATCTTCACTATTGTAGGAAGAGGAATCCTCAATATCAGTATTACTATCTCTCTCCTTCAACTCCTGAATCTTTTCCACAGCCTCTCTAAAATCCCACCTTCTCTCAGCATTCCATTCACAACAACACATCCCAATCTTCAACAGCTTCAACATCTCACCCTCACCATTCCTTGTTCCTTTCATATCTTTATCAAACACCTCCCCAGTCCACTCTTCTCTCACAACTGAGTTCACCCATGTTGCCAAGTCTGAATTCCCTCCCTTTCCTTGTTTTAGATAATTAGCAGGGAACTTCCCCGTTAGCAACTCAAGTATTAGTATTCCAAGACTCCACACATCCGTCTTCCTTGTAATACGATCACTTTGGTTGAACTCTGGGGACTTGTATGCCACCATGTACAGTTGAGCATGCTCTTTGTTCATCACTGGCACTAGTGCATAATCCGTCAAGATAGGTTCAAACGTATGATCCAGAAGCACATTGGAAGATTTTAGATGACCATGAGGTAGAGGTACACTAGGGAATTCTATGTAAAGATATGCCAATCCCTTTGCCACTCCTTTGATGATCTTCAACCGCGTTGGCCAGTCAAGTCCAGGCTGACCAGGTGATCGTTTCCCTGAAATAATTAACAACTTAATTACTCAATTCTTCAGATTAATTAAAATCTCAAGTTATGGATATATAGATATATACCATGGAGATGGCTAGCCAAGCTGCCATTAGAAACAAAATCAGAAACAAGAAGCTTTTCTTCTTTTCTGTAGTAGAACGCGACGAGAGCAAGCAAATTAGGATGTGACAAACTTCCAAGCCTTCTCATGTGGTTATGAAAGTCTTCCTTCCCAACACTGCTCATTTGTCTAAACCTCTTAACAACCATGGCAGGTCCACTCAAAAGAACAGCCTTATATGAAGAACCAAAGCTGCCACTGCCCAACACCTGGGCAGAAGCCCTGAGTAAGTCTTGCAACTCAAACTTCTCCCTATCATTTCTAACGAAGAATAACTTCCCATTTTCACCACCCAATTGATCCGACGAATAGGGGACCTCCTTTTCCTTTTGCCCCATATCATAAGCCCCATATTTCTGAAGGGCTCTGGTCTCTTGGTTTTTCTTCAACTCATTCGGAGTTTTGGATCTTTTGCTACGTCTGTAAGAAATTCCAACAATGGCGGCTAATGCAACTACAACTGCAACTATCACCACAATTATGAGGATGGTTTTCTTCTTTGATGAACTGCATGCTTTCAAAGGCTTTCCACATAAACCATTGTTACCTGTTCCATTCAAAACAACTCATTATTTCAATTTAAATTTATATTTCATAAATAATATTAATAGAATTAAAGAAATAGGAAAAAAAAGATCATGATCATGATCATGAATAGATTTTGTGCACTATTTCACTTTATAATAAGAAATTCTCATCATGGGCCAACCTACGTGCAGATCACCTATACACGTTGTGGGAAATCTTCTTAATTCCAAATTATCAAACAAGATCAGCGATAATTAATTATTTTGAGCATACATAACAACAGATTCTCTCCTTTTTGCTGATAAACTTCTGTTGTTATACTGTGGGTTAAAATAGCTGCTACAAAACTGAGCTTGATATAATTAAGGATATGTATCCATCATATAATATGGGAAGAAATATCATTATCGGAAACAAATTTATCCGATAACTGAGGATTAAGTTTCTACCTATCCATTTAGTTTAAAAAGGCATGAATAGTGGCCATTAATGTTGCTTAAATTTCAGTAATTTAAGGGGATAGTTAAGAGAAAAAAACTAAATAAAATTTATGGTTTCCGTTCTGATTGAAAAACAAATAAATGAAATACTTACCTGTAAATGAAGAAGAATTGAATTTACTAAGGCTAGCTGGTATCTTTCCCTCTAATCGGTTATTAGCCATGTTTAGCGTAGTCAGCTGCGTGGTGTCTGGAAAATTTGGAATCTTGCCTTCAAATTGGTTGCCCTCAATACTCAACCCAACCGGTTTTTTCATTACGAGTGATGAGGGAATTTTACCCATGAACTGGTTTCGTGCGAGATGAAGTTTCTTCAGATTATTCATCTCAGAAAATGCATCATCGGGAATTTCACCGGATAACTTGTTATAAGACAAATACAAGGCTCTCAAAGAAGTAAGTTTCTTGACATTAGGCATTGGACCGTCGAAGTTATTATACATGAAACTTAAAGAACGCAATAATGGCAATTGAGCAAGTGTGTCAATGTCGATGACACCGGTGAGACTCATATTTTCGAGTATGAGTGCAAAGACATTCCCATCAGAGCAACGCAAACCAGTCCAATTTGGAGTGTCACCTGTGCATGGAGTGGTGGAGGTATTCCAGTCGTTGAGTGCAGAGTTATCTGATAAAGAGTTCTTGAAGTTGAGAAGGATTACAGCGTTTTCACCCCATGATGACACAAAAAAGGTTGTTAACATCAAACTCAAAACCCAGTTGGATAGTTTTCGAGCCATAAGAATGGAGCATGCATGAAAACAAAAGGGATGAGAATGAGAACGAGAATGGTGGTAATGAGAAGGTGGTGAAAGAATATGAAGGGAAATTAATGGAAGAAAAGGGACAAAAGAACTATGGGTGGACTGGTGAGATTGACAAAGTCCCCCTAAGTATGAGCTGGTGAGGCCGGCGCTTCCAATGAGACACTATTTTCTTGATTTGTTGCTGCTTGTTTTTCTTTCCTTTTCATGTATGGAATTGATTATAAATTTATTGTTGCCTCAGCCGACTTATTTAATAATTAATACCAAACTATGTGATCTGTGCCATTCTTTTGTTGTATTTTGTGTTAATGCCACCAATGGTAGAGTTGAGCACGTATTTATCATTTTTATATGAACAACAAAATATATTTTCTTGTTTCCTGATTCCATCCAACTCTTGAGAAGGGGCCGTAAGGCATATGAGGCCATGGGAATGGGCCTTCTAATTCAAATCCCACACTCACATGTTTAATCTAAATAAAACCCAACTCACATATATGTACATTCTATATTGTTATGGCTACATTTAGCTTATTATTTCTACCTATATTCTTAATACTATTCCCAAAATTTTTATTTGTTTTGTTATTTAAGAAATATTATTATATTTTTTTAATTACTTTCAGTCCCTTTAAGTTTATTAATTTTATTAAATATCCCAAAAAAAAGTTTAAAAATTAACAAAAACACCCATACTCACCTATACTTGCCAGATTCCGGCAACCACCATCGGTGGTAGCCAGAATCTGTCACAACGACCTACAACCGATCGGAACTGGCCGATAATTCGTCGATTTGGATTTGGCCATCGTTGACTGACAACGACAGCCAGATCTGGACTTTTGCGGCTATCGACGGCTATATCTAGCCTTTTCTAGTCAAATTCGTGGTGGATCTGGCTAAAAAAGGTCATATCGATGCCTTACCCACCAGATACGACCAGTTTGCGTCATAACACCATTTTCCAGCCAAATTCCGGCCACCACGGTGGGTGGGTGGGGGTGTTTTTGTCATTTTATAATTTTTTTATATATTGGGGTGTTTAGTTAAATTAGCAAACCTAGAGGATTTTTTTGTTAATTTTTAAATTTTACGTCGTAATACTCCCTTATTTAACTACCCAATATTGTAAAGCACTAGGGCGAAGTCCTGCAGTTGGTGATTCGATCTCACTTCCAGATGTTAGCGAAAGAAGAATTCCTGGACTAGCGGTTTTGGGTAAATGTGATATATCCTTCCTCTGAAATGGAACCGCAGGTCCTATCCAAAATAATAAAACAAACGGACCTTATTCTTTTTTATTTTTAGTTTTTGGTAATCGAAATATCTGGACCAGCATGCACCTCAATTAATTCTTAGAACCGGGATTTCATTGAATACCTTACAAACCCAATAAGCTAGGTAAATCACAAATGTGATAAGTGACTACTTTGTGTGACTCAAACGCAAGACTTCTAGATAACTCAAATCTTGTCATTCAGTTACAAGCCAAGTGGATTAGATTCTTACTCGTTTATAAGACTAGTCCAACTTGGAACTTGTTCATTAGTTAAATTAAAAGAAACCAAAACAAATGGGAAGCAGTTCTTAGTCCTCTCAAGTTGATCATTACATATTAGTCCGTTTTAAATTTATTTTTGTTTTTGATAAGTTTAACCTTAATGGCATAATAATTTCTAAATACGTTCATTTTTTGTTTTAATTTTTAACCTTTAATTCTTACATAAACCCTAAATCGAAATTTTCTAAATTATTGAAACATTTTTTTTTTATTACTAAAGTTATGAAGGAAGTAATTACACAATAGGATGAATCTGGATCTAAAGAAGAAAAAAAGTAAGTGTAATAAAAAACTCTGATTAAATTTGAAATTAGGGAAAAGTAGTGTAATAAAAAACCCTAATTAAGTTTGAAATTTAGGGAAAGGGACGCAAATAAAACCCTAATTAAACCTAATTAAGTAGGGTTATTTTTAACATTAAATAGAGTTTAAAAAAGTTAAATACTTAAAATTTTTTTATACAACCTGATGTGACAACTTGCAATTGATCAACTCTTAGTGGATTCCATTTGCATAAATGTAAACTGACCTATCGTGAACTGTTACCTCAGAGTTATATAAAAAAGTTGTATGAAAAGTTGTAAGCGTAGGTTTATTGTTTAAATATAATAAAAGTGTATTTAACATTGGGGGATAGTATAAATTTGATGGGCTAAAAATCACTTCCTCGAACAAATTTACTCCTAATCAGGAATTCTTTTAACCTTTTTAACTAAAATTAATTTACACCCCATATAATATCTAGTTATTCTCCCGTTATGATTGTAGGTTATTTCCAGTATTTCTTTTAGCTTTATAACCCTTTTTTTTTTTTTTTTTTTTTTTTTTACCAGGGGTGTCCGAGTTAGCTTATGCATTAGTCTCCTGACCCCCAACAAGGCTTTCAAAACAAGACAAATCCTGTAATCCGTGACTAACAATATTAACAACCGTTCTTATGATTCAAATCGTAGAACACAAAGGGGAGCAAACCCCTTGACCCCAAGCTTATAACCATTTACTATCTCGAAATTTAAAATATAATCACATGAGAAAGCAAAGCTAATTAATCTGCGAATAATTAATTTAATTTTCACAAATTTAGTTGGCACTGGACAGATGGACACCCATGCTGCTAATGGTATCATCTATTAACTCCGCAACTGCTTCGTGAAACTATCACAGACTGATGAAAGTAAATGAAGTTTATAAACCTATCATTAAGAAACGAATATGGGGATTGACGTGTCCAGCAAGCTGAAAGCTCTCCCACCACACCAGCCCCTTTATTCTTCTTCTTCCTCTTCTTCACTTGAAACCTCTAGTACAAGTAACTTAAAATAACTCACGGCATGCTTTCAAAGGCTTTCCACATAAACCATTGTTACCTGTTCCATTCAAAACAACTCATTATTTCAATTTATATTTATATTTCTTAAACAAAGGAATAGGAAAAAAAGATCATGATCATGAATAGATTTTGTGCACTATTTCACTTTATAATAAGAAATTCTCATCATGGGCCAACCTACGTGCAGATCACCTTATCCTCCTTAAATTACTGAAATTTAAGCAAAATTAATGGCCACTATTCATGCCTTTTTAAACTAAATAGATAGGTAGAAACTTAATCCTCAGTTATCCGATTAATTTCTTTGCGATAATGATATGATGGATACATATCCTTAATTATATCAAGCTCGGTTTTGTAGCAGCTATTTTAACCCACATTATAACGACAGAAGTTTATCAGCAAAAAAGAGAGACTCTGTTGTTATGTATGCTCAAAATAATAAATTATTGCTGATCTTGTTTGATAATTTTAAATTAAGAAGATTTCCCACAACGTGTATAGATTAAGAGAAAAAAACTAAATAAAATTTATGGTTTCCGTTCTGATTGAAAAAGAAATAAATGAAATGCTTACCTGTAAATGAAGAAGAATTGAATTTACTTAGGCTAGCTGGTATCTTTCCCTCTAATCGGTTATTAGCCATGTTTAGCGTAGTCAGCTGCGTGGTGTCTGGAAAATTGGGAATCTATGCGTCAAATTGGGTGCCCTCAATACTCAACTCAACCAGTTTTTCCATTGGGAGTGATGAGGGAATTTACCCGTGAACTGGTTTCTGCGAGATGAAGGTTCTTCAAATGATTCATCCCAGAAAATGCATCATCGGGAATTTCACCGGATAACTTGTTATAAGCAAATACAAGGCTTCAAAGAAGTAAGTTTCTTGACATTAGGCATGGACCGTCGAAGTTATTATACATGAAACTAAAGAACGCAATAATGGCAATTGAGCAAGTGTGTCAATGTCGATGACACGGTGAGACTCATATTTGAGTATGAGTGCAAAGACATTCCCATCGAGCAACGCAAACCAGTCCAATTTGGAGTTTCACCGTGCATGGAGTGGTGGAGCATTCCAGTCTTGAGTGCAGAGTTATCTGATAAAGAGTTCTTGAAGTTGAGAAGGATTACAGCGTCCCCGTCACCCCATGATGACACAAAAAAGGTTGTTAACATCAAACTCAAAACCCAGTTGGATAGTTTTCGAGCCATAAGAATGGAGCATGCATGAAAACAAAAGGGATGAGAATGAGAACGAGAATGGCGGTAATGAGAAGGTGGTGAAAGAATATGAAAGGAAATTAATGGAAGAAAAGGGACAAAAGAACTATGGGTGTACTGGTGAGATTTACAAAGTCCGCCTAAGTATGAGCTGGTGAGGCCGGCGCTTCCAATGAGGCCGGCCCACGTATATTTTATTGTTTCCTGATTCTATCCAACTCTTGAGAAGGGGCCATAAGGCATATGAGGCCATGGGGATGGGCCTTCTAATTCAAATCCCACTCTCACATGTTTAAGCTAAATAATACCCAACTCACGTATATGTACATTCTAAATTCTATTCTTTTTTTTTTTTTTTTTTTTTTTGGTAATCGGCATGTTTAGACCAGTGTGCACCTCAATTAATTCTCAGGATCAGGATTCATTGAACATCTTACAAGTTTAATAAACTAGGTAAGTCACAAATATGATAAGTAACCACTTTGTGTAACTCAAACACAAGACTTCTAGATAACCTAAATCTTGTCATTCGACCACAAGCCAAGTGGTTTAGATTCTGATTCGTTTATAAGACTAGTCCAACTTGGAACTTGTTCATTAGTTAAATTAAAAGAAACCAAAACAAATGGGAAGTGGGTCTTAGTCCAATCAAATTGATCAATACATATTAGTCCTTTTAAATTTATTTTTGTTTTTGATAAGTTTAACCTTAATGACATAATAATTTCTAAATACGTTCATTCTGTATTTTATAAATTTGTTTTAATTTTTAACCTTTAATTCTTACATAAACCCTACATCGAAATTTTCTAAATCATTGAAACATTTTTTTATTGCAAATAATTATTTGTTTGATGGAATTATATTTACTAAAGTTATGAAGAAAGTAATTCGCAATAGGATGAATCTGAATTCAAAGAAGAAAAAAGTAAGTGTAATAAAAAACTCTGATTAAATTTGAAATTGGGGAAAAGTAGTATAATAAAAAACCCTAATTAAGTTTGAAATTTGGGGAAAGGGACGCAAATAAAACCCTAGTTAAACCTAAATAAGTAGGGTTATTTTCAACATTAAATAGAGTTTAAAAAAGTTAAATACTTACAACTTTTTCATACAACTTTCATGTAGCAACTCGCGATTAGTCAACTCGTAGTAGGTACCGTCTACTCAAATATAAACTGACCAATCACGAGTTACCATCTCAGAGTTGTATAAGAAAATTATATGAAAAAATTGTAAGTGTAGTTTTATTGTTTAAATGTAATAGAGGTGTATTTAACAATGGGGATAGTATAATTTTGATGGGTTAAAAATCACTTCCCCGAACAAATATACTCCTAATCAAGAATTCTTTTAACTCTTTAACCAAAATTGATTTACACCAAAAATAATATCTTGTTATTATCCCGTTATGATTGTAGGCTATTTCCAGTATTTCTTTTAGCTTTATAACCCTTTTGTTTTGTTACTAGGGATGTCTAAGTCAACTTACGCATACCTTGATTGGTCCCTCGACCCCCAACAAAGCTTCCAAAACAGGGCAAGACGTCCTGCGGTCCGTGACTAACAATATTAACAACTGTTCTTATGATTCGAACATGAGACTACAAGGAGAGCAAACCCTTTGGCCCCAAAGCTTTATAACCATTTACTATCTCGAAATTTAAAATATAATCACATGAGAAAGTAAAGCTAATTAAATTTGCGAATAATTAATTTCATTTTCACAAATTTAGTTGGCACTGGACAGATGGACACCCATGCTGCTAATGGTATCATCTATTAACTCCGCAACTGCTTCGTGAAACTATCACAGACTGATGAAAGTAAATGCAGTTTATAAACCTATCATTAAGAAACGAATATGGGATTGACGTGTCCAGCCAGCTGAAAGCTCTCCCACCACACCAGCCCCTTTATTCTTCTTCTTCTTCTTCACTTGAAACCAATTGTTAAAATAACTCACGGGATAAAGCAAGTCCTGCCTTGCCTTTTTCTTTATCTTTCTTCTTTAGAATATATACATACATATATATCTAATCAAAATTTATGTTTATATATGCATGCTTTCGGCCCTTTAATTTCATCTATACCATTTAATATATATACAACTACCAGTCAATGCATCAGTCTGATTATTAGTTTAGAAAACGTATGGCTTTTAGATTCTGCTCAAACAGGAGACTGAGGATCATCAAAGGAACAAAAATTACTTGTGCATAGATGATATAGTTACTGTTGTTGATAATCAGAACAAGTACATAGATGTTAAAGCATATCACCTTTGTTAAAATCACAAGCAACATTTTCTTTACTCAACACAGCGAGAAAGTTTTTCTATATCACAAGATTGCTTGACCTACTCATGATCTTATATTTGCTTTGAGCAAATTTACACTATAAAGCTGTACTCAGTTTCCCCTTCTAAAAATCATTGACATCATTGATCAAATCATGATGTCCCCAAAAACCTCAAATGCAACCCACATGGATAACCAAGTCTCTGAACCAAACCAACTGGCCAATGTCCCATTACTACTTCAACCATCATACGCTAGATCAAAATCCTTACTCTATGATGAGCTTCGCAACTTTCGAATAAGTCTCAAGTGGTGCGCATTAGACCACTCTTCACGCATTGGAAAATTCATTTCTTATCTTACATTTGTGTTTCTCTCCATTGTTGTCCCCCTCCTTGGCTGCTTCTCCATTAAAGTCCAATCTTCCGCCGAAGCTGACGACCCTATTTCTTTCAACAAGTGGGTTCAATTTCCGGAGTCAGGTTTAGCCCTTCTAGGCTTCTTTACACTATCCAGGTTCTTCAGTAAATATGGTCTGCGCCAACTCTTGTTTCTTGATGGTCTACAAGATGATTCATTGTTTGTTAGACGTGGATACACACGCGAGCTTGACAAGTCATTTCGTTATCTTGCCTGCATACTTCTACCATCTTTTTTCGTTGAACTTGCTCACAAAATTATTTTCTTTTCGACAGTGAAAGTAACATTGCCTTATATTGGTTCAGGGGTTCCATTGAACTCGATTGTGTTTGTGTTGGTGTTATCTTCGTGGGTTTATCGAACGGGTGTGTTCTTGTTGGTATGCGTACTGTTTCGTCTGACCTGTGAACTTCAGATATTGAGGTTTGAGGGATTCCACAAGATGTTTGAGGGATGTGAATCGGATGCTGGAGTTATATTCAGGGAGCATGTGAGGATTAGGAAACAGTTATCTGCTACCAGTCACAGATATCGATTCTTTATCATTGCTTCTCTGGTTGTGATCACAGTTAGTCAATTGGGAGCTTTGATACTAGTTTTGGCCACCAAGTCAGATAAGAGTTTCTTCAATTCTGGTGATCTTGTTGTAAGTAAAGCATTATTAATTAACTATATGCATCATGAATTAATGGCTTTAAAAATTTTATAGTATTGATGTTTGATGTGGATGCAGGTATGTTCAGCTGTAGAGTTAAGTGGGTTCTTTTTGTGCTTGTTGGGGGCGGCAAGAATCACGCACAGAGCCCAAGGGATAGCTTCAATTGCAACCAGATGGCATATGACGGTGACATGTGCTTCATCTGGATCAGACCAGTGGAAAGAGCAGACTGAATGCAGAGACAGTGACTCCGATTCCTCTGACATTTTCATCACAGTTTCCTCACAAGATCAATCCTCCTTCCAAACTAGGCAAGCTTTAGGTGAGATATTATATATGTCTATAAATGTTTCAATCCTTCTTTATATTGTCAATGTGAATGATTTAGGGAGTTAATATTTATTTGTAAATGTTGTATGCAGTGGCATATCTGCAACACAACAATGGGGGGATAACGCTCTTTGGATTTGCACTTGATCGTGGATTGCTTCATACAATCTTTGCATTTGAGTTCTCTCTGGTGTTGTGGATACTTAGTAAGGTGGTTGTGTTGTCTTGACCCAGACTCCACTCATTTCCTGCCAAGTAACACATTCAGATATACCAAACAGTACATAATTGTATTGTATTTGAAATTACCGTATGTGAATTTTATTACAAAATAAAATGTTTGTTGAACTTGAACAACAACAATGGCGAAACAAGTCTCTACTAGGTTTATACCCATCAATTTCTAGTTTTATCAATTTCTTGTGAGATTATCTGTATTTAAAACTTTAGAGTGTTCAACTGACTATTCAACTTTTTACAATTCCAATGTTCAAATGACTCCATGGCCCAATGGATAAGGCGCTGGTCTACGGAACCAGAGATTCTGGGTTCGATCCCCAGTGGAGTCGCCTGAACCTTTTTATACTATTAAACACCTATATATATTTTGCTCTTGCTCATGCTGAAAGAGTCAAAGACACCACCTATATTTTGCTCATGCTCAATTGCTCATTCTGAAAGAGCCAAAGACACCACTTTTATTTTGCTCATGCTGAAAGAGCCAAAGACACCATGAAAAGACTTAGCAAAATATTAACACGCAAATTTATCCAGATCCCACAAAATTTGGCATCAAAGATTCCGAAAGTTACTTAACAAAAAAAAAAAAAAAAAGATTCCGAAAGTTAATTGACAAGACGGAATTAAGCTAATTCTTCATTAACAAATTATTCACATTCTTGGACATCATCAGAGACCTGGCTGAGCGTGTTCACAATTTCCCTAAGACATGCAATGAGCTTATCCCCTTGGCGTCTTATAACTTCGGATGGGAAATCCTGATCATCATCCTCATCTACATCACAGTAATCAGCATTCTCACCAACTATTGCAAGGATCAATTCAGCATTTTCATGCAGTTTCGCCACCATCATTTGCTCCTTTTCTTTTATGCAACTTATGATCTTTCCTTCCACACCACATTTCTGAGACTTCTTGTTAACCTGACCCTTCTGGGATTTTTCTTCTATAAGACTATTGCAAGGCTTTTCTTCTGTAAAGTTTCTTTTACGCTTTTGTTGAATGGGGCTTTTGTTAGGCTTTTCTTCATCACAATGTTTTACAGGCACTGATCGCCGCCTTCGCCTCTTTGACCCTATTAATACCAAATATTAGGAATTCAGAGAATAATAACTTCTTAAACTACAAGTTCTGACAAGATCATTTTAAGAACTGTTATATTTTACAGGTTCGCAAAAAACTTTACCAGTAATGAGACTAAACAAGGAAAGGGGAAAGATGCATGCTATCCAAGGCAATTACCAGATCAAACTCTTGAATCAAATAATAATTGCTATGCTAGAGAGCAAGATGACAACAGTTACAACAGACTCAATTCAGATACAAGTATGTGCAAGGCAAAACTCCTAAATCCCCACATCTACCAACTATGAGATTAAGGAGATTAAAAATAAGTATTAATAAAAGGTAAAGTCAAAGATGGATCAGAAAGTGCACGGTAATGGAAACAAATTTGGCACTTTTTGGTGTCTTCAGAGTTTGGAGATTTATCATTCTTCTCCATTCACCATAACTGCGAAACAGCAATCTCCTAATTTGTTGATATCAGACAAATTCACCATAACTGCAAAACAGCAATCTCCTAATTTGTTGATATCAGACAAACTAACATTTTGTGCCCTTTTGGAAATGTTCTCTCTGATGGGGATCCTGATTTTGTAACTATATGCCAAGGTTGAAAGTCAGGTAAATTGAATTTTCTCTACCAAGATACATAAATTGGCTTGAGAATAGCCTTCCTTTAGTCTCTATGTGGATTGTTGTTCACTGCATATAGTATCCTTCGATCCCTTTTAATAAAATAAAGTGCTATCTGTTTCCTATGAAACAAAAAGGAAAAAGTGACAAATAGGGACAGTATTAATCATGTTCTGAACCATGATTACATTTGTGGACATTAGAAACTAGGAAAATAGAAGAGAACTATAGCAACTAAATGGCATAAATTGATGAATCTTCATAGCAAGCAATTTAATCAGCCTCCTCGATTATTCAAAATGCAGTGAACATGACACGTCCCAGTTAACTAGAAGGAAACAGCAGTGTTAAATTTAAAGAAGATTTTCCTCCTTAGCACATGCTTTCACGACAAGGTCAAGTAACATGAATCGAAAACAAGGAGTATTAAACCTAAAAATTCCGTTCAGTATGTTGTCACGAAGCTATAGATGGCTGTATATTTGTTGGAGAGGTCAGAAAAAGATCTCTCTATTACAGATAAAATTACTGGAAAAAAAGAAAGGGCCTTATAGTTTAAGAGCCAAAGTAAGCTTTTATCCATAATAATTTTCATACTATCCTACACAGATTTTGGGCAATCTTAAAGGGACAACACATTCTCCATCATCATCAATACTATTCAATGGCAATAGTAAAAAAATTATAGAAACTCATTCGTCATCAAACCTTAAAAAATATATAAACGTGGCAACATCGCACTAATCAGATTCATATCGAAATCAAACTATCCAATGGGCATCAGCTGGCAACAATCCAAGATTAAATATGTTTGAGCAGAAATTATAAAACAAAAGAAAGAGCATACCCAGTTGTGAAATTAACTTAGTCAAGTCAAGATGAGCATCTGGGTCACTATCTGAGTCAGTATCCGGTTGATTCTGCTTTTCTCTAACAAGATTATCAATGGCATTGAAAAGTTCGCGGTCAAAATCGGGAGGAAAGCTTTGACCTTGAGAAAAGCAATAAGAATTGGTCCTAGTCCTTGACCGCATGAACCTGTTGTAGTCAGCAACCAAGGAATCCCACTTCCTCCGGCATTGATTCGAAGAACGTGGAACATCTAAAGCAGTACAATTTTCAGATATTATTTTCCATTTCTGATAGCTTGAAAGAGCTTTCAAACAATCGGCTTCCACAGCAGCAATCTCGTTCACAAGAATCAGTGCTTCCTTCAAGCTCCATTCTGGACCTACCTGTGATCGCATGCACCTTGACCCCGTATCTGCCTGCACAATATTAAATTCCAAATCAACAATTCACATTTTCAGAAACCTAAACCCTACCAAGAAACAACCAAACTCTTACCATTACATAGAATTGATGCCAAAAACTTTAATCATTATCATCGTCATCATCATCATTAACTTTCCCAATTCCAACCTAACTGTAATTTGGGCTTACGCATTTGGGCTTACGCCCAATCTAAGCCCAAACCAAGTAAGGAAGGTTACAGCTTATAAGCTAATTTTCATAGACTTAATGACGACCCCCTAAACGGCAATTGACAGCTAAGAACCAAGTCGAATTCCATTAATCCAATTGAATGTCAAAATGTCTAGGTTCAATGAACCTAAAAAGTGTCACTAAATTTGCTTGACTGGGTGGCACACCATCAGCACACACAATTTATGACCTATTTTCCCATACTGCAAATTTAAGGCACTGATACCGATGCTTCTAATGAGCACAAACATGTCCAGGTTCAATGCATCCTAACAGATTTTAAGGTTGCAGACAACATACATACACACATGACATTGTCACCTTTTATATAAATAAAGAAAGCTTCTTTGATTTTTATTCAAATGTAATAGGATCCTTAAATTTAAGGGAGAATATGTTTTTTAAGAAAGAAATTTAATAGGTGAGATAAATCATATAAAAAATTAAATTTATTATTTAATTTATATTTAAAGAAATAAAAAATCTGATATCAAACAAGATTCTTACCACTTTTAACATCAATGGTAAACAACATACATACATACATATATCACATTGACCTATTTTTAACGACCCCCATGAATTTAAGCATACGTGGCACGGTGTAAGCTCGGTAATTTGGTAGGACTTATCTCACTATAAATACTGCTCTCCTCGTCTCGCCTCCACCTCTCTATCCTTTGAAGCAAAAGCAAAGCCAAAAAAGAGTCAGAGAATCCAAAAGCCAAACTCCGTCCGGAAAGTTTGGTTTGGCTTATTTTCTCTTTTTGGCGTCTCTTGCCCCCATTTGCTTCAAATACTTGCTTTCTCCTCCCCATCATTACACTTCACCTTCTCACCGCTTTAGATTTTCTTGTAAGCTCTCTTACTATTTTCTTTATTTTCATTTAATGTCATCTTCTTCTTCTTTTTATCTGTTCTGGTTGTTTAATCATGGTGTTTAATCATCGATTCAGCACCACGTATTGCTCACACTCTTTATTATTATTATTACGTTTTTGGTGTCAGAACGTGTCCTTTTTGCATCTTTGATTTTGCATATAGCCTCATTGTAATTGTCTTCATCTGTTTTGTTTTGATATCCATATATGTCAATTGCATTATGAAAGAGATTTTAGCTTGCCTTAAATTATTCCCCATGTTAGATACGGACAGATTTGAGTTTTTTTTTTCCTCTTTTAACAACCGCCTAAAGCATAGCGCTGTTATATCTCAATTAAATGTGCTCTTTTGCTTATTCACCATTTTTTTCCAGATTTATACTACAATGGTATTCTGGGTTTTTGGCTATGGGTCGTTGGTTTGGAACCCAGGATTTGAATATGATGAGAAAATCATAGGCTACATCAAGGATTACAGGCGTGTTTTTGATCTTGGTCAGTATATTTTTTCTTTGTCATTAAGAGTTTTTTTTTTTCACTTTTTGTCTGTTTATATTTAGGAATTTCCATAGATTTGGTTCTCTAACAATTGGTTTTTAAACCCCCCCCTTTTTTTTTCTTTCTTTTTTTGTATTGCAGCCTGCATTGATCACAGAGGTACTCCTGAACACCCAGCTAGAACTTGCACTTTGGAACAGCATGAAGGAGCTATATGCGTAAGTAGAACCTATTTGTAATTTTCATGCTTATTACATGATTTATGCGGTTATGAAGCCACGCCAACTTTTCATTTGTTTAAAGAAATCAGTTCTAGGTTCTTCGAAACTTGAAAGAGAATATTCTTCTTTTGTCTGACATCTACTTGCAATTTCTACAGTGGGGTGCTGCTTATTGCGTTCGAGGAAGCCCTGAAAGGAAAAAACTTGCAATGGAGGTATATCATCTAGAGATTATATAATGTAGATAAGGAATGTTAATGATGCTAATTAACTTCAAACCAGCACTTACCCAGTTACCCTCCTTATTCCCCTGCCTTTGCAGGAAGAGTTGCTATCATCCTTTAATCTAATTTTCCTTTTATTAGAATCAGAATGATGTAAATTATTTGCACCTTTTGTAGTATTTGGAGCGGAGAGAATGTGAATATGATCAGAAGACCCTTGTAGACTTTTACAAGGTAAGAATATGATTGTTTCCTTTTTTAATCTGTATTCTGTATGTTTCACTCTGTGCTTTGTTCTTATTTCCCTTGACACGTCCCTTCTTTTATACAGGAAGGAGATCCTTTACAGCCTGCTCTAACTGGAGTCATAGTGTAAGTTATCCTGCTTCGGATGCATCAGTTCTTTCATGTTTTTTTTCAAATTCTTCATGATGTTCTTAACAAGGTGTCATCATTTATGCAGTTTCACATCTACTGCAGACAAAGTATCAAACAAGTACTACCTGGGCCCTGCTCCATTAGAGGAAATGGCTAGGTAAAGTGGATTTGATTCTGATTAGCTGTTGGTGATTTCTTTTGCCGTAAACTGTCTCTTTACATATTCTCATGCACATGTTTAGGCAAATTGCAACAGCTTCTGGACCTTGTGGGAACAATAGAGACTATCTCTTTCTATTGGAGAAGGCCATGTTTGATATTGGTAAGACTACTTCTTACACTGAGCATGAGTTGATGATCGTAAAATTTGATGTTTTGGTGTTTATACTGAGTACTGAAACACTGAACAGGTCATGAGGATGATTATGTAATAGAGTTGGCGAATGAGGTGAGAAAAGAGCTTGGAATTGTTGAACAAGAGATTCTGAAGGAGAAAAAGTTGGGTGAGTCAACCCAGATTGCACTGAAAAAATCTCATATTCCAGGCATTCAACTCCATCTTCTCCCAGAAGCCATTGCCATGGATTTGTAACAATACGAGCCTGACACTCGAGGAGAAAGAAAAGAATAGCACAGGAAGCTTAGCTTAGCTTAGCTAACCCAATAAAATTACTCTTCACTTTACGTTATGTTGGTTTTTCATTTCCCTGACTTCGAGTACTGTATTATTTGGAGGCTTATGATCCTTTTGACTGAATCAAATCACAAACTCTATTTAGATTTTACATTTGAGAGAACTTGGAAGTTGGAACAAGTGGTTTTGAATTGAGAGGAAGTTTTAACAAGATTTTCTTATGCAATACGCAATACAAAATAGATGTAAGAAGGTGAAGTGTTTGAGGTTGATTTTCAATTTCCAGCCAAGAAAAGAACCATTTGATATTATCTTTTGCATTTTTGAAGTTTCATTTCTTCTAATACGATATAATTCAATTAAATGCCATGACAGAACAGAACACTACAAAACATATTCCAGAGTCCTTTTCTTTGGATCAAAAGGGATAATGTTAAGCAAATGAATCTGTCATAAATTACGTCGACACTTATCCACTGGTCTATTATAAATGCATACCTTTCATCCGCTTGCGGTCAATGATAAATACATACATCAATATTTTTTAGAGCAAACGATACTGCCTTAGCCCCCAAGTTTAGCGAAATGGCAAGTTCTCCCCTGGCAAATGACATGTTTTGGACCAAGGTTTAGCGAAATGACAAGTTCTCCCCTGGCAAATGACATGTTCCGAACTAAGGTTTAGCGAAATGGCAAGTTTTCAATCTAGCAAACGACATGTTTTTACCCAAGGTTTAGCGAAATGACAAATTCTCACCCTAGCAAACGATATGTTCCCGCTCAAGTTTAGCGAAATAACAAGTTCTTACCCTTGAATCAAATGATAGTTCTAAATCTTAACATCAAAATTGCAGAAACTTAACACAATATTCCACACACAAAATGCATAGTATATTTTCCATTATTAGCGACAAATATGGGCCCAAAATGTGTCTTGCCAATATCATAAATTTCGTGTTTTGATAAAATAATTAAAGATATAATATCGAAACTATTATGAATCCTTATATAAGAAAGCAATATTACCTACGTAATTTAGACTAAATCTCTAAAAAAGATGTCCAATATCATAACTCTCTCACAAATAATTATGAAATAAATATTTTATTATAATTTTCAAAATGAAGTAAATTAATCTAATACCTATAAAGTAATTATGAAAAATCAAATAAAATCCCCATCATACTTCACCATGAGCACCAATCATAAAAAAACATTATTGGAGAATTGTTTATGTTAAAGATGGTATTGGAATAAATCACCTATATTCCCATGTTCAATTCTCTGCTGGACATAAAGGTAAGTGGTGAGAGATAACTTTTCACAAGGATTAGTTAAGGTGTTCCTAAGCTGACTCAGACACCTAAATTAACAAAATAAATAAATATTGCATTTGTATACACGAAATCTCTACTAGTATTAATATCATTTATTATTTTACTTTATGATTTATTTATGTGTTAATTTACATGAAAAAAATATATATATATATATACATAAAATATGTCATATTATTCTAACCACTAAATCCTTTTGTGTGATTTTAAAATTTGATGTATCTTTAAAATCATCTTATACATGATCAAATAATAATATAAATCATAAACATCAAACAAGACTTAGATATAATAATCAAACTAATAAATAACCCTATTTTCATGTGAGAATTGAAAAATAGCCTCTTTTGAAAAGTTTTACACCCCATAACCTTCTTTTATTTTTTATTTTCAATTCAAGTGAAAAAAGGGCTATTTAATATAATTCTTTTTTTTTTTTTTTTTTTTAAAGAAAAAAATAAAAATAAAGAAGGGAACTGACTTGATGAATAAGTCAGGTTCGCAAACAAAAGGAGCAGAAAGAGAGAAGGGTGGAAGTTTGAAATCATAAAGAAATCGAAAAATCTAGGGTTTGAGGTGAAGCTATGGATCTGAACATGAATGATCTGAATCAACCACACTCCATGGGAACGACCATCATTGGAGTCACTTACAACGGTGGTGTTGTTCTCGGAGCCGATTCTCGTACTAGCACTGGTACCTATTGTTCCATTCACTTCTTTTTTGCGTTTAATAGATTAATCCATTCTCAATTTCAAATTTAATTCCGATTTCTATTCTATTTTATTGTATTTGGTAGGGATGTATGTTGCTAACCGTGCATCCGACAAAATCACTCAGCTTACTGATAATGTCTACATCTGCCGCTCTGGATCGGTATTTTTCTTTCAACTTGAACCCCAGTCCTGGCCCTAACTCTTATCCAGTAATTTACATGTCCGCCCTTTCTCTTTCTTGTAGGCTGCAGATTCTCAGATTGTCTCCGACTATGTGCGCTACTTCCTTCATCAGCACACGTTAGTTCATTATTTTCCTTTGTTTGTTGTCTCTGACTGATACCATATTAATTAGGGTTTTCTGACTTCGTATGTGTTTTTCAATTACATTTATGTACAGGATACAGCTTGGGCAGCCTGCAACTGTTAAAGTTGCTGCCAACCTCGTCAGGCTACTATCTTATAACAACAAGGTCTTTTTTCTATATCTTGCTTTCATTTTCTGATCAAACAAGAAGTAAAAGAAAAGTTATTGATAAGGTGTTTATATTGATTTAATTAACTGTTTTATTACAAGTAATAACTCTGTTGCAGAAGATGATATAGAATTCTAAGTTTGAATAATTAGTTTCAAAATATTGTATATAGTAAGTATGGTTTGATTAATTTGGATGTTATTCACGTTGCAATACCCACTGAACCTTGTTTCAGATCTTCAAATGGCGGAAGAAGAATGATTTGCTTGGTTCTTATTCCTTCTCTTTTAGTCTTATTCTAGAGCAATAGATAATAGTTTCATTTTTTTTTTTTTTGAGGTATTTCTAGATCAAGGAAATTTATATAATAGTGTATTTTTGTCTCAGATTTCTAAATATTAGGCAGCACCTTTTATTAGTGTGTTTACACTTCAATTTGTTGTTGTATTCTTTGCTGATTTAATCCATGTTACTGTTTTAAGAACAATGCTAATTTCACTTTTCATGTCACCATATATTGAGGTATTTGAAGTTCACTTTTAGGCTCACCTTATTCACAATTATCTGGAATTGACAGAACATGTTACAAACTGGCATAATTGTTGGAGGGTGGGACAAATATGAAGGCGGTAAGATATATGGAGTTCCTCTTGGTGGAACAATAATTGAGCAGCCTTTTGCCATTGGAGGTATGTCATTACTTTGATTGATTAAGAATTTTCTCTTTAGGAATCGCTATAATGTGTGAATAGACATCAGACGTGAGTTTTGATGTAGACATAAGTCATTAGACCTGCAAGTTCCACAAATTTTAGACCTGATAATACTACCATGTATGTGTGTTTGGTCTGTATGAATGTTTCATGCTGTTTTCTAATATTCTCTTATCTTCTTTACATTAAAATTATGATTCATAGAACTGATATTCATTTCTATTGCAGTCAACTGCTTATTTTATGAGGGTTTTAAATGGTTTTTAAGGAAGATATATGTATATAAACCATATTTCAGTTCAATCAGTTTAAGGAAGAATTTTTGTAATTGGATTCTTTGGTTTTCTCTTCCAATTAATTTGTAATTGCAGGAAACCTCCTCTTATATTTCGTACATGCATTTGTGACCGTTCAATTGGTCAATGCTTGTGTAGTATGCATTTTGGTTATGTTAACATTTTCAGTAATAATGTATGATGACTTGGGCCTATGCCCACTGTACAATTGTGAGGATTATGTGCTTGAATTGCATGTAACTTCTATCTTAATTGCTGGGCTTTGATGTTCCTTGATCAATGTCCAGCATTCATGCAGTTAATAGATTAACTTGCTCTAAAAAAAGACTTACTAATATTTGGTTCTTAGGAAATTGTAATCTCTCTAATTTTTTATTGATTAATTTGGTTATTATTTCCGTCACCCAGACTTTGAAATATTTTTAATGTTTATATGTATAAGTTTAGTAAGGTTTATTATGACATCAGATTCACAACTCATCATCCGTTGTCCCAACAGCGATAGCACTTTTGTGTCAATGAATTTTTGTACAACACTATTTTTGGATGGATTGGTGTTTCATTAAAATTATTTTGTAAAAGCTGGCTCTAATCTAACATAATGTGCATATCTTAGGATCTGGCTCAAGTTACTTGTATGGATTTTTTGATCAAGCATGGAGAGAAGGAATGACCAGGGAGGAAGCCGAGGTATGTAGATTAGATCTTGATGTTAGTAAAAACTCAAATGAGTGAACTTTTTAAACTTTGTTTATGAGCAAGTTATTACTTTGTTGAGACTAACCTCTCATTAAGTTACCACTGTCAACAACGTAATGAAATATTGGGGTTGATCTGGAGGAATTCCATTGTTCTTTTATTTTGATTATCAAAATCTGCAGTTGTCACTGTTGGAATGTCTTATTGGTATGAAACTTTTGAGTATTGATTTAATTGTTTATATTTCTCTTGATTAGAAGGTTGGTATTTATGTTTCCTAAGCAAGCAGAAAAAGAAAAACAAAATAGATGTCTGGTTGAAAGTTAATGTCAAAGAGTTCTATTGCTAATCTTTTTGGTATTCTCTTGCAGCAATTAGTGGTCAAGGCAGTTTCCCTTGCCATTGCTCGTGATGGTGCTAGTGGGGGTGTTGTCCGCACTGTCACTGTAAGATCTCTTTGGCTGTGTGTGACTATGCAATTTGCGGATGTATTGTCTGTCACTAGAATACAACTACTGGTACGCTAATGCATTGTGGGTATTTTTGCAGATCAACTCTGAGGGAATGACCAGAAAGTTCTACCCTGGTGACAAACTTCCTCTGTGGCATGAAGAGTTGGAGCCACACAATTCATTACTGGACATACTAAACAATCCTGGTCCTGAACCTATGAACATATGAAGAAGAGGAAATTGCCATGAGCTATTTGCCATTTCCAAAACTTGTTATCTTGGAAAATTACTGATGTATCAGCTGAGGCTGGATATTCACATGTTTTTGTGAAATTAACAAATATTTAGCGTTTGGAGGATATTTTTTATGTGATACCTTAGTTGCGGTTGTTTGTTTCTGTGATGTTGTTTAATTAAGCGAACTCCATCATCATGTTTCACTTCAAATCTTTGTTCAGGTAGTTTCATCATGCATAAATGATATATTGAATTTGGTATATATAAACTTGTCTGTCAAGTGAGAAGATAACAACTGAAAATCTAAACGAGTCAGCTTATAATAACAAACAGATTCTAGCTTATGCGCATCTTAAGGTGTATTGAATATTCTGTAAGTCTAATGAGTCAAGTAAGTAATAACTCTGATAAATAACCTTTTTGTGTGACTTGAATATAAGACTTCTAAATAACCCATAATCTTGTCGAATGTATGTGGTGTTTCTAGGATTAAATGGCATTGAAGAACCAACAATCAAGATTAGCCACATGAAATAATCTCTATAAATTATTTTAAGATTTTGTTTACGTTTAGTTTGTTTTGTATACCAAATCGGAAGTTTATATTAAACGACTTTTTCCCACCTAAGGTTTGTGCCTTAATGACATTTTTTCATCTAAAAAGTTTTAAAACACCACTTTTCCACTCAAAATTTATATTCCGTTGCTACCTCAAATCAATTCTAGGGGTGAAAATTTTCTCTATCACCGCCATTCGAACCTCCGGTCTCTTCTATACAAAACCTCTCCCACTTCGACATCTGATTTCTTGCCAATTGCTCGTCACCGCAAAGCTAAAGTTTCCACTTTCTTGTTCTTAGTTGATTTTTGGCTGATTCCGGAGGCAAATATTCAATCGATCATTACCATTCGATTCATCAGCCTCCACTCTACAAAACCCCTCTTACCTTGGTTGATCCATCGACCTCCACTCTACAAAACTCCTTTTCCCTGGCTCCTAGTAACTCGTCGAACGTCGATTGAGAAAATGTAATTCATTTTGGGTAGTAACGAAATATAAACTTTAGGTGGGATAATGGTATTTTGAAACTTTTTGGGTGAAAATGTGTAATTAAAGCAAACGTTGGGTGAGAAAAAGTCATTTACTCTTTCGGTGCGTTTGGTTAAGGGAATGTTATATTAATGGAAAGATAGTTACCTTAAAGATTACTATGAGGGGGCGTTTGAATCATATAATGTTTTATTATAGGAGTATATTATATTAATGGAAAAAAAGATCACCTTAAGGTAGCGTTTGGTTCAAGGTAATATAAAATTAATCTTATAATCTTTGTTTAATTTTCAAGATTCCTTCGTTTGGTTGTCAAGTAATAAAATATTACGTAATCTTTTATTACAAATGGTGTTTATTGTTGGTAATATTGGGGGTAATCAGATTACCTTCCCAAGGGGTGTTAATATAAGATTACCGAGGTAATCTTAATTTTGACCCTATTTTGCCCTTAATATTTTATCATTTCTAACATATTTGCCCTCATATATCTACCAAATAACAATTACCCAGACCCACTACATTTGAGAATTTAGCTAAAACACCCCCACTACAAAAAAGTTTAAAAGTTAACAAAATACCCCCAATCATCCAAGACCACCATCGCTAGCCACCACCGTTGGCCACCGACGAAAGTCGTCATATCGACACAAGACCGGCAGGATCTTGCCAGTCTTGTGCCGATAAGGACATTTTCGGCCATGGATTTGTGATCCATGGTCGGAAACGACCAGATCTGGCCGTTTCACGACCAAAGATGTGGCCGTGAAATGCCATAGATCCGGCTGTGAAAAGGCCAGATCTTTGGTCGTGAAACGGTCGCCGTTTCACAGCCAAAGATCTGGTCTTTTCACGGCCACATCTTTGGTAGTGAAATGACCATATTAATGGCCAGATCTAGCCGTGAAACAACCATATTCACAGCCAGATCTGACCGGATTAGGCCTGATCGACGTACGACCAGCCAGATCCGGCTAGTCGTGCGCCATTACAGCGGCTTCTGGTGGTGGTGGTGGCTGCAGGCGGTGGCTTGGGGTGAGTGGGGGTGATTTTGCTACAAATTAAAGTCGTATATGGTTGGGGTGTTTTAGTAAAATTTCAAATATAGGGGGGTTAAAAGAAATAATTTAAAAAATAATAGAATAAAATAATAATAATAATAATAATATATTATTATTTAAAAACGAGGGCAATTTAGTAATCTATATAACATATCCACTCATTTATCCTCATAACCAAACATATTATTATAACATACCCATCAATTTATTCCAACCCACCAAACACATTTCTTTAAAGATTCCTTAGTAATCTATCTTTCCAATAATACAACATTCCTCAATAATATAATATTCTCTAAACCAAACGCAGCCTAAAGATTACTGGAAATGTTTAGAAAATGTGTTTAGTTGGTTTGAATAAATTGGTGAATAATACGTTTGGTTGGGAGGATAAATGGGTGGATATGTTATATAGATTACTAAATTGCCCCTCTTTTTAAATATTAATATAAAATTATTTTTTATTAATATTTTTTGAATAATCTTTTTTAACCCCCTACTTTTCAGATTTAGCAAAAAAAAACCCTACCAACCAAAAACGTTTTAAACTTAACAAAAACAACCCTACCCACCTCAAGCCACCACCGGTAGCCAGCCACCACTGCTGACAGTACCACAGATCTAGCCGTGACGCCGACAATGCCACAGATCTGGCCGTTACACGGCTAGATCTATGGTCGTGAAACGACCACAAATCTAGCCATGAAATGGCCAGGTCTTTGGTCATGAAACAGCCAAATTTGGCCTTTTCCGACCATGGATCTATGGTTAGAAAAAGCCTCACCGGCGCACGGCTGGGCATATACGGCCGATTGTACACCATTATGACTACTTTTGGCAGCCTTCGACGGCGGTCAACAGTGGCTAGCGGTGGTGGCTAGTTCTGGATATAATGACATTTTTTGTAAATAATGACAATAACACGGGCAATGTCGTCTGAAAATTTTTAAAAGCGAGGACAAAAATGTCTGCATAAGTGAACTGTATATTTTGTAAATGTTAACAAATATAAGGTTAATTTGGACCAAATGCTCAACTGTTTAGGGGCAACATGGGAAACAAAATTGTATTACCAGGGGTAAGTTTTAATAACAACCTCCCTTCCCCTCAAGTATTAAGATTCCCGGCAATATGCCTCCCAAATGCTGTTGTTTGTCATAAAATATTTCGAGAATAATTTTTTACAAACCAACCAAACATCGTCATCTGCTCCATTTAAAAAATATTACCCCAGTTATCTAATATTAACCCGATCCAAACGGCCCCTATTTGTAATAAAAGATTACCGTAATATTTTATTACTTGCGAACCAAACATAAGAATCTTGCAAAATAAACAAAGATTACCCTTGTTATATTATTTACCCCTGATCCAAACAACCTTTGAATGTTTAGGGAAATATGTTTAGTTGGTTGGAATAAATTAATGGGTATATTATATTAATATGTTTGGTTGAGAGGAATAAATTGGTGAGTATGTTATATAATTTACTAAATTGTCCTCCTTTTTAAATATTAATATAATATTATTTTTTGAATAGTTTTTTTTAACCCCATACATTTCAGATTTAGTTAAAACACCCCAACAAAAAAAAAAATTTAAAACTTAACAAAAACACCCCCACCTGCCCCAAGCCACTACTGACGGCCTGCCACCATTGCTGACAACAATGAAAGTGGAGATCTGGCCGTGAACAGCCATAGATCTGACAGATCGTGTGCCATTCTATCGCCTTTGGCAGCTGTCAGTAGTGGTTTTCGGCGGGTGGCGGTGGTGGCCAGATCTGACCACCACCCTTGGGTAATTTTTTTAAATTTTAGGGGTATTTATGTCCTAAAAACTTTGTATATAAGGATAAAATAATCAATTGGTATTTTTGTAAATTGTTTTTAAAATAAGGGCATTATTGCCCTAAAATTTTACTAATCAGGAGTAAAACTGTAATAAAAATAAGATTACTAAATAATCTTAATCAGATTATCTCCTAATTACCAATAGTAATTACTATTAATATTGAAAAATTATCGAAATTTTATGGGTGCGTTTGGTTCAATATTTCAACCCATACTCCCAATCCTATTCCCCAAATATTGTTTGGCACATTATTTGAGAAATATTAGTGTATTTTTTAATTACTTTTAGACCCCTTAAGTTTATTAATTTCATTAAATAGCTCCACAAAAAAGTTTAAAAATTAGCAAAAACACCCCCACCCACCCATACTTGCCAGATTCCAGCAACCACCGTCGGTGGTAGCCAGAATCTGTCATAACAGCTTACACCACGACCGAAAATGGTCTTTTATTCATCGATCTGTCCTATTCTGCTAGATCCATAGTGGACCTTTGCAGCAGTCGACGGCCACATCTAGCCAGATCGACGCGTTATGACACAGATCCGACCGGTCTGTGTTGTAACGCGATTTTTCTACCAGATTCTAGTGGTGGTGGCCGAAATCTGGCACTGCAGGTGGTGGAGGTGTTTTTGTCATTTTACACAATTTTTATATATTAAAGTGTTTAATTAAATTAGCAAACCTAAAAGGTTTTTTAAAAATTTTTAAATTTTATCTCGTAATATTTTCCTATTCAACTATCTAATATTATTCTCAAAATTATATCTAAAGTAATAAACTAAATACATCATATATATTATTTAATAACCAAACGTGATAATAAAGTAATATAAGATGACGCTATTTCAAGAATATCTGATACCCCCCCGACTAAACACACCCTTCAAATTAATACGAATGTTAACTGTTAACGAGTAAACAAATCTTGGGAGTGGGAGTTGGAGAAGCGTGGCAAGTGATGATTGGTCAAACAACAAATGATTTCTCCGGTTCCACCTGGACGGCCCTGAACCTGAAGTGGAATGGTTTGTATATAAAGCTTTTAGTCTGATGAGAATCAGAAATTGAAAAAAAACAGATAAATGGGGACGGCGACGGCGTCAGCAATGAGCGGTAACCTTCACAGCGTTTTCGTGTACGGAAGCCTACTTGCAGACGACGTCGTTCGTATTCTTCTTAAACGCGTTCCTCAGTCTTCCTCTGCCATCCTCAACAATTAGTCTTTCTCTCTCTCTCTCTCTTTTAGATTCCAATTTCAATTTCATATATATTTTTTTTCTAATTTTAATTAATTATGGAGTTGGGATTGCAGTCACAGATTTAGCATAAAAGGGCGTGTGTATCCAGCTATTCTACCTCTCGAGAATCACAAAGTCACTGGCAGGGTGATCTCAGCCTCTTCAATTAGTTCATATTTCTTTTCTTTTACAATCAATTAATTTTAAAAATATGAAAATTTACGTTACAGGTGCTGCTGGGAATCACGGATCCTGAATTGGATAGTTTAGATATATTTGAAGATTTTGAGTACGAAAGGACCTCTGTTGATGTTTGTTTGACGGTAAGTAACAAATATTGAATTGATGCCTTTTGAGTTTTGAGTAATCATATACATATCATTTAACTCTTCTCAATCGAATCAAATATGCATTCATGCAGGACACTCCTGACAACTCCTTACAAGCTCAGGCTTACGTCTGGACCAACAAAAACGATCCTAATCTCTATGGAGATTGGAATTTTGAGGTATTTTTATTTGATTTCATTTCTCAACCACACTTTAATAACCACTTAAACATCATCGACCTCTTTTTTGCTTTAAAGGAATGGCGAGGACTACACATGGAAGATTTTATGAAGATGACAGCTGGTTTTGTTGAAGAACTGGAGCTTCCTGAATCAAAGCCAAGAGTAGCCACATATGAATCCTACTATAACCAGAATGATATTAATCCTTAAAATCTCTTAGATTCTTCCCCCACGCCAACCTCTCCTAAAATAATGCCCTCCATTTAGTCACAGTGGTTTATCTGTTTCTGGAACAGGGTTGTGTTACTTTGGATTTCAATTCTATTCTATAATCAAGTCATTAGTCCAGGACCTGGGGCAGGAAGTTCAGTTGCTTATTTTTTATATTATTACTGCAGATTGTGGGACTCTCATTTCGGGAAATTGTTTGAGCGTTTTGTTTTTAATTTATGATAGTTCATAGTTTCTCAATCCCTTTCTGATGAACTATATTTTTATTTTATATTATTAATAGTAATAATTATGTGAGACACTTGGTCTTAACCACTTTTAGGTGGAACCATAAGAACTTTTAGTTATATTACTAAAGAGGAATCGAACTCCTCTCTATTGTTAATAGTAATAGGGGTGACTACTATATTGCTAATAGTAATAGGGGTGATTACTAACTAGGGCTGTTATCGAGTCGAGTCAAACTGAGTTTTTAGCTTAATGAACTCGGCTCGTGAGAGGAGAGGAGAAATCGAGTTCGAGCCGAGCCTCTAATTTTCTGGTTCGGTTCGGCTCATGGAGGGAGGAGGGGAATTCGAGCCTGGTTCGTGAGCCGATAAAAAACAATTTTTTTTTAAAAAAAAATTAAGAGCAAATTTCAATATTTTTGAATTCAAAATACCCTTTGTTTTTTTTAGTATGCATGTAGTAAAAAAACCAATGGTCAATAAAATGCATCTGTTATATTGTCCCATTTGGCTTGAAACTCACGCAGGCTCACATTTCAATAACTTTTTCGTGCAAATTACTCATGCAAACTGCAGCTTTACAAATGTGAAATGTCACTTCTTTTAAACTAAAGTCTAAAACAGCCCTAACTCTTATCGGATCTGTGAGCAATATCACACACATACCTTTACAAGCCAACACCTTCAGAAACCTTGACGATGGCGGCGGCGACAACGAGATGGGTTTGACAGTGACAAAACAAAAGGAAAACATGAAACGTCCAAACATCGGCGAGATTTGAAGGGATAGATACAACAAGTATGCGATAACACAATGACGAAGCATATGGGTTTGAGTCGTTTGACGACGATGAGGAAAGACACCGGAGCGGCTGAAAAGTTGGTTGAAATTCTTTTCTCGTTTTGGTTTTACAGCAAACAGCGGTGGAGTTGCGTTTTTAGGGATTTCAAAATTGGGGGATCTTTGTCATTTTTGCAAACCTTTTTCTTTGAAAATTTTAGTTTAATCCTCCATACTATAAAAAAACCCCTAATATGCCCCTATGAATTCGAGCCGAATGTGGCTCGCGAGCCTAACGAGCCGAGCCTAGTTAGGCTCGAACTCGGCTCATTCCCTCTCATGAATCGAGCCGAGTCGGCTCAAATACAGTCGAGTTGAGCCGTTAACGAGCCAGACTCGGGTCGAGTCGAGCTGGCTCGCGAGCGGCTCGGTTCGTTAAACAGTCCTACTACTAACGACTAGAAAATTTACTCAATTATTAATTTTAAAACTCTAAAAGATTAGTTGAGGTGTGTGTAAATTGATTCGAACACTCGATCACAAAAGTCTCATTAGTTACCACTGTCAACACGTAATGAAATATTGGGGTTGATCTGGAGGAATTCCATTGTTCTTTATTTTGATTATCAAAATCTGCAGCTGTCACTGTTGGAATGTCTTATTGGTATGAATTTTGAGTATTGATTTAATTGTTTATATTTCTCTTGATTAGAAAGTTGGTATTTAGTTTCCTAAGCAAGCAGAAAAAGAAAAACAAAATAGATGTCTGTTGAAAGTTAATGTCAAAAGTTCTATTGCTATCTTTTTGGTATTCTCTTGCAGCAATTAGTGGTCAAGCAGTTTCCCTTGCCATTGCTCGTGATTGTCAGTGGGGGTGTTGTCCGCACTGTCACTGTAAGATCTCTTTGGCTGTGTGTGACTATGCAATTTGCGGATGTATTGTCTGTCACTAGAATACAACTACTTGTACGCTAATGCATTGTGGGTATTTTGCAGATCAACTCTGAGGAATGACCAGAAAGTTCTACCCTGGTGACAAACTTCCTCTGTGGCATGAAGAGTTGGAGCCACCAATTCATTACTGGACATACTAAACAATCCTGGTCCTGAACCTATGAACATAGAAGAAGAGGAAATTGCCATGAGCTATTTGCCATTTCCAAAACTGTTATCTTGGAAAATTACTGATGTATCAGCTGAGGCTGGATATTCACATGTTTTTGTGAAATTAACAAATATTTAGCGTTTGGAGGATATTTTTTATGTGATACCTTAGTGGCGGTTGTTTGTTTCTGTGATGTTGTTTAATTAGCGAACTCCATCATCATGTTTCACTTCAAATCTTTGTTCAGGTAGTTTCATCATGCATAAATGATATATGAATTTGGTATATATAAACTTGTCTGTCAAGTGAGATAACAACTGAAAATCTAAACGAGTCAGCTTATAATAACAAACAGATTCTAGCTTATGCATCTTAAGGTGTATGAATTTCTGTAGTCCTAATGAGTCAAGTAAGTAATAACTCTGATAAATACCTTTTTGTGTGACTTGAATATAAGACTTCTAAAACCCATAATCTTGTCGAATGTATGTGGTGTTTCTAGGATTAAATGGCATTGAAGAACCAACAATCAAGATTAGCCACATGAAATAATCTCTATAAATTATTTTAAGATTTTGTTTACGTTTAGTTTGTTGTATACCAAATCGGAAGTTTATATTAAACGACTTTTTCCACCCTAAGGTTTGTGTTAATGACATTTTTTCATCTAAAAATTTTTAAAACACCACTTTTCCACTCAAAATTTATATTCCGTTGCTACCATCAAATCAATTCTGGGGTGAAAATTTTCTCTATCACCGCCATTGCAAACCTCCGTCTCTCTTCTATACAAACCCTCTCCCACTTCGACATCTGATTTCTTCCAATTGCTCGTCACCGCAAAGCTAAAGTTTCCACTTCTTGTTCTTAGTTGATTTTTGGCTGATTCCGGAGGCAAATATTCAATCGATCATACCATTCGATTCATCAGCCTCCACTCTACAAAACCCCTCTTACCTTGGTTGATCCATCGACCTCCACTCTACAAAACTCCTTTTCCCTGGCTCCAGTAATCGTCGAACGTCGATTGAGAAATGTAATTCATTTTGGTAGTAACGAAATATAACTTTAGTGGGATAATGGATTTTGAAACTTTTTGGGTGAAAATGTGTATTAAAGCAAACGTTGGTAGAAAAGTCATTTACCTTTTCGGTGCGTTTGGTTAAGGGAATGTTATATTAATGGAAAGATAGTTACCTTAAAGATTACTATGAGGGGGCGTTTGAATCATATAATGTTTTATTATAGAGTATATTATATTAATGGAAAAAGATCACCTTAAGGTAGCGTTTGGTTCAAGGTAATTAAATTAATCTTATAATCTTTGTTTAATTTTCAAGATTCCTTCGTTTGGTTGTCAAGTAATAAAATATTCGTATCTTTTATTACAAATGTGGTTTATTGTTGGTAATATTGGGGGTAATCAGATTACCTTCCCAAGGGTGTTAATAATAATTACCGAGGTACTTAATTTTGACCCTATTTTGCCCTTAATATTTTATCATTTCTAACATATTTGCCCTCATATATCTACCAAATAACAATTACCCAGCCCACTACATTTGAGAATTAGCTAAAACACCCCCCCTACAAAAAGTTTAAAAGTTAACAAATACCCCCAATCATCCAAGACCACCATCGCTAGCCACCACCGTTGGCCACCGACGAAAGTCTCATATCGACCAAGACCGGCAGGATCTTGCCAGTCTTGTGCCGATAAGGACATTTTCGGCCATGGATTTGTGATCCATGGTCGGAAACGACCAGATCTGGCCGTTTCACGACCAAAGATGTGGCCGTGAAATGCCATAGATCCGGCTGTGAAAAGCCAGATCTTTGGTCGTGAAACGGTCGCCGTTTCACAGCCAAGATCTGGTCTTTTCACGGCCACATCTTTGGTGTGAAATGACCATATTAATGGCCAGATCTAGCCGTGAAACAACCATATTCACAGCCAGATCTGACCGGATTAGGCCTGATCGACGTACGACCAGCCGATCCGCTAGTCGTGCGCCATTACAGCGGCTTCTGGTGGTGGTGGTGGCTGCAGGCGTGGCTTGGGTTGAGTGGGGGTGATTTTGCTACAATTAAAGTCGTATATGGTTGGGGGTTTTATTAAAATTTAAATATAGGGGTTAAAAGAAATAATTTAAAAAAAAGAATAAAATAATAATAATAATATAATATATTTATTTAAAAACGAGGGCAATTTAGTAATCTATATAACATATCCACTCATTTATCCTCATAACCAACATATTATTATACCATACCATAATTTATTCCAACCCACCAAACACATTTCTTTAAAGATTCCTTAGTAATCTATCTTTCCATAATACAACATTCCTCATAAATATAATATTCTCTAACCAAACGCAGCCTAAAGATTACTGGAAATGTTTAGAAAATGTTTTTATTTGTTTGAATAATTGGTGAATATACGTTTGGTTGGGATAAAGGGTGGATGTTATATAGATTACTAAATTGCCCCTCTTTTTAAATATAATATAAATTATTTTTATTAATATTTTTGAATAATCTTTTTTAACCCCCTACTTTTCAGATTTAGCAAAAAAACCCCTACCAACCAAAAACGTTTTAAACTTAACAAAAACAACCCTACCCACCTCAAGCCACCACCGGTAGCCAGCCACCACTGCTGACAGTACCACAGATCTAGCCGTGACGCCGACAATGCCACAGATCTGGCCGTTACACGGCTAATCTATGGTCGTGAAACACACAAATCTAGCCATGAAATGGCCAGGTCTTTGGTCATGAAACAGCCAATTTGGCCTTTTCCGACCATGGATCTATGGTTAGAAAAAGCCTCCCCGGCGCACGGCTGGGCATATACGGCCGATTGTACACCATTATGACTACTTTTGGCAGCCTTCGACGGCGGTCAACAGTGCTAGCGTGTGTGGCTAGTTCTGGATATAATGACATTTTTTGTAAATAATGACAATAACACGGCAATGTCGTCTGAAAATTTTTAAAAGCGAGGACAAAAGTCTGCATAAGTGAACTTGTATTTTTTGTAAATGTTAACAAATATAAGGTTAATTTGGACCAAATGCTCAACTGTTTAGGGGCAACATGGGAAACAAAATTGTATTACCAGGGGTAAGTTTTAATAACAACCTCCCTTCCCCTCAGTATTAAGATTCCCGGCAATATGCCTCCCAAATGCTGTTGTTTGTCATAAAATATTTCGAGAATAATTTTTTACAAACCAACCAAACATCGTCATCTGCTCCTTTAAAAAATATTACCCCAGTTATCTAATATTACCCCGATCCAAACGGCCCCTATTTGTAATAAAGATTACCGTAATATTTTATTACTTGCAACCAAACATAAGAATCTTGCAAAATAAACAAATATACCCTTGTTATATTATTTACCCCTGATCCAAACAACCTTTGATGTTTAGGGAAATATGTTTAGTTGGTTGGAATAAATTAATGGGTATATTATTTAATATGTTTTGGTTGAGAGGAATAAATTGGTGAGTATGTTAATAATTTACTATTGTCCTCTTTTAAATTTATTAATATTATTTTTGAATAGTTTTTTTTAACCCCATACATTTCAGATTTAGTTAAAACACCCCCAACAAAAAAAAAATTTAAAACTTAACAAAACACCCCCCACCTGCCCAAGCCACTACTGACGGCCTGCCACCATTGCTGACAACAATGAAAGTGGAGATCTGGCCGTGAACAGCCATAGATCTGACAGATCGTGTGCCATTCTATCGCCTTTGGCAGCTGTCAGTAGTGGTTTTCGGCGGGTGGCGTGGTGCCAGATCTGACCACCACCCTTGGTAATTTTTTTAAATTTTAGGGGTATTTATGTCCTAAAAACTTTGTATATAAGGATAAAAATCAATTGGTATTTTTGTAAATTGTTTTTAAAATAAGGGCATTATTGCCCTAAAATTTTACTAATCGGAGTAAAACTGTAATAAAAATAAGATTACTAAATAATCTTAATCAGATTATCTCCTAATTACCAATAGTAATTACTATTAATATTGAAAAATTATCGAAATTTTATGGGTGCGTTTGGTTCAATATTTCAACCCATACTCCCAATCCTATTCCCCAAATATTGTTTGGCACATTATTTGAGAAATTAGTGTATTTTTTAATTACTTTTAGACCCCTTAAGTTTATTAATTTCATTAAATAGCTCCACAAAAAGTTTAAAAATTAGCAAAAACACCCCCCCCCCCATACTTGCCAGATTCCAGCAACCACCGTCGGTGGTAGCCAAATCTGTCATAACAGCTTACACCACGCCCGAAAATGGTCTTTATTCATCGATCTGTCCTATTCTGCTAGATCCATAGTGGACCTTTGCAGCAGTCGACGCCACATCTAGCCAATCGACGCTTTATGACACAGATCCGACCGTCGTGTTGTAACGCGATTTTTCTACCAGATTCTAGTGTGGTGCCGAAATCTGGCACTGCAGGTGGTGGAGGTTTTTTTGTCATTTTACACAATTTTATATATAAAGTGTTTAATTAAATTAGCAAACCTAAAAGGTTTTTTAAAAATTTTTAAATTTTATCTCGTAATATTTTCCTATTCAACATCTAATATTTTCTCAAAATTATATCTAAAGTAATAACTAAATACATCATATATATTTTTAATAACCAAACGTGATAATAAAGTAAATAAGATGACGCTATTTCAAGAATACTGATACCCCCCGACTAAACACACCCGTCATTAATACGAATGTTAACTGTTAACGAGTAAACAAATCTTCAAGAATATCTGATACCCCCCCGACTAAACACACCCTTCAAATTAATACGAATGTTAACTGTTAACGAGTAAACAAATCTTGGGAGTGGGAGTTGGAGAAGCGTGGCAAGTGATGATTGGTCAAACACAAATGATTTCTCCGGTTCCACCGGACGGCCCTGAACCTGAAGTGGAATGGTTTGTATATAAGCGGGTTCGCAAACAAAAGGAGCAGAAAGAGAGAAGGGTGGAAGTTTGAAATCATAAAGAAATCGAAAAATCTAGGGTTTGAGGTGAAGCTATGGATCTGAACATGAATGATCTGAATCAACCACACTCCATGGGAACGACCATCATTGGAGTCACTTACAACGGTGGTGTTGTTCTCGGAGCCGATTCTCGTACTAGCACTGGTACCTATTGTTCCATTCACTTCTTTTTTGCGTTTAATAGATTAATCCATTCTCAATTTCAAATTTAATTCCGATTTCTATTCTATTTTATTGTATTTGGTAGGGATGTATGTTGCTAACCGTGCATCCGACAAAATCACTCAGCTTACTGATAATGTCTACATCTGCCGCTCTGGATCGGTATTTTTCTTTCAACTTGAACCCCAGTCCTGGCCCTAACTCTTATCCAGTAATTTACATGTCCGCCCTTTCTCTTTCTTGTAGGCTGCAGATTCTCAGATTGTCTCCGACTATGTGCGCTACTTCCTTCATCAGCACACGTTAGTTCATTATTTTCCTTTGTTTGTTGTCTCTGACTGATACCATATTAATTAGGGTTTTCTGACTTCGTATGTGTTTTTCAATTACATTTATGTACAGGATACAGCTTGGGCAGCCTGCAACTGTTAAAGTTGCTGCCAACCTCGTCAGGCTACTATCTTATAACAACAAGGTCTTTTTTCTATATCTTGCTTTCATTTTCTGATCAAACAAGAAGTAAAAGAAAAGTTATTGATAAGGTGTTTATATTGATTTAATTAACTGTTTTATTACAAGTAATAACTCTGTTGCAGAAGATGATATAGAATTCTAAGTTTGAATAATTAGTTTCAAAATATTGTATATAGTAAGTATGGTTTGATTAATTTGGATGTTATTCACGTTGCAATACCCACTGAACCTTGTTTCAGATCTTCAAATGGCGGAAGAAGAATGATTTGCTTGGTTCTTATTCCTTCTCTTTTAGTCTTATTCTAGAGCAATAGATAATAGTTTCATTTTTTTTTTTTTTGAGGTATTTCTAGATCAAGGAAATTTATATAATAGTGTATTTTTGTCTCAGATTTCTAAATATTAGGCAGCACCTTTTATTAGTGTGTTTACACTTCAATTTGTTGTTGTATTCTTTGCTGATTTAATCCATGTTACTGTTTTAAGAACAATGCTAATTTCACTTTTCATGTCACCATATATTGAGGTATTTGAAGTTCACTTTTAGGCTCACCTTATTCACAATTATCTGGAATTGACAGAACATGTTACAAACTGGCATAATTGTTGGAGGGTGGGACAAGTATGAAGGTGGTAAGATATATGGAGTTCCTCTTGGTGGAACAATAATTGAGCAGCCTTTTGCCATTGGAGGTATGTCATTACTTTGGTTGGTTAAGAATTTTCTCTTTAGGAATCACTATAATGTGTGAATAGACATCAGACGTGTGTTTTGACGTAGAGATAAGTCATTAGACCTGCAAGTTCCACAAATTTTTGACCTGATAATACTACTATGTATGTGTGTTTGGTCTGAATGAATGTTTCATGCTGTTTTCTAATATTCTCTTATCTTCTTTACATTAAAATTATGATTCACAGAACTGATATTCATTTCTATTGCAGTCAACTTTTTATTTTATGAGGGTTTTAAATGGTTTTTAAGGAAGATATATGTATATAAACCATATTTCAGTTCAATCAGTTTAGGGAAGAATTTTTGTAATTGGATTCTTTGGTTTTCTCTTCCAATTAATTTGTAATTGCAGGAAACCTCCTCTTATATTTCGTACATGCATTTGTGACCGTTCAATTGGTCAGTGCTTGTGTAGTATGCATTTTGGTTATGTTAACATTTTTAGTAATAATGTATGATGACTTGGACCTATGCCCTCTGTACAATTGTGAGGATTATGTGCTTGAATTGCATGTAACTTCTATCTTAATTGCTTGGCTTTGATGTTCCTTGATCAATGTCCAGCATTCATGCAGTTAATAGATTAACTTGCTCTAAAAAAAGACTTCCTAATGTTTGGTTCTTAGGAAATTGTAATCTCTCTAATTTTTTATTGATTAATTTGGTTATTATTTCCGTCACCCAGACTTTGAAATATTTTTAATGTTTATATGTATAAGTTTAGTAAGGTTTATTATGACATCAGATTCACAACTCATCATCCGTTGTCCCAACAGCGATAGCACTTTTGTGTCAATGAATTTTTGTACAACACTATTTTTGGATGGATTGGTGTTTCATTAAAATTATTTTGTAAAAGCTGGCTCTAATCTAACATAATGTGCATATCTTAGGATCTGGCTCAAGTTACTTGTATGGATTTTTTGATCAAGCATGGAGAGAAGGAATGACCAGGGAGGAAGCCGAGGTATGTAGATTAGATCTTGATGTTAGTAAAAACTCAAATGAGTGAACTTTTTAAACTTTGTTTATGAGCAAGTTATTACTTTGTTGAGACTAACCTCTCATTAAGTTACCACTGTCAACAACGTAATGAAATATTGGGGTTGATCTGGAGGAATTCCATTGTTCTTTTATTTTGATTATCAAAATCTGCAGTTGTCACTGTTGGAATGTCTTATTGGTATGAAACTTTTGAGTATTGATTTAATTGTTTATATTTCTCTTGATTAGAAGGTTGGTATTTATGTTTCCTAAGCAAGCAGAAAAAGAAAAACAAAATAGATGTCTGGTTGAAAGTTAATGTCAAAGAGTTCTATTGCTAATCTTTTTGGTATTCTCTTGCAGCAATTAGTGGTCAAGGCAGTTTCCCTTGCCATTGCTCGTGATGGTGCTAGTGGGGGTGTTGTCCGCACTGTCACTGTAAGATCTCTTTGGCTGTGTGTGACTATGCAATTTGCGGATGTATTGTCTGTCACTAGAATACAACTACTGGTACGCTAATGCATTGTGGGTATTTTTGCAGATCAACTCTGAGGGAATGACCAGAAAGTTCTACCCTGGTGACAAACTTCCTCTGTGGCACGAAGAGTTGGAGCCACACAATTCATTATTGGACATACTGAACAATCCTGGTCCTGAACCTATGAACATATGAAGAAGAGGAAATTGCCATGAGGTATTTGCCATTTCCAAAACTTGTTATCTTGGAAAATTACTGATGTATCAGCTGAGCTGGATATTCACATGTTTTTGTGAAATTAACAAATATTTAGCGTTTGGAGGATATTTTTTATGTGATACCTTAGTTGCGGTTGTTTGTTTCTGTGATGTTGTTTAATTATGCGAACTCCATCATCATGTTTCACTTCAAATCTTTGTTCAGGTAGTTTCATCGTTCAATTTGGTATATTTAAACTTGTCTGTCAAATGAGAAGATAACAACTGAAAATCTAAACGAGTCAGCTTATAATTACAAACAGATTCTAGCTTATGTGTATCTTAAGGGTGTATTGAATATTCTATAAGCCTAATGAGTCCAGCAAGTCTGGTAAATAACTATTTTGTGTGACTGGAATATAAGATGTCTAAATAACCAATAATCTTGTCGTATGTATGTGGTTCCAGGATTAATTGATTAAATGGAATTGAAGAACCAACAATCAAGATTAACCACATGAGATAATCTTTATAAATTATTTTAAGAAATGGCATTGAAGAACCAACAATCAAGATTAGCCATATGAAATAATCTTTATAAATTATTTTAAGATTTTGTTTATGTTTAGTTTGTTTTGTATACCATATCGGAAGTTTATATTAAACGACTTTTTCCCACCCAAGGTGTGTGCCTTAATGACACTTTTTCATCTAAAAAGTTTTAAAACACCACTTTTCCACTCAACGTTTATATTCCATTAATATCTCAAGTCAATTCTGGCAGCAAAATTTTTCTCTATCATCACCATTCGAACCTCTTGTCTCTTCTATACAAAACTCCTCTCATTTCGACACCTGATTTCTTGTCGATTGTTCGTCATCGCAAAGTTAGAATTTCCTATTCTTAGTTAATTTTTTGTTGATTTCAGAGGCAAATATTCAATTGATCACCACCATTCGATTTATAGGCCTCCACTCTACAAAACCCCTCTCACCCTGGTCAATCCACCGGTCTTCACTCTACAAAACCCTTTTTACCCTAGCTCATAGGTAATCGTCAAAAATCGGCTGAGAAAATGAAATGTATTTTGAATATTAACGAAATATAAACTTTTGGTGGGATAGTGGTAATTTGAAACTTTTTAGGTGAAAATGTGTCATTAAAGCAAACCTTGGGTGAGAAAAAGTCATTTACTCTTTCGGTGTGTTTGGTTCAGGGAAAGTTATATTAATGGAAATATAGATTACCATGAAGATTACTATGAGTGAGCGTTTGGATCATATAATGTTTTATTATAAGGGTATATTATATTAACGGAAAGAAATATCATCTTAAAAATTACTGAGAATATTTAGAAAATGTGTTTAGTTGGTTCGAATAAATTGGTAAATAATTTGTTTAGTTTGGAGGATAAATGAGTGGGTATGTTATATAGATTGCTAAATTGCCTTCCTTTTTAAATATTAACATAATAGTATTTATTATTATTATTTTTTGAATTGTTTCTTTTAACCCCCTACATTTGGAAATTTTGCTAAAACACCCTAACTATATAAAACTTTAATTTATAACAAAATTAGCCCCATCCACCCCAAGCCACAGCTGGCAGCCAGCCACCACCATCGGCTACTACTATCTGCTGGCAGTCGACGTAATGGCACATGATTAGTTATATATGGCCGCCGTGCGCCGACAAAGCCGAAAATGGCCATGGATCACAGATCCATGACTAGAAAACGGTAAGATCTATGGCCATTTCACGGCCAGAGATCTGGCCATGAAACAACCACATATTTGGCCGTGAAAAGGCTAGATCTTTGGTCGTGCCATTTCACAACTAAATCTGTGGCTATTTCATGGCCACATCTTTGGTCGTAAAACGGCCATATAAACGTCAGATCTAATTGTTTCCAATTATGAATATGTGATCCTAACCAAAAAAGGCCTTATTGGTGCACGACCGACCAGATCCCACTGATTGTGCACCATTACGGTGACTAACGCCAACAGTTGGTGGTGGTGAGTCACGGCTGGCGATGGTCTTGGGTGGTTGGGGGTATTTTATTAACTTTTAAACTTTTTTGTGTCTAGGGTGTTTTAACTAATTTCTCAAATGTAGGGGGGGTTGGGTAATTGTTATGTGATAGATATTTGAGGGTAATTGTTTCCGAAATGGTTTTTAATTAAAGGCAAAATGGGTAGAAAAATCATATTATCCTGGTAATGTTTTAATAACACCCCTAACAAAGTGATAAGATTACCCTTCACATTACTAACAATAAACACTATTTGCAATAAACTATTACAGTAATATTTTATTACTTGCAAACCAAACACAAGAATCTTACAAAATAAACAAATATTACCCTCGTTATCTTATTTACCCTTGATCCAAATGGCCCTCGAATGTTTAGGGAAATGTGTTTAGTTGGTTGAAATAAATTGGTGGATATGTTATATTAATATGTTTGGTTGGGAAGAAAAAATTTATGGGTATATTATATAATTTACTAAATTCCCCTCATTTTTAAATATCAATATAATATTATTTTTTGAATAATTTTTTTTTTAAGCCCATACATTTCAGATTTAGCTAAAACACTCCAGCAACAAAAAAAAGTTTAAGATTTAACAAAAACACCCTCACCCACCCCAAGCCACTGTCGACAGCTTGTCACCACCGTCGATGGCGACGAAAGTGGAGATCTAGTGGCAAAACGACAGCCATTTCATGGCGACAGATTTGGCCTGGCTGGTCATGCACCATTCCGTCACCTTCGGTGGCCGTTGGCGATCATTTCCAACGACTGGCAGTGGTGGCCAGATCCAACCACCACCCTTGGGTAATTTTTTTAAATTTTAGGGGTATTTATGTCCTAAAAACTTTGTATATAAAGATAAAATAGTCAATTGGTATTTTTGTAAATTGTTTTTAAAATAAGGGTATTATTGTTTTAAAATTTTATTAATGAGAGAAAATTATAATAAAAATAAGATTATCAAGTAATCTTAATTAGATTATCTCCTATATTATCAACAATAATTATTATTGGTTTTAAAATCTTATATTATTTGATAATAAAATGTGATAATAAAATTATATAAGATGACGTTGTTTTAATAAATCTCATATAAACCCTGACCACACAAACCTTTTATATTAATATGAATGTTAAATGTTAACAAGTAAACAAATCTTGGGCGTGGGAGTGGGAGAAGCGTGGCAAGTGATGATTGGTAAAACAACAAATGATTTCTCCAGTTGCACCTGGACGGCCCTGAACCTGAAGTGGAATGGTTTGTATATAAAGCTTTTAGTCTGATGAGAATCAGAAATTGAGAAAAAAAAAAAGCAGAGAAATGGGGACAGCGACGGCGTCAGCAATAAGCGGTAACCTTCACAGCGTTTTCGTGTATGGAAGCCTACTTGCAGACGACGTCGTTCGTATTCTTCTTAAACGCGTCCCTCAGTCTTCCTCTGCCATCCTCAACAACTAGTCTTTCTCTCTCTCTCTCTCTTTTAGATTCCAATTTCAATTTCATATATATTTTTTTTCTAATTTTAATTAATTATGGAGTTGGGATTGCAGTCACCGGTTTAGCATAAAAGGGCGTGTGTATCCAGCTATTCTACCTCTGGAGAATCACAAAGTCACTGGCAGGGTGAGCTCAGCCTCTTCAATTAGTTCATATTTCTTTTCTTTTACAATCAATTAATTTAAAAATGATGAAATTTTACGTTACAGGTGCTGCTGGGTATCACGGATCCTGAATTGGATATTTTAGATATATTTGAAGATGTTGAGTACGAAAGGACCTCTGTTGATGTTTGTTTGATGGTAAGTAACAAATATTGAATTGATGCCTTTTGAGTTTTGAGTAATCATATACATATCATTTAACTCTTCTCAATCGAATCAAATATGCATTCATGCAGGACACTCCTGACAACTCCTTACAAGCTCAGGCTTACGTCTGGACCAACAAAAACGATCCTAATCTCTATGGAGATTGGAATTTTGAGGTATTTTTATTTGATTTCATTTCTCAACCCCACTTTAATAACCACTTAAACATCATCGACCTCTTTTTTGCTTTAAAGGAATGGCGAGGACTACACATGGAAGATTTTATGAAGATGACAGTTGGTTTTGTTGAAGAACTGGAGCTTCCTGAATCAAATCCAAGAGTAGCCACATATGAATCCTACTATAACCAGAATGATATTAATCCTTAAAATCTCTTAGATTCTTCCCCCATGCCAACCTCTCCTAAAATAATGCCCTCCATTTAGTCACAGTGGTTTATCTGTTTCTGGAACAGGGTTGTGTTACTTTGGATTTCAATTCTATTTCTTTATCCTTTCTTTTTCAGAAATTGATAATTGGTCTGTTTCTCCATAGTTTATGTGAATAAAGAAATTGAGGATCCATTAATTACAGATATAGCACTGTTTGTCATTTCTTATAATTCGTATTATTCTTAATTTACAAAATTGTAGGGGAGCTCCGTTGGTCAAAGCTTTTCGGATACAACTATAATCAGTCATTAGTCCAGGACCAGGGGCAGGAAGTTCAGTTGCTTATTTTTTATATTATTACTGCAGATTGTGGGACTCTCATTTCTGGAAATTGTTTGAGCGTTTTGTTTTTAATTTATGATAGTTCATAGTTTCTCAATCCCTTTCTGATGAAATATATTTTTATTTTATATTATTAATGGTAATAATTATGTGAACAGTGAGACACTTGGTCTTAACCACCCTTAAGTAAAAACGATAAGAATTTTTAGGTGTATTACTAAAGAGGAATTGAACTCCTCTCTATTGCTAATAGTAATAGGGGTGACTACTAACGATCAGAAAATTTACTCAATTATTAATTTTAAAACCCTAAAAGATTAGTTGAAGTGCATGTAAATTGATCTAGACACTCGATCACAAAAACAGGAAAAAAAAAAAAAAAAGACTGGGTCCACGCTAAACTTATTTTAATATATTAACTGATGTCTTGGATCTAATGATTTTATTTTGTCACACCAATCTAAAGCATAAGGCAAAGGGTAAATACGAGTCCAAGTAGTTTAGGGATGAGAATTTAAGTTTTCTGTCCTGGATGTGAAGGTTTTGGAGTCGAAGTAGTTTAGGGATGAGAATTGAAGTTTTCTGTCCTGGATGTGAAGGTTTTGGTCTCTCTCATTTCTGCTAATTCAATATTTCATTACAAGAGTAATTCAATATTTCATTACAAGAGTAATGTTACAGTTACCAAAAGATGTGCACCGAATTCGTACATCGAATGACGTGACAAAATCCTGATAATTGATTCATTATAAATTAATATTAATCAATAGTTAAGATTTTGTCACGTCATTCGATACATAGATTCGGTGTGTAATTTTCGATAACTCTATCATTTTCTTTCATTACAAATAACAGTAGGGGCCTTATACAAATTTTTTTTTTTATATAAATAAATAAAGGCTTGATAATAAATAAAATCTCGGCTGGCTTAGTCAATAAATAGGTCAATACAGAAAAATAGAAAACAGCTCTCATCATCGTGAATACTATTTAAACGCGCAGTTGAGATTGAATAATTAACAGATCATCCTTTGGGTTAACGAAGCCAAACCTAATGACACTTTTTTCTTATTCAAACAAAAAAAAGGATAAGAATAAAAATGAGGAGTCTTATTATTTATTAATTAATTTAACTAAATCCTAAACCATAAATACCAAATAAACATAGTTCCTGATAATATTCCTTGACAAAATGACTATCACTTTTAACTGGCTAAAGACAATCATTTACTTGGTTTGGCCGAGAGGCGCCGACGAATTTTCAGATATCCAAACTTTCCAGCACCAGGTGATGAACCCTCAATAACGAGAGGCAGATAGCCTGTTGCAGCTTTGTATCTTTGCTGAATCTGAAATTTTCATATGGCAAATATCTTGTTAAAAGATTATCTCTAAATATTAATAAATTTCTTCATGTGTAGAAACTACTAACAATAATTTACTTGTTACGAGCTGTAGTAATTAAGTCAAAGGAAAGATGGTGATATTTAGATGGATGCAGAGAATTGCAGTATAGTTTGAAATATATACCAAAATTACCTCAAGAATTTGTTGGCTGCTCCGTAGACAGTTTCTACCAATTACACAAATTGTTCCACCTGAACCCCCACCTGTAATTTTGGCTCCATATAATGTCCCTTCTTCAGGTTTATTCTCTTTACTATGCTGCATCTCCTGTACCAACTCCACCAGCCTATCTGTCCCATCGGAACCAAGTCCACAAGCACTATAGCTGTAGTGGCACTGAAATATATGGATAACACATATTAACAATAGTTTTCTATCATTCTAGACGAGGTAATAAAATCATGCTTAGAATATTTACTCTAAACGAAATTCTAGAAACATTACTTTCCTCTCCGAAGATGATCCATCTCCATAAAAATTTCTACAGAAAATGGACAAATTCAACAAGTTAGAACTTGTAATATATACCTGATACAGCAGTTCTCCAAGAGAAGAAAGTTGATCGTCTGATGAGGCGGATGTTAGCAAAGCTTTAAAGGCCTATACATAGGTAACAGAAGGAATGACTCGGGTGAACATTTTAAACAAAGTCCATAAGGTGTGACTCGTCTCAAACATAACTCTTCAGTTGATAACACGTGTTAACATTGCCACTTAGAAAGGAAATGCAAAACTAAGACATATGATCAAATTAATAACTGAACTTTTGAATGAACGAGCAGAGTGAAGATTCATGTAAAACAAAAGGCAAGCATCCTTATATATATATATATATATAATGGAATTAATTTTCAAACAATCAAATAAGCTATCAAATACGTACCTTGACCCGGAAATTCTCATATATAGGATGTCTAGCAGATGCAGTAACTCCATATTCACGCTTGGGATCAATTGTTGTAACTGGATCATCATGTTTACCATATTTTTTTGAAAATGCATCACCAAGCATGGACTCAGGAAGCATCTTGGCATACCGAGCTTCATATCTATGATATGAGACAAATAGAAAAGGGTGGGAAAATCACTTCACAATGAAAGTAAACTGAAATCAGTTGAATTAGATCATTTGGGAATCTGCCTAACTTTAACACAAAAATTACAAGGAAAAGGTAGCTTCTTCAGAATTAAAAAAAGAAATGAGGCAGCATAAGAAGAGACAAGTCACTGGTACATCAGGTTATCATATGTCCATCACGAAATTGATATGTTCATTTAGCAATTTAACAGTGATTATCATTTCCAATAACTCCGAGAAGAAAGCCTAATGAATTAACATACCTATGAGGTGACAAGTTGCACAAGTAATCTAGTGACGCTTCAGCTTTAAGCAGTGCAACACCATCCTCCAAAGAATCAGACCCATTAGAAGTCTTCAATTGAGAAAGTTCGGTGGATGCTGCAGACTTTATCATCTGTCGACCCATAAAAGCACCTATTCTGACAGACCCGTAGTCTGCACCCCCAACACTGCCAAGAAAGGAAGCCAAGTAACTGACAGCTTAGAAATTTATCAAAGAAGAAAGAATGATTCACCAGAGCTGGAAGTAGAATATGATTTAAACTAGATGGGGACATTCAGAAGTTCAAGGGATGATTTAAACAGAGCTCATAGATACTTCATAAATTAGACATAGACAACAGTATCCATGATTCCTGGGACATATTTCATTCTATATCTCTTTTGATACATCCTGATTGATTCAAGAAAAATAAATTATAATCAAATATCCATATGTACCCATACACCACAAATGAAAGGCAAGATGAATTTAGCTTACTTTCCCTAATAACTAAATAAACCATACACCAATGTCCTTCACTGCCTCAGACTAACATAAATAACACAGAAAATGGAAACAGACATTACTGGAACTGATACCTGTGTTTAATTCCTGAATCAATTCCCCAAAAACGGATATGGTTTGGAATTTCAACAAGCCCAAGCACCTCCGCTGGCTGCATAAACAAGAAGCATAAAGTTTGTCATAATTTATTAACCTTCAAAATTGCAGCACTCAAGTCTTTGTCAGTACATATGACACGTACCTGGCACACCATTGCAAGTAGTTTGTCAGCTTCCCCACAGGCAGAAGCCATCTGGTCCATCACACCACAAGGAGCTCCAACAATGTGATTTTCCACCTAAGAAGAACTTGAAATAATAAGCAACATAAACTATATATGGCATAAGTTATGCATACATGGTGGAAAATAAGATCTAAGGAAAGGATGTGCTTGATATCAAACCTTTTGACACAGCATAGCTATATCTCTTGGACCGATATTTAATCCTGAAAAGTATAGATGAGATCTTCAATCAACAGTCCCAGAGGTGGACCAACACAACCTTATCAATTGCTGAAAGTAACAAGCATAAAAATACAAGACATGTAGAGTATCAAACTAATTTTTTTTTAGAATAAATTAAAACAATACCACTGCTTTAAAAATATTACAAGAGAGTTAACATAATAGGCATTAATTTTAAGCCAAATGATAAAAATACAAAGGTATTCTTCTCACTCCATCTAAATTCACATTTACTTGAAAAAATAAAATAAATATATCCTGTTTCAAAGTTGCTTAGGGATTTAAGAATGAAGCACTAAATCTTTCTATAGGAGCCTCCTCACATTCAAAGATCGAAATGTGCAGCTATGACAATTTACATGCCAACAGGTTTTCCTTCACAAATAAGTGGGTCTTGCTTGAATATAAGTGCTAAAACCCAAAACTCTTCAACGTTTTCTAAAATAAATGTACAAATTAAAAAATGAAAGGGAAGCATAGAGCTAAAGAAATTAGAATTTGTAAAATATGTAAATTGAAAAAAAAAGTGTTACAAAAGAAAATGAGATTTTTCTCATAACCAGGCAATTAAGATAACAAATTACCATGAGCAGCAGCTATGGCAGTCATACTAGCAACCTCTACTGAAGCAGAAGAAGACACGCCTTTGCCTTCTGGCACTGCAGATAAAACCTGTATGGTTGTATTAAACATTCAATGTAAGATACTAAGAGTGGCTTGTGTTGGAGGGAAAAAAAAAAACTGGACTGCCGAAACCCATATGACTGTAATTTATACAATAAATATAATAAGGTGGCAAACTCAGTCGCACAAATAAAACTAACATTATGAAGTGATTGCATTATCAAACAAGAAAAACATATATTTCAAGTTGCATATAGGAGTGGAAACTAGAATTTGAAGTATTAATCATTACATTAAACTGATTGGGCTTCCATTAATTGCCCTCAGCATGGTTTGTTCTCCCAAAAAAAAGCAGTAAATTCTGTCACTATTTTGGTCTTTGTCACTATAGTTTCTATGTAGCAATAATTATCAATCATACATACACATCAGAACAGGTGTATCTTGTCAATTTTTTGTTGTAATTAACAGACT